TCCCATCTGCTTCACACTCTGCTGCAAACTGCTGGAGATTAAGTTCCGATGAAGCAGATGTTTTATTTAACATATTTAACGATATTTAACATCTCTATAATTCTAAAGGTTTTATGTGCATTCTTGCTTTATGCAAATGTTTGTTTATTATTCCGCCAATCCAAAATAATGGTAAATACTGTCCAGAATGAAATGTCTAGTAAGTACTCCCATATAACATAATTGTGTCTATTGTACCACAGAAGAAAATGAAGTTAAGTTAAATGATTGCTTAAATGTTTGTATTTAATATAAAACCAAAACCTGAGAAACATATTATAATCATGTGTTTTTCATGTATTCCCACTATATTATGTCCTTTTTCTAGATTTGCCTCACCGATTGTACCATATTTGGGTTCCATGTTTTATTTCTAATCTGGTCAGTCGACACCAGCTTTTTTAAAGGTTTTTGTATGTCAGTCTGTCATATAATCTTTGTTTTTATGCCGGTAATCATCATGACAATGGAAAAATGTGAGAAAAAGAAATTTATTTGAACAATTCTTTTTCATCCTGAGCCTCAAGTCTTATTAGTTTGCTCCAAAGTGCACGCTTTCTTTCTCTGTAATTCATTTTTAATAACCTGGATTCATCTTTTTAAGCTTGCAAGCTGAACCCGAAAGTTGATCCGTTTCTCTGTGAATTGCTCTCAACATGATCTGTTCTTTGTCGTATCGATTTGTCTGCCCTGCGAATAAAACAAAATGCAGCGTTGTGTTTGGAAAATGGCTGCTTTAATGCCACAACTAGAACTGTGATCAATAGGAGAAATGAAAAAAGTCCATTTCCTTTATCCTCTGAGCTGAAATGAGCCAAACATTGCACATCTGTGAGTCAGGAAAATCTTTTGTGGTTTTCAGACAACAAGAGGTCACAATACTTTTCACTGATGGTTGATTCAAACTCCTCCATGTTAGATGGGAATTTTTCCTCTTCCTAACAAAGGAAATCAATTGTTTGTGGACTGAATCTGGACTCCTTCGACTTTCTCACAGCCGCGTCTTGTTTAAGCATTAGGTCACCACAGGAAAGGATTAGCTGGATTATTGATGCCAGACATTTCTCTGCAGAGTCACATGCCCTCCAAGCATGTTGGGAAGCCACCGGTCCTTCCTGTAGCCTCGTTTTAGAGTCTCTTTTTTTTTAAATGGAGCTTCCAATTTTAGACCAGTTGCCATGGCTGAGCGAGACCTGTGAGCTTTATGGACCAGTTGACACTGGAGCTGATTTTTTTTTTATATGCAACACGGGCAGTTTACCAGAAAAGTGTCCGAAATGTCAACCAGGTGTCACCCGCCTTTATTAGCCCATCTGGTCACCGAGAAAGTTTAGTTTGCCACGGCTGATTTGAAGTTACCACCTGTGTGTTTGTGCAGAAAAGGATCAGGAGTGGCTGAAACTTCCCTTTGTGTTAAACATTATAGCTCTTATGTATTCATATCCCCCTCCTTCTCCATTATCCTCTCAGTGTGTGTCCTGAGCTCACACTGCAGATTATTTTATATTCAATGGTCAACGTGAGACACCACACACACACACACACACACACACACACACACACACACGCACACACACACACACACACACACACACACACACACACGCACACACACACACACACACACACACACACACACACACACACAGAGATCAGATTAGTTTTTCTGGGTTCTGCACAGATGATTAAAGCTGGTTCACTGAAAAGCTATTTGTTTAATTGTTATTTTTGAATGATTATAATCGGTCACTCTTGAGTTTTTCATGCAGGCTGAACATGAAAATAGTCTCCTACACCTATCTCCTGCATTAGCTTCTGATAGAAAATAGACGGTGAAACTCTAGGATTAGAAAATCCTCACAGATCTACGTCATACTGTGAATTAGCATTCAATGGTCTCACCCTTCTTGACTCACGACGGGGAAGGCTGTTGCTGGTTTAGCATCCGGGAAACAGCTGAGAATGTCTTGGCTAGTTTAAGCTAACCATTAGCTTTAGCAGCTCCACCTCATGGCAGAAGCTCCTCCAGGCTTGTGTTATTTGTGGAGATATAAAATCAACATATCAAATCAGTGGTGGAGTCGCGTTGCTGTTATCCAATCCGGGACGAGATGTCTAAATATCAGGAAGTAAGACTCCAAAACCTGCCGTCTGAAGCTCAGCTGTGATGTGGGCAACTTTCAGGTCAGAGAACGCTTACAAGGCAATTATTCCTATTATAGACCACTGCAAATGCATTGATTAAACGAGTCAACTACTCCTTTAAAGAAAGCCATGTCCTCTTTTTTTCTGATTTTCAGTCAGTCAGCATCGTTGCTGAAATCAGGCCTCACTTTCTTGTTTTTGTATTTCAGAGTTGTAAAATATCCTGCAGATATGGAGTAAGTTAACACAAAGCCTAATCCAGTCCTGTCAATCAGCAGCGCTTCTGCCACGAACACTCCTCTCATTCAAAGCAAGAACAAGAAAAATCCAGAATATGTTCCCACGTCCGTGTGTCATTCAACACACTCATACTCAGACAGTAAACACAGCCCTCATGGTGACAAAGCGACAAAATACCAACAAGGTGGATTATAGTCAGTGATGATTTAAAAATAAAAGATGTTCATTTTGATTTTAGCCTCGTGTCCCAGACTAGATGGTGCAGCTTGTGCTGACTGGGAATGCAGCAGCCTACATGTGTGTGTGTGTGTGTGTGTGTGTGTGTGTGTGTGTGTGTGTGTGTGTGTGTGTGTGTGTGTGTGTGTGCGTGTGTGCGTGTGTGCGTGTGTGCGTGTGTGTGTGTGTGTGTGTGTGTGTGTGTGTGTGTGTGTGTGTGTGTGTGTGTGTGTGTGTGTGTGCGTGTGTGCGTGTGTGCGTGTGTGTGTGTGTGTGTGTGTGTGTGTGTGTGTGTGTGTGTGTGTGTGTGTGTGTGTGTGTGTGTGCAGTACTAGGTGAAAATGAGCTTAACTGTTCTCAGCCCACTCAGCTGTTTAAGAAGTTAAAACTATGGCATCATGTGAGGATCAAATTTAAAGTGGCTCATAAACAAATGAGTGCCGCTGTGGTTGTTGATGCTAGTTTCCTTCGTCACCCTGCCTCTCCCTTTTTTCCCTTCTCTCCCTCCTTTGTCTCTCCCTTTGTTGATTAGCGTCCACGTAGCAGCAGGTGTTTTGACACACGCGCACACACGATATTACTGTCAGCGAGTCAGAAATTAGTCAAGGACAATCACCTATTAGGTGTGGCAATAAAAATAGTATTTAGATATTTAAAGAATGTAAAAAGGAAAAAATAACAGATACAATAAAGTGATCTTCCTACTTCATGTCTTTAAACCAAAAACACATGATTTAGTATTTCCTCTAAACTAGAGGACAAGAACAGCTTCCTAAATAAAACTCTCAGGTTCTTGTTGTAACTTAAGTTTAACATAATCAGCTGTTCAATGACCCTAATAAAGAAGAGAGTAAGAGAGTGCACCTAAAGGGCCAATGTCTGTGCCATCACTGGGGGGTTTATTTCCCCTCAGTTTCGATGTTTAGTTTTAAATAAAGCTGAAAAAAGAAGAAAAAATGGATTCTTCATTGTGAAATAGTTGAGGATTGATCAGTGAGCACCAGTCTAACGTTGTTTTCCATCCATTAAGGCCTGCAGATCACTCTGAGCAACTCTTTCGTCTTTCTCTTGTTACTTCTGTTTCTGTCATGTCTATACTGTCACTAATGAGCACTAACTGCCCTGACCTGCTTCTCTTCATGGACAAGTTTGGTGCTGTTTGCTTGGAATGAGCAGATTTCATGTGGAATAAAGGAACTATCTGCACTGTAGTAAAACAATCTTGAAAATCACAATCTTGTCTGAGGATTTATTTTATTCTGTAATTTATTTGAAATGAACCCTACTTGGTTACATCCCTATCACATTATTCATCCTCAATCTTCAAATCACCCCCAATGAACTCTTTATTTTTTCTGATGAACTGTATAAATGAGTGTTAATTGTGCTGTAGACATCTGTAGTCATTATTTTGGCATTTTAAGTGCATCTCATTAAAAATATAAATATTCTGCCCAAAACCGTCAGTGTAGTGTCCTCTTCAAAGCGGGACCTTGTGATGTTAACTGGTGCCATGGGACGTGGCCACGCCCCCGGCTTGCTTGGCACCAGTTTCCTCAGAAACCGATACAGCACAGAGCCTCTCACCAGCTTTAATAAACCTTCCCCCCTTTTTAAGTTGTCCTCTGGTGAAGGAGGTGGAGAGATATCCTTCAGACTATGAAGCTTGCTGCTCTTTCTCCATCCAAGTGGGGTGTTAGTATTTGTGTGTGTGTGTGTGTGTGTGTGTGTGTGTGTGTGTGTGTGTGTGTGTGTGTGTGTGTGTGTGTGTGTGTGTGTGTGTGTGTGTGTGTGTTTTAATAATTATGAGCTTCTTGGTGTTTTCTAAGTGCTTTAGAGTTAAAATGGCTATTATTTTTTACCTTGAGGAGGCGTTCTCAAGTGGAGAGGCCTTACAACAAGCCCCCAAAAGGCATGTCCTTTTCTCTGAGTCATGACTGACTGCAGTCTTTCTCATGTTGTTGCTGCTTTGTGTGAGTAAGTCAGTGAAGATGGGATCAGGGAAAAAAAGCTGGAGCACAAATCCAATCAAGCCTCGGCTCATTTCTGCATCAACACAAAACATTCCCTGGGTGCTTTTAAATGGTCTCCTGCCTGATCCACTCCTCGTGGCACTGCAGCATCGCGCTGCAGCACGGACGTTGCCCCATCATGTCTCCTGTTGTTATCTATTGCTGCACATGAGCTGAATCTGCTTCATGTGGCCCGACTTCACAGTACAAAAGGGTGCTTATGGAAAAAGCGTGCCAAGCAGGCAGTTACTCATGTCTGTCAAACTGAATATTTCACAGCTTTTATTGGATTTACAGTGACTGAGTGCATCAGCCCTCATCTCCCTCTCTCTCTTTTTCTCTCTGCAGGCGTTAGCTGCCAACGCCGGCACCGGGTTTGCCGTGGCGGAGCCACAAGTGGCCATGTTCTGTGGAAAACTAAACATGCACGTCAACATTCAAACCGGCCACTGGGAACCTGACCCCTCTGGGACCCAAAGCTGTGTAGGAACCAAAGAGGGAGTGCTGCAGTACTGTCAGGAGGTGAGTCACTGTAACACGGACCTCATAGGTGTGTAGAAATCCAGGTGCGAAAGTCATTATTACACCCTTTTACCTTGGGGATGGAGCTGAAGTTGGAGGTGTTTATTTGCCTCAACTCCTCCTGGAAGATTGATAATAATCTAGTGGGTGCTTTACTCACCAGAGTCTGTCTGGGATTTTCTTGAGCTCCTCTGGAATTAAAGAAGTGTAGATCTCTTATTTAGTGTGAAGATGTGACGAAGCAGAGCTGCACATTTCCACTCAGCCCTCCTCAAATGTTCTTGTTGCCTTTTTCTTGGTGACATTTTGTTGGCATTTTAGGGAAAGTGCAAACGTGGGCTCATTTACAGCTGAGCAGATGGCATCTAGTGGGTTTGAGTTTTGAACTGAAGGTTTTTTTGAAGCCTCACTCAGTTCTCCTGGAAGCACGCACAAATAAATACGCTCTCAGTCTACAGGAGCTATCAGATAGTTCCTTATAGTTCCTCTGCAGAAGCCGTGACTCTCACAATCCCTTTGATCAGGATTTTTGTTGCTTTTTCTTCTAAATAAGAGCTCAAAAGGAACATGTGGGTGATGAAAGAGGTCAGATTGGTCCATTTCTTAGATTATGTTGATCACCCAGCTCCCCTTGTGCTGAAAGGCTCTCGTTTACCAGAATGGAATAACTTAGAAAAAGTTAACTGACTTGGATTAAAAAAAGAAAAGTATTAAGCTGATTTTGCTGTGATTATTATATCAATAAAATTAAATATGCAAGGGAAAGTGTTCTACAGTTAAAGGGACTTTACGGAGTTTTGAATTTTTATGCTCGCGATTGCCCCCTCAGGCCAAAAGCGTAACGGCAGCTTCAATAGTAGGCTCGTGCACGAGGCGCGCATGCTGTACGTGCACACTCCTTAACGAAAATAACAGCCGAGACAGTCTCGTGTGTGTGTGTGTGTGTGTGTGTGTGTGTGTGTGTGTGTGTGTGTGTGTGTGTGTGTGTGTGTGTGTGTGTGTGTGTGTGTGTGTGTGTGTGTGTGTGTGTGTGTGTGTGTGCGTGTGTGTGGCACGGAGGACAGAGGACAAGAGAGCGCGCAGCTAATTAATTAAATAATTTGGTTCTGTACCTTTCTCTTCAGCACAGCCCACAAAGGTTTATGATGGGTCAGTCCTCCTGCATGCTCAGATCATTCCCTTCCCTTGCTTGAAAAATTGTTCCAAAATGAAAGTTGAACCCACATCTTTTTTACCCGTGAATTCAATGCCGTTCGGCGAGTCTCAAATAAAAATTTGGGCATCTCACTGTAAAAAAATATACCATTAATGTAAAAAATAAACTATAAATTAACTATATTCACACCCAGAATCGAACCAGGTCTTCTGCACGAGAGTCCGATGTCTTACTAGGTGAGCTAAAGCGCCAATGGCATCTTTTGTATCTGTAACATTTATATTCTTGATGACAGCTGAAACAACGTTCAAAGAACAGTTCGGAGCAAAAATGGCTTTTTTGTTGCTAATTTGCAGGACATATCTAGAAGAAAGTAGCTAAGTGTCCTCAGAAATGTAGCTAGGTTCATCACTAGGCGTTAGGAACAGCGACAAAGTCGCTGAGTTGGCTCTACCTCTCTCTCTGCTGCTAAAGCTACGGATAGCAAATGCTACGGTCTATGTCTGAGCGTGAACGTGCATGAAGCAGCCTGCTCGACCCGAGCAGCTCTCTTTTTCTGTGATTTTACAGAAAAACAGGCAATCACAGTAAAAAATGCCAGGGCTCATTCTACAGGACCAGGGCATTGCAGGAGAATGTATGAAGAAGAAATTTATTATTTCCATACATGTTTTGGCTGTCAAACTTCCATAATGTCCCTTTAAAGATATTAATTTTTAAGAAACATTTGTGATGGTTGGCATTCATAGAAATTCATAAACTTTGTGGGATAAAGTAAAAACCCTCCCTAGTTACATAAAAGAATCTTAGGGGAAAAAGGGTCAAATTACATCACCCAGTTTTACATCTTATGCTTTCAAAATAAAAGTAGACTTTTGTATTTTTCAAATTAGACCACAAAATAAAAAACAATAAATTTGGACTCCTTCTGCAACCTATTCTAAGATTAAACCTTTATAAAATTTGTATATGATTTATCTTTTCACCAATATTTCAAATTACACCGTTTTCAACATTTGTTTTTCATACAATCAGGGGTTTTCCACTCTATAGAGAAACTCTAGATGTCCTTTTAGTAATTCACTACATTTATTTAACTTCCTCAGTAAACATCATATGTCTTTTTTAACCAAATTTAAGACAATTCTGGATTTTTAGATTTATTTTTGTCCCAAAAATTTAATTTATTAAATCAGGGAATACAGTACGTTTACTTTTAGTTCATTGATGCCTTTAGTCATAGAAAATTCAACTTTTTTCACACAAATTTTAATTATTTTCAGTTTATTTTTATGTACAATGGGAAGACAAAGCCTCCTCCCCTTCCAGTGGGCTCATTGTTTCCCTGACGGAATAAAAGAAAAGTGAATGGAAATATAAAAGTTCTTTTCTGGTCTGCTTTGCCTTACGCCCTGAATATGTTGTACTTCAGTTTAGATGAAAAAAAAAATACTGTTTCGATTATGTCTGTCGCTAACTGCGATGCCACTGAGATTTATTTGCTTCTAAAGATTTGCAATTACAAAGACTACAAATCAGATGTTGCATATGTGACATCATAGCATGACTCTTCTCCCCAGCGTAGCTGCTTCTTACCACACAGCCAGATTTATGGTGGTTTTCTCCGCGTTTAAATCCTTCTTCCTTTGTCCAGGTAAAATGCATAGCTTGTTAAACGCACAGCCATTATTTTTCTCTTCTCTTTGTCTTGTTTGATGAAGTCAATTTGGTGAGACGAGCAGTTGTAGTCCGCCACATCTTTTCACACAAAACCTGAAGTGACTTTTTTCCGCCTGTTGAAAATAAGCGTTTTCTTGCCATCAAAATGTGTTGTTAAAAATTCACTGACATCGTATGTTAAATGACATATCACACAAGAAACCAACATTTATCAGCCCGTAGAGCCCCATTCATTACTTTTGGCTCTGTTTCTCATGAAGTAATAGCTGGATGGTTATTCTATGATGTCCTAACAAAAGGGGCCACACGTTTTTCATTAATTTCTCATATGTTTTCATTTATTTTGTGATGGTTCAGTAATGTACTCCTTTTTAAATGGTTAATCATCATTTAAAATCTGTATTGTATGTATTGTGTTCATTATGAAATAACCAAAAGGGGGAATAGGATGGAAATATTTCTGTCATACATGTTTGTCATACATGTCAAGTGCAGACTCCTTGTGTGCAGACGAACCTTCACACAAGATTTGTTTCTACAGCTGTTCTCCTCCTCCTCCTCCTCCTGTAGTCAGGTGGCCTTGACGGCCAGGATGGAGAAGAGAGTTTTGTCTGCCAGGTCCTGGGAAGGAGAGGAGCAAGGAGGAGGATGGGCTGGGTGGGCAATTCTTGTGTTTATTTTGTCTGTGTGTGTGTGTGTGTGTGTGTGTGTGTGTGTGTGTGTGTGTGTGTGTGTGTGTGTGTGTGTGTGTGTGTGTGTGTGTGTGTGTGTGTGTGTGAGATGAATTCTGGGCTCATTTCTATGACTTGTTCATGGAGTGACACTTTGAACATTTTTTTATGTCTTCGAATGATTAAATAAGACAGACAGGCCGCTCTCTTTACGGCGCGCCTCATAAGTTCAGGCGAGTTATTTCCACAACTAAGGAGATGAGCGTGACTTAGGCTCACCATAGCTCTCCTACACTCGTTTATGAACCCTCATTGAGGTTTTTATCCTTTTTTAAATACTCACTACTTGTCCTTCCTTCCTTCAGATGTATCCAGATCTCCGAATCACAAATGTGGTGGAAGCTGACCATCCAATCCACATTGAGAACTGGTGCAAGAAGGAGAGGAAAGTGTGCAAAGGCCACGCCCATATTGTGGTACCATACAAGTGCTTAGGTAAGCTAGAAGATTCAGTAGTTTGTGTGTTGGGAAAAACCACTTAGAGGATTAGGAATGGTCCTCTAGATCCTTTAGGTCCCCTTTCCTGTCCTTCCCCCAGCTTTACCCTTTTGTTCGGTGTTGAGAAAGAGGAGTTTATGAGTCATCTTAGTCTTTGGCAGAGTGGAGTGAGTGGAGTGATATTGGAATTCGATTCAGTCGAATTATTTTGGCCTTTAGCTGCAGATTGAGCAGATCCAGGCTGGATGGGGGCTAATGCCTTTCAGAATGATGGCTAACAGGGGGCCCGGGGGGGGGGGGGGGGGTCTTTATTGCTGGGCAGGCTTGTTGAGCAATTAAAAACACAATTGTATTTGCTCCCTCAGACAGTGGTCATAAACTCCCACAGGGTCAACAGCGGAGGGATCCAAGAGGAGGTCGGCTTTATTACATCTCATCTCTCCATTTCCCTGCTCTGTCACAAATGACTCCCTGCCTCCTCTGTTCCCCACAGCTTCACTGTAATCAGCTGTGGCAACATGGCTGCATCCCGATTTATGAAATGCCACGAACAGCCTCAGAGTTCCACCCTGATGTACAAAAACACAGCTCACTTCTACTTCCTCGGAGAATTGCAGTAACAAGAGAAATCGAGTCTCCCTGTGTTTTTGCTGTTAGATAGAGGGCGGAGGCATCTTCTTCTATGGTGCAGACAGTTTTAGGATCACTTCTTCTGGCCAAAAGGCGCTTACTAATCAAGTTGTGCCCCTTTCTGGGACAAAAAAAGCCATTAGCGGTTGCGCTGGAGTGTGAAATGGGTTACCGTGTGAGAACATTTTTTGGCAGAGAAGAGGAGGTTTTGGGGGGAAATTTATTGGACTACAAACACGCAGCTCGATTCTGAGCCGAGATGAAAAAACAGATGAGAAGAAGCAATAACCAGTTACCATAATTTACTTAATCCTAAAACCATGGTGCAGATGGTGTGGACTAGAAAACATTTTTTTGTCTTATCAGTCAACTTGCAATAAATTCACAAAAACCTGGTTTCAACTACATAATCAGAAACCTCCTATTAGCCCATATATACATTTGCAAGCTATTGGTCTGTCTGGCACTCATTCAAATTCAGGAAACTCGATCCTCATCGCTACACAGTACATCCGGAAATGTTACATGCTTGCTCAGACTATCTTCTTTGTTTTTGTCTCATCTTACATAGAACGTTAGCAGTAGCTAGGGCCAACGTTAGCAGTAGCTCAGGCATGGGTTGAGACATACAAATGTAAGGGGGCGTGTCTAAGCCCATAATGTGTTAAACCAGCTCCTTTCTGAACTGTATCTCCATGTCCATTACAACATATCTGATGTACATAGGAAAGCAGGTCAAACACAGCACAGACTTTTTGGTACATTAAGGTGGTTTTCCAGGAACACTACTCAGAGCAACTTAGGCCGATGGAGCTCAACCCAGTCACTGTTTCCAAGGGCAGGGTTCATTATTTTCCCTTTACTTTCTCCCCTATTTTTAGCCCCTGCACCGTTGAGGTACCTGGCAAGGCTGAGTCGGGCGGCATTGCGATTCTGGCCGCTGACTGGCTACGGGGCGGAGTCACTGGTTGCTCAAGAGTTTTTTACTTTCAGTTTCACTGCCTGCAGCTATTTCCTGGTTCAAAAAGCCATAAAACTGAGCAAAATGCCCAGCAACACCACCATTTTTCAGCTGAGTTGTTTCTGTGGAGCATACAGGTTACCTTACACTGTTTACAAATCACCTCATGTTATTTTGTCACAAGTAAAAATTACGCACCCCTCCATCCCCACCCCTTCCCCTCCTATGAGGGGTGCACCCACTTTCTGTCATGGAACTGGCATGGGAACAAAACTACACTCGTGGGCTGATTCAAACCACGCTGTACAGAGCTGCTTTAGGTTGAGTAGCATTCCTGGAAAACCACCTTTAGACACCCCAAGATGCCTAATTTCAAAAACAAGGTAAATGTGGCTTGGAACACTAGAAAAAATGTTGATTATTATTTTTGTTTTGGTTCAGAAAATCCTGATAGATCTACGTCACACTGTCACTTAACAGTCTTGGACTCACCCATCTTGACTCACCACAGGGAAGGCTGTTGTTGTTTTAGCGTCCAGGAAACAGCAAAGAATGTCTCGGCTAGTAGAAGCTAACCGTTAGCATTAGCAACTCTGCAACATGGCAGAACTCCCCTAGGCTTGTGTTATTTATGGAGATAAAACATTAAAGTTGCTAAGCAAGCAGAATCAGTGGTAGAGGCGTGTTGCTGTCCATCTGCTTGTGTTTTATTTTTCTGTAAAAGTCGATGCTCTCGCTCCCATCAGTTACCTCGGCTGGTTGTAAATAAGATAACTGAACTGAGACGAAACCGATGGATGTAAACAGAAAGAGGGTTTCAGCCTGATTATCTAATGAAGTGTGTTCATGATTAGTTCGTCGACTCGTCATATCTGACCTGTTGGATGTAAAACATGCAGCTGAATTCTGACGAATATTCCTCACTTTTTTGTTAAAAAAAATGTATTCAATACACCAAAAAGAGGGTCGGGTTAATAAGGCTGGACTAGAATCCATGTCAAGTTAATAGCTTTAGATAAATAATTCAAAAAGAAGCGTAATATTTTTTCTTTTAAAGAAGAGAGAAATGAGAGAGTCTCCTTTACAATCCCTTCATGTTTTCTGTCTCTGAACAATGAATCTTTGGTTCTGCTGCTCTGTAATCCCTGCAGTGTGACGTCTTTGTCAAATGGCTCGGGATTATTTTTCAGACGTATTATTTGCGGAGTGGTCAGTCCCTGGAAGACGAGCGTCTGTATGGGTTTAAATCATCAAGTTAATTGGAACTGTTTGTTGGAATGACTCCAGTCATCTTTTCTAGGAGGAAAGATAAACCCAAATGAATTGAAATACAGAACAATAAAACATTGTTCTTCAGCTCAGAAATCACCCAAAGTCGTTTTCAGAAAGTTAGAAGATGAATAAATTAGCAGATCAAATTTAAAATTCCCCAAAATCCATCCATCCATCCATTCATCCATTTTCATCCGCTTTTCCAATGTCTGGTTGTGGGGGCAGTAGCCTAAGGCGAGAGGCCCAGACTTCCCTCTCTCCAGCCACTTGGGCCAGCTCCTCCATAGACATAGTCCCTCCACCGTGTCCTGGGTCTACCTTTAGGTCTCCTCCTGGTTAGACGTGCCCGGAAAACCTCACCAGGGAGACATCCAGGAGGTATCCTGACCAGATGCCCAAGCCACCTCAACTGGCTCCTCTCGATGTGGAGAAGCAGCGGGTCTACTCCGAGCTCCTCCCGAATGACCAAGCTTCTCACCCTATCTCTAAGGGGGAGCCCAGCCACTCTTCGGAGAAAACTCATTTCGGCCGCTTGTGTCCGCAATGTCGTTCTTTTGGTCACTACCCAAAGCTCATGACCATAGGTGAGGGTTGGAACGTAGATCGACCGGTAAATCGAGAGCTTCGCCTTCTGACTCAGCTCTCTCTTCACCACGACAGACCGGTACAACGCCCGCATCACTGCAGATGCAGCACCAATCCGCCTATCGATCTCATGCTCCAGTTTTCCCTCACTCGTGAACAAGACCCCGAGATACTTAAACTCCTCCTCTTGGGGCAGGACCTCATCCCTGACCCGGAGAAGGCATTTTACCCTTTTTCCGAATCAAGACCATGGTCTCCGATTTAGAGGAGCTGATTCTCATCCCAGCTGCTTCACACTCTGCTGCGAACCGCTCCAGCGAAAGCTGAAGATCACGTTCTGATGAAGCCAACAGGACCACATCATCTGCAAAAAGCAGAGACCTGATCCTCAGGCCACCAAAACGGATGCCCTCAACACCTTGGCTGCGCCTAGAAATCCTGTCCATAAAGGTTATGAACAGAATCTGTGACAAAGAGCAGCCTTGGCGGAGTCCAACTCTCACTGGGAACAAGCCCTACTTATGCTGGCAATGCGGACCAAGCTCTGACACCGGTCATAGAGGGACCTAACAGCCTGTAACAGAGGGTACCCCATACTCCCGGAGTCCCCCCCACAGGGCCCCCGACGAATGCAGTCAAATGCCTTCTCCAAATCCACAAAACACATGCAGACTGGTTGGGCAAATTCCCACGCACCCTCCAGGATCCCCCTAATGGTATAGAGCTGGTCCAGTGTTCCACGGCCGGGACGAAAACCAAATTGCTCCTCCTGAATCTGAGGTTCAACAATCCGACGGACCCTCCTCTCCAGAACCCCTGAATAGACCTTACCAGGAAGGCTCAGGAGTGTGATCCCCTGTAGTTGGAACACACCCTGCGGTCCCCCTTTTTAAATAAGGGGACCACCACCCCGGTCTGCCGGTCCAGTGGGACTGCCCCTGATGTCCACATGATATTGCAGAGCTGCGTCAGCCAACACAGCCCCACAACATCCAGAGCCTTAAGGAACTCTGGGCGGATCTAATCCAACCCTGGAGCCTTGCCACAGAGGAGCTTTTTAACCACCTCAGTGACCTCAGCACCAGAGATTTGAGAGGCCAACCCAAAGTCCCCAAACTCTGCTTCCTCACTGGAAGACGTGTCGGTGGGATTGAGGAGGTCTTCGAAGTATTCTGCCCACCGATCCACAACGTCCTGAGTAGAGGTCAGCAGCACACCGTCCCCACTATAGATAGTGTTGGTAGCGCACTCCTCCAGGCTTGTGTTATTTGTGAAGATTAAACATCCATGTTAGAAGTCGGTGGTAGAGTTGCATTGCTGTTATCCAATGCGAGTTGTCCAAATATCAGAAAGTAAGACTCTAAAACCTGCTGTCTACACCTGGCTCCTTTTTAGTTCCTGGAAATGGTGCACCGGCGCGTCCCCCCACCCCACAGAGTACAGTTTACAAAGCATTCATTCCTGCAAGAGACCACTGCAAATGTATTGATTAAACAAGTGTTCCACAAGAACCATATAGTAATCACAAAGTTTTGTGGTTTAATTAGGATAATAACTGATTTTGAAACATTTTCTTTTATGTAATCAACATTTGTCCTCTACATCGAGAGGAGCCAGTTAAGGTGGCTCGGGCATCTGGTCAGGATGCCTCCTAGACGTCTCCCTGGTGAGGTTTTTCAGGCACGTCCAACCGGGAGTAGGCCTAAAGGGAGACCCAGGACACGTTGGAGGGACTATGTCTCTCACCTGGCCAGGGAACGCCTTGGGATTCCCCTGGAAGTGCTGGCCCAAGTGGCTGGGGAGAGGGAAGCCTAGGCCTCTCAACTTGGGCTACTGCCCCCGTGACCCAACTCCGAATAAGCGGATGACAATGGATGGATGGATGGATGTGTGGATGGATGGAACATATGTCCTATGTGTCAATTTATCATCTAATGAAGAAATTCCATTTATTTTATTTTTTTGTTTTTTATGTATACTAAGTTTTTTTTATCTATGGTCTTGTGTGCCACATTACTAGCTGTTAGCATGTCAATCTGGCATCAACGCTTATCTCCTTCTTCAGTCAATAGATCAATAAATCCACCTCTACTGCCGCTGATCTGAAGTAAGATGTTGGCAAGGTTATCAGATGGATGGAAGGGCAAAGGAGGAACAGATGAAGGTGGAGTCAAAACAGAGAAAGGAGTTCATGCGCTCAGAGATGTGATGCAGGATTATCTGCAGCGACTAAAGGTTCAGCTGCTCTCCAAACACGACCATCCATCCATCATCCTGCTGCAGAGCTGCTGCAGGTGGTTTCACCCTGAAATCCTCCAGGAACCCTCAGAGCGTGCGACTGACAGAACCTAATGAAGAGTGTGTTTGTGCCGAGTCCGGAGAAGAACGTCCAAAGTTCTTTCTGTTAAACTTTCAGGCTGTTTAACTTAGTCTACGTAGGTCCTTAGAAATAAAATTAAAAATGTATCCAGAAATTTTTAAGAAATAGGGCTTCAGCGCAGCCTTGGAAATTTTTTCTTTTTTGTATTTTTTCCAGACCTAATTAAATATTAAGTGTTTCCAGCCTGAATTTCTGGAAAAAATTTCAGACATATTTTTATGAAAATATAGAATATGAAAATATTTTAGCCATGAGGATGATTGTTTGAAACAAGTTAGCACAGGTGGTTGTGCCTAGGAAAAAAAAAACAGACGTTGAGTCCAGTTTGGAGGGGTATTTTTTTTGTTTCGTTTTTGTCGTTTACAGAAAATGTTTTCATCCCTTTTAAAAATTCTAATCAGATGTCAAAAAATTTCACTACATTCACCAGAGAAATTAAGAGATTTGAGTCTGGATAAACAGTTATATCACATTTTTAAATGATTTTATGCTTTTTTATGTATGTTTCTGTTTAGAAGTAAGAAATAATAATGTTTTCTGTTAATTTCACCTATTATTATATTTATTATCTGATAAAACTTTACATTTCAATAGGAATTCTTGTAGAATTTCACTCTTTGAGGCATCAGATGGTGAACTCCATGTTATTAATTGTGTTATTTGAAATTGAATTTAGGAGACAGGATCTGTTTTAAAATGGCAGCAACAGATTTTGTCTCTGGACTAGCCATTAGCCCATCAATCCTGAAGGATGTAAACCCAGGTTCTCTGAAAAGAGGCCGCTCAGGATGCTAAAACACATTTTATGAATTACAATATGTTGAACAATTCGACATTGGAGAACGCACATCTGACTCGAGTCTGAGGGGGGGCATGGGGTTCGGTTTCTGTTACTGTACCTCCCAGATGAGAAGCAGCTGCTATTTCCAGCTCTCTCCTGTTCCTCTCCTACCCTCTCATTTTCCAAAACACTGCCTTTGCTCCCTCCGCCCGCCTTCCCGCCTCACCCGTGCTCAAGCGGCACTCCTTCAAGCCGAGGTTATGGCAAGCCTCTAAATGATCAGTTACAACGCTGCATAGAGCTCTCATCTGTGTGTTTTCCGTCTGCCCCCTCTGTAGCGGCTCTAAACCATCCATCTCTCTATCTTCCCCTCCTCCCCGTCTGTTTTCTCCATCTGTTTCTACCTGAGCACCTTCAGCCCGGGCCTTCCTTTAATCTCCATCATGACTCCTTTCACCATATTTAGACTGGGAGCAGATTTTAGCCCAGAACTATTCATAGGAAGACACAAGACGCCTTTTCATGCCATTTATTTCCTCCAGATCTGCTTTCGGTCGTCCTGCTCTATGAAGAAAACATCAGCGAATTTAAATAATAATTTAAAAGGTACTGATATCATTGAGTCGCAGGAAGAGTTTTCAAGGCCTAATAAGGAGCCACAGGGTAGAACCGGATTTTCTCTGCAGGCGTTTTGATTGCAGATGCAGCTAAACAGGATGAATAATCCTTTTTCGGTTTGGGGTGTTCATACAGGTGTGACTGTCAAACATCATTTCTGTTATCCCACCACAGTGAGATGTAAAGAACCAGCCAACTATGAATTATTGAATCTTTTTTTTCTTCCTGCTCATCTCATCTGTTATTCCTTTTTTAGCCCCATGGAGTGATTTATTGCGTCTAACCCTGGCAGTGCTGTAGAGGAAGAATTTTTTTTTCTGCCGAGGACAAATTGGTGCTGTGACTAACAGCCATATTGGTCCATGTGATTTGTCTTTTGCAGTGGGAGAATTTGTGAGTGACATCCTCCTGGTTCCAGAGAAGTGCAAGTTCTTCCACAAAGAGCGTATGGACATGTGCGTCACCCACCAGCAGTGGCACAACGTGGCCAAAGAGGTAACGGCACGAGGGACTCCATAGGAAGCAGTGGGAGGATGTTTGTCGGAGAGCTGCTGGGAAGATTGGTGCTGTCGGAAGTCAGCAGCAGCCAGTGGCGGATCTGGGAATTTTCTGAATATGAGGCCATCAAAGGGCCACAATATTTATTGAGGGGCCAAGTATTAATTCTACATCCTTACACAAGATTTCACACTCGAAACTCCTATTTTGCATATTAGTGCCGCTAGTGTTTGGATTTGGAATTGCATCCACCAAAAATCTGATGATTGTACCAAGTACAGATGAGTGACAGTACAGGGGCACCTCAGGGCGGCATTCAGATTTCAGCAGAGGCCAAGACCCCACCCACAGAACCGCCAATGGGAGCTGCTACTTGGGTTAAATTAAATGTCCCAAATTATGAACGCTACAGTGGCATATCAGATTTTATTGAACTGGAACAGATTAGACATTCAGATGAGCTACATTTATCTACTCAACAATAAAAACCTTTTATATTGTCAAGAATCACCGGAGTAGACTTTTGTAATGACTGGAGTTTTGTGTGTGTGTGTGTGTGTGTGTGTGTGTGTGTGTGTGTGTGTGTGTGTGTGTGTGTGTGTGTGTGTGTGTGTGTGTGTGTGTGTGTGTGTGTGTGTGTGTGTGTGTGTGTGTGTGTGTGTGTGTGTGTGTGTGTGTGTGTGTGTGTGTGTGTGACTTCAGTCATGACTATAATCGTCCCTCTTTACCTCCCAGTATTCCTTTCTGAACATCTTTCCACCTGTCTGAGTCTCGGATGTCTGATCTCTGGCTTACTGGTAGTCCTCACATTTCATCTTCTAATCAGATTAGTGTTTGAGGTTGTTGTGAGGTTAATCCCCCCTCTGGCAACTCCGGATCAGTCCGCAGCTCCCGTCACGTTTTTGCTCTCATCACCTCCAACCTTTTACCTCCAGACTCGCTAACGTCACAGAGCTCCAAGCAACAGCAAACTGTAGTCTGAAACATTTTTTTACATTAACATTTAAGCATCAGTAAACTCTCCCAGTGGGAACATCAGGTTAAGGACTTCCAAAACAATGTTGAAGTGTTTAATCCTTTATTTAAGCTTCTGAAAACTCAGAGAAGCTGCAGGTCACTGAAGGGGCTGCGTGACTCTAGAAATGTGACAAATGAGTCATAAGTGTGTCGATCTGTCGGTAGATAAGCATGCTACTCACAGTCCTTATTAGAAGTTCATCAGATAAAAAATTAATCACTAAACCTCTGAGAGCATTGAGACGTATCAATGAAAATATTTTCCAACCGACTCCGAACCACAAAAAGGAAGTTGAAGCTCAAAAATCAAACACCTTTTGTTAAAATTGGATTAATAACCAAGCAGCTCTATGAGTAAAATGGGCTAAAAAAAGACATTTATCTCATACAGAAATGATTAAGTGCTGAGATGTGGCATGCCAGACCAAAAATAGCTTTTTTAAAGTAATATTCTTTTTTTTAATGCAAATATGAGAATCAGGAGAATTTGCTTGTACGACTGCAGATGTGGGCACAAGAAGGCAGAAACAAGGTACATGCACATCTGCATAGGATCACATTAAGGAGGTTAGAAAGTTGTGGGGAGATTAGCGTTTGTGTGAAGGTTAACAGTCATTTATTGCTGTTAATACAAAAGGGTTCATTAAGTGCAACAGGAGGCACTAAAGAAGCAGTTCTAATGAGGGTGATGAGAAGAGATGAGGACATGTTTAAGGTCAGATGACATCAGAGTGACACCTGGTGGATGAATTAATTTCTTATCAAAGGTGGGAAACATTCGTTTAATCAATACATTTGTAGTGTCTCTAATGAATGCCGGTAAAGCGTACTCTGGGGGGGGAGACAGCAGGATTTGGAGTCTTATTTCCTGATTTTTGGACATCTCACTTCAGATTGGCTAACAGCAACACGACTCTGACTCCGTTGGCTTTGCAACATGGATGCTTTATGTCCACAAAAATACAAGCCTGGAGGAGTTCTGCTGTGTGGTGGAGGTGCTAATGGTTAGCTTCTGCTAGTTGAGACGTTCTCTGCTGTTTCATTGACGTTAAACTAACAACACCCTTTCCTGTCTCACGTCAAGATGGGTGAGTCCATGAATGTTAAGGGACAGTGTGACATACATCTGTCAGGCTTTTCTAATCCTAGAGCTTCATCGTCTGTTTTCTATCAGAAACTAATGCAGGAGATGGGTGTAGAAGACTATTGTCGTGTTCGGCCTGCATGAAAAACTCAAGAGTGACTTATTATAATCAGAAATAATAATGATGAAAAAATGTTTTTCAGTGTTCCACACCTTTACATTTTATTTGCTCCAGAGGCAGATCTAGGATCTTTGAGTATGGGGGGCCATCGTGGGGCTACGATATTTACTTAGGGACCAATTATTAGTCCAACACCCTGGATTGTGTTGATCAGACAAACTTTTCTCAAATCCTCAGGCCTGCTCCAGGAGCTCCATGGTGCTGCACAGCTACGGCATGCTGTTGCCCTGCGAAGTTGACAAGTTTCACGGCACCGAGTATGTGTGCTGTCCCGCCTCCCGCTCCGCCGAGTCCACCCCGACCTCCATGACCCCACAGGAGGACATTGTAGAGGAGCAGGTGGAGGATGAAGACATTGACCTGGATGAAGATGATGCTGCAGAGGCCAGGTGAGCAGCTGCTGTGTGAATATTTTGCATTTACAAGGGGGCATCCAAAGAACTGCCTTTAATCCTTCACAATAAAAGCCTCAAATTTACCTCAAAAGATTATCCCCTGTTTTTTAGAGGGATGGTTAAATGTTTCTGCATCTGACCCCCCCCCCCCCTCAGTGAGACACCAGCTGACGAGCATCCAACTCAGATGGAGGAGGAGCCAGGAGACGAAGGTGATGAGGAGGAGGAAGATGAGGAAGAGTACCACTACGTGTATGAGGATGAGGAGACGGATCAGGATGAGGATGAGAAGAAACAGAGCAACAAAATGTCAGAGAAGATGGATGAGGATAAGATTTTAGAAGAAGTGAAAGGTTTGTAATGCCTTTGAAACAATTATCACGTTATTTTAGTTCCTCATTGTCAAAATTCATCCCCATAATCCTGTTCATAAATTCTGCTCCAGCACTGAGTTTGATTGGTAGCCCTGGAGTTAAGAACCAGCTGGTAGTTTTCTGTACCTGATGTTTCTGGTCCTGTGGAGGTCAAAGGAACTAATCAACATTCCGCCGGCAGCCGTGTGCACCCTGGAGGCCGAAACGGGCCCCTGTCGTGCTTCCATGCACCGCTGGCACTTCGACGCCAGCCAGAGGAAGTGCGTGCGCTTCATATACGGGGGCTGTGCCGGAAACCGCAACAATTTCGACTCCGAGGAGTACTGCATGGCTGTGTGCAAACGTCTGAGTAAGTGTCTCAAGACCGAGACCCAACTGATCAAACCTCCTTCTTCTCCGTCTGTCAGACTCAAATAAAAACCTTCAACTTTATTAAAGCCTCGAACATCTGAAAACACAACCACTAAACACTTTTCATTCATTTATTGATTTTACTCATTTTCTAGCATGCCGACACAAAATTCTTGCAAAATCGTGACGTTTTAGGGAGCAGAAAGAAGAAAAACTCCTATTTTACCTGCTTTTTAATTATAAAGCATCACGTTGCTTTGTTTATTGAGCTGCATTGTTTACTTTTAATTGTTTCTTCAACTGAATATTAAAGAAGTTAAAATAACAAAGTTGTGTTTATGTTAAGTATAAGGAAATAATTGTATTATTATTTGATTTTGCAGAGACGGTAAAATCTGCTTCATTATTTTGATGCAGCAGATAAACTACCTGCATGTGTGAATTCATGCAAATTAGTCTAATTATTGTTCAGTTAAATTCTATGAAACTACATAAAATTAAGGAGTATTTTTTATGTGAGTGTCAAAAAATGCAAGTTAAAGGTGCAGTATGTAAGAATATTGTGAGAAATTTACAGTGAAAAAAATTCAAGAGTCGAATGTTTCAGTCCTTTTGGAAGGAAGGGTATACTGAAACATATTTTATATCCAGCTGGCTGCAGGGTTTGTCAGTTTTTCTCCTTTCAAATCAGGAAGGAGGGACGATTGTAATTTGAAGACGGTCGGCAAAAAGCTCCAGAGTTGTTTAAAGTTGTTGCAGTAACCAAATTTTAACACAAGTTGTAATTTTTATTTCATTTCTACACATTGCACCTTTAAGACTGAGTTAAACCCATAAAGCGCAGCTTAATATAGAATAAAGAATCAATTTTTAGGTACAATATAGAATTTTGAAAAACAAGCCTAAAATAAACTTTTCTGCTTTAGTTCTTTATTCCTGTGCATGCAAGAAAGGTTTATTTTTCTTCCATCTTTACTTTTCTGTTTGCTTTTTGCCTTTCATTCATTTTTCGGTCTTTTGACAACCTGTTTTGTTCCATCCACCTACAGAGCTCCACCTTTATTTTTAGAAACACGCCAGCATGTCGGCACATGTAGTGATGCGATTCATTTCAATCGGGTTAAATGCGGTTCATGGCCTGAGGCAGCTGGATTATTTTGCCGTCTGATAAAATGAGATAAAGTTCAGAGAAGGAGCTGCGGCTTTATTGGTAACATCAGCATCGGCATCTCCTGCTGCCGCGTTGGTCTTTGGAGGTCACAGCGCTGCGTGCAGCGAGTTCCTCACATCTGCACAGAGAGGATCCCAAATCTGGTCCCCTCAGGTCTCGCTCCGGACGACCCAGCCGTCAAACACGACGGTGTCTCCATTAGCGAAGGGATCTGTTGGCAGAAAGTCGATGAGAGGATGAAGGAAAATCCGAACAGAGAAAATGTCAGATTGATCAGACCTACTGTGGGTGGAGGAACACCAGTGAGGATTCAGCTCTGCACTGTTCTCCCCCTTCAGCTCTCTCTCTCTCTCCCTCTCTCCATCTCCATCATATCCTGTCTTTTCATCTGACTTTACTTTTTTAAATCTCCATTTGTTGTTTTCCAGCTCTTCCTCCGACCCCCCAGCCCACCGACGATGTGGACCTCTACTTTGAGACTCCTGCTGACGACAAGGAGCACAGCCGCTTCCAAAGAGCCAAGGAGCAGCTGGAGATCCGGCACCGGAACCGCATGGAGCGGGTGAGTCGGGCAATAGGAAAACCAAATATCTTTTGTTGGGAAACATAAAACATTTTGTGACTTTTTTTTTTTTTTTTGCATCATTCTCAGAAATTTCAAGAGAAATGAGAAACTTTGTTTGAATAAGTGGGAAGTATTCACTAATGTAGGAATAACAGGAGCTTTCAGAAACTGAATTTTAGAAAAGGTCTCACCTTTTGTGCATAAAAATCATTTTCTAACAAGGTTTTCTGCAATTTTCTGACTCATTCTTTTTCAAATGATGCAGTAAGACTCTTGTACCTCTTTTCTCTCCACGTCTGTCACTTCAGGTACGAAAAGAGTGGGAGGAGGCTGATCGTCAGGCGAAGAACCTGCCGAAGGCTGAGAGACAGACGCTGATCCAGGTAACACCCCGATCCTTCCCTCTGGGACTCCCGTACTCTGTCCCTTTGTATGGATGAGATATGTCAGCTTACTGGCTTCAATAACGATCCTTTCCCAAGCTGCTTTATCTTCACCTCTCTAAAACTAAACGAGGACACAGTCTAAGTAGGAAGACGTCTAAATGAGTCCCTTGACAACCCTGACAGGTGCTGAAACTGAAACCAGGAGTTGGATTTTTACCAGCAGCCACTGAAAGGCAAAAGGAAATAGTTATTTGTGTTTTTTAGGAAATCGTCTCCTGAAAGGCCAATTGGATTTTGATGATCTTCCCTGAATGTTTGCCTCTGAATCGAGATTGCTGCCACAGCTAAACCCAAAATGACTGAAACAGCCAAGACGATGGCACATGAGTAAGTTCCACTTTAAAGATGTTTGTGGATTTGTTTCCAGCACTTCCAAGCGATGGTGGAGTCCCTGGAGGAGGAGGCAGCCAGCGAGAAGCAGCAGCTGGTGGAGACTCACCTGGCCCGCGTGGAGGCCATGCTGAACGATCGACGCCGCCTGGCCCTGGAGAATTACCTGGCTGCCCTTCAGGCCGACCCTCCCAGGGTAGCACAACTCAAACACACACACCTCTGTCACACATTTCTGTGGTTAATTTTTAAATATCCTGTCAAACATCAGCTCATCATGAGGTGAAAGAATCACTTCACCAGGAGAAATCCTCCATGAGCACAAAGACAGTCACATTTAGCACCTACAGCTGTTTTCTAACCGGATTTCTTTTGTTGTGTTTTCACACAGTTTGCCTCGTCTGTTGTTTCTGCTATGAATAAAATTCAAAAAATTTATTTTTGTACTTAATGTGTTGAAATTGCCCTGGTAATGTTACTTAATTTTCTGCTAGCATGAGATAACGCTAATAAGAGCCAAGCCACGAAGTAAAAATATCCACATGGACAAAAACATGTTGTTACTTACAAGTCCAGTAGCAACAAAGCCAGGGGTGTTTCTCAGTGTCAAGGGGCCTTGCCTTGCGAGGCAATGTTGTGCGAGGCCAGGCGCCTTGCTTGCAAGGACGCTGTCCTTCCCTGGTGAAAGAAAACGGTTAAATGGAACAGACTTGCATCACGTGATCGCGGCTTCCACGGCAGTCACGTAACGTCACGTGACACGGGAGATAACGTTATATTTTATATGTATTAGTTTCAATATAAATATATAACGAGCCTTTTACTTTTTAAATTGTGTATATGTTTATTAAACTAAAAATATTACTGAGTTACTACCCGCTAGCCACCAAAGCTGCAAATACTAAGCAATTAACCAACAATAGATAACTTCTTTGGATCTAAAAATTATTTAAATTAGTTGACTTACTTTTAAACTTTAAAACTGCCCTCAAAGTAGCTGCCGGCTTCTGATCCGCCGTCCTTTTGAAAATACTGCGGTGTATTGTGGGTAATTTTTGACGAAGCCTAGGCTACAAGACACCTCCCGTGTATCCTTGCTCAGCTAGCTAAACGGCTAACAAACTGAGAGGAGAGCACACACCTCGATAGAACATGAACATTGGAACACGTCTTGGCAGCTCCTGATGACGTATCTCATAGGCAACCGGGGCGAGGCCAAGACATCAAGGCAAGGTTCCTTAGCATTGAGAAACACCCCAGGTCACCATCAGTCCAAGAATTCATAGCCTCCTTTAGCTTCCTCAAATGAGTGTAGGCTGCACCGATGTTCACTCTGGTTTTAGCTGTTAGTGTCGCCTCCAAATACATTACTCTATTATTTTTACCCCCAGGCTCTGCCGTGATGCCAACAAAAAAAGCAAAAATCTTCTTCCTGTGCTTTTTATTACCATTGGTGAACTGAAAAAGCTAACTGCTAGCCTTTATGTTAGCTAAAGGCACAGGAAACAGCTATTCTCGCAAAGCAGATATAGAACTCCCGCTAATCTTCCTACCCAAACCACAAAACTCTTAAGTGCAGTTTCTGGTCAGCAGAGGACTGTCCAGTGTGGAGTTCTTGTTTCAGGCTCAAGAACCACCTAAACCAGTTTTAAAGCAATAGCTGAAAATGTTAACATCTCTTTCACTTAAACTATTCAGTTTATAAAAACACGTTTGTGTGACCAACATTTGCTTTGTGTGTGTGTTACAGCCTCATCGCATCCTTCAGGCCTTGAGACGATACGTCCGTGCCGAGAACAAGGACCGCCAGCACACCATTCGCCACTACCAGCACGTTCTGGCTGTGGATCCTGAAAAAGCTGCACAGATGAAGTCACAGGTCGGTCCTGCAAGCAATCACTACAATCCTTTTAATCTAATTAGCAGTGAAAGCACTTTGGAGTCAATTGAGTGTTAAAAATTCGAAATCAATAAAGACTAATTTAGGTTTGGGTTCCTGTTTAGTAAATTCCAGTTTGTTCATATGTTGACATTTTGCAGCTCGCTCTGATGACGTAGGACGCATGTCTGTAAGTCTGAGAGCGTGTGCCGAGCTGATGTGCAATCTCCATCCTCCTCCTCAGACAGAGGAAGGATAATGATGTCTCAGCCTGCTCCTCTCTGCCCTGTTTGTAAGTGTGTGGGAGGTAGAAAGAGGAGTGCGTGCGTCTCTCCCTCCCAGAGATGAAGCCCAGGAGGAGCGAGCGTGCTCGTGTGAGGCAGGGAGGGGCGGCTGTTTCATTCACTTAAGCCTCAGCCTAAGATTAACAGGTCTTGTGTAACACTGGACTCTGCGCAGTGTGTGTGTGTGTGTGTGTGTGTGTGTGTGTGTGTGTGTGTGTGTGTGTGTGTGTGTGTGTGTGTGTGTGTGTGTGTGTGTGTGTGTGTGTGTGTGTGTGTGTGTGTGTGTGTGTGTGTGTGTGTGTGTGTGTGTGTGTGTGTGTGTTACAGATAACTGAGCAGATGGATGAAATAACACAGAGAGGTGGACACAGGAGGACCGTGGGGGTTGTTTTAGATAAATGGTGAATCTAGGAGGAGGAGAACCTCTGAACTCATCCACAAGGAGCCACTCTGTGTTCATTTGTCAGGCTGAGATTCTCACACGACCCAGAAATTATTTAAAATCATCTTTTCTAAATACTCAGCTTTATTTTACCCATTTTATGTGACTTTTGAGGCTCCGGTTTGTTGCTTCATAATTGTCAGTTCAGCTCTGACGCCTAATCCGTCATAATGAGGATTTGTTGACAGGATGTAGCCACAGGCCCTGCAGCTTTGCCTCTAGATGGGGAATTGCTGCCGCCTACTGGTGTTTGTTGTGCACTACAGCCACGTGAGGAAATTAAAAACACCAGCTTCCTGCCAAAAACTTATTTTCTGCCAAGAGTCTTGGAGGCAGAATCGTGGGACAGTTGATTCCTCTGCTAACAGCATATTGGTGGTGTTGGGAAAATACAAAGTTTAATTTATTATCTGCTAAAGTTTTTGTTTTGTTGTTGCTTTTGTCAGATCGTGGTTGTGTGGAGGAGAGGAGGAAGAGTTACTTAATAAAAATGATTCATCCCAGAATAAATATCTGCCTTTAGGTGGAGAAATATCAGCTTTGCTTCAAATATTCATTCATGTAGGGGAAATTAGAGTTTATAACACAAGAGTTTAATTTGAAATATTTCAACTTTATCTTGTTTTGTCATTTTCTTCCCATTTTTATTTGTTCTCCTGCCTCTTTTCCAGCCCTCATGAGTTAAACTCTCAGCTTTTCTAGCTGACACTCATTTCTGATTAATGTTTTTGATCTTTTTTTTTTTTTGCACGATTATTAAAACACCAGATTTCTAATCTAATCTGTCATATTTGTAATCCTTGAACTGGTAATTTTGTTCTCTGTTTACTTTTTTGAAACGTGCGCTGAAATTAGACAAAAACCTAAATGAGTGAAATAAATGTAAAAACTACAGGAAGGTCTAAATAAAAAATTACACTCCTAAATTAAAACCTTAATAATAGTTTAGTAGTCGCTTAGTAATAATACTATAAAATTCTGATTTCATTCATTTATTTTTTGTTGTGAAAGTTAAAGTTAAATAAATTCTAATGGTAAATGGCCAGTATTCAAATAGCACCTTCTAAACCCCCCAAGGCGCTTTTACAACACAACCTGTCATTCACACGCTGATGGTCATGTGCACTAACGGATACAAGGCTACCAAACACAGGCGTCCCCGGTCCATCCGACCACCACCAGCAGGTAAGGAGGGAAGTGTTTTGCCCAAGGACACAACAGACTGAGCGGGGCTCGAACCTGCAACCCTCCGGTTACCGGGTGGGCACTTAACTCCTAAACATAAATCTTTTAGTCATTTATATTGGGAAGATAGTTATTTTAAATAGAGATGTTCAATTTTCTGCATTACTCGTAAAATAATATTTAGGTGCAAATGTTTTAATATTTTATTTATCTTTTTTACAAAAAAAAATTTTTTTACCTTTAATTTTTGTTTCTCTGTAAAAAGAGTTCTTAAATTAATATAATTATGTGTCATGGAAATTTTTGGGGGGGTAAACATTAAATCATCTGAATTTTCAAAATAAAACATATCTCCATCTTACTTACAAAGTGGGGCTGTTTCAGTTTTGAAAAAGATTTTTAAAACTCCGTTTCATCGTGATGTAGTTTATTTTTGACTTTTTTTTTGTCTCTTTCTCTCTTCCAGGTGATGACCCACCTGCGGGTGATCGAGGAGAGGATGAACCAGAGCCTGTCCCTGCTCTACAAAGTACCATATGTGGCCGAAGAGATTCAGGATGAAATCGGTGAGTCGTGTTCAGCCGCGGCCCTCGGGCGGCCAGCGGGAGAGCGCTGTAATAAGACTGCAGTGAAATGAAAACTTTGATGAAATTGGCACTCGTCTCTGTTCGATGAATCCGATACTTTTCATTTTCTCTGGCTCATGTGGGCTTTTATTTTAACTGCAGACTGACTTAAAGAGTTTCTGCAGAATAAACCAAACATGAGACGAGAGGACGCAAACTCTTTCTGACTTTGACCCAATTATTCACACAGATGAGCCTTTTTTTATCTTTAGCCTGAACTTAGAGGAAAAATAGAATACATTTTTAATTTTGAGGCACCTATTCTACTCAGCCCTCGTTACAAACGCCATGATGTAAAATGTCCAAACCATTTTTATATCTTCTGATTTATTGGCTTTTATTCAGGGAAGAGTAGTGTGAGGTTTCAGTTTAAATTCAGGTTGTGCCCATGTGGTGACAGAACTGGGCCACAGCTTTCATCCAGCGGAGCTCTTCTGGGACATTCAGAGTTTCGTGGAAAATAGAGCTAAAATTAAATATTAATTGACTTAAACTGGAGGTAACAAATATTTTAAAGACTGATAATAACGGGTGCTAGAAGGATTTAATTTAATGCTTGAAATTTTAAATAAAAAATGATAATAAACAAATACAGTGTAAAATCTAAATAGTTCACCTTACTTGGAAAAAAGCAGGCAAACCGATTGCAAATTTTCATGAATGTTCTACTGGTTTGTTATAATTAGAGCAATTTGCATTTAAGTGCATTTTACTTTGTTTTATGGGGGAGCTAAGGGGAGCCCGGCTCCCCTGGAAGCCATCAACTCACAGGGCTCCCCCGGAAACCTCTGTGTAATCCGTACCCTTACTTCAACACATAACTCTCTATTCCTGTGTTTTTATTATTTTATGTATAGCATTGCTTCTGTAATCAATAACAATCTGGTTTATTAATTAGCTTTTTAAATCAAGAAATCAAAACCACTCTAAATAATATTCTTGTATTATATTTTTATTGTGAATTTGCACTGATTAGAGCTTTTGCTTTTTTGCATCACTTAAAAGGAACCCGGGTTACAAAACTTTGTGGTTCTTAAAATATAAATGTTAGTGTCAGTTATAATAAAGTGGTGTGAAAAACCTTCTTAATGTCTTCATTTAACTCGTAGGTCGCCATTGTTGTTAGCGCCGCACTGCACTCTGGGTAGTGACATCATTTGGTTGTACCTCGGTTGTACCGGCCGGCTTTGCGACCCTGTAGTGACTGTTCAGCGACATCAACGTGTCATCTCATCTGTTCAGCCTTTTCAATTTGAACCAGAGCAACACATTAATGAGGACATCACTGACCATGGTTCACAAAATGAGCATCAAAATGAAGAGCAAGAAGGGCGAGATGAAGCGAGTGCAGGACAAAACCGGTGGTGCGTGTGCGGCAAATGCATCTCCGTGGTAACCGAGAGGGAGAGTGTTTGTTGTCAAGAGCTCACATTTTTGTCAGCAGAAGTTAATGGTAAGCTATCGTGTGATCAAACTTATTCAATTATGAATGATTTTAGGAGCATTTTACCATCCAGAGCTGTCGTGTGCTTTATAGATGATTAGAATATTCAGTGAAACAACTTTAATCATTTTAGCAGATATTATATATTGGGAGAACACTGTATTGCTACACTTACTGCTTGTTTTACTGACGGGAGAGGTGAATGTTCAGCTTCATCCGTGATGAGTGGCGTGTCTGATGGTTCGCCCAACATGACAGAAGCGGCAGCTGCAGGAGCGGGTTGTCGGCTCAGGAGAGCGCCCAGCGTCTCGTCTCTCCGAGGGCGTTTAGGCTCCATGTGTGGGAAAATGTTCGTTAAAGCATTTAGTTTCCGCCTTCTCTTATGGTGAGATCTTTAACTCATTCGCTGCCAGCCGTTTCCTGATCGGTAAAGCTCTTCGCTGCCACCGTTTCTCGCCATTTTTACTGTTTTTTTAAGAGTCAGAACATCGCGCGCTAGGATGATGTTGACGCCAAAACAACCAAAACAACGTGGAGACTCACCTCTTACATCAGGAAGAATCCGCCCGTTTCGATCTTTATCCGTTCTTTCATAATCTGTTGTTGAATTGTGATCGGCAGACGCTTTTCCAGTTCGCGCCTCAATTTTTTTTTTTGCTGCAGCGTCCCAAAACGATCTCCTAACACATGGATTTTCTGCTTCCTGATCACGTGACGTGTGACGTACGCGGATGAAGATCAGCTTTAGAGCTGAGATATTTGTTCTCATGGTGTGAGGGCTCGTTCCAATGCCCACACAGTAAAAAATGCAAATGACAACTTTAGTCGTCATTGGCAGTGAATGAGTTAAGAAGTTGTGGTCGACTATAAGCCTCAAACGCATCAGGAGAAAAATGTCGGGAACACAGCCGCGGATCTTTGGGAAGTTGTGTCCGTCCACAGGCATCTTCCCACTGCTGTCTCCTCTTCTTGCCAGTGGGAAGTAAACTCACATCACTCCCCTTGTTGCCCTTAGACTGGAAATTACATCCAAAAGCAGCTCAATGTGGCATTTTAATTAATTCTTAATACGGTGAGCGTGTAAACAAACACTAGCGTCAATAGCTATTCTTCCAAGTGCAACCAATTTACGTCATCGCCCCCAGAGTGCATTGCATGCGGAAAATATGGCGTCCTGCACATGTCCAAAAATGTTCTAAATATTATAGATTTATAAATAAACAGCAATATTTTGTGTGTTTCTAACAACATAGTTTGGTACAACAGAAAACTTGTGGCTTATTAGGGCATCCACGTCCTCATAGCTGGAGTTCCTATTAACATATTTTTGGTTTCTAAAAGCAAAAAGAGAAAACACCTGATTTCCTATGTAGAACTGAATTCATCACTTTGAAGACAAATTCCGTCTACAAGCACATTAAAATGTGACTTAAATATTCTTTATTTTTGACTTTGAGGTTTAGGTCAGAACCCTGGACTGTTTGCACGCTGCTGAGGTTAGCGTACTCAAGGCTGTCCCATCCAATTTTGTCCTTGTCTGCAGATGAGCTGCTCCAGGAGCAGAAAGCTGACATGGACCAGTTCCTGTCGTCCATCTCCGAATCGCAGCCAGATGTTACCGTGTCATCAGAGGAGAGCATGGAGGTCCCCGTGTCTGAGGGTAAACCCTACCGGCCCATCCAGGTCACGTCGTTGGGATCCCACTCAGAGCCAGAGGGTACGCAACGGCAGGCATGAACCCCGGGGCTTTGCAGAAATCAACAACACACACACACACACACACGTGTCTTTGTTACGCACAACAGAGCTGTAGGTCACTGAGGAAGAAATGCCCCCTGTGTGTTTGGCGTGCTGGTGTGAGCGTGCTGCGGGGCTTATCTCTGCCTCGAACGCAGCTCTGCAGTTCAGATAAAACCGGAGCCTGCAGCTTCAGGAAAAAGAGCAGTTTGGTTTCTGTTGTCATCGCTTTTGTGCCAAGCAAATGGCCGAGTCCTGAAGGAGAAAGGAAAGATGATGGATGGAAAGCTTCCAGCAAAATGGAAGGAAAATTACAATCAACTCTCCAAAGAACATTTAAAAACATGCCAGAACCCCCAGAGGACTCAGACAGGGCTGCCAACTCTGAATCGGCTCCCATTTTTATGATTATTATCCCGTTCATTTCCCTTCTCTTCCCTGCTGAACTCCTTGGCTAATTAATGAACAGCTTGACAATCCTGCCTTTTCTCTTCTTATCTAAGTTTTCTCTTTTCTCTCAACTTTCTTTTTTTTCTGTTGCTCATTTCTAACGTCAAGGCGATCTATCAGACTCCCCACGAGCCTTCAAGAAAGGTTGGTGCCTCTGTTGCATCTCGTTTCAAAACCATCTGTTTTTGTTCTGCTTTTCCTCTGTTTGATCTTCTGTCGGCCAGCATCCTTTTGTTCCATCACTAACTTGTTTTTATGTTTTGATTATTTTCACCATACTAGGATTATCGCTTCACCTCTATAGAAAAGCAGGTAGATAATAAGAATAAATGTTCACATCCTTATCTGCCCTCTTTAGTTATTCCACAAATCCTTGTGCTTATAGAGTAGAGTGGTATGACATCACTTCCTTCTCCCTCAAACATTTCCATCAAGAGCAATTTAGCTCAAATTTTCTCTTAATTAGAAGAAAAATGCAAAAGTTCTTAGTCTTTTTTGTAGAAGTGCATCAAAAAAGCACAAATATTTAGCAAAATTAGCCTAAATGATTGATAAACTGAAATAAAAATTTATTAATTTTTTTTCTCAGTCTGTGAACGCACCAATGCTTAGTGCTAATTCCTGCTAGCAATAACAGATCATTCCTGTGAAGATTTTTACTTCCAGAATCCTAATTTGAATAAGCCAAGATCAGCAGAGGTCACCTGAATCAGAAATCAGTATCGGCCTTCAAAATCAGAGTCGTGTCATCTCTAGTCCAGATGGCTGGAGGTCTAGCGAACGTAAACAAAAGTAGCCGTCTGCAGTGGGTGAAGACATGTTGTGTACTTTCCCACGTCAGCAACGATTCAGAGGGTGCAGTGAGGATCAGAGGGCTACAGAATTATGGACAAGAACTCCTGCAGGAACTTGTCCAGCTGCTTAACCATAGGGGCCGAGTACCTGAACGTGTCACTCCACTCAGTTCTGTTCTGCCTCTGCAGGACCAAACACCCAAACTAAACGGCTCTGACTCCAGAACAAACACCAAACACTCATCTGACACAAATGGGCCATTCCCATCTGTACCGGGTCGGCCCGGGCCGGGTAGCGTAGGTTGATTACATATCTGGATGGCCTGGTATTTTTCCGGGCCAACCAAGGCTCATTCTCAGCCCTCTTCTCGAGGGGGTCTGCTTCAGGCCGACCAGGGCCAACACACCCACTGCTGACAGCAAATTCACACCTTCCATTAGAGCAAGCCTCTGATTGGTGGGTAGAATCAGCCCACATGGGCTTAAGACAAGGATGTGTGGAATCAACCGGGCCAGGCTGGGGCCGACTGGGGCTACCCAGCCCGGACCGACCCAGTACAGATGGGAATGGCCCAAAAGATGGCTTCCACTAACGGCAGAATCGGGACGATCTGTGCTCTACATCTGCAGCTTTTACATTTCACGTGAACTTTAGATTTGACTGCAATTCAAAAAGTATTTTATTGGAAAAAAATCCACAAGATTATAATGACTGATTATTTGTTTTATAATTAATTTATTTTCTCTGCTAAATCACAACAACTTAAACTCTGACGTGGCTCGATGCGAACAGCTGGTCTCGTTGTTCTCAGAGGTCGTCGTGTCTTCATGGGTGATGAGACGTCTTATGTGCGCTCTGCAGTGACCGAGTCGCTGCTGCTGACTGGTGTCGGTTAGTGCGCAGTGCTGCTCCTCGCTTTACTCAAAGGTATTTGTGTTAATCTGATGAGCAGCATCAAAAAGCACGAGTCTCGGAAGCGCACGGGAGCCAGGATGAGGTGTTATTTAGTGACTGATTGTTTAAATCTGGATAGTTACAGAGAAACCTCAGCTGTCAAAAGCCTGAGTTTGTTTCAGACGAGTGTTCACAGATCTCCGTCTGTGTGAGTGGAAGAAAAGGGGATTGTTGTCACCAGAGCACCGAGGAGACGGATGTAACAGTTTGTGTTTGTGCTGCTGTCCACCACCACCAGCCCCACCCCATCCCTCTGTTTGTTTGTTTTTGTTTGTGGCAATCTGTCATCACTGACCGAGGTCCTTCGCCTCCTCTAGGCTCCGCCATGGCTGGACTGGACGGGCTGATCGGCGCCGAGGAGAGGATCATCAACAGCAAACCCAAAATGGGGGACAACAATGTGGTGAGTGTTTCTGAAGCTAAACACCGGAGAGAGGATGACTCTGGGAGGGGATGGAGGTGAACGAGGACACCCGGCTCTGTTGATTTCAGCTTTTATTGTGACGGATTGTACTGGTAACTATGTTGTCATAGTTACGGCTGTCTCGCTGGAGGATATGTGTGTGGCTTCTTCCCGCCGCCAACTCTCATGCAAATCGACTCCACGCTCTGCTCGCCGGTCGCTGCATGCCACTTGTCTTTGCCAGAGTCGCCAGGCCTCCTCGTGGGTTTTCAGCTAATAGTTGGCTGCTGAATGATTAACATGTTCTGCATGCTGATCCAGGTGCAGTGAATGTGTGTGTGTGTGTGTGCGCATGAATGGGAGATTTTTGCGTTGCATGGATCTGCATGGATTGAGACGGAGCAGTCTGATGGTGAAATGAAAGTAAAACGTGACAGACTGACTCTGAACACCACGCTCTGCTTCTTTCTGCCTCCTGATCATTCCACTCGCAACGCTTCTTCCTCCTATTAGAGCTCTCGGCGACGAGAGTCTGTGTAAAAAACTGTGTGGCTGAAGGAAAAGTCTGTTGTTGATGCTTCCAACCACCTCCTCCCTGTCTAAACACGGCAGTGAATCGTCACAGTTTGCTGCACATTCACACACTCTCACTCTCCTGTCTCTGGTATCTCTGTCTTTAGAACAAACAACCTCACACACACACACACACACTGTGGTGACTGTAACCCGGGCTCCCCTGTCTGTGTTGACAGGTGATTGATGAGTCCCTGGATGTTAAAGAAGTGGTTTACAGTGCAGAAAGAGTCAGCATTATGCATGATGATGAGCTGGTGAGTACAGCAGCGCCCTCCTCTGGCTACTCTGGGGAACTGTAGCTTAGTGGGGAGAAGGTGACAGAAGGAGGGAGTGTGGGAGTGCGCAGAGATACCCCCACCATTATCCTTGTTTTTTTGATTACTTTTTTAAAAATTTCCCCCTTGAATTAGAACATTCTGATCCTTTTTCTGCATGGGTGCATGTCTGTTATGTGAATGTCTGAATGCACATGTTGAAAATTTCAATTTACGTGACAAATCCACACAAACTGGTTTTACTCAGTTTATGTGCAGGAATGAGCAGGTGAGGGGTCCCTCCTCCCTAATGGGTGTCCACATATGATCAGACTGTGTCATATGTGCCAGATTCAACTGTTTGTGGAGAATTCGGGACACGTGTGGACATACCAATCAGCCGCAGCATTAAAAAGCAACTCCCGACATGGAGCTGGAGTCAGATCCGTTCATCTGAAGCATCATGAGGGTGCCCAATTGGACTGAGGGTTTAGAAGGGGAGTCTGCAGCAGAAGAGTGATGAAAGTAGCCAAATTCTAGTGAACCATATACCTAAAAACAAGCTTCTGATGACATTTTGTTGAATATTTCATGATTAGGTAAAGATATATTTGCAATTATTCACTAAGGTTTTAAATCAGGGATTAATTCAATATTTTTTATTAAAATTAGATGCAAAAATCACAATTATCCACTGAGCAACAGATTCTTAGTCTAAGCAACATATAATCAGGATTTAGCTGTAGTTAAATGAAGGCCTGAAAGTTAAATTCAAATAATAATGATCTAAAATGACAAAATATATCCCAAACAAGTGATCATCTTCATTAGGTTACAATATAATTAGATTGCATTGTGTAATTAAACAGATGTTGTGGCCCATTTGTAATAAAGTTGCTCTTCATGACTTAAAGATAAGTTTGTTACTACTCTGTTCACATTTGAGTGGTTTTAATGTTTTGGCTGATTGGTGTAAATGGAACTGGATGTCTAAAAGAGGCTCCTGGCGTGCGTGTCCGTCCACGGGAAGAAACTATTTCACAGATTCCCAACCCGGAGGGATGTCGTTCCTCATAAACTGCTAGTCAGAGCTCCTCCAATCGATGGATTTTCTCACTTCAAAGCCACTTTGATCCTTAAGAAAAAAAAGAAAAGTACCCCTTTTGAATATTTTGATTTGAATATTTTTCATAACACAACCTACTTTATGTTCAGAACAGAAAAATCTCATTTCAGCCATCAAACTCGGTTGTTTTGTCTCATAAATAAACAAGTGTGATAAATGTTTGATGGAAAGTTATATGTGAGTCTCATATTTTCCCATTATTGATCATCGTAACGGTTTGCTCAGCACCTCAAAAAGCTGCTGCAGCAAAAGCGGCTGTATCGATTAAGGGAAGTAGCCGCAAAGCTTTCTTCAAAGTATTAAATTAGAAGCAATCGCTGCAGAAAAAGTGCCTTAAAAATCTTAGTAATCGTAGTTTGACTGTTTTTTTTCCCTGTAAAACATGATGCATCAACACACTGGAAAAGTTCTGCAAACTGCAGCTTTTAGGGATATGAAAATAAGATCACACTGATGGAATTTCATTTGAAGAAACGTCATCGCTGCAAAACTAAACTAGTATACAAAATTATCTGTTTTATCGCCTCCTTCCTTACCCGTGTTTGTCTTCCTCTTGCTCGGTCTGCCTGTTAGGAGTCCTACCGGCCCCTGGGAGAGGACTTCAGCTTCAGCAGCACTGCCCTGATCGGCCTGCTGGTGATCACGGTGGCCATAGCAACTGTGATTGTAATCAGCCTGGTTCTTTTGAGGAAAAGGCAATACGGCACCATCAGTCATGGCATCGTGGAGGTAAGCCACCTGTTATCGGTGGGATATTGGGTAAAAAAACTGTTGTTCATTACTAAATTAGAATATTTAGTAATGAGGTTCAATATTCGAGACTAAAGGTGTCAAATTTTAATCAGCTAATGAATCCTAAACACCTGCAAAAGGTTCCTGACCCTTTAGATGGTTTCTCAGTCTAAGGTGAATTCCTGAAATTAATCAACTTTGGCCTTATGTATATATATATATAGTTCCATCTGTGAAATAAGTAATTCATAATATTTATTTCTTCTAAGTCCCTCCCCGGGTTTCAAAAGCAAATTTTTTTATGCGAGCCTTGAGCATTGACCAAAGAGAAGGCGCCATAGCCGTTCAAATTTCTAAATCTCCTCCTCCTCTATTGAAGAAACCACGCTACAAACCCCAGGTTTAAAGGGGACAAAGAATGCCATCAGCAATCTAAATCCCTGCTTTGAATCTCTAAGAAGCATAAGAAATTTTTGGCTTTCATCCGTCCCAGGAGCCATGATACAGGCCTGTCTAAACCCTCTAAATCAGCCTAGCTGTGGAAAGAGCTGTTTACCCCTCCCACTTGGCCAGGACATGAATATGCTAATGAGCTGCTGGCTGATTGGTTGGTTTAAACCAGAAGGCCTCAGACTCTGGAGACGTCAGACTGGAGGAGAAAGGGCTCTACGTTATGACGTTTTTATGATAGGTTTCTCAGAAAAGAGGATTTCTCTTGCATTTTTAAACTTTCTAATTTACATAAAAAATAGGTCACACATGGCTTTGACTTTTTGGCATGCTGCTGTTGACCACCCAAGCCGTCTTTATTCTCAAACAACAAGAAAATGTTGGTTTAGATTCTTTGTCCCCTTTAATATCATTGAAGTTCAGTGTTGGGAGTAACGCGGTACAGAAGTAATTAATTACTGTAATGCATTGCTTTTTGCTGTAATGTGGTAATGTAAGGCATTACAGGGAAAGAAAATGGTAATATTTACTCGGTACGATTGTCAGTAACGCTGTAATTGCAATGCATTTTTAAACCCAGAATCAGGATGTGGGTTTCCTAAAAATTCAAATTGCGGGAAGCCTGAAAAAAGATATTACGTCATTTATGGACTCAGCTTTGCGGGCATTCTATGAGCAGAGAGGACGCAGCGGTAATGGCTCAAATACTCCAGCTGCGTCCGCTGTTATATTCACAAAATCGCTCCACCAAAACAAAGTAATTCATTTGAGATCGTTTATATCAGCCCATATTCTCTACTTCATGTACTTTTCAGCTGAGTTCATAATCTGTGCCCCGGTGATCTCAAGTCATTGCTGCTGGTTCGGTAGATCCCTTTGGCTGATTAGTTAGAAAGTAGGAAATCTAGGAAGCAGTTTTTCTGGAAGACGGAGAAAACATGCAGCATGCAGGAAGGTTAGAGAGAGAAAGGGCAGGAAATTATTCAAATAAAATCAAGAAAACAAAGTAGGTAGACTTATCTCCAATACACATTTTTACCAGTGAAAAGCAATAATATATAAGCATTTAATATTTATACATGTGATAGAGTCAGATCACCCCAGAAGTCAGTCCCACATCCAGGGCCGTATCAAGGCATTTGGGGACCAAGGCTTGGAGTCCCCACCACCTCACTCCCTGCTCAGTTAATATAAGATGGCAGCGTGCTGAGAATACAGATTGTTGTTGCTTTCATTTAATAAACAACCATTTTAAAGCACTGTTATTATATCTGACTGTTTTTAACACCAACCCTAGCTCAGACACCACATCACTTTCCACATATATGTCATGAGCTCACTGAGCGTCAGATTACCAGATTCATATTGAAGTTGTTTTGGTGAAAGTAACTTAAAGTAATGCAAAAGTAGTGTAATGCCTTATATTTTTAAATCAGTAATAATGTAATGTAATGAATTACTTTAAAATGAGGGTAACAAGTAATAAATAATGCATTACAGTTTTGAAGTAACTTGCCCAACACTGTAATGAAGTTGACTAAATTGTGGCCATTTTTCTGTTTGCCACAATAAACAAGCTGCAGCGGCCATGTTGAACTCCACAAGTTAATCTATTGTTGGTGTCCATCCAGTCATTACTTTGAGAGTTTTGATAAAAATCCACCTAGATTAGAGACACGGGCAAAAACACGATCACGCACTTTTAGCAGTGATCATAAATCATGTCGCTTCATGAATCGCCCCTGCCTTGTTCCTGCCTCCCAGGTGGACCCCATGCTGACACCAGAGGAGCGACACCTCAACAAAATGCAGAACCACGGCTACGAGAACCCCACCTACAAATACCTGGAGCAGATGCAGATCTAAGAAAAGCCTGGCGGGGCGCTGTGGAGTCTGACAGAGGACAGAAACCCAGTGGGTTACATACTACTGACCAATAACACATGATGTTAAATCATTTATGATCCAAACTCCATTTATCGGTTTGCTGACAACAATCCTTGAGTAAAGCTACTACTTCTACTACTGCTACTGTTGTACTATAGAGCTCTTTTTGATCATGTTTCTTTAGAACAGCTGACGCGTCTGTCAGTTCTCATCTGTAATTATCAATACAGCTCGAGATGTATAACATTTCTTCAGATGTTTTTATTATGTGAAAGGCAATTCAAATTGTTTATGAGTAAACAAACTGATACCACACCTCTGTTTTCCATCGTGTGTGTGTGTGTGTGTGTGTGTGTGTGTGTGTGTGTGTGTGTGTGTGTGTGTGTGTGTGCGTGTGCGTGTGCGTGTGTGTGTGTGTGTTTTAATCATTCGTTTCCTGATGAGACTGATAAAAAAATTGGTGTTTTAGTTTGTTCTTTTTAATCTCAATAAATTGCTTGTATATTAAGATTCTTTGTACTGATTAAAATGTTTAGTGAAGAAAAAAAGCAAATGAAAAAATCATGTTTTCTTTGTTTAACAAATATGAGATCTGAATATAAATATGTAAGATTAGAGGTTTTTATTCTGCTTTTTACTTTTTTCCCCCAGAGAAGAGGTTATGAGTTGGTTTTAGGGTTTACAGTTTGGTGGATTCTGCAGACAGGTGCAGGTGTGCACAGACCCTCAGCTCAAATACATCCTGAAAATTGTATTCAGATTCAATGGAATGGATTTTTTCCCCCATCAAACACAAAATTATTTCAGATGAATGTTGGAAAAGTTTGTTTTATTCATAGTAAACGAAAGATCCTGTCGAGTCTTTGATTTTATGTTTGTTTTATTTAATTTCCTTTGCAGAAATTATCCAAATTAAAATCCTAAAGTGGATCTAAAACCCATTTTGAGAGGATTTGCACCCTTAATGCAGTTGGATTGCTGGTGTTCAGCAGTGACGGATAAGAACAGGGCTGGCCAAGATGCACATAATTTCCCCACGCTCCCAAATGAACGGAGAGCGCTGAGCTGAGCAGAAAGTCCTGAGCAGCGGGCAGAGTTTTAGTCATTTCTGACTGATTTTTGAAATTTTGCAACCCGAGAACACTGGGCCAGCCCTGATTTAAGGCTGCTTACTGGAGCTGGAGGGCTGTGCAAGCAGGAAGAGATGCACAGAAGGACAACGTTTGGAGAAAAATTATGCAAAAAGCCAATTTGTGAGTTTCTACGGGTAGAGAACGACACAAACGAGTGAATCCTAATCCTGTTTTCTCTCTATCTTAGTATCGTCTTCATATGCCTGTATAGTTGGTGTTGCAATCATGGCATTTTTCCGGAGGACGTTCTGTGGTGTGCATTGTTCTATGAAATTCTATGAAATATATTTTTAATTTCTTTATTTTTCCTCTTCCTGTGACAGTATATCTGTATGTGACTGTCTCACTATGCACCCAAACAGCTTCGATCTTGTAACTGCCTGCTTGAATGTGGAAGAGGACCAGGGGCATATTGGTGATTTTTGAAAAAAATTGATTAACATCACTGGAAACAGATTTATGGCTGCAAGAGGATACACATCAATAAACTCACAACAAACAAATACGTGTGTCTTTTTTATTGTTTGATGAATGAAAAGTCAATGTGTTTTAATTTTCCTGTTAATTTTGCCTAAATATAATAAATAAAAATTGTGTTTTCAGGACAAAATAAACAAATATTTAGCCAAGATTCTTAAAATTTCAAATTACTGGTACGTTGACAGAAAATGCCATTTTTGGATGACATGTTAATCCTTCAAACCTTTTCTAAAATTCTGAGTTAAAATCGAGAAAATAAACTTGATTGTAAAAAATGAGCTTATGCTATATTTTCTTGTTTTAATTTCATGCTAAGGTATTTAGATGCTAAAATGTCAAATTTGATAAAAAATTAAAATCTTGAATTTGAGGTTTCTTTAATATTGATCATAGGTGTATTCGATTTATTCAGTCAGAAATATAACAAAACATATAATCATAAAACAATTTATTACATTCAAAATGACTGAAAAGGCTCAGGCAGAAGCAAAATGCTTATATTTATGCCTGTCCTTTTTATTATAATATGATAATGTCCTTGTTAATATAGTAATAGTAATTAATTAAAACGTCAGACTGTCGAACTGAAATACCCTCCTCAATTCTGTTCCTCGTATAAATATTGTTTTAGTATTTATTTTAAAACAGAATCATAGTAACACATTTCCTTCCCCTCCATCCTATTCCACATGCTCCACATACCGAAACACAAAAGGTTTTACTTTTTGTACGTACAAAAGGAATTCTGAAATGAAATTGTTCCTGTAATTTATAACCCCTGGTTCCTGGTAATGGTTTGTTTCTTGCTAGAAATAATATTTGTGCTGTCTGCAAATCTACAATGTCTCTAAATTTTAAGAGTGTTGACTGTATAAATAATTTATTAGTGTGATCCCTATATCCTGAATGGTTCTTATTGCTTTCTTTTGCAAAATTATTAATGGCTGGATTGCACTAATGTAATTATTACCCCAAACTGCTGCAAAATAGCTAAGGTATGGAAGTACTACTGAGCAACAAAGTAACCTGAAAGACATATTTCACTTAGTTTAATAATGCAATTGATCTTGAAAATTTAGTTTGCACATATTTAATTTGTGGTTTTCAATTAATTTTATCATCTATAATTACCCCTAAGAATTTAGTTTCCTTCACTCTTTCAATATTTACTCCATCTATCTGTACATTTAAATTCATATTTGTGTTATGTCAAAAATGATTCGTTTTGTTTTGTTCATATTTAGCGATAGTTTATTTATATCCAACCATAATTTTAATTTGATTCAGCATTCGTCTCTTGTATTAGACGTTGTAAGTCACTACCAGAGCAAAATATGTTGGTATCATCAGCAAATAGAACCATCTTAAGTACTTGGGAAACATTACATATGTCATTAATGTAAAATAGTTTAGGGCCCAATACCGACATAAACTATTTTAATGTAATGTAGGTCATTTTTTTTACTGATTAATTAATGATTTGGGAGAGCTGTGGGTAACTGAAAGAAATAAGTGACCTAATACTTATGAGGACATGATGTAGAGACCAGCTGTGAAGCAGTGAGAATAAAACAGCTGTTATTCATTGCTAAGAATTCCTCTCCTGAGCCAACAATGACTATCCCTGTACCATCTCTTATAAACACTATCAAGAAGCCACATATCTATCTATCTATCTATCTATCTATCTATCTATCTATCTATCTATCTATCTATCTATCTATCTATCTATATACATATATATATATATAAATTGGATGAAAAAAATATATGTATAGCCCTTTAACCGTTGTAGTCTGTTTTAAATTGCATTGAATTAGTCATGATGTGGTTGAATTAGGATTCAAAGTTTAAAAGTAAAACTGCTTTTAGAGGAATTCTCCTTTCTACAGCGCTCGGGTCTGATGTAAAATGGCAGATTTTGTAAATACATTTTTCTCAATATGAAACTAACGCGTCTCACTGCGGATGAATCAGGAGGATGCGTCACACTGTCGTTTCACAAGCTGTCCGCGTGAAACCAAGTCATCACAACAATACCTATTCAGATGAAACTGGATGATTGAACATGCTGCCTGGCATCAAACTCTGGATTTATGCCCTAAAACACATAATTCATTCATGATGTGAACAGTTCCTCCTGATAAAAAGTAGTTTTTTAATTTTATTTTTATTTATTTTTTTGTTGGTTTATAAGACGAACGGGAAGTGATTACAGGTGATGTGGTGGTGGGCGGAGCCACGCCCTCAGAAACCTGTAGACATCGGAAGAAAAAAATTTCCGTGTGAATTTGGTCGCACAGTTGAATCGTCTGACCAGGTGTCGGAACGGAGTTTGTTCTAAATCCACTTAAAGAAGTTTATATTTTACTTTTATTAATTTTTTCGTGTGTACTTGTCGTTCAGGAGGAAACTCTTCGGGCCTGTAGGCTGTAGAGTGTTGTGAGAAATTATGTTCCCCTGAAATATTTTGTTTCTCTTAGGCAATCAAAAGCAAACATTTCCAAATTGAAAGGACTTATTGTCCATTATGAGCACAAACAATCTCTTACATAACTTTCAAAAATGATAAGCTTGCCGGAAAAGATTTAACAACAATGTTTTACTGTACCTTTTTACTGTTTTAAGACTTATGGATTAAAAAAATGCATCACAAGCTTGACATTATCACATTACATCATTTTCCCGTAAAAGTCAACCATAAATTATTGTCAAGACAGCCTAAAGTGCGACCTTCTGACACGAGGGAACAGAATATTTCAGGGAAACACAATTTCTCACAACACCTGCATTGTGTAAATTTTACTTTGACACATGTCCAGCAGCGGACATTACGTATTTTGACGCTCATTCTGATTGGTTGATAACATTCCACAGTAACAAAGGCGTTTTTGTAGCCCAAGACGAAACGCCCCACAGCTTGCCAGACCCTGCTCACTCAAAGGCGCGCGAGGAGAGAAGCTCAGGTGTTTTCCTTATTTGGGTGATTTTTTTTAAAATAACTTTGGCCCAGGCCAAATACTTGATGGACTACATGGAGAGCGGATCCAGATACACACCAAAGATGGTAAGAAACTCCCCAGCTGCATTTATTTCCACTTGTTTAGGTTACCTGAATTCTCCACCCGCACTCACCTGAACGGAAGTGCACGCGTAGCTGTTGTTTTAGCTAGACACATAAAACACCTGATGGGATCGGTTTTCTCTCTGCATCTGCAAATAACTCTTGTTTCTTTTCTCACCCTCTGTAAACGTTCAATTTAGAGGATTTATGTAAACTTTTTTAGCCATTTTTTATCTGCATGTAGATATAAAGCAAATCATACAACGAGATTAGGATCAAATGCATTCATCTGTTTTTAAGAATAAAAATCAATACAAATACATTTTCTTGCTGACAAACAACCTGTACACGCCTATAGCTTAATTCCCTGGAATCTGTCTTCCAGGAAGTTGTCAGAATGAAACATGACCTGTGCTCCATTTCTGCCCCCAGAAACCATCGCCAACCTGTCAGCCACCAAACACAAACCACTTATTCTCATGCTTTTCATACAATCAGTAGAAATAAGTCGTGTCGAGGACATTTCTCCATTCAAAAAGTAGCCATTGTACGGTTGTGACCTAAATTCCTGCAGGTGTATCCTACCTGTGGTGACATGTTCACACGTCTGATGAGTAACTTTAAGGTAAAGTTACTACAGAGTGTCCAAAAAGAATGATTTGATCATTGATAATACTGCCGTTATAATAATGATAAGCTGTTTAATGTAATTTAGACTAATCTTTATTAAATATTCTAAAGATTTCAGATTTCAAATTAAAGTGGTATTTCTTCGCCAATAACTTTATTGATGTGGGAAATTGTTAAATAATGTAAAAATATATAAATAAATATTATTTGTACAACTAAGAAGCTTTATTCTGCTTTCCCTCATAAACTTGAAAACACCTGATTGAGTGATAATTATTTTTTCTGTTCTATATAATCTAAAATGACCATTCAACTGGTGCTTTAATATTGGATGGTTTCATTTCGCCTTCAGGTGTGTGGTACATTGTGTTCTTGTTGTTCAGCGTTGGGTTTAAACAGAGAAAAACAGTCACCTCAGGTTGATGAGGTCACAGTTTTGGTGTCACCCTTGATGGAATAGGAACGGTCAGGTTCAAAGATGAAGACGCTGATTTTTTATTGGGTCATCCCAAAGGTTTAATGATCCCATGGTTTATAAGGCGTTTCTGTTTTTTGTGCTTTACTACGGTAAACATGGAGCGACCTGTTGCGTCTCAGCAGTTTTGCTCCCAGCAGGTTTGACAGGATTCTACATGGTGAAACCTTTGTACTCCCTCCCCCATTCCGTCTCAATCTCACCTCTTAAAGCAAACTGCAGAGCCATGACTCACTTCAAATTTAAAAAATGACTTCCTTCTACTCCATTACCCCAGCTGAAACTGTCCTCCTTAGATTTTAAACACAGATTCTTTATCACTCCATGTTTCTGGTTTTAGTGATATAGCAGCAACACTCGTACACTGCAAAGAGATTTGAATGTTATTTGGTTAAAATAAGCAGAATAAATTAAACTCTTTTTTTTCATTTTAAAGGGTTAAAACTAATAATAAGAAGTATTAATGCATCAATTTGACTTTTTGGAGCAAACTTTATTTTAAATATCAGAATTTTGTCTCTAATTTATCACTGAACTTGTTAGCCACAAGTATTTACCTGACTACTTTCTGTTTTAAAGACTCTTGACATGCAGCTTTGGTCTTTAATCTGTTCATAACTGATAAAACATTGCCCCAATATGATCAGATTATCCTTTTGAATTTAATTTATGCTGAGAATAATTTCCCCTTTAAAGATGTTCTTTTTACTATTTAAAATCAGTTTTCATGCATATTTTCAAGTGTTCTCTTTAAAGAAAGAACTGCTGCTTTTATTACTATTTTTTTTAATTAAACAAAGAGCTCAAAAGTGAAGCTTTGTTTTAAAATAAAAGTTGTAATTAGTCATTTGTTTTCCAGGACAAAGAGTTTGAGGCATCTGTGCAGTTCCTGCCAGCATCAGATCCCAAAAAAGTGGAGAAGAGCAAAGGTCCGGGGAGAACGGGAGCTGTGATCGGGGTGTTGATCTTTGCAGCCGTTCTCGCGCTCATGACCGGACTGCTCATCTGGCATTTCCACTGTAAGAAGCTCTTTCTTTTCTCAATTAGATGAATGTTTTTACTTGTTTGGGTAAAAACCAGCAATTATTTATAAATGCTGAAATAATAAAATATGTTAAATGCTGCCAAGCAGGAAGAGAGGTGACATTTTTTGTAATCATTCCTCGCTCTCTGCTACACTTCCAACATTTCAACAGTTGTCAGCTGCTCCACCAGAGAAAACAAGACATTGGATTTGTGTTATGCAAATGTAAAGAATGCATACATGTCCAAAACAAGACCTCTTCTGGGACAATCGGATCACATTCTTGTTTTTCTCTGCTCAGAATACAAACCACTTGTTCAGAGGCAGCCTGTGACAAGAACTGTGAGAAAATGGTCACAGGACGCTGAAGAAGCCCTGCAGGGTTGTTTTGAGATCACAGATTGGATGACTCTCTGCCAAGGATATGAAGAGGACATCAATGCCATGACTGGATGTGTCACTGACTATATAAACTTCTGTGTGGACAACATCATACCCACCAGAACAGTGAGATGCTTCGCTAATAACAAACCCTGGATCACCAGTGAACTGAAGAATCTGCTAAATGAGAAAAAAAGAGCCTTCAAGGAGGGCGACAGGGAATTATTGAGGAGTATACAGAAGCAATTGAAGATCAAGATCAGAGACAGCAAGGAGGCATACAGGAAGAAGCTGGAGAACAAATTACAGAGGAGCAATATTAGAGATGTCTGGTCAGGGATGAAGAAGATCACAGGCTTCAAGCAGAGGAAGGATTGCACAGATGGTAGCCTGGACTCAGCCAATGAACTGAACAAGTTCTTCAATAGGTTCAGTTCAGGAACAAACCCAGCATCCTCCTCGCCTGTCCCCAGCCAATCAGACATCCCATCCTCCTCTGATCCAACATTTTCCTGTCACACGCCAGCTCTTTTGTCCTCTAACGCAGTCATGGACTCTTCTGGTTCCCAAGTCAGGAGATGCTGCTGCCCTGGTTACCTCCCCCTCCCACCTATCTGTCTCTAGAAGTCAGGTGAACAGGCAGCTGGAGAGACTGAACAGGAACAAGGCTGCAGGTCCAGATGGTGTCAGCCCCAGGGTACTGAAGGCCTGTGCAGAGCAGCTCTGTGGGATTCTGCAGCACCTCTTCAACCTCAGCCTGGCCCAGGAGAAGGTTCCAGTCCTGTGGAAGACATCCTGCCTTGTTCCAGTTCCAAAGAAAACTCGCCCATCAGTCAGTGACGACTACAGACCGGTTGCCCTGACATCCCACATCATGAAGGTCCTGGAGAGACTCCTGTTGGTCCACCTGAATAAGCACACTAGAACATATCAGGACCCGCTGCAGTTTGCTTATCGCCATGGAGTTGGAGTTGAAGATGCCATCATCCAGCTGCTTCAACCAATCCACTGTCATCTGGACAAAGCAGGCAGCACTGTCAGGGTCATGTTCTTTGATTTCTCCAGTGCATTTAACACAATCCAGCCTGATGTACTTTGCCAGAAACTCCAGAAGACACAGGTGGGGGCCTCAACTATCGCCTGGATTAAAGACTACCTTACAAACAGACCACAGTTTGTGAGGCTGAAGAACTGCACATCAAACCAGGTGATCAGTAACATTGGAGCACCACAGGAGACTGTACTCTCACCATTCCTTTTCACCCTGTACACCTCAGACTTCCAGTACAAATCAGAGACCTGTCATCTACAGAAATACTCAGATGGATCTGCAGTTGTCGGGTGTACCAGAGATGGACAGGAAGCTGAGTACAGAGAGCTGGTGGAGCGCTTTGTGGCATGGTGTGGAAGCAATCATCTGACCTTGAAGGTGAACAAAACAAAGGAGATGATTTTAGACTTCAGAAGAAACAGGGTGGAGTCAAACACTGTTTCCATCATGGGAGAAGAAGTGGAGGTGGTTGAGGAATACAAATACCTTGGAGTTCACCTGGACAACAGACTGGACTGGAGAAAGAACAGCGAAGCCGTTTACAAGAAGGGACACAGCAGACTGCCCTTCTTGAGAACTCTTAGGTCCTTCAATGTCTGTAGCAAGATGCTGCAGATCTTCTATAAGTTTGTTGTTGAGAGTGTAATCTCTTCAGCCATCGTCTGTTGGGGTAGCAGCATCAGAAGCAGGGACCTGAAAAAGCTCAACAGCCTAATAAAAAGGCTGGTTCTGTTCTGAGGACGACGGTGGAACCACAGGAGGAGATAATGCAAAGAAGGATTCTCCAGAGAATCAAGAAAATTATGGACAACCCTGAGCATTCTCTTCACAAGACTGTCCGACAACGGAAGAGTGTCTTCAGTCAGAGGCTTCTTCAGTTTGGCTGCAACACTGACCGCTACTGGAGATCCTTCCTGCCAACAGCCATTGTAATATACAACAACTCTTTGACGACTTGATTATTATTATTATACTGAGCTACTACAGCAATTAATTTCCCTCTGGGATTAATAAAGTATTTTTGAATTGAATTGAATCAGCAGATTTCAATTCAGTTTATTTATTAAGTGCCAAATCACAACAAGAGTTGTCTGAAGGAACGTCACAAACTAAACATTCCAGTGGAGTTCACTTAGGCCATTTAACTAAAAGTTCCCTTTGTTATTACAGAAATAATCAACGGGTTGTTTTTCATTTATGTTAAATACAAGAGTTAACAGATGGTCCATCTCCACCGCTGCATTAGTCTCAAAGTGGAAAATGAAGTTAGATTTTGCTGATTTATTTTGCTGTAATGAATGTTAGAATCTCAGAAATCCTTCTAAAATTATCCAGATCTTTCATATTTTTATTTTGAGTTGAACATAACAGTTAACTCTTCTGGTAAGGCTTTCCTCAACTTTTAGGAGTGTGTTTGTGGGACCTTCTACTTATTCTTCCTGAAACACAATATGAAATTGCATTTTGCTGAATAATTGCAATGATTCAACTGAAAGGCATAAATTTGCATTTTCCAAGCCCTCAAACACTCGCAATCGCAGCCAGCATTCATAGGTGGGCCCCATATGGATACAGACCGACAAACGTATGACAAACCATATGGACAGCATTCGTCTGCGGTTTCCATTGGGGCCCCACAAGGGTTTGCCCACATAGATTTTAACGGTCCCTGCATGGGTTTTCAGAGGGACCCAGATGGTTTGACTCATACACGGGATTGTTGAAATCTATGTGGGCAAATCCCCATAGGGCCACCATGGAAACTTTGGACAAACCCTGTTGGCACCCATATAGTTTGCTCATACATATCCATATGGCTCTTTAAAGTATGGTTACTGTGGTCCTAGCAATTCTTTATCTTGCAATGAGAATACATTTTTGTGATACAAAGGTCATTTATGTTTGGTTTATACCTGCAACAAACCAGGAACATGGCACAGGTTCCCTAAAAAGAATTGAATCTGGATTATTTGCTACATGACTGGTTGTTGCTAATTGGTGATTAGCAGGAGGAAGTGCCAAAAAGACAAACTGATGGGTTAATACTTGTTTGTTTTAGCTCAGCATTTAAAATGAAAACTGCTGAAGAGGAAAAAAAGACAACAAATGGTAGCAAACAGAGATTAAATCTAACCAAACATTGCAGCGGTTACCAAAAAAGGTTTAAGAAACTGAAGCCTTTAGTACGAAAGGGTCTGTTTGTGCTTTTGCAGTTCGGAAAAACGATTGGGCCAAAAAGATGTACAGCGGCTCCTTGAAGATCACCGACCAGACGTTCCAGAATGCCTACGAGGACTCCAACACAACAGAGTTCCAGGCACTGGCCAAGCAGGTGCTTGTGGAGGTAAGACTGGTTTTCATGTCTGACACAAAAAAATCCTGTTTTGTTTTTTTCCCTTCAATTGTGAGTTTAGTCATGTTCTTTGTTTTGACCCTTTTCAGCTCAAATCCATTTACTCCAATATTTCACCACTGAAGAAGTACTATGTTGGCTCCACGGTTCAGGCTTTCAGGTATCATAGAGAAAGTGCTAATTCACATTACTTTAAGAATGCCAGTTTATTGTTTTGGGTTCTTTTGAAACCCATAAAAGGCTCGATGTTTGCGGGTACACATTTGTTATTACTTTGAATCCTGCTGACTGGGTCTTGCTGTTGTTTCTAGCGAAGGCAGTGTTGTCGCCTACTACATGTCAGAGTTTCGAGTCCCCGTGGGCCAAGAGGCGTCTGTAGACCAAGCCATGGCTGAACTACAAAATGTATTTGCCAAAAGGATCATGCCAAATCCTGCCCTTAGAGTGAAAGACGTCACAACGTCGGGTAAAGTCAACACTGTAACTCTGTATTTGTTACCACAATGTTTTCAGAGGAAGCTGTTTCTCTCGTCTTGGTGGTTTTGTTTTATACTAAATGTATGTTTTTGTCGTCTTTTGCAGTAACCGATGCTCGCATGTTTTCAACATCTTATCGGAGTAAGTTGTTTGTCTAATTTCTAAATAGTTTGCATGTTGTAAAATGCCACTCGGAGAACATTAAGGTTCATCTAGGTTATAACATCTAAAAACTAAACTAAAACCAGGGTGGCACCCATGTGAAGAATTTTGCCTATATTGATATGTGATGATTAAGGTGCACAACGTAGAAGACTATTCTTGTTTTAACGTCCGGGAAACAGCAGTGGACGTCTCGGCTAGTAGAAGCTAACCTTTAGCATTAGCAACATCACCACACAGCAGAAGCTCCTCCAGGCTTGTATTATTGTGTGTTTAAAACATCCACATTAGATGTTTTGTGGGCCTAATACATGCATTGCACAAAGCCATCTATCAATCACAATTGTTCTAACTCTTTTAGCGGAAGCAGGCCACGAAGGGGTCCACGTGCGATTTGGTTGTCTTCTAAATTTCATTGGCTATTTGACACATTAATCGACAACATACTGCACTGCTGTTGCTTTGGGATACACGTAAGCATAGGGGGCAGGACTTCTGACCTATCAGTCAATAGCTGATCATTTTACCCCAGCAGAAGGGATAACTTTTCACCTGTTGGATCAGGTTAGATGTTGTTCAAAAGTTTAAAGCTAATAGTGTTATGCTAATGGAGTTCATGGTGAGAAAAAATGTATCTAAAAGAAATTTCCGTGATTCCAGCATTAAATAATGTTGGATTATAGACACAAGACTTGTTGTGGACTTACTGTTTCATTTGAGGAGTTAATTGGGCCCTTGTGAGTGTAAAAAAACATCTTTGTTCACTATGGCTTTGTTCTGTCAATGATATGCAGCTTTGAAAGGTGAGTTGAATCTCCTAGTGGTTTGATAAGTGTTGTCAGTGTCCTAACCCTACAAACAAAGTTGTATAATGGAAGGAAAAATATGCATAAGCACACCTTTATCAAATTGTCTACGGTACATCAGTCCACTGAGGTTTTCACAAGTGAGGGGTCTATCTTCTTGAGTTGATCCAGAACAGGTTGCCTGATATTGAGGAATTTATGGTTACATCTTCAGCTCATATACTCTATTGTCTCTACAGTCAGATTATGGAGAAGATTGTGATGCCACATCTAGGGTTGGGCATCGTTTGATTTTGAACGATTCTGATTCCGATTCCAATTCCTCGTTTCATTTCCGGTTCCTATCGATTCCCGATTCCGATTCTTTCATGACATTTCATGTTTTAAATGAGCTAGCTAACCACAGGTCCTACTTGATGAAATAATCTTAACTTTAACATGAATTTTAATTCTATGAACAATAACATCACCTTCATTTAGACAAAAACATGTTTTGGAGAAAAAAGAAAGACATGCAGCACAACCAGTGTGTTTGTTTCTGACCAAAAAGTCTGGAAGAAGCCTCTGGGATGAGAGGCTAAATGTCTCCAGCATATCCAGAAACGTCCAGCTGTTTTCAGCTAAAACTCTCAGGATGATCATGTCCAGGATGACTGAGAACTACACCTCCATGCTGCAGCAGCATTCAGTCACAACAGGAACTTAAATGTACCTGCTGTCAGTAACAATCTAACAGATTTAAACATTAAAACTCAACAGAAATAGTTCAGAAAGGAAATTTAAATGTTCACAGCTTTGTGTGTGATTTATTATTATTATTATTATTATTATTATTATTATTATTGTGGCAGAAGCTGGTGTGGTCCACCACAGAGAAAACTGCTCTAATTTGATGACTTTAATTATTCTACAGGTTATTATTCAGCCCTCTGACGCTCACACACACACACACACACACACACACACACACACACACACACACACACACACACGAGTGTTGGTGAGCGGCTGCGTTTGACTGCTGACGCTCTGTGTGTGTTTTTATTTCTGCAGTGAGACAAACTCGACTCACACCATCCAGAGTTTGTTCTTTAAAGCTTCTATTAAATCCACCGTGTTGACGTATTTTAACAAGTTTCCTCTACGCTGCAGGAGTTGAAGTTTACATTACGGAGTAAAAGTTCGGCAGACACGTTTGTTTATATTTGGCCGCTGCGTGGGGGGAGGGGGCTCTCGGTGCTGCACACAGACAGCTGGTGTGATCAGCTCTGAAAAGCGTTGATCACAATTTGCAGATCACGTTTATTTTTCACGGATATCGGCCGCGGATTCCTCTTCCGGTCGGCATACGAGGAATCGAAACTAGGAATCGAAAAAAAAACTTTGAACGGTTCTGGGAAAAACTAACAGTTGGAACCGGTTCCAATCGATGCTCGATGCCCAACCCTACATCCTAAAGGTTGGGGGAAGGTTGCTTTTCCAGTGCAGTAGAATCTGCTGCCCAGCTCTGAGGGTGGTGAAGGCTATGAGGGTCCTGTTGTTTCGAGTCAGATATGGCTATTGTGATGTAATTCCAAAGAGGGAGATCAGGGATTCAGCTCCACTGGTGTCTACACCACGTCAGGGATAAAACTAAGTATAGATTTCCAGAACATCGACAATCCAGAACAGGTCCAAAACATGTGGAAAAAGTGGCCAGTTCCATCCCACATCCATCACAATGAGGGTCATTATCTAATTTAAATATAGTTTCATTTTTGTTCAATGTAATCGGTGAACTTCTTGAAATTGAATAACACACAATGTTTCATATAAATAGAGGATGAGTGAAAATTTTCTAGTACGGATTGCCAAACATTAGGTTGGAATTCTAGATACAATTCTTCCTCCCTCTGTGTTTTGACACGAACTCTGGGTTTCTGTATCATGGGAGTTCAAGGATGGCGCCTATGGCACCTTTGGAGAGCGTATTCAGATCCAAAACTATCTCACAGAGTGAGCCCGGGGGGAGGGAATGAAAATAATTAACAGATGTTGAGACAAAACCGCAACGTTGAAGGTACCTATAAAGGCGAGTATCTGAATTAGCAAATTTTTGTTTTATTTCTAGAAAAGATGCAAAAATATTCCCAGTATAAAAACCCTTTAAAACCTTAAGGCCTTTTTCAGACCAGTGTTTGAAAACACCATCTATAGTGGAAGGCATAAACACATGATTCCTAATTATCGGAGCTAGAATTCAAATACTGTTCCTTCTGAATTAACCCCATATTTTTAATGAGTGTCGTACCACTGGGTTCACCTAGCTTTCCAATGATGCAAGTATGAGTTTGAGGAGACTGCAAAACTAACTCACAGGCATTTAAAAAAAGCATTGCTTGTAAAATAACACTTAACAAAGGGCTCGGGCCAATGGGTGATAAATTCATCAGATTCCCCAACAAATACCACATGGCTAACCCCTTCCATGGCCAGCTCCTCCTGAAACACAAACAACAAAATGGACATAAATCTGTCATTATTATCAATCCAGTACTTATGAAATCAATACGATGTGTTAAATGTCTAACATCGGCCGATACCGATGATGGTGCCCATATACTGTGCGTTCTTTGTTTTGTTGTTTTGTTTTAATGATGCAGATTGTAAACAGAATCTAAATATCTGCATTAGTGTCATTAAATGTTTTTGTGTTTTTGTCAGGAAATTTGAAATTTTCAAAACACTTGCGCCCTAATAAAGTTGAAGTTATTGAGTCACCTGGTTTCCCCAACACTCCGTACACCCCCAACACCTTCATCCAGTGGCAGCTGCGAGCGGACCCCGACCACGTTATCCAGATTGACTTCAGTAACATTGTTCTAGAAGACAACTGCAATAACGACCTTTTGAAAATCTACGACTCCTTGGTGCCTATGGAGAGCCGCGTTATGGAGGAGTGAGTTTGTTCTTTTCTGATTCCAGCTGGTAACGTGTAGCAACAAAGTTCAAGCATTCACATTTAGACTGAAAAGGCAAATTTTTCTGCCTGTAAGGGGCCTCACCTGGTCAGAATCTGTGCAATGACACCTGGATTAATCCTAAACCTGAAATCTAGAACCAAAACACACAAGGGTGGAGTTATTTAATGCACAAATTACTTTTAATAAAAAAAAGCATTAAAATTCCACAGGAAGAACTTTCAGTGTAAGACATAAATCACCTGTGGAATCTTAACCATGCAGAGATGAGTACAATTGATGCATAAACATTCAGATTTAGTATTTTTATACAGTTAAATAAATTTCATTCTATTTTCGACTTCACAGAAAAAGCAGCTGAATCATTTGTTCACACGGTTCTTTTCAGTCATTTATGTGTAGAAGTTGAGTAGGTCAGAGCAGATTTGCAGTTATTCTCAGCTTTGAGCTGCAGGGAGGCAAGAAATTCCAAGCTACCCTTGTTTCAATCCTCAGAGTGAGCAGGGTTCACCAGGAATGTAGAGACCAGAAACTGCACCTGCTTCCTGATCGAGGAATAAGTATTTTTGGGAAATTAGTAAAGAAGTCGATCAGAAAAGCCCCTTTGGGGATTAAAATGAGTTTGGTTTGCATAGAAACAATATTGACGTGCTCCTGTCTGAGGGCCATTTTTGTTTTTAGAAACAGTTTCTGTCAAGCTGCGTGAATCCTATCCAGGAATTTTCCTGATGGGATATCTCTGTCATCCTGATTGTTTTTCTACAGGTTGTGTGGATGCCACGCGCCCAGTAAACCACTGAAGTTGATGTCTTCTCAAAATGTCATGTTGGTGACAATGTTCACAAATGAAGAGTTAAACTTTCCAGGCTTTCGGGCGCAACTCTCACAAATTCCACGAGCAAGTGCAAGTAAGGGCATTTTATTTGTTAACAAAAATGTTAAAAGTTAACATAGTATCATCTTGTTAACACATTAATTAATGACAAACACTTTATTGCTCATTAAAGCTGTGGAACACTGAAACAACATTTTTAATGATTATTAGGCCCGAGCAGCGAAAGCGCTGCGAAGGCCTCTTGTTTTTCCTCCGTTTATTATTTATTATTCCGGTGCCCCTTTGAATGGCTTTTTGGGGACCTTATCATACCCCAAAACTCACAATATTTTGCAGACTTGTCAGGCCTGGTGAAAAATTGGATATTCTAAAGGTCCCAAAAAAATCGCAAAGAAAATGGCTGAACAGCGCCCCCCTAGGAAGTGAAAAATACCCCTCTCCATAAAGCTTAGTTTATCGTACAATTATGAAATTTGGTACACTTATAGTCCTCAACGGTCCGCACAGAAAAGTCTCTTGCATCAATATCAAACAGGAAGTCTGCCATTTTGGGTTGAATTGGCGATTTTTAGCTGTTTTGGCTGTTTTTCACATGATGGTCTCAAAAATTGTGTAAAATTGCTCAGAAGGGATGGGCGAACAAAATGAGACAAGGATTCTGAGTTTTCGTATATGTTGAAGGGGCGGGGCCAGGCCTCGAAGCTTGACTACTCGCCAAAAAAATTTAAATTGCTATAACTTCATAGCCGAATGGAACAGAGTTACAAAATTTTCTGTGGTCATTCGTCGTCCACAAAGTAAACTGAATTGTCAGATAATAACATCACACAAGCCCCGCCCCCTCAAGACCAAAAAGGTCAAGTTTTGCTGTGATGGGTCCCAAATCATCCCATTTCAATTAATCACCTCAAATTTCTAGCTGGTAACTCAAGACAAGTGGGGGTTGCTTGGCGTCACTTTATGGGAGTTTTTTGCAGAGGGTGGGGCTGTGGCGGTGCGGCGAAGTTAGGCGTACCGCCATGGACTTACGTGTGCCTCCAATTTAGTCATTTCTAAAGATATCGCCACGAAACATCTTGTGAGTGATCCTAGTCCGGCCCCCCAAAAAATCTGATGTGAAAATCTGGTGGGCGTGGCCTATTTTCTGAAATAGCGTCCCCTAGGACCATTTAAACTGTCAGCCCCTAGCCATGTTTTGATTGAGGATTACGAAATTTGGTACACTAATGTGGTGTCTCAGGACCTACAAAAAAGTCTGTAGGAGCCAACTGCAAAGTCGCACAGGAAGTCGGCCATTTTGGTCCAAGTACTCGATTTAGTGGTTTTCGCACATGTTGTTTGGATAGTGACGCTCCATCACCCTTTTCACCAATCGCCTTCAAACTTCTGCTATATACTCTTAAGGCATAGGGGGGAAAATTCAACCGTCAGATTTTTCAAAAGTTGAAAGGTGTGGGCGTGGCTAAGCCTCAAACTTTGACCTTTCGCCGTTACATTACTTGACTTAATAACTCCCATGTGCATGATCAGATCTATATCAAACTTTGTCTGTGTGATCACTGACCACATCTCAAGACATTGACAATGTGGACAGCTGACATCACCTAAGCCCCGCCCCCTGACTACAAGAAGTCTATTGTTTTATGGTGAAATGCCCATATTTGTCCCCTCTAATTTAGTGAACATGACATTAAGCTCATTCACTGTCCATGATGTTTTAATGACCATTCAGATCTGATAGCTTTCCAGATAGGGAGGGGCTTTGTAGCCATGGCGTATTCTGGCGTGATGCTGTGACCTTACGTTTGACTGTAACTTCTACAAACAGCCTCCGATCTGCCTGAGACTGAACATGGAAATGAACAATCATGTCCTTTAGCCAACGAGGCACAAACGGTTGGTGAACGTTATATAATATCACCACAGCGCCCCCTACATACCTTTAAAATTGTAATAACTCCTACAGACGAGGTCGTAACTGCGCCAAACTTGCTATGTGTCATCACACAAAGGCACCCAACACAATCCTGACGTAACTGGTTGATATCGCTTTAGCTCTGCCCCCTGACAGATATTAGGCCCTGAATAACAAATGCATGATGCAATTCACACCAAACTGCACACAAATGACTGTTATAAACCTACAAACTTCTTCATGGAATATTTCCTAAATATGGGACAGCGCCCCCTAGATACAATAAAACCTTTGTAATTTCTGCAAAAAAGCTCCAAACTATATTAAACTTGGTGGGAGTCATCACACTACTGCAATCAACACATGTATGTGTTCACTTGTTCAAATCACTTTAACTCCGCCCACTTACAGCTTTTTGTCGCTAGATGACCCATGCAACGTTTGATTGATGCCAAATTAACAGAAAACCATCTTTGATGACCAAAGATGATCTCTATGGGATTTAGTTGTAAATGGTCACAGCGCCCCCTAGATGGGTTCAAACTTTATTAACTTCCAAAGACAAGGCCAGAATGGCATTATACTTGGCTTGTGACATCACGTGACTGCACCAAACGCATTGATGTGGTTGTTGGTTCAAATCCCTGTAGCTCTGCCCCTTTCAGTTCACTGGCTCTAGAAAGAACACACAACGTCTGATTGATGCCAAAATAACAGAAAACCATCTTTATCAACCAAAGCTGACCTCAATGGGATTTTTCTGTGATTGGTCACAACGCCCCCCTACATAAACTTAATCTACAATAACTTTTAAAAAAAACGTGGTCAGAAAAGCATTACAGTTGGTCTGTGTCATCACACCACCAGTGTGGTAAAGATAGAGTATGCCCTAGTGGTGAGACGTGTAATTTAACGGTGGGCTCAGAGGAGATGCTGAGTCAGGGTGAGGTGAGGACGAGGTGACCGTTAGCAGTTTCTGGTGTCAGGGTGGTCGACGTTTCTGTTCCGCGAATGTGTCTGGGTGCCTCGGGCTGCCGGTCAGGCCGGAGCGGCGCGAAGCGGCGAGGGCCGAACGACGCTGCTTGCAGCTTTAATTTCTGGTTATAATCGGTCACTCTGAGTTTATCATGCAGGCTAAATATGAAAATAGTCTCCTACACCTACCTCCTGCTTTAGCTTCTGATAGAAAATCGACGGTGAAACTCTAGGATTTGAAAAGCCTGACAGATCTATGTCACACTGTCACTTGACATTCATGGACTCACCCATCTTGACTCAAGATGGGGAAGGCTGTTGTTGGTTTAGCGTTCAGGAAACGGCAGAAGACGTCTCGGTTAGTAGAAGCTAACCGTTAGCATTAGTAAATCCACCACACAGGAGAAAGCCTCCAGGCTTGTGTTATTTGTGGAGATAAAACATCATCTTTGCAGAGCAAACCGAGTCAGTGTTACCCCTCCTTTCCGCTGTGCGTGAAAGCATCGCGAAACGTAGTACGCAGCAATAAGTGGCCGTTATAATGGATGAGTTCCTTTCCACCGGCTGCTAAGTGTGACGTTTTGGACATACCCCAGAAGCAAGGGCACGCTATTATTATGTTTCGAGTCTATTTTTGGCGCACAACGTTTCCTAAACTCGTCAAACGTCGGTTTAGTTCAAGCCCGACAGGAAGTCAAAAACAAAAGCTGTGTAGAACATCTGGAAACTTTCATAATAAAGGTCACGTGCAGTACGTCATTTCCTGTGAACTTATGTAACCGATGTAAACAGAAAAGAAAATAACCCACAGAACTTTTTTCATGCGTGCAGCTGTCTTTCTTCTTGTTTATTATTGTGTGGGTGTGTGAAATCACGAGTGGTGTTGCAATTCTCCCGTGATTTTTGTGACGTCACGAGATCAGCTGTGTGGAACACTTTCACTCCCATTTCACATCACAATTGCTCTTGGTTGGGAACGAGCTTGCGGGTAGAACACCGCTATTACATTACGCGACTGCTTTCAAGGTCAGTGGAAAGCCGGGGTTAGTCGTACTGCTGTTAGCCAATCAGTGGTGAGATGTCCAAACATCAGGAAATAATCCTGCCATCTGCAGCTCAGCTCTGATGTGGCTCACTTCTAGTTCCTGAAACAAGCCACAGGTGTTTGTTTTTCTCCAGAGGATGACTTACAAGGCATATTTCTTTTTTTTTGTCACCGTTTTAGTTATTTTTTTTTTCATTTTAAACATATTTTAGTCATTTTTAAAAATGTTTTTATACTTAAATTATTTTTTTTGTTTGTTTATGTGAAGCACATCGTGATTTTTATCTTGAGAGGCGCTATATACAAGGTCTTTTTTTTTCTTTCTATTTGTTCCTACAAGAGACCAATGCAAATATATTAAACAGTTGAACCACATCTTTAACACTTTTTTAGTCTGTTGCTCATTGGCTCTCAATAGTTTCAAAACTAAGAAACTACAGAGGAATTTTCTTAGTAAAGTTCTGGACATTATATTTAATTGTTTTGGTTTGTTGCATAAAAACAGGACTTGTCCACTCCTAACGCTGATAAGAGCATAAGAAACATGAAAAATATGTTATGGTACATTTATCATCTGCAATTAATTGTGGGTTAACTTTGGAATTTATGCAATAAATGGTAAAAGAAAATATTGACTTTCTTTCTTTCTTTCTTAACATTCAACAAAATGATCTGTAAAACAAAATGTGTTCAAAAGGCCTTAATATAAGGATGAATGTCTGTACGTTTTGGGGTAGTTTTAATATTTTACTTTTACTTGAACAGAAAGTTGTGGCGGTAAGCTGTTGGGTACACAAGGAAGCTTCCAGAGTCCAAACTTCCCAAATTACTATCTCCCTGAAACTGACTGTACCTGGGAGATCCAGGTGAGAATTCTTAGTGACTCGTTACCGCGCCTCCATATTGCTTCATGTTTACAGAGTCGAGCAGGCTTTTCCTGACCCTCTCTCTTCTTTAAGGTCCCAGTCGGTAAAGTTGTGAAGGTGACATTTCAGTTGTTACTCCTGGCTGAGCCTGGCCAGGAAGATGGCAAAAACTGTAAAAAGGACTATGTGATGATCAATAATAAGAAGTAAGTGGATGTTTGTTGTTTTATAAAATAAAAGTGCAGTAAAATAATAAGAGTTACAGAGAGATGCTAGTTTGTACGTTCTCTTTTCAGACTTTGTGGGGAATACAATAATGGAGCACTAACAGAAACCAGCAGGACCAACACCATGACGGTGATGTTGCACTCCGACAGCTCCTACGTGGATCGTGGTTTCCAAGCAGACTATGAGGCCGTTGACAGTAGTGACCGTGAGTGTCTTAGCTTAGCTCTTATCATCCTTTGCTTTCAGAAGAGGCTCCATCATGTCCTTTTATGTCCACAGCTTGTCCGGATATGTTCCAGTGCAAAAATCTTAATTGCATCAAGCTCAATCTGAAGTGCGATGGTTGGAATGATTGTGGAGACCTGAGCGATGAGTTAAACTGCAGTATGTATCGCTCACTTCCATGGCATTCAAACCTCTGGGTTAGTGAAACCGTAACTTGTGGAAATGACAGTTTTTAATAAACATTTTCTCCTCTAGAGTGTGATTCAAACAGCATTACCTGCAAAAACGGATTGTGCAAGTCCATGTTCTGGAAATGTGACGGTGTGAACGACTGTGGAGACAACACGGACGAGGAGGGCTGTGGTAAGACCAATGATGCGGATGCTTTACTGTGGAGAGTTCAGTCGGTTTTCTAACTGTTGATTTTCTTTAAGGATGTAAGGCTGGACAATTCGCCTGTGAGAACAGCAAATGTGTCTCTGAGAAAAACAAATGTGACGGAAAAGATGACTGTGGAGATGGGTCAGATGAGCTTGGCTGTACCAAAAGTAAGATTGTCTTATTATTCAGATGGGCACCTCGCTTCCTCCTGCAGCCTCCTGCTTCTGGTTCCATAGCAACATTTTTTGAGGATGTGTCTCCTTCCACCTTAAGGTCTTCTCCCGATCAGCTCTGGTTCAGAAATTCCAGGTTTTTCAGGTTTATTTGTAAACCTGGAAGTCAACTTGGAGAAATTTGGCAGCTACTTAGTTTTGCAATCAACTTTCTTTTATGTGCATTTAAAAATGCACACATGAAGAGCAAACGTCAATATTTTTAATCTTGAATCCCAGCTGCAGCCTTTCTGCGTGGAGGTGGCATGTTCTCCCCCTGCATGCGTGGTTTTTCTCTGGGTATTCTGGTTTGCTCCCACAGATTAAAAACATTAAGGAACACGATAAAGCATCTGCTAAAGAAATCAATATAAAGAAACTCTATTTAGTCTGATGAAATGTCTATAAAAATACCGTAATCAAACAAAACGTATATATTTAAACAAATCAACCATATAAAGATGTTCCTGCCTCTGCTTCATAGTTGATAAAGCTGTGTATTATTTCCAGCACATATTTACAGTAAATCTATTTATGTCCCTAGACACGGATGTTACCTGCACTTCCCTCACATACAAATGCAACAACAACAAATGCATCAGTAAAGTGAACCCGGAGTGTGACGGGACACCTGACTGTGAAGATAATTCCGATGAGGAAAACTGCGGTATGTCAGATAAAAACGTATCTGAGATCAAAATTTGCTTATCTTCTTGTAAAATGCTGTGGAAAATATTTTGAGTTTACCCTCAAAGCTTTGGTTTAATCTTAGGGATCTAGACCTTCTGAAATGTTTTAAAAGCATTTTAGGGGACTTTGGTTTATTTTTCCTGCAGTGTCATTCCAGAACGAGGGCACTTATTAGGACAATGTTTTTTTTTTTGGTTTTTTTTTTTTGTTGTTGTTTTTTTTTTTTTAACACAACCTGGTGTACTGTTAAAGCCAGGTTCACAAGCTGAAAACTAACATCGAAATGCTCAAAAATAATAAAAACGATTGCCCAAAACCAGTTAGAGATTAAAACAACCTGGTTCCTTGGGTGTGGTTAAACACAGCACTGTATACGAAACCGGTTTTAAACCTGCTCCTGTTTCACAACAACTTGCAGCAGGTCTTCCTGTTGGTAATTGTGTGTGTGTGTGTGTGTGTGTGTGTGTGTGTGTGTGTGTGTGTGTGTGTGTGTGTGTGTGTGTGTGTGTGTGTGTGTGTGTGTGTGTGTGTGTGTGTGTGTGTGTGTGTGTGTGTGTGTGTGTGTGTGTGTGTGTGTGTGTGTGTGTGTGTGTGTGTGTGTGTGTGTGTGTGTGTGTGTGTGTGTGTGTGTGTGTGTGTGTGTGTGTGTGTGTGTGTGTGTGTGTGTGTGTGTTACAGACTGTGGGAAGAAAAGGTTCAGTCGTAACCGTATTGTGGGTGGACAGGATGCAGAGGATGGGGAGTTTCCATGGCAAGTCAGCCTCCACGCCAAGCCTTACACTCACGTGTGTGGAGCATCCATCATCAGCCCAACATGGCTGGTCACTGCTGCTCACTGTGTGCAGGACGAAGGCAGTCTAAGGTAGAGTCTTGCTTCATCCTGCTTCTTATAACAACTCAAAGCTGCTGTTAGTTTTACTCGCCACATAATAGTCAGATTTTAGTTTTATGTTGGGCATCACAGGTCCCTACATATATTAGAGGTGGGAATTTACACGTTAATTACAATTAAGTAGATAAAGAAACGTTAAAAAAATTATCAATAAATGTCATCAAGCTGCATCTCTTTAAAAAACAGCCTGGGCTACAAGACATAAGTCTCTTTTAGGTTCTCCAAACACAACAATACTATAATTAAAGAAACGTGGCAATTTGCTCTTCATGAAGTTATTTTGTAGTTGGTAGATAGCAAGCAGGCAGGCATTGACTTTATCCATATGAATTTTATTACAGCAGGAAGGACATGCCTACACACAGCATTAATCATGAAACAGAACTTTCCCTGAACTCTACACTACACCTCCTCTCTCTCTCTATCTCTCTCTTTCTATCTCTCTATCTATCTATCATATATATATATATATAATGTATATATACATATATATATATATATATATATATATATATATATATATGTATATATATATATATATATATATATATATATATATATATATGTATATATATATATATATATATATATATATATATATATATATGTATATGTATATATATATATATATATATATATATATATATATATATGTATATATATATATATATATATATATATACATATATATATATATATATATATATATATATATATACATATATATATATATATGTATATATATATATATATATATATATACATATATATATATATATATGTATATATATATATATATATATATATATATACATATATATATATGTATATGTGTATATATACATATATATATATATATATATATATATATATGTATATATGTATATATACACACATATATATATATATATATATATATGTATATATGTATATATACACACATATATATATATATATGTATATATACATATATATATATATATATATATATATATATATATATATATATATATATACATATATATATATATATTAGCAGTGCTCTGCTGCCACACAACATTTACAATCCTCCACGTCTACTTCATCCATAGCACATACAGAGGGTACAGAAAGTATTCAGACCCGCGTCAGTTTTTCACTATTTGTTCTACTGCAAACATTTGCTAAAATCAATTAGTCATGTTTTCTTCATTAATGTACACTCAGAACTAGTGATGCACTGATTAGATTTTTTTGGGCAGACACGATAATCGATATTAATATCACTGTTATGGTCGATAACTGATATTTTCTTATACCAGTATACTGACATTAATGCTGCTAAGATCATCAGATTTTGTATAGAAAGAACTGCCGTTGACAACAAAAGTCTGCTTTTTAAATCCAACCATTCACTGAATCTCATGTTAAGTGTGCTGATTTAGTGAATCATACGTTTTTGTGAAGCACGTTGAGTGCAAGTTTAAGACTGTTAGGACATGATGTCAACTAGATGGTTTATCTTTCTATGCATTTTGCTTGTTTGTTATAATAATAAATGAATAAACGTTTGTTGTTGTGTTGGTCAGACTCTCGCAGGCCAGTGCCTGGGATGCTTACCTTGGCCTTCACACCCAAGACAAGATCAATAGTCCTACTGTGGTGAAGAGGAAACTGAAGCAGATCATACCCCACCCTTATTACAACACATACACCTTTGACAACGATATTGCTCTGATGGAGCTGGATAGTCCCGTCACATACACTGATTACATCAAACCCATCTGCTTGCCGGCTCCTCAGCATGACTTCAAGACCGGTAACGGCGTGTGGATCTCAGGATGGGGAGCCACGCGGGAAGGAGGTGAGTTTCCACAAAAACTGAAAACATTTAAATCATTTGCAGGCTGTTTTAAATTGGGGGTTGAAACTTTACAGCTATGCTCAAAAGCCTAAATACCCAGACAGAATTTAGCTTTTGTTGTTTTCAGAGAATATGACAAACTGGATGTGTGAGTGAAGCCATTGACTATCAAACAAATTCTCCTCATCAGAAAAGTGCATACCCTGATCCTTTATAAAGTCCCATTAGTTGTCACACACACTGATGTGTGTGCGAAGTTTGTTCTCCGCATTTGACCCATCCCCTGGGGGAGCGGTGAGCTGCAGACACAGCCGCGCTCGGGAACCATTTAGTGGTTTAACCCCCCAATCCAACCCCTTAATGCTGAGTGTCAAGCAGGGAGGCATTGGGTCCCATTTTTTCTAAGTCTTTGGTATGACCCGACCAGGAATCAAACCCTGATCTCCCAGTCTCAGGGCAGACACTCTACCACTAGGCCACTGAGAAAGGTACCATTTATTGCCTCCTTAATAACCGCTTAAAGTCTTTTGTTTATAGTTTTAGATGAAAACCTTTCTTTAGATGGCAAACTTATCTTTGGGAATTGTATCCAGTGCCTGTAGATTCTTGGGCTGTTGCATGAATTGCACGGTTGAGGTCTCCCTAAATTGGCTGAAAATTGCTTCTCCAGAACCTTGTTTCTGCTGTAGCCTTCGTAGCAATGACTTGACCTTGTGTTTTTGAATTGTTGCCATATTGAAATGTCTAAAAGCATCCCACATACAGCTTCTGGACTGAATGCAAACTTTGCTTTCTGCTTTGAGGTACGGGTGTAATAACTGGCTTTCATTTGGTGACTCACCTATGAAGCCCAGGCAGTTCACCTCCGTAAGCTTGGGAGGGGGTTTGATTTTTCTGCGTGAGATATTGGAGATTTGGCATGAGAGCGTGTGAAGAGGGTCTAATGCATGTCTCACTCAATGTGTAAGAGTTGGCAGCCCTAAATCTCCTGGTGCTGATCCATAGCTGGCAAATGCCATGAAACTCACAAAGAAGGAGTGAGAAAGTCACTTGTTTGTTTAGAAAATGGGATGCAGTAACCATATTTGACCACAGGATGTCATTCTTACATAATGCACCTTTAAATGTTATTATATTTTGTTATTAAAATGACCTTTTAGAGAGCAAGTCACCCCCAAATGAACAATTTTTGCTGATAAACTATATAAATGATAAACATAAATGTAGACACAAGTAGTCAATAATTTGGCACTTAATTAAAATTTTAAAATTCTACCTAAAACTCTGTGTTGTGCTGTCTTCAGGTAAAAACTCTGCACTGCATTTGAATTTAAATCTGCCATCACTATTGGCTAAGAGGTACACTATGTTGTTAGCTGGTACATTATGATGCCTGTGTGTGTGTGTGTGTGTGTGTGTGTGTGTGTGTGTGTGTGTGTGTGTGTGTGTGTGTGTGTGTGTGTGTGTGTGTGTGTGTGTGTGTGTGTGTGTGTGTGTGTGTGTGTGTGTGTGTGTGTGTGTGTGTGTGTGTGTGTGTGTGTGCGTGTGCGCGCGTGTGTGCGTGTGTGTGTGTTTTAGCGGCTCCGCCATCTTGGTCTGTCAGGCAATAGCATTTGTTGCATTTTTTCAAACAGGAAGTGGGTGTGCATTAAGACTCTGGTGACTTGCTCTTTAAATTATTATTATGTTATTAATTTGCAATAGTTTGTAGACTGCGTTACACCTAATAATTAAAAATGGCTATAAGCCTTTTTTTTGTTTGTTTCTTGTGAAAATTGAAGGGTTAAGCCTTCAAATGCCTCATCACAAAATTAGAGCTGAATTTTCATTACTTTTTCTTTGTTTAAATCACTTTGTTCAAAGTCTACAAACATAAATGTCACTCAAAAACATGTAAGAATCTCTAATCAATAAAAGTTCTATTTTCTCTGAAAAAATTTGTAAACTAGTGGAACTATTAGTCTTTTTTTTATTATTATTTTTTGGTAAATGTCAGACAAAGTGCTGATATTTAAAGTTTTATATCTAAAGTTTGAGCCATGTCAGACGACCACCGTAGCTCCTCCCTTTTAAGAGTCAGTTAAAGACTCATGTTTACTCTAGATTTCACACATGCTGCCAGTTTGTTTGGTTTTAGAAAACGCTTGTTGGTATACATTCAGTTACCCTGATGGTACTGTGGGCTTTTATTACTGTCCTTGTTATGTTCAGCACTTTGACTGTTGGGTGTGTGAAACAGCTGTATAAATAAAGTCCGCCATTGTTAACTAAAGAATTCTAACATAACTTTGTGGGTTTAATATTTAGTAAAATTGTGACCTCTACTGTTCTTCTTTCTTTATAATTCAGGATCCGCTGCAACAGTTCTCCAGAAGGCCGAGGTCCGGATTATAAACAGTACAGTGTGCAACACCTTAATGAAAGGGCAGCTCACGTCCCAGATGATGTGTGCAGGAGTCCTGGCTGGAGGAATTGATGCTTGTCAGGTAATCAACTCCCCTCCCCTTTCTGTTCTAGTCTTCTATCAACATTTTTCCTGTTTTTTTATTTATTCCTGCACTGATATAACTCTACTGTGGGTAAATTACATAATTTGTTTGTTTTTAGTCAGTGTAAATGTGTTCTTAACAGTATCAGTTAACAGGAAATTTAAAGGAAAAAATGGATTTTGGTGACTTAATAAAGGCTCAGAAAACAGATGACACGTTAGAAAGGTTCACAGAGGTGAGAATGTTCTGCTTTTGAGCCTGTGATTAGGTAAACGCCAACATATTTTATTTGAAATCACTAACAGATTTTTTTTAGAGAACTAAATAACAGAAAGGGGAATAATGATCTTAAATCAGGAAATACCAGTTAGCCTTGTGACTCGACCTTTTTAATAAACGGGACAAAAGCTTTTAACTGCGAAGGAAAATTTGTTCAAACTAAATCACAGATGTCCAAAAAGTTTGGAAGTCTGTTTTATTACCACGATTAAAAAACAAACAACATTTAAGGGAATTAGCATAAACTCAAAATAGGTCCGTATAACTGACGTTACCCCGTCCTTTTTACAAGCACGTCTTCATCCACGCGCACCGCGCTGCAGCGGCTGTTGCTTTTGTCCAGAGTTGACGCTGCTTGAAAACATGTGTGCGCTGTCGCGGTTGGACGGTAGAGTAAAAATCTCTTACCAGTAGCTACATTTATATCATATAAACCGTATACCGGTGTCCTGTCGAAGCATCATACCTCGTCAGATTGGCATACCCATATTACAATGCATGCCAATCTGATAGGCCTCGTATCCCAGACTGTCGTAGTTGTAATCCTACCCTGTACCCTAACTCTTACCCTAACCCCAGTGATGGCATACCAGTCAGAGGAGCACACCAGCAGTATGGTACGCTCCTCTGACTGGTATCGTGCCCTGATACGACAACTGCTTTACTGTACATTACTAGCCAAAAAGGTATGGTGCTTCTGAGAAAAGTTGGTTTAACGCGTCATAAGCTGAGACACAAACCCTCACATTTGCGTATCCCAACCCACCTCTATGTCAGCAATATGTAAACAATGGTCTCGGTAATGCTAACCGCAGAACAATGCAAGCCTGAGCTTCTGCTAATGTTATTTTGAGCAGCTAACGTCTTTGTTGGATGAGAGGAAAACAACAAAAAAAATGTTGGAGCAACACTCATGTTCTAGTATGTACTTTAAATATCCAGACTATGAATGAATGCCAGATAAATCCACAGCTTGTGGTAAGTGTCCTCTTCCTCGCTTGTCTACAAACCTCAAGTCCACAGTCAACCGGACTTTCACTTTGTTCCACTTTGATTCTATAGATTCAGGCAGCATCATAGTGCCATTGGGATAAACAAGCCAATCAGCACACAGCTCATTTAATATTCATGTCCTGGCTGAGTGGTTGGGGCGAATCAGTCTTTCCATTGTAAGCCTTTATGAAAGGGTTGTATTTTCCCATTTGTCAGGGCTCCTGGGCCATTTTTAGCCCCAACAAAGTTGCATGTGTTTGAAAGAGGAAAAAACTCTTTCCAGGACACATTTAATACAAAAATGTAGAATGTTAATTTTTAGATTTTTCTACCCCTTTGAAGCTCTAAAGACTCAATTGTTTTACAAATTGAGAAAAGAAAACTTCATAGAAAAAGTTACTGTAAAATGAAAAAGCTAAGTCGTTAAGAAAGGGGGGGGGGGGGAATTAGAGATGCAAGAAAATGATTTGGAATGATAAAATGGTTTTCCCTCAACTTCCTGCTCTTTTCCAGAATGTTGACTTCATCCATTTCCTTCTTTGTGTGTTTTTTTCTTCTTCAGGGAGATTCTGGCGGTCCTCTGTCCAGTCCGGAAAGCGACCGAATGTTCCTGGCAGGAGTGGTCAGCTGGGGTGACGGCTGCGCTCGCAGGGACAAACCAGGAATCTACACCAGAGTCACCAAATTCCGAGGCTGGATCAAAGAGAAGACGAAGGTTTAATTCACTGGAAACTGGTCAAACCGAGTCAAGGGATATAAACTGAGATTTGGATTATTGCTTCATTTAGATGCCACTCTGACTGACCGGCCAGTGGATTTGGTGGACTTAATCATTTGCTGTAATTTCAGCTGAGAATGCACTCGATGCTTGAACATGAACTGCTGCGAGTTTTAGGCTCACCATGATATTAAGAGGATGGGGGGGGTGGATTTAATGTTTTTAAATGTAAATAAATGTTTTATTTTTGTGTTTTATTTTATCTTATTTTATTTGAGAACAAAGATTTGAAAATTTTTAGGTTTAATTGTTACACGTGCACATGAAATGTGGCCACTCATTGAGCTTTTTATCTTTTTTCACTGTGGTTTGTTGCGTCTCTTTGTTACAAATGGTGTCAATCAAAAGCAAAATGACAGTAAGCTCATTCCATTTCACCTCCTATGGATTGGTATTTAAAAGCATCCTTTAAAATAAATGGTGATTTTTCATTTTTTAATGAGTTGCCATTGTGGATGCATTTTTATTTCCACACATTTTATCTGCAATTTGTGAGCTTGAAGCTAATTAAATTGCTGAGGGAATGTGGCTGTTTAATAGCTAATAAATTTGTGTAAATCTGAATTGGCCTATCTCTATTTTTAGCAGGATTTTGTGGATAGATGCTGATTAAATTCCATAAGAGTTGATTTTTGTGATCCAATAAAACATTTTGCACCCTTTTTTGTTTTCCTTCCTGACTTCAAAGTTTAGCCACAGAGGTACAAAAAAAAACTATTTCATACACAAACCACAATAGTAAATATTTCTTCTGCAAAGTTAGAAAAATCTATGATTTTTTTTAGAACACAGTATTTATATGCTTTTTTTCCTCAGTGATGGTGATTAGTCCAGTTTGCAAAAGCAAAAAGAGGTTATTTAAACAGAAATATCAAGCTTCTGAAAAGTATATTAATTACTATTTTCTACAAAAAAAAATTTGGTTTTGCTTTGCATGAATTCGAGCATCAATGGGATGTGGCATAAGCCCATCAGACTAGTTTTTCTGAGATATGATGCAGCCTTCAGATCTTTTTCAATGTTGGTCCTGGTGTCTCAGGTTCCTCTTGATAGTGATAGCTTCTCTATAGAATTCAAATCAGGCAAGGTTGTTGGCCAATCAAGCACAGTAACACCATGGTGAACCAGTTTTTAGTACCTTTGACAGAGTGGGCTGGTGCCAGCTCATGTTGGAAAATGAAATCAGCTTGTCAGCGGAAGTAAGCATGAAGTGGTCTATGGCCGATGGCTGTGTTGAATGTGAACTTCAAGCAACATTTAGTAGATGAGATGCAGCCACAGATCATCACTAATTGGAGACTTCATAATGGACATTAAACCACTGAGCAACAGTCCACTCAACTGACTGAGCATGCTTTGATACAGCACTCTGTCAATAACCAGCTTTATAGAAATTAGTTTTTGCAGCGTATGCTCCTTGTGGAGGATGTAAGTGACTGTCTTCTGGAAATCAGTCTAGCCAGTAGTCCCCATAATTCTGCCATCTACTGACCCAGACAGAGAGATCATTTGAGGCTCAGGAAACTTCAAGTTGCAGGTCACTTTGCAGGTGAGCTAATAGTTGGATGGTATGGCATCATGAGTTTCCAATATTTCACGTAGTCACAATATTCTTATTTTCTGATACACACAATTTAAGGTTTTAATCATACCGTATGTAAGTAATGATCATCAGAATCACAGGAAATGACCTGAAATATTCACTCGGTGTTTAACAAATCTATGAGTTTCATTTATTTCATTTGTAAGTTTTCAAATGTACGTGTACATATTTTAACAAAACTAACGATGTGTTACAAAACCCAAAATTTTTTTCTTACACAACTCAAATTTCAAATCGTAAAGAACAACGTCCTGTTTCACCCGGAAGGTTTTAAAGAACGGAACAGAAACGGTTCTACCGTATTATTGTTCCCCCGTTGGTCTCTGTAGCCGCGAGGTGTGTTTTCGGTGTTTATTCTGCAGTTTTCTTCTTTTCACATCAGTTAAATGTGTTTATTCAATAATTCCACGTTTAATATTTTATAAAAACCTGACATGGTTTGATTTTGGACACATTAACAACTTTAAAATGGACGAAAGCTCGTTAGCTTCTTTGTTTATATTCCATCGTAGATTAGCATGTTTATGATGCTGCTACGCGTTTGTAACCCGGTGTGTTGTAATTATTAACGTTGGAACCAGTTGGCTGCTTGGTAACTTGTGGTAAACATGGACTCAGATCGGAGAAGAGACAGCCGGAGTTGGGACTGGGACAGCCCGCAGTGCCGATCTCAGCTGGATGAGATCTTTTTCCGTGAGAATGACTACATCCGAGCCGGTAGCCCCGAACACAAAGAGTTTTGGGCGTTCTTTGACCGTTTCCAGAGGTTCAAAATAAAAAGAGAAATGTCTGGTTCAGGATTCAGCGGAGAAGAGGAAAGAGGGGGGAAAGATAAAAAGACAGGGACTAAAGATCTTGGTCTTCCAAAAGAATATGACGCACGATACCGGATTAATGTGTCTGTATTCACCAGAGACGTTGAGGAACGTATGGGCAGGTCCGATCAACGAAGCAGGCAGAGATCTTCAGGACCAGGATCTCAGGAGATCTCAGATTTCCGCCTAGCTCTGCTGCATTTCCTGGACTTCAGTCAGAAACAAAGCTTTGGTAAGCTGGCCAAGCTTCGTCGGGAGCAGAAGAACCTGCCCATATTCCAGTACCAGGACCGGATACTGGAGCTGGTAAGACTTCACCCAGTGGTTGTGGTGGCAGGAGACACGGGCTGTGGGAAGTCCACCCAAGTGCCTCAGTATCTTCTCTCAGCTGGATTCAGCCACATCGCCTGCACTCAGCCACGGCGCATCGCCTGCATCTCTCTGGCAAAAAGGGTCAGCTTTGAGAGCCTGAATCAGTACGGGTCCAAGGTGGGTCAGGGAAGATCTAATCTAGGGAATCACCTTTGTTTTAGGAAGATCTGTGGATTTATACAAGTCTTGCCCAGAATTATAAGTTGTTATGATGAATAAAAGGTTGGTTCTTATAAATTAATCAAAGTTCTCTTTTATCCAGGTGGGTTATCAGATCCGCTTCGAGACCACTCGAACCACCTCCACCAAGCTGCTCTTCCTGACTGAGGGCCTCCTGCTGCGGCAGATCCAGCAGGATGAGTCTCTGGATCAGTACCAGGTGGTGATTGTAGACGAGGTCCATGAGCGGCACCTCCACTGCGACTTCCTCCTCGGGGTTCTTCGTACTCTGCTGAAACAGCGACCAAACTTGCGCCTCATCCTCATGTCGGCCACCATCAACATCAAACTCTTCTCTGAATACTTTAACAGTGCTCCGGTGCTGCAGGTCCCAGGCAGACTGTTTCCTATTCAGGTGAGGCAGGTGGGATGTTTCCTCACGGGCGGGTTTCAAAAACAAGTTAAATGTTCATGTTTGGTACAAATGTTTAATATTATGCATCCACAAGGGACACTAACATTACAGTTTTATTCTTATGTAAAGTAAATTTCATAATTTGATGTGTGTTTTTTTATATTAATCATAAATTTATTATTAGAAGTTAATTTATTCATAAACATTTTTTCTATAATTAGCTTTCAGCCACCTTAAACTTAACCATTCTCTGTTTTTCTCAATCTAAGGTGATCTACCAGCCCATTCCACCTGAGGAGCAGGCCTCACGCTCAGAGAAACTGGATCCTAGGCCGTACCTGCGCATCCTGCAGGGCATCGACCAGCGGTACCCTCCAGAGGAGCGTGGAGATCTGCTCCTCTTCCTCAGTGGCGTGGCAGAGATCTCCACCATCCAGGAGGCCTGTCAGATTTACGCGACGCACACTCGTCGGTGGATAGTTTTACCGCTGCACAGCACCCTCTCTCTGGCTCAGCAGGACAAGGCACACTCATCTTTGACTTGATTAGAATTCACATTCATTTTATTTATATAGAGCCTAGTCATGAGTAAACATGTTACTCACAAAACAGTTATGAGTTTAATTTGAACTTATTGCAATGTTGCATGCACAGGTCTTTGACATCGCTCCTCCTGGTGTGAGGAAGTGCATCATCTCCACCAACATCGCCGAGACTTCGGTTACAATCGATGGGGTTCGATTTGTCGCTGACTCAGGTGTGGAACCGATTTGTTCTTTATCTTGAGAATAAATGTGTTTATAAATCTAAAGTCATAAAACTTCAGTTTTTAATCACGTGAAAACCTCAATGAACGGTTTCTTGTTTTTTATAGGAAAAGTAAAGGAAATGAGTTTTGATCCAAAGGCTAAGATGCAACGTCTGCAGGAGTTCTGGATCAGCCGAGCCAGCTCCGAGCAGAGGAAAGGTCGAGCTGGACGCACAGGTCCAGGTGTTTGCTACCGCCTTTACTCCGAGTCCGACTACAACGCCTTTGCTCCGTATCCTGTGCCTGAAATCCATAGAGTGGCTCTTGATTCTTTAATTCTACAGGTGGTTAATTAACAGTTAGACAATTTCAAAGTGAAATTCCAGCTGTTTAAATGTTTTAATGTCTTTTCCTCTCTGCAGATGAAGAGTATGAATCTTGGAGATCCACTTTCTTTTGTTTTTATTGATCCACCTCCATCCTCAAGTATTCAGACTGCAGTTACTTATCTAAAGCAGCAGGGGGCGCTAGACAATCGTAGTGAACTGACCTCTATTGGTAAATTGTTGGCTCAGCTGCCTGTTGATGTGGTTATAGGTAAGATTTACTCTGTTTATTTGCTGCTTTTGTGTTTCAGAATTAAATTAATATTATACTATATTTTATTATAGGATATCACATAAAATTATACTTATTATATTATATTTTATCACATCGGTTGTGTGTTTGAATCCTCCCAGGGAAGATGCTGGTTTTAGGCTCTTTGTTTAATCTGGTGGAGCCCATGTTGACAGTGGCAGCCGCCCTCAGCGTTCAGTCACCGTTTCTGCGCAGCTCACAGCAAAACCCAGACTGTGCCACCGCCCGCCAGCCCCTGCACAGCAACCATGGAGACCCCTTCACCCTCCTAAACACCTTCAACGCCTGGGTGGAGGTCAGTAAAATTAAATGTCTGTTGGTCCTTAATGTGGGCTGATTTTAGGTTATTGTAGAGTTAAGTGGTTACTGATTAACTTTTATCACAACAGGTTAAAGGAGAAAGAGGCGGTGGCTCCAGGAAGTGGTGCAGGAGGAGAGGCCTGGAGGAGCAGCGACTTTATGAAATGGTTAACCTACGCAGACAGTTCAAGGTAGGTACTTCCTTATGCCCTTCACACATCAAAATGTTTTAATTTTTGTTCTTATTTTAATGTTATAAATAAATTCCTTGTTTTGTAGGAGTTGCTGAAGAGTCATGGCCTGCTGGAGTCAGAGGAGACAGCGCCCTCTGGTGGAGACCGTGCGAAACGCAGGGAGAGGTTGACAGAGAGGAGAAAACTTCATCAGTTGAAGAGAGATCATGAGCAACAGGAAGGCAGCAAACGCAAAGTCCTGAAGCTGGAAGAGGGTCAGGATGGAGAATTGTCCGGATCCGGATCAGATACAGAGGAGCGAGGAAGAGGCAGGAAGGACAAGAAAGACAGGAAAGAACAGGACGTGGACATCCAGGTGAACTCCACGTGAAAGTTATTAAATAAAGATTTCATTTTGTACTTTCTGTAGATAAAGGTAAAGTACAAAAAATACAAAAATTTGTAAACAAACTAATTTGCCTTGAGTTATCAGTAAGAATGTCTTAATCTCCAAAAATATTTACCTCTGCAAATGTACATCTTCCAATGCCTGATTTTGGATATTTTTATACTTTTTGGCATGGTTTGAAACTATGTGTCCCGTTAGCTTCATAAGGGACTTTTGCCCCTCAGGTGATGTTTGACTCCTCTGGATGTCTGTTCTGAAACAGGAGGTGAAGTTTAAGCTGCGCCACAACGTGTCAGAGCTTCAGGAGGCAGTCAGTGTGAGTCAGGACTTGTCGTCACGTCAGCAGGCGTTACTCAAGCTGCTGCTGTGTCGAGGCCTCTACCCTCAGCTGGCACTGCCCGACGAGCACAACACCACCAGGAAAGACTCCGACCAGGTCTGCACCGATCACAGCAAGCCTCGTGTCTGCGCTGTGGGGTGTAATTCAAGTTATGGGCGAAAGTGCAAACGTTTTATTTTTTACTTTGCAGGTTTTTCATACAAGGAGTAAACAGGGAGTGGTGATCCACCCGACCAGCGTCTTCTCCAGCGATCCAGAAGTGTTGCACGTGCCTGAAGCTGACAGCAGAGACACCGGTAGACCTCATTTAGAGGAAACAAAATTGAGAATATTGTTGTTTTCCTTGAGTTTTATTGTTTTTGACATGCTAATTCCTGCAGGACCTGATAGGAAAGACAGCAGCAAACACCAACTGTTAGCCTTCGTCACCCTGCTGGAGACTAACAAGCCGTATTTGTCCAACTGTGTTCGGGTTCCAGCCTTGCAGGTGAGTTTCTGACGTGGAACAAACCGGCTGAACATTCAAAATTCAGGAAGTTCTGGCTTATCTTTAAAATGAAAAAAAATATGGTTTTAATGAATACTTTGTTAAAATACTCTCTATATTTCATTGGTGAGAAACAGTTTACAGGTTTAATGAGGAGACTTTGTGTTGAGTGATGGAGGGTAAATGATGAAAGTGAGGGTGAGGATGTTTAGGCCCGTCTGGAGGGGGGAGAAGACTCCAGTGATGGTTTTACCGGTGGCAAATAACATACGGTGGCTGGAAAAAACTGATCAGAAGACAGAACCATTATTTATGAATTAGTGTGGTGTTACTTTTTATTTAGCAGCAGAGTAAGATACTAAAAGAATGATTTAAAGGGGCAATATGTAAGAATTCTACTGTGAAATAATCACAAAACAGTCTAATGTCTACGCTGAACTAACTTTTCAGCGCCGGCATTTGTGATCCGACATCGGCCAGCCAAAGCTCCAGAGTTTTAAAGAATTGGAGCCAGTAAACAGGAGCCACCCAGAAGTTATTTCTTGTACCCCCAAGAAACCATGGCATCTTTTTGTTTTTACTTTAATATCAGGTGAAGCAGACTAGAGGCTAATGTAGAGCTAACAATGCTAACAGTAAAAATATCTCAAGCTACTTTTTCAATGACCAACAACTTGATATTACAGTGAAATGTATTTGCGAAGTGAATGTTTTACTTCCTTTAATGAGTCGCTCAGAACTACAACAGCAAGCTAACAGTAAGGCGGAAAACAACCACATTTTCCCCTATGCCAGAGACAAACTCCCGTAATAAGTGTAATAAGTGCTCCCTATCGTAAAACGCCCAAGAGTGCCAAAACCACATATGATGCTGTTTATCGACTCACTGTGTCTGACTCGTCTTCCTGTCATCTAGAATTTTCAGGAGCTGATCTACCGCCATGAAACTCACAGAACAGTAGTGAGGAAGTAACGTTTTATTAAGAAAAATGGGATGCAGTAACCAAATTTGACCACAGGAAGTCTCTTCCTTCATTCATACAAGTTGCCCTTTTAAAAGTATAAATATCAACGTAACATCGTCAATAATGTATTAAAACTGAATGTAAAGTCTTTGTTGTTGATCAGGCTCTGCTGTTGGTGTCCAACTCTGTGGACACAAACGCCGACTGTACTCGTCTGGTGGTGGACGGCTGGCTGGAACTGGAGCTAAAGGAACCAGAGGAGGCACTGAGGGTTCTGTCCACGGCTATCAGTCTCCGGGCCGAATGGGAACGCCTGCTGCAGGCCCAGCTGGGACAGAACCAAGCAGGAGAAGCATCGGTCCAGGGATTGTCCCGCAGAAACAGGGAGAAGCTGAGTGAGAACCTGGTGCGCTTCCTGCTCTACACTGAGGTACTGATGCAGCAAACATGGTCATTTTAGTCCAAATAAATTCTCTTTGTGTACTTTGAGCATTTTTGTTTGAGATTAAATGTATTCAGAGAATTTAAAACAGAAAAAGCTGTAAATAATAAAAAAAATAACTTGGTGTGAAATGAATATAGGAGATGTTCACGTTTATTTTTAGTTTCATGAGTTTTCATTGTTGATGTTTCCTCTTGCTACCTTTTTATTTAGGAAAAGCCTTAGCTTTTAGTTTAACACAACAACCAACATGATTCCATCGAATCGACCTGGAATAACGACTCCTCTTCCAGGTGGTGTACAGCCTACAGCGACTCACCGCTCTGCAGACCCAGAACCTTTACGTCGGCCCTCAGCCCGAGTCGGACTCATCCTACGCTGAGACTCCAGATCTGAGCCTGTTGTTCCCAGGAGCAGACCCCAAACCGGATCCCATTAAAGGAGGTCTGCAGGTGACCAGCTTCTTCACCTACAACTGTCTGACTGTGAGTTCCACTGAGGCCGTTCAGAAAAGATCTCTGTTGTTGGTTTTGGTCTGGGTTTAGCCAGAACTCATCTCTGTATTTTATATGTCTATAGAACTGAATTTTCTCTGTATAAATCTAGAATAATAAATGTTTTAATCATGACTTTTACTCCTCAGGATTCCAAGGATCTCTACAGCGAGTGTTTACGGACTTTCTGGAGCTGCCCTAACTGTGACCTCTACATGCCTCTGACCCCTCTGGAGCGCATGCATCATGAGGCATCCTGCAGACCTGCTGGTGAGAAAGAGCAAGAAGAAAAAGGTCAGGAAACTCTCATTCTTACATTACTAATCGCTTTAACACATGCACTATCAGAGTCTGATCATAGGTTTGTTTTCTTTGGGATTTCAGAATCAGAAGGTGGAAGAGCGGGCTCGTCCTCCATGTCTGCTCTTACCAGAGCCTATCACTGTGACGTCTGTAACGAAGACCTGACGCTCACCTCCACGGAGATCCTCAAACACAAACGGCAACACATGTATTCTGCCAAGTAACAAACGACATCACAATTTATTTCTCCTCTTGTGGATTTGAGCTGAAGCGCTGTTTCAGCTGCAGTTACTTTCAGAGAGAACAAAGCATCCATGTTTGGAAGAAAACAGCCCTGAAAAGTGTTTTTCAAATAAAAAATGTAAAAAAAAAACATTCTGGAGCTTTGCACTGAAGCACGAGTAAAAAGAAGAAAACACAAATTTAAAATATAGAGTGAGGGTTTAATAATGATACAAACCCACGATATGTAACACCTCAAAGCAGCACATTGGCACAAAGTCAGAAGTCAGACAGCACAGAAGATAAAAACCTGTCTCAAAAAAATAAAGAATCAGAATAAATATCTCAATAAATAAATAAACAGGTAATATCTCATTAAGTACTTTGAAACTAATAAATACGTACATGTGAAAATATGCACACCGTCAGAAATCAAGAACCAAAAAAGTACTTAATACAGAGTTACTTAGAAATCATAAGTTATTGATTACTCAAATCAAAAGGCACATTTATTAAGATGTAGGAATGGGACCTGCAGTTGTGATTCCAATGACTGTCGGAGCTTTTAAGACCATTTCTGAATCAGACATAGCGAGCGATGGCTTTACTAGTTCTGCGTGTCTGCAGCGCCACGTGAGCGCTGGACGGCGCGAGCGTGTCACAAACAGATCAGTCAGGGATGGCGGCGAGCTTTCTGCCACTGAGAATCTGAATTTTATCAGACGCCCCCCCCCCCCCCTCTTTAAATCGCTTTGAGCAAAAGTTATCTATTTTTCTGTTAAATCTCATTTTAAAAGGTGGTAAAGCTATTTTCAAATCTGCAAGATTTTTTATATGTATTTTAATTAAAACCGTGGGTTTTCAGAAGAGCCCCATAATATTTAGCTTGATGGCTTTCATACCTCTCCGTATTTATTTTATGTCTTGAAATGACTGATATTTGTTTAAATATTCAGTCACTGGAAAAGCTGGTTGTTGTTGTTAAAATTGGAAGAATGTCCTACAGATTCATGACATAAGTAATGTGAGTAAATCACCAGCTGTGACCCTGCCACCTCACATTTCTAATTTCTCAGAAGCAGTTGAACATTTAGAGTTTTGAATGCAGGTATTTAAAATAGCAGCCTCTTAGTTTTAAAGCAACACTCAGCAAATCCATTCGCCACTCTGGTCTGATAAACAGTTTTTCCACTTTTTCAAGTCTGCCTCTCTATTAGCTGTCTACTGTCAGCTGCAACGCGCGTTAACGCCACACCGCTGCGCAAACTGCACTTTTGTGTCCATATTTGTTTTTTATATCGAACAGAAACACATCACACTTCTCATTTCCAACAGGTTTCCATTTCTGCCAAATAATTCTCAAACTAGTGATATAAAAATACTCTTTCATACATTGTTCATTGCACTTATTTGTATTTTTTGGGTGTACCTCTTTAAAATCTTGTCGTAAATGAGTTTTTCTCTGGGAAGTGTTCGGTCTTCGTGAGTTTTAGGTAGAGCTGACTGATTCGGAGGCTTCAGTTTTAAGCACCTTATCTGACTCAAAAAAGTTCAGCGAAGGGATGAGATGTTTTTTTATCATTAATATTAAAAGTTCATGGAGTAATGGGAGGAAATATGTGCAAAGTGAGGATGTTTGTTGACGTTTTCTCCTTTTTTTTAAACCAGAGAACAAAGGTTTTGGTATGAAGAACTGCAATGAATCACAGAGACTTTTAAGTCTTACTGGTTGTTGTTGCAGCTCCCCTTAGCAATCATTGTCTCTTTGCATTCGAGGTTTCTTCCACTGTGGTTCTTTAACTCAAAGACTGCACGCATTTGTGCTCTTATTATTTCAAACTCCCCTTTTTTCCCTTTTTAAAGCCAAGTTTGAGAAACATTGGAGGTAAAATTGGAGGTAAAGGGTGGCATCTGTTCACCTGACTGATGAACAGGTCAGTAAAAAACAAAACAAACTCCCTAAAATCTCATGTGTGTGAGTACGTGAATGCATGTGTGCCATTTGGGGATTCTATCAATGTGTTTCACATTTAATAAAATATACCAATTAAAATTATAACAATCATATATATATAAACATCTTTTGTTTTGTATTTTAAGATTTTTTTTTCTAAATAAAAAACAAAAACAGACATTTGAAACAGTGTACACATCATTTTTGCCTCTGCCGCCATCTTTCTGTATAAAGTCAGTGACGGGCCGGCTTACTCTAAATCAGCCATTCGTCGGTAAATCCACAACGAATTCTTCAGAGGACTCCTGCAGAGTCTGATCTGAGTGCAGCGCACCTGCAGCAGGCGAGGACCAGTGAGCAAGCCCTGCCTCTAGTTGAAAAGAGAAAGAGCTGAATGCAGTGGAAGGCTGTGGGGCTTTGGAGGTCTTTAGAAGGCTCAGTTCTTACTAATCTGCTTCATCACCACAGATGCTCTTGATACCAGAACCCCCTTGGTCCAGAGAACCCCCCTCGCCCCACCGCCTGGCCTCATCGGACAGCTTTGTGCTTTCCCCCACAGCAGCCACACCTCTCCCCACATCGCAGGCAGGCGCGCAAAGGCAGGTAGCAGCACATGCAGGGCACGAAGAGTGACAGGGCCAGGAGGGCCAACCAGCGGGCACAGCACAGGGGGTGCGGGTGGCCACCCATAGAGTCATCACACGAACAAGGCTCCCAGAATTCCCCCTCAGAGTCCGACATGCAGTGGTAGAGCAGGCTTTCTGCACACCACACACAGGTCCACTGGCGCAGGCAGTGCAGGGCCGGGTCCGGGGCGTCTCTGCAGCGGCCCCGCCCGTTCTCCGATGCGCTGAAAACAGAGCGGCAGTACACGCAGCGGGATGAACATGACGACGAAGCCTGGGGGCATGGACTGTCATCGTCCGGTGAGATTGCCCCCGGGTCGCCACTGCTGCTGGCCCCTCCTCTTTTACGAGTCCGTGACCGGGGCGCGGCCAGCGAGGTATGGATGCAGCAGGGGGAAGGTGAGCCTTTGCCTGTCTCCTGGGGTGAGCCGGCACCTGAGGACACTCCTGACACAGCATTGGACATGGACATACATGTGGGCGAGGACGAGGACAGCCGCTGGGAGGCTTTACTGTCCAGGCTCACAGTGACCTCGCAACCAGCCGTCCCCACCCCTGCCAGCTCCTTCTCAAAGCGAACTACGCACAGCTCCGACTTGTCCTGCATGCTCCCTCCACCACCAACAACCACTCCCCCTGTCAGCCCTCCAACCATAGTCCTCGTGGCCCCCGCACGTCTGTAGTCCTCATAACCCCGAGAACCCCAAAGATCTTTGCAAGGGTCCACAATGCGCAGGTCTCCCTCCTCCAGCAGTGAAATTGTTGGGGACAAGGGGGACAGGGGGGATGAGGCTGGGGGACCTACTGGAGGAGTTGGTGGAGCAGGAGGTGGAGGCGGGGGCGCTGGGGGGTTCAACACTGTGGTCATTTGTGAGAGCGGGTGCTGTCCGGGCCTTGTGTGGATCTGTGGAGAAGGTGTAGGATTACACAGTGAGTCGAGAACATTGTGTACTCTAGCTCTGGTTATAGAACGTTCCCATCTCAGCAACCTCAAATCTCACTCTGGAGCAGTCCATGCTACTCTTTATACTTTGGGTAGAACACCCTTTATGTTTTAGATGTTTACCTGCTTCAGCTCACCTGATTTAGGCTGAGCCTTCAAAACGTTCAAATCAGCAACCTAAAAATAATCCGAAAGACAATTCTGTACAACCGTTTCCAGATCCTGACATTGGAACACACTTCCTTATGATGATTCCACAGCTCTACGTTCCAAGTATACATAAGTGGATCTGTTGATTTTAGTATCCGGCGTGTTAGAGCACAAAACATCTAAAACATACTTAAGTCGGTGCACCTCAAATACCAGGAGTTGGACAGACTATCTTACAGAAAAGAACGCAATTTAGTATCTTATCTTGTTCGTTTCATGAATTCTTACAAACTTTCAGGGAACCACAACAAAAGGTTCAGAGAGGAGTTAAATTGGCATGTATCTGCTTTCATTTTCACAACGAGGTGGACTCTTTTGGATCTGAGGTGTACCTGAGCAGGCATGTGAGTGGTGACGGCATGGCTGGATCCAAAGCTAAACTCTTCAGGCCGCACAAAACAGGTAGATGAGGACTCGCTTGTTACTATGGTGATGGGTTTGGGAAGCATCTCCTTTCTACTGTTGGACGACGACTCGCTTCCTGTATGTGACTGACAGAGGTTGAACGTAACTCCACAAGTCAAAACCAAGCAGATGAACATGTGCTCACAAGGACACTCACAGCTTGACCATCGTCCTCAGTGTCAGCCTCTTCTGGCGTGGAGGATGAGGGCGAATCGGAGCCTTGACAACACGTGAAGATAAGATTTTAACTCTCTTGAATATTTTCTGCTTAAAAATGAGTTCAGTTTCTGTGATTTTTTTTAGAATCTACCTCTGTCTAACTTGTCTATGACCATCTGCAGCCCCTTCTCAAAGGAGATGGCGTCCGCAGGACTCTGAAACGTGAGGCCAAACTTTCGATCTTCTACTCTCCAGTGATGGAAGATAGGATTCACCTTGTTGTACACCAGCCCCCTTTGGACTGCACATTCCAGCACAGGCTGCAGAAATAAACAAGTAGTCAATTATCCAACCATGACCAGGCTCCCTCTGAAACACCCCCACATAACACATACAGCCATGGTAAAACTACTCAATTTGCTGTCATTTTTTATTAAACAAAATGAAAGCCAACATGGGAAAACGGTGATTGGTAAAATGAAGTCCATCCCATAATACAGTTTGTAGGACCACCTCCAACCGCACATGAAGTAGTCAGTTTCTCCATGAGGTTATTGGTCTTTAACATCATTGTAGATTAATTTTGCTTCAATCGTGAGCGCTTCCTCGTTGCATGACCCAATTTCAGACGAGCACTAGTTGTCGGACCGATGGATTCAATTGATTCCAAAGTGCATCCAAAGAAAGATCGTGGCTGGATCAACAAAGGAGCTGAGGCCCTTTGGGTCCAAAACAAGCCCAGACCATCAGTTCTTTGCCGTGTTTGACAGATTTTGTGGTTATAGGGTGTTTTGCCAAACAGCACTTTGCTTTATGACCAGACATCTCTACTTTTGTCTCATGGTTCATTCAGGTGCAACTCAACAAACTTTATAGAGAGAAGAGGCTTTCTCCAGAATTTTACTCAAACATCCACTTTTGTTAAGTTGTCCTCTAATTCTGTCAATGATTTTAACCTTTTACCTGCAATGATTTTAACCTTTTACCGGGGGGGGGGGGGACTTTGCTGGGATGTCCACTTCTGAGATAACCAGCAACTGTCTTACAAGTTTTTCAATGTGACTTTTCTCAGTCAAATGACTCCAACTTGTTTGCTAATTAACTTTGACTTCTTACTAGACTGATGGGCAGCAGTAATTGTGTCACTGAGGTCATTGCTGATGTCCTCCTTTGTTGGCATAACTGTTTCTGAGCTACAGCAACTCATTGGCAATGTGCTAACGCACACCTAAATGATCTAGACCAGCAAACTGCCCAAGCTTCTGCGACAGTAGCAGAGGAGTTAAGTGATCCAAAAGGGTTTGCATGAAGACAACTGGACTTCTTTGGTTTCTTGAAGATGTCTTGCTTCTCATCTGAGGAGCTTTGTCAATTCTGACTGGAATATTGGAGAGTCAAACTTAAAAACTGTAGCTGTCTATTGTTGGTTAACATGCTGATACTACATATGAATACCCCTTCTCCCTACCCGTCGAGGAGTCGTTGGTGTCATTAGGCTCTATTGTGTGGGAATGGTTGTTTTAATTAGATCTAGGATCGTGGCCTGGACTGAAACTGTTTAAGGTTAGAGCTGCATTAAGTGCCTGCTCCGGAGGGTTGCAGGTTTGTGCCCTGTTCAGTCTGTTCTTGGGCTGTGTTTAGGCAAGACACTTCACCCTCCTTGGTTGCTGGTGGTGGTCGTAGAGACTGGTGGCACTTATTGTGTGGCAGCCTCGTCCCAGTACCACCAGTGGGTGTAGCTTGGGGTAGTCAAGGATTAGATTTCAGGCCCAATCGTATTGGTCAGAGGGGCACCTGGATGCTAAATTCACTCCTATAGAAGCAACAAAGTTTTGATTTTCCATTTTGGCTTTTTATCATTATTATTATTGTTAGTATTATTATATTATTTCCCAACACATGACACCCCTAAAGCAGAAAAATGTTGTTTTCCCATGACTGTTTCCGGTCTTTAGGTGGTGTTGACTAGCAACTTGGCACCAAAGACAACCTTAACACACGCACACACTCACTGCTCGATCTCGCAGCCGCTCTCCGCGTATGATGAATTCTCTCCGCCCCCTTCCGTCGTGACTCCGCCCCTTACATATAACCACATGACTGAGGCCGCCACCTCCAAGGGGCACCCAACCGCCACTGGAGTCATCACGTGTCATCACCACAGCACGAACACGTACACTGCCAGGGAGATAAAAATAGAAACATCAGAAATAATCAAAAATAAAAACATTAATATTTGTAGTCATTTAGATTATATTAAACGGTTTATTAATGATCATAAAAATCAAATAGCTGCAATAGTCTTATTTGTGTGAATGAGGTGCAGCATGACACACAAAGAGCTGACAGCTCGGCCTGTTCAGCGTTTAAAGGCCTTTCAGACAATTTAGCTCTCAAAAACGGAATTCTCAATGGCATCTGGAGCGATTTTACAGCCATTTCCCCGCATGGCTGTCTGTAACCTGCACGAGCTGGAAGCAAATAGATACCGTTGAGAAGGAATAGAAATGTCCAAATGGGAGGAGGGAGGAGGAAGAATGAGTGTTTCCCACATAGACGTATCAATGAACGCACCCATTCGCCATCAGAGGCCTAGCTGCGCTCGTCCTTTCGACTCAGTAATTCAGCCACCGCGGATTTCCCCCTCAAATAAGCCAAAAACGTCTTTTTCCAACCATTTTTGCTTCAAATCCGATTTTAATTGTTGCAATTATGTTCTCCTTTTCTCACTTTCGCCCCTGCTGCACGGACTCATTAACACACCCCGATATTATGTTATTTTTTTATGAATGGGACTGGATTCGCACTGCGCCTCATGAATGCCACTGGGAAATAATAGAATAAAAACAACACCAAATGGTTTCTAGCAGGGCCTAAATGCAACGTGAAATATCTAAAGAGAAAAAAAACGAGGAAGGGAGAAAAGAAAAGAACGAGTGGGTGAGAGGATGGAGAGGAAACGAGGGATGGGGGAGGGGGGCCGGTTGGAAAAGGGAAGGAGAGGAGGGGTGAGAATGAGCGAGAGAGGGAGAGAAAAATCACATTTCATTCATAAAGTTTGGCTTTAAAAATCATAATGAAACTCCGAGACACGTTGATAAAAATCACAACGCCTCCAACCCTCCCTCGTCTGACTTTAGCCTTTTGAATGACGCGATGATGGCACCTAACTCGCTATATTTCGCCCTTTTTTCTTCCCCTTCTTGCATTTCACACACCGGCTGATTTGGCGGTTGTTTTTAGGAGCCGCTGTTGGAAACCTTGCTGCTCTAGACGGGTTTAAATGATTCTCCTTCCTGTATATGTGCGGAACGAGTGTTTATGTGTGTGTGTGTCGTGAAAGCGCAGCTCTACATGTTTGTGTGTCTACATTTATTACACACGGATATATCGGATATTGGGTGTATGCTGTTGATTCAACACTACGTAATGGTGTTTTTATTCTCGACAGCCCGCTAAGCTGTGGAGCACCGACTGTGATGATGATGCTGAATTGGCTGATGGTGCTCGTGGCGTCCATCCGTTTTTTGGGCGGATTGCTGAACATGTATTAACATGAAGAATGTAAAAATGAAAATGCAAGGACTTACTCGCCCTCCATGGCTCGGTGTTGCCCGCCGCTTGCAGCAGCCCACCGCAGGGTCTCCTCGCTCTCCCTCCTTTAACGATCCTCCTGTCAGGAAACACTCAGGCTTGCTCACATTCTCCTTCCATCTGCTCTCATTTTCCTAATCTTCCTCTCTCTTCCTCTTCCTCCAACTTGATGTCGTTTCGGTGTATCAGGATAGGCTTGAGGTTGCAGCAGCCATTTTCCGCTGGCAGCATCCTCCCTCCCTCCCCTCCTCCCTCCCTCTCCTGTTCCTCCTCTCCCTACCTGCCCTGTGCAGCACATCCGCACTAATCATTGACAGCATCGCGGCTTTAGTTGGGCTAGTTTAACAAAGGACTGGAAGCTGATGTGCTTTTATTTGTGTGAACCATTCATCATCACCTCTGCTTCATCCTCCAAAAACTAGAAACAACACAAGAAACACTTTTTAAAATATGTTTTGCACATTTTAATGTTTTGAAATGTTAAAACTGCAGAATTTTATTAGTGTTTTTCATTTAAAGCCATATAAGTTATACAAATGATAAAACGATAGAACGTTTCAGGATTTATTTTCATTTAGAGTCCAAGATGAAGCATTTCAGCACCGTGGACAGCGACAGGTTGAGCCATTTTAACGCTCCTCATTGCGCACGCGCAATCCAAAACTCAAGTTATTTTAAACTAATTTAATTTTACTCTTTAATTTAATTTGCTAAAATCAATGGAAAATGAACCTGGTGGTTGTGGTGTCTTGTTTAAAACACATCCAGTCTCATCTGAGTCGTTACTTAATGTTTTCTCCTGAAACTCAACAGGTAGCCTATATTAAATTTAGCCAATTAACTTTTAGGACCAGTTCCAAGTGTTAGCTCTGTACATGCACCAACTTGATTGAGGCTTTGAATATATATTTAAATTTAAAAAGCCTTACATTTATAGCTTATATGAATCGTAAGTGTGATTTAGTGAAATGTATGAGCACTGTGTAAACAGCTCTTTAAAAAAGTTTGGAGTAACAGAGATTATCCAGACCAGGGAGATTTAATTTTTCTGATGTCTTAAAATAATTCTAATTTCAGAAATGTCACATTTCACACAAACACTATCAATATCTGATTTCACATTATATGGTTAATTAACATGTAGCAGACATTTGTTTGATGTCAGGAGAATTCTAGTTTATTTCTAACTGGATTATTTAAAGACGCGTTGTAGTTGGCTCTATTGTAACCATAGATGTTTTTCAGTCAGTCCAATCAGAACTAATCTGTTTCTCCAAGCTGAAAACATTTCTTTCCATCACATATCTACAGCAAGTAAGATGTTGACATATGACATTTCCATTGAACCTCAATTGAGAGCTATCATTTTAAAGTGGATTAACATTTTAGTCACATATTTGAATTTAGAGGATCCAGATGAGGTATTAGAATTAGCAACTTTGTCATTAACCTGTCATTTCGGCTGCCCCCTGGTGGACGATCTACATGTGGAAAGAGCCAATTTTATTTATATTTTATTATTAAATTATTACAAAATGAAACATTATGGTATAGTTTTTATATTAACATTAGACAACATTAGAGTTCACTTTTTTATTTGTGGGTTCATAATTGGCCTATTTTAATCTTTTAGCAGTTTAAATGTCAAATTATCTCTTCTTTCCATTGAATTACATTGACTAAATAATCCACATTCTGAGCTTTATTTAATCAGAATAGTTTTTAAATCTGGATTAGCTGTGTAAAGGTTTAGCCCCAGTTTAAATTTTCATTCAAATCATTTTAAGTGATGGAAGTGGTTACTTTTACTGAATGATCAACATGATGTGATATTCCATATAAATATGAATTATCAACCTTATTGGTCTTTGAATATTTGATTAAATATTAATTTAGGTTCTTTGAACTATTCAGAGAAACACACACTTCATAATAATTCGCACAGAGTCAAGAATATAGTTTATAAAAATGAATGTAAGACTATATTTCTAAACTAATGAACAAATTGAGATGAATGAGGGTTGGACAAGATAACAATGAATGAAATGATGGAATGTAAGCTAAGATGTTGTGTAGCAAAACCTTATAAAGTGTCTTAGAAATTTGTGATGTCTGGGTTGTAACATCAGTCTGACAGTATGGTTTATCAAGCTGTTAATTAAAACCATCCGACGCCATCGTGCAATCTACGATACCCATGTTGGAAGCTCTCGGTGGTCCGGAGGAAAGGCAGCCAGGTTGGTGCGGTCACCGGATGGATTGGCTCCTGGAATCTCAAAGGTTGTAGTTCCCTTTGAATTAAATTATCACCGGCCTTAAGATGCTACCAGGGTCTGCTAGCAAGATGTACCATGGCTCCTTGTGCGTTGCTTACCCCATTGGCCATAAGTGAACTAACTTTTATTAACTATTGTTTATCAATTTGGACGGATCAGAATTTGACAAGTTAAAGTGGGCGGTATCAAAATACCTCAGACATCACTCCCTTCTCTAAACACTTAAGACAGATTATTTCTTCATGTGAAGTAAAATCTTATTAAACATTAATGTGAAGTAAATGTTTTAAACATTCATAATGATATTGTGTTAATATACTGATGGATTAACATTAAATTCAACAGTTACTAATCTGGTGTCATTTAAAATCGGAAATAAGTCATTACAGGAATAAAACATTCATGATAAACCATCATTCATTACTATAAAGTATTGGAAACGTCATATAACACTTAGGATTTAAACATATTGTCAATTCAACAAAATATATAAAACTTATAAAATCATTTTATGAGCCATAAGATAAACCTTATTCAAAGAATTTGATCAAGTTTTGTGTCTTCTGACTGCAGCGTCTTGATGTGTTGATACACCACAGGATAAGTTAAGAATATTGGGTTAAGTTCATAGAAACTCATATCGGTACCATGAGCCAGAGGGGCCTGAATGTATAACTATGGTCTATAAGTTAAAAGTGAACTTCTGGTCATTTTGATGAAATACTTGGCCATTTGGTACGCTACAACTGATAGTTTGAGGGCATTTTTAAAGTTTTTTAAAGTTTTTCTTTGGACTCCGGCTGTTTTTTAACTCCTGACAATTTTCACTCTACCAGACTTGGTAGGTTTTATGCGGAATTGTTGTAAAGTAAAACTAGTTAGCATTTAGATGGTCCAAAAGGTTTTCTGAATCAAAACTTAGAAAAAAAAAAAGATCAAAGTAAAACTCCATAGATAAAAAATTTAAATATGAAGATGTATATTTTCTTTTTCTGAAAATCTCTCAAAGTGAGCCCAGGATGACTGTAAAAATTGGGAAAGCTAAGGCTAAGATTATGACATCATGTGGATTAATCACTCTTAAGAAATTAAAAGCAGAATTGTGTTGTTTAAATCAGCATTTTTATACCGTTTCAAAAGTAACGCACATCTGATTTCAGCTGTAAAAATTACTGAGCAGCTTCTGCTAAATCAGAGATGTAATTAAAACCATTCAAAAATCATAAATCCAAATTTCACATCTTAGGAAAAGACTGCTGTTCCCTGACAAGTGTGCACAGGGAAGTTTCATTTATCCACAAAAACAATTTGCCTGAGGTAGAATGAAGATGCCATCATTTCCTTCCATTTAAAAATTATACTTTCATCATTTCACTTGATTTGCTCACCTTATTGAAAAAGAGCGACTGATGTCTGGTTTAACCCACTAATTGTCTGAAATGAACAAATTAAAATTATACTAAATTTGCTATAAAAACACCAAAACTGCAGCACACTTGGCATAAAAATGGACAAAAGTGGAGGAATAACTATCCAGAATTTAAAAATAAGCTAAACAAAATGCATAAATTTAAAAAAGGTCAACTGAGTAAAAAAACTATCATTAAAAGATTCTCCTTTTGAAAATCATTTATTGCAAAGAACTGCATCAGAAAACCAAGTGGAGAAAACAAACAAGTTTTAACGACAAATGTTTTAATTGTGGATAAAAACCAGGATTAAGGACTGAACTCTGTATACAAATGCTATTAAAAGATAAAGATGACTGTAGGTGATGACTAAGTCCAAAGTTTTTTGGTAATTGTTGGGTCTCAAGTCGTAATCTCAATATTTTTAATGCTACCTTTAATTTAGAACAGAAATATCTTGGAAAAGGATAATTAATGAAACCCTTATCATTTCTCCAATAAAGACAGATGGGTTGCGGTTGCTTTTCCACATTTGAAAGTGAAAAGAAAAAAAAAAAAAAATACAAGAACCAGCAGATATATTTTAGAAAACTGGAGGAACACGTTTTTAATTAATTTTGAGTTATGGAACATAAATCATCCACCCTGGTAATAGAAGAAGTCGCATCCTTTGGTGAAACAGTGTTTGAGCTGACTGGGTGCATCCTGGATCGGTGGCGTGTTTATCCGAGTGCGTCTGTACACGGTTGAGTGTTCCTGGGGGCGGATTACACAATCATTTCCAGCTGTCGTGCGTATTCGATGACCTGCTGTGCCAGCTCCGTGGAGGGTATGGTCACTTCTTCTGTTCGCTGATGCTGACTGGTGAAGGTGTAGCAGCCATCTGTGTTCTGAGTCCATCCTCTCTGCAATCAAACAAGTCAGGCAGCTTCAGTTATTTGGCCTTTCATTTGTTTGCAAAAGTATGAGAAGGAATTTCTTTGGTATGTTCTTGCAGTGTTGCTTTTCTAACTGCATTGTTGGTTCTTTTTTAAAAACACAGAAAAGGTTTCTTTTTTTTTTTACCTTGTTGACAGTTTTGTTCGCGGCTGGAAACTTCCTCAGAGCTGACGCTGATGGTGGCATCACTTCCTACTCAGTTAGTCCGTGATGCCACCATCAGCGTCAGCTCTGAGGAAGTTTCCAGCCGCGAACAAAACTGTCAGCAAGGTAAAAAAAAAAACTTTTCTGTGTTTTAAAAAAGAACCAACAATGCAGTATGAGAAGGAATTTCATTTAATTAAAAAAAGTGTTTTATTTACATTTCATAAACTTAACATTTAACATCAGAATTTTTTCATTAAAAAATTAGAACTGTTCCTAAAATAAAACAAACTGAAGGAAAATAGATAAATGAAATAAAATTCTCCTAAATAAGAATCATCACCTTCTTGGCATACTCGGTCATCTTTTTAGGAGAGTTGAAGAAAAGCACTCTGGTAGCTTCACTGAACTGGATCTGCTCATACGCCTTCTCTATGCAACCGGCAATCTCATCCCTGCAAATTAAAAACAATCATTTCTTTTTCAAGTTAGACACCAAAAACAGTGGGACATCTTTTATTAGTTTAAATGGCCACTTTCTATTTGAAATAATGTTATTTTAGGGCCAAATGTTGAGATAATTAATGCCACTATTCCACCTGAGCCAATAGACAATTTTCAATTAATTTCAACATTCACTTTTTTATTTAGGAAGACAATGAATTGTCTACAACTCACTATGATATTAGCATTACATAAGAATTATAATTATATGCAACTTAAAACAGACTAGATTTATCATAACACATACAGAAGAACCTTAGAGACAATAATAAATAAATAAACGATTCATAAAAACAGAAATTACAGCAGTTATACTAAGAATGTTGATTCTTACCGAATGGTATCAAGCAGAATATCAATGAAAAAGGTGTAACTCTCAGCAGGGATATTGCCTTTAGCCAGAAATACTTTGTTGTAGCTTCCCTCCATCAAGTACTGAAATAGCACAAATGGAGAGATGAAAATTAGCGTTTTCAGACGTTGTCAGCAAAACACAAAATCTAAACAAAACCTTCAAGTCATTTTTGCTGAATTATCTTCGGGGCTTCTCTGCCTTTTTCATTCAGACTTGAATTTTTCAGAATAATTCTCTAGTGGAAGTTTTTAAATAAATGGGAAAAAGTCCTGATTGGTACAGAATGCAAAACTTACTACAGCATGTGAAGATTAGTGGATGAAACTTCTGATTCACATTAAAGACCAAGTTTACTTGGCTTCTAGTATAAATAAACACCTTGCGAGTCGTTCTGTGGGGAAAAAAAGCCCTGGCGCTCCTGTTTCAGGAAGTAGGAGTGAACCGGCGCAGAACACTGCAGGATCTTGGGTGTTTCTCAATGTCAAGGAACCTTGCCTTGATGTCTTGGCCCCACCCCGGTTGCCTAGGAGATACGTCATCAGGAGCCGCCAAGACGTGTTCCTATCGGTTCCAATGTTCATGTTCTACTGAGGTGTGTGTTCTCCGTTTGTTAGCCGTTTAGCTAGCTGAGCAAGGATACACGGGAGGTGTCTTGTAGCCTAGCCTTGGTCAAAAATTACCCACAATACACCGCGGTATTTTCTAAAAGATGGCGCATCAGAAGCCGGCAGCTACTTCGGGGACAATTTTCAAGTTTAAAAGTAAGTCAGCTAATTTAAAATGTTTTTTTAGATCCAAAGAATTTATCCATTGTTGGTTAGTTACTTAGTAGTTGCAGCTTCGGTGGCTAGCGGGTAGTAACTCAGTAATATTTTTAGTTTAATAAACATGTACACAATTTAAAAAGTAAAAGGCTTGTTTCATATTTATATTGAAACTAATACATATAAAATATAACGTTATCTTCCTTGTCACATGACATCACGTGACCGCCGTGGAAGCTGCGGTCACGTGATGCAAGTCTGTTCCATTTAAACGTTTTCTTTGACCAAGGAAGGACAGTGTCCTCGTAAGCAAGGCGCCTGGCCTCGCAAGACATTGCCTCGCAAGGCAAGGCGCCTTGACATTGAGAAACATCCCTTGACTTGACTCTTATTTCTTGATATTCGAACATCTCATCTCTGATTGGATAACAGCAGCACGACTTTACCACAGACTCTGTTTTCTTTGCAACATGATGTTTTATCGTTATAAATAACAGGAGTTCTGCCGTTTTGTGGAGTTGCTCATGCTAGCGGTTAGCTTCTACAAGCCAAGACTCGCTCTGCTCTCTCCTGGATGCTAAAAAAACATCAGCCTTCCCTGTCATGAGTCGTTTTGCCATAAATACTAATTTTCAGTGTGACGCAGATCTGACTAGCTTTTTTAATCTGAGCATTTCCTTGTGTATTTTCTAAACGGTGCCTAATACAGGAAATAGGAGTAGATGACCATCATCACATTCAGCCCACTTCTTAGTGAACTTGGCCTTTAACTGAAGGGGACTCATCAAGTGGAAAAAATAAATAAAAAAGTCAGTGTAAATATATCAGCTGATAACTGGCATGCTGATCTGTAATACAGTCACGCCACATGTCCAAATTAGAAAGGTAGTATATGTGTAAAAACAGCTAATATTTTTATTTGTACCCATTTGACCTAATTGTTTCATAAAATTTTTGCATTTTTTAACATTTTAAGTTTGTGTTTAGTCCAAGCGTGTAAATAACAGCACCTGCTCTAAGGAAACGGGATGTTTGATGTACACGTTGGTCTGAATATCTCGTGCACTCAGTCTCTCAAGTTCTGTGTGAAACTCAGACACACGATTCTGTGAGAGCAGGAAGAGAAGGTTCAGCCCAAGTAACTGGTGCATGTAGGCAGCTTCAGGCAGCTCGTCTCTAGATGACACACACACACACACACACACACACAAAAGTATGTTAAAAGAAACCATTAGGTATAAAATGTTCACAGCACACAAAAAAGTGTATTACTTGTAATCAAAGTAGTAACATTTCAGTTGAGCCATGTATCTCTCAAAAGATGGAATGTCTTTCTTGAGGATGCTCCACAGAGCTCCGATCTCAAGGACATCGCCTGGAAACACCATAAGTTTGAAGTTACACATGTACAGTTTTACTATACAGGCATTACTAATAACGTCTGAATAGGTTTTACTCACGAGCTAAAATAAGCTGCTGCTTGGTGATACCAGATCCTTTGGTAGGTAAAAAATTCAGCTCCAGTAGAGAAACCTGTAAAAACAGGGAATAAAATAATTAAAGAAAAGTGGATCAGAGAAGCACTTTTCGGTTAGATGACAGTGACATGTGTGGGTAGTAACAGAATAATAAATATAATTCATTGTCATCTCTTAATTATTTGACAAAGATGCAAGTGAAAGTATGACCAGAATCAACAAGAGAATGAAACTGCTGTACATCTGTATTTCAGATTGACATAAATATCTGTATAAAGATTAATGCATTGCTTAAAAACTTATTTAAATAGTACTTTATGTAAGTACTTTGTTGATTGGGTGCATTTCCACCAGAATTCAGTACAAATTAACATTAGATATAACATTTACAGTCATTCTAACGAACTGTCTGACAATAGTTGTTAAATAAAGATAAATAAAAACTATATTAAAAAGTATCCAGATGAATGTCAATGTAAAACTGATGCTAACGTTAGCTACAACAAATGATCCGTGTTCAGAGACTGTCGCTTAAAAAGCTCAAAACTATGAAAATGTCTAATAACGCAAACTGCAATGTATATCCGAATAATTAAAACTCAAATAAAAGCATAAACCATGTAAACAGTAATCCCTCATTAAACGTATACGGCGCTTTAGAACATCGAATTAGCCTAGCTAGGCTGTTAGCGTACTGAGCTACGTTTGCTAATACCACTATAGTTTGAGAGTAGGACGTGTTACAGATTCAACTTGTACGGTTTAAAAAATTAACAACGAAAACATTAACAAACGTGTCACCTTGAGCTTGCTCAAAAGGTCTCCACACTTATTCGGGTTTGGATTTTTCTTGTTCCATTCAGCTTTTAGAGTCTCATACAACCCAGCAGTCTCTTTCAACGCCATGGTGATTCTGCAAAATGTTCGACATTGGCTCCCGTTTAACGGCTGTCGTGAAACACCCGTTACCATAGCTCCCTCTTGAGACGGCACCAGTCCCACATTTGATCAAGATGGCGGCCTTCGGCGCAGAACGGTGGCTGAACAACTTGCCAAACCACACAATTTTCAGAAAACTACGAGAGACGCTGGATTTGGAATCCAGGTCAAATGAAAGAGAAGTCGCTAAAAATCTTACGTTTTGTCTGGGCGGGGACTTTTTCGTGTGGGACAACGCTGAACGCGTTTTTTACACGACCAACCTGAGGCAGCTGAACTCTGATAGTGAAAGCGGGAAGTTTCAGACGCTGCTTTGCATCAACCCTCCTCTGTTCGATGTGTGCCAGGTGTATGTGAGCCCAGTGCAGCATCACGTCGCGCTGGTCGGACAGCGGGGCATTTCGGTTCTGGAGCTCCCTCAGCGATGGGGCAAGAGGTCCGAGTTTGAAGGAGGACGGGACAAAATCAACTGCAAGACCATCCCGGTGGCGGAACGCTTCTTCAGCAGTTCACCGTCGGTGAGTCTGCGACAAGCTGCGTGGTACCCGAGCGAGACCGACGAGCCCCATGTTGTGTTGCTCACATCAGACAACACCATCAGGTTTTACGGTCTGAAGTCGCCTCAGACGCCGGCTAAAGTTCTGCAGCTGTCGCAGTCAGAGGATGACTGCAGCTCACAGCATCCGGTTCGGTCCTATGCTGCATCTCTGGGAGAGATAGCTGTGGCCTTTGACTTTGGGCCGGTTTCATCCCCTCCTCGAAAGGTGGCAGCCCAGATTCCCAAAAATCAGCTGGTTTACCCTCTGTACGTTTTGTATGAAAACGGGGAAACCTACGTGAGCTACGCTGGTCAGACGAACGGTCTGAGTGTGAGTAAACCGGCTGGACCCCTCCCTATGTATCCGGCAGCCGAGGATAACTATGGCTATGACGCCTGTGCCATCCTGTGCCTGCAGTGTGCCCCCAGCATCTTGGTGATCGCCACAGAGACGGGGACTCTGTATCACTGCGTAGTGCTGGAGTCTGAGGAGGAAGACGAGGCAGGGGCTGTGGAGAAGTGGATCCGAGGCACAGAGGCGGTACCGGCTCTTTACGTGTTTGAATGTGTCGAGCTTGAGCTCACTCTCAAAGTAGCTTCAAGGGAAGACGAAGAGCCTCAAGAGTTGGATTTCACCTGTCCAATTCGTCTGCACCAAGACCCCCTGTGTCAGCAGAGGTACCACTGCACCCACGAAGCCGGAGTTCACAGTGTTGGGCTCATATGGGTCAACAAAATGCAGAAGTTTCTTCAGTCCAGCGAGGAGGACAAGGACAGTCTCCAGGAGCTGGCTGCAGAGAAGCGCTGCATCGTGGAGCACATTCTCTGCACCAGACCGCTGCTAACCAGCCAGTCGGCTCCGGTTCGTGGCTTTTTAATAGTCTCCGACCTTTCCTTGGGCGCCACAATGATCTGCGTCACTGCCATGTTCGAGTGCATCATGTTGCCCCTTCTAAGCTCCATCCGTCCACCCTCCCCTCCACTGCTCTGCTCCCACCCAGTTCCTGGCTCCATCAGCTCACCTCTGCGTGGGCTCGCCAACGACTCCTTCGAGCAGCATATCCGCAACATTTTGACACGTGGCTCCACTAATCCCCTTGTGCTAAAGGCAGGCGATAAGGACACATCACCTCCACCTGCAGAGTGTCTGCAGCTTCTCAGTAGGGCCACACAGGTCTTCCGCGAGGAGTACATTCTAAAGCAGGACATGGCTTGCGAGGAGATGCAGAGGAGGGTGAAGCTTCTGCGAGAGCAGAAGAACAAGCAGCAGGAGGAGTTCACTCTGTGCAGAGAGGAGAAGAAGACTCTGAGAGAGGCGGCAGAGAGGTTGGCTGATAAGTACGAAGATGCCAAGTATCGCCAAGAAACCATCATGAACCGAGTTAAGAAGGTGTTGTGCAGCCTGCAAAGCCAACTGCCCATCCTGTCCAACAGTGAGAAGGACATGAAGAAGGAGCTGCAGACCATCAACGATCAGCTAAAACACCTGGATAATTGCATCCGGCAGGTGAACATGAAGATGGAGTACCAGCAGAAACAAGTGGACAAGGACATGTCTTCAGCTAGGATGACAGTGTCACTCAACGCTCAACAGAAGAAGGTTGTTCAGGACGTCCTGAGAGAGCAGGGACAGCAAATCGGTGACATGATGAAGCAGATCAAAGACATCAAAAACCACTTCAACTTCTAATCTCCTTTGAGACGCAGACATTTTCTGTTGGAGGAAGTAACTTTTATGTTTTTGGTCAAAGTTTCATGTTTTCTAGCATTTAGTGAAAAGTTACGAGTGCTTTATCTTTTAGGAGCGTGAGACAGACGTGAAAGATAAATGTTTTCCACCCAAAAAAATCTTTAAAAATGTTGTTTAAGTGGAGAACAGCAGGCTTACTGTTGGGTTTTCTTTGTTCAGGCTGTTCTAAAAATACAAAAATAAATGTTTATGCTCTCTAAAGACATGTTTTCAACTCAACTGTGTACTACACGTCTATTTTTGACATCGTTTTTCAACTTTTAAATAAATGTCAATGCTTTCTGTGGCTGTGACTATTTACAGAGCGTTAGCAGTTAAACTTTTAAATAATTAAACCAAATTAAATTTAAAAAAAAGTTACAGTTTTGATAGAATGTGATTTTTTAACTGGATGAATACATGATTGTGCTGAGCTTTGCTGCCGCTATAGGTCTGCGATTTTAAAGTCCAAGTAAAGATAAGAAAAGTTAAACACTTAAAATCTCCAGCAGATTTGATATGTTGTTAGAACACAAGTAAATATGGTTAAGAGATGCTTTTCTTGTAGAATCATTTTTATTTTCAATATTCTGACATGAAAAAATTTGTTGATTTTTGAAAAAAATTCCTTTAAATGTAGACTGTCAAATCTGTCAGGTTATGACAGATTTTTTTTAATCTGCTAAAAAAAATAAAATAAATTTAAATAACTTCAAAATCTAGTATTTATTAGTATTTCCTTCCTTAAGAATCTAAAATAAATATTACAGGATCATTTTTACTTCCCTCCTTTATATTTGAATCAACACTCAAAAATAGTGAGGCAAATACAAACAACATAGTCTGAAAAGAAGTAGGTGTAAAGCTAATTCAAACAGTATGTGTGAAATTAGAATTATTTTAACTGATATATGTTTATTTCTACCTGCCTACCATCTGTGCTCGTATGGTCGTTTAAAAATATCTCTTCATATCCCTACATCCTTCACTATCAAAATGTACCAACATACTTCCATATTTACCAAAAAATATAATAATGATTACATTCCCACGATCTCCATTTAACGATGACACGAAACTATCCAAACTAACGCAACCCCAATCATCGCAATCCCATACTGTCCAACAAATTCCTCATATTTTCTATCCTATAATATAATTTTTTGTTTTACATTTTTATTTTAAATCTTCACATAAGCTTTTCCATAAATCTATGGGGTGACATTTGTGAAGTCAAACAGTCATATCTGTAGCTCAGGTGGTAGAGCGGGTTGCCTCATGATCGGAGGGTCATGGGTTCGATTCCAGCTCCTGCCAGGGATATCCTGCTGTTGTGTCCTTGGGCAAGACACTTCACCCAACTTGCCTGTGTTAGTGGTGGTCAGAGGGGCCGACGGCGCCAAATGGCAGCCTTGCCTCTGTCAGACCTCCCCAGGGCAGCTGTGGCTACAAGTAGCTTACCATCACTAGCAGTGTGTGAATGTGAGAGTGTGTGAAAGCGTCTTTGGGGGTCTTGAAAAGCGCTATATAAGTTCAATGCATTATTATTATTATTATTATTATCTTAGCAGTATTTTGGGTTATTTAGCCTCTCATAAGAGAAATAAAATGGAGTTTATTTTTCAGTCATATTTTCACCATGTTATTCATACATTTATAAATATTAAATAATTGAACTAAATATTTTTTTAGCAAGCTAATATTTCATTTAGAGTTAAATATTTATTTTATGACCAAAATATTTGGGTCTGACCTTTTTTTCCTCCACCTGAACCAATCCTCATGTAACCCTCTCGACTCAGGGTTGCGAATGACCACAGTCATCAATTCTTGTCATGTGTCTTTGCCTATGTATGTCTGATCTCTGAATTGTGTGTACTGAAACTCTAATTTCCCTCTGGGATCAATAACGTATCTTTGAATTTGACCTGAATTGAATTGAACATTTTGTTTGCAAAAGAAATATTTGATTTATTGGTAATTCTTCATTTTACAACTGAAATATTTAGGTCAATATTTAGTATGTAAAATAAAAATGTATTCACTAACTAAATGCGTAATTTTTGGTTTTCAAAATAAGTATTTAGATCCCAGTTAAATATATATTATGGGGCCATATCTAAAAATTGAATTTGCAAACTAAATGTTCAGCGCCAAATTTATTATTAAGCTGGTATCTAAATATTTATTCGGGAAATTTAGAGCAAAATATTTATTTTGGAAAATATATTTAATTTGGAGCTAATTATTTAGTTTGTAATCTAAATGCTTAGCTCCAAATTAAATAGTAAGTAATTGAAAAATTTAGTTCTGACCTAAATATTTTTATTTGTAAAATAAATATTTAACTCCAAATTAAATATTTAGCTTAGGAATTTTAACATTTTTAAATGTAGGAATAACACGCTAAAAATCTTGAGTTTGAAAAAGGAACTCCCATTTTTTCTTCTTCTGATGCGTTAAATAACCCAAAATACTGCTATAAAATATCGACTTTACAAATTGCACCCCATAAAAATTCAACCACACATCTTTTTGTGCAAAATACAATATATCTGAATGTGAATAGCAATAAAGACAGGTATTTTCTCTACTTACATGTCCCTTCCTGCCTGCTGGGTGCCATTAGCAGCTGCAAACTAAACAAGGAATCCTGCATCCAGCAGAGGTCACTCCTCTCCAGAGCAGATGGCCTCTGTTCTTTCTTCCACCTCAGCTTCCCAGAGAGGAATTCCCCTCAAAAACAGCCGGTGACGTACAAGGAGACCCCGGTTTTGTTGAGTAAGCTTTGGAGTTGGGGATCTCTAGAGTCTGTGAGGTTCGTCTGCTGTAATCTGTAAGGCGGCTTCACCCTCCATGATTTAAATGATTTATGACTCAGCACAGTTTGTGGAACAGAGGTTCTTTGTTCAGATCGGGATCTTCTCTCTCTGCTCTCCAAACCAGCATTTCTGCATGTGACATAAAAATATAGCAATAAAAACAGCATGTTAGTTAGTTGTGTCATTTAAAAATCCCATTTTTCCTTCACAACTCCCTGGAGAGGGTGTGGTGTTTTCCAGGGCTTTGCCCGAGCTCTCTAAAGTGAGGAATGTTGCTGGGATCCTTCATAGAGGTACAGTGTTTAGATCCTGAAGAAACTTAGCGGACCCTAGGAAAAGGAGATATTAATAACTCCAGACCAACCCTCCACATTCCTCACATGTGAGTCACTGTAAACCAGAGAGCAAGGAGAAAAGGACCGGATTGCTTCTGTTCCTCGTTTGTGTTTCTTTCCACAGAGGAGTGGAACGAGGAGGCGCAGAGGCCGCCCCTCCATTTGGGAACGCTTTAAAAGAAACACACGCAGCTGCATATGGGATGCACATTCGTGTTCATACCGCAAAGATTTACACCAAAATCCAAACAAGAGGCACGGGCGGGGATGACGGGAATGTTGGTGCAACAGTAAACCAGCATGAGAGGGAACAAATGGGCTGTGTGTGAGCGGCAGGCCGAGGAGAGACGGATGGAAAATGGTGGTATGGGGACTTGGCAGGGTCGAGTGTGAGTCACTGTTTATCTGGCCTGTTACCAGGTGACCAAGTCAGCCTCGGAGAAAGGAAAACTGTTGGTTTGGGGCTTTTTAAATTTAAATTACTATTTAAAATTAAAACACATCACACAATATGTGTCACAGTTAAGAAACTTTATTTATTTGCAATAATAGTTAACATACAAACAGTTCGTGGAGCTGTGCACAGTAGTCAGTAATCCGTCATTCAGTCTAGTTTAAAAGTTCATTCATGCAAGTTGCTCCTGCACATGGAAAACAGCAACAATCCCAAAAACAACAACAACAAAAGTTTGCACAAATTCACGTGAGGCACCAAGGTGAAAATGCACAAAGGTTATTACACTTGAGCTGCTTTATGGCTAAACAAAAAAAAAGCTTTAAAGAAAGCCGGTCTTTATTTTGAAAGGCCAAACGAGGAAAAGAAGAAGCAGTTTCACAAAATTTTTATCTATTTTTGGAGAAAGTTTTATAAATTCACTTCCTAAAACAAGCTCAGAAGCCATCAGAGAACACAAGAAGACTTAAACTCAGAAGCTCGATGTAAAAATAAAAAAAGGTACATTTTCAGAAGTCAAAGGTAGAAAATAAAGGTGGGAGGCCTGGTCACATCATGTTTTAATACAGTATGTTCAGCTGTGCAGGGGTACAGTCTCAAAGGAGGAGTAGTGAATATACTGTTGTTGTGTGTGCTGAAGGGGTTAAAGCAGACGCAAACAGCATCTGGAGTGAGACAGCTAGTGGAGGCGTGTCTACGCATCAGAGCCCTTCTGTCTGCGTTTGGAGGGGGGGATCAGGCGGGAGGGCAGCTCAGGAGGCAAGCCGTGCCCCTCCAGCTTCACCTCAATCAGATGGCTGGCCAGGGCGAATTCTTCATCATCCAGCATGCCGTCGCGGTCCACATCCGACAACTTCCAGATGCGACCCAGCACCGAGTTGGGCAGACGGGAGCTCACCATCCAGTCCTTGGCCTTGTTGCCGCTCAGCTTCCCCTCATTGGGGGCGAGGTTGTAGAAGATTTCATCATACTTGGGCTTGTCTTTGGTCACCACCCAGTCCTCCTCCTCTTCACAGCCCTCTCCGTTCTCCTCGCCAAAGGGGTCACCCTCGTTGAAGGGCCCAACCCGGGTCCCTAGGAAGGCACCACCCTGCACGCCGGGTTGATCGCCTGCTTCCAGCTCCTCTTGCCTCAGGAGGGGCATTAGTTTGGCGATATCAGAGGACAGTAGCTCATCAAGGACGGCCATCAGGTTCGGCTTCAATGTTTTGAACTTGGTGAAATCATGAACCATAAGTTGTTCCTTTAAAAACAATAATGCTGCATTAGCCACTTGTTCTAGAATCCAATAGATGTTTAGCTAAACTCGTTGCTCGGACAAACCTGCATCTTGGCACAGTCAGGGAAGTCTCCAGGAGAAATGTTGTACTGCAGCTGGATCTTTGAGTAGATAACTGGCAGCTGATGGATCAGGTTCTTCTTTTTATTGTCTTTCCTGAAGACAGAAGGCATCTCCTGCTTCAAATGGCTGATGATGTGAGCGTGGACCTGTAAGAAAAGTACAGTAACATTCCAAATCATTCCAGAAACCCTCAGTTAATCAAAACCCAAACGAATCACCTACCCTGACCAGGCGTGCCCTCTTGACCAGGTCGTTGAGCTTGCGTAAAGCTGCGTTGCGAGGAAGGTTTTGGATGTCAGCGAACAGATCTTCCTCCTCCAGCTCAAACAGCTTACGGTTATCTGGAACCAGCAGTGGCTCTGACCAAAATGAGCCGATATAGACGCGCAGGACCTCCGGGGTGTTGAACACCTTCCCTAGGGACCACATCAGAGCACCGTAGACTCTCATCAGCTGCTGGGTGCCCACCATGTCCGCCTTGTTGAGGACCACACGCAGCTTGTCCTCGTTGCCCTTCAGGGCCCCAATCGCCTCTGAGAACTCATCTGATATCTCCAGTTTGTGGGCATCAAACAGCAGGATGATGCGGTCCACGCGTTCTGCAAACCAGCGCAGCACAGCCGGGAAATCGTAGCCTGGTGAAACAGAGCAAAGTCAGATAAATTTATAAATCCAAATTCAAACTCCTAGTATGTTATAAAATGTTCTAAAGCTTGGAACCTCACTGATGCATTCAGAATGGGAGGAAAAATCTTCTAAAGTCTTTATTTGCTTTTAAATGAGACACGTTCTGCTATATTTTCTTAAGTTGTGTTTATGAAGTTCTTAATCCCTCTCACGTAAAGCAAGTTCAGCAGTTTTATTCTTCAAATTTTTGGTACCTTCCAGAATGAGCCGTTTCAGGGCTCTGTCACTTTAAGAAAACAACCTGGAGCTGGCCACGCCTACCCATCCCCCACTCATGCTGCTATTGGCTGAGAAGCTCTGATACCAGAGAGGGGCTTGGAGAAGAGCTGCGGGTCTCTCTCGCTTGTGGTTCTATTCTAATTTCCCTGTTTGTCACAAAATGTGACTTTTTGAAATGGCTTGTTTAAGGCCTGGGGGCTGCATGGTGGCGCAGTGGTTAGCACTGTTGCCTCGCAGCACGAAGGTTGCAGGTTTGAAACTCGGCTGCAGCCTTTCTGCGTGGAGTTGCGTTTTCTCCCCATGCATGCGTGGGTTTTCTCCGGGTACTCCAGTTTCCCCCACAGATCACAACATGCCCTATAGGTTATAAATTGTAAGTCGCTTTGGATAAAAGTGTCTGCTAAATAAATAAACATAAACATAAATGAACATAAAGGCACATACTTTCTAAAATGAATTACTGACAGGAAACGGGTGAACATTCTTTGTTCATGTTTGGAGCTTTTACAGAGGCAGTAGAGACCCATGTGGCAGCCAGAAAAAATGCAAAAGGCGAGTTTTGTGTCTCATTTATTAAATCAAATGTTATTCCTGAAATGTCCAAAAATGTGCTTCTATAAAAACAAAAATAGATTGATACGTTTATTTTTTTAAACCATCGCTTTTCATTCCGGCAAGCCCCAGGAGCAGTGCTCCTTCCACCCTGCTGCTCTGGAGCAGAGGAGGAAAACTTTCAGCAGCATATTTCTAAATTGAAGCCAAGGAAATATAAACAATCTGCTATATTATCACCGGACTCAAACAAGTTGTAATGACTTGACCTTTTCACCCATTAGTTTCTCATGCAGACTGAATTAATACGGGTTACTAGGAAGATGGGTAAATGGAAAAATGTTGCAAGATGAAGTTGATGATGGCAGTAATTTCTCAACAGTGTGTTCCTCCAGATGTGCTGTTGGAATTTCTGCCTGAGTTGTTTCTGTTGCTGATTAAGAATTTATGACTGCCGAGATGTTTTCGTGTCCTGCTGCCAAGCGTTACAGCGAACCAGCTCCATGGATTAGCCGAGCGTGTCGAGATGAGATGAGTTTGCGTGGAGATGATGATCAAGGGATGCATCTTTCGCTCTTTCTTCCCCTCTCTCACCTTTTTTACCCCGCTCACCTCGGCTCACTCTCTGCTTAGCGCCGGACAGGATCCCAGGTGTGTCAATGATGCTGATGCTCTCCAGGACCTGGTTAGGCATCTGGGCACACTGGAATCTGGTTTATTCAGAAAATACATTTATTTACCGTTATTTTTTAAAAAGGCAAACGTGATCAAAGGAATGTATTGACTACTTTGTAGACCTCCAACCAGTCCCTCCCCTCGAGGGTCCATTGTGTACAGCTCGGCCCCGCTCTGCTCGGGGCTTCCTGAAGGAAAATGACCCTTACTGCCAGAATCAAACAATAAGATCTGCTAACGATCCAAGGCTTAGAACAACAACCCTTCTTCCTGTGGTTTAGGAGCTTAACGAGCCCAACCGTTTCCCAGGACAGGAAGTCAACGCAAGCAGAGACGCAACAAACCCTCACAAACATGACCCTCATGGCAAACTGGCAGCAGATAGGGCCCCGGTAGAAGGAGCTTCCCCACACTTCTAGTGGTTTTCCCAAAACGTGCACGAGCAGCTGGCGGTGCAGCAAAACAAAGCTGGTGTGAAAGAGTTTTGTTTTTGTTGTAATCTTTCCCTCCAACAGTTTGCAGCTTAAAATCCCCCCCCGAGGCTCCTGTGACCTTTGACCTTGTGTTTTAAATCATGTGCTCTGTAATTCACATCAGAGCTCGCCTGCTTTCATCACCCTCTCAGGTCACATCGCTCCCTTTCTCTGTTTTTTCCACAAATAAGGAAAGTGACTCCTCACTCTGAAATTTGGCACAAGTGCATGAAATTCCTAACACTTTCCACAAACTTTCTTCCCTCTTGCGAAACGCTTTTCCTACCTAACTCCGACTCCCTCTGTGGGAACGCGATAAAGCCTTGAGGATAAACTCCCTCTGCTCTCACCTGTTGAGAAAGGTGTTCCCAAATGGGTTGAGCTTTCGGAAAGGCTTGTTGGGATCTACGATGAGGGCATTCCCTGGTATGACTCCCTCTACCTCCCCGTGCATGATGGCAGTGAAGCAGTCGGTGGTGGGTTCAGGGCCCACCCTGCTCCCAGGAATGTCCTGCTCCAGCAGATACCTGTCAGTCACACAGGTAGGTTTAAATTGTGAACGCACAAAGCTAACATCAAATAAACGCTTGGTTTAGAGCTGGAAGGTCTTACTTGATGAACGTGGTCTTTCCAGTGGAGTACTGTCCCACAACCAGCACCATGGGCTTGTTGTCAAAGTCTGCATCCTCCAGACTGGGAGAGTGGAAGTCCTGGAAACCATAATACTGTTCCAGAGGCAGCAGCTTCTTGCGGTACAAAGACTTCAGCCCTTCTGTCACAGTTCGAATCACCTCAGGCGCCTTCTTTACGTTTTTACGCCCCCAGCGTGACATTTTTTTATGACTAATGAGATCATGGGTGGAAAAAAAAATCTTATTGTCTGGATCAGAATTTCCTTTAGGTGAATCAGGGAAAATCATCAGGTGTTTCCTGTATTTACACAAAGGCTACTCACTTGTCCTTGAGGTCTTTTCTGCACACACCAAAAGGAATGATAGGTGGTTCCAACCTTTAGCCTCTGAAACGTGGTGGAAAATAAATACAAAGGTAAAAAAAAAAAAATGGAAAAAAGGAGATAATCTGCAAATCAAAAGAAATATTTGTGTTGGTGATCAAAGCTCTAGAGCAGGGATGTGGAATTTTGGAGCACAAAATACTCAGTCCACCAAATGACTGCCAAGTATTGTCAGTGCATGCCTGGAGAGGAAAGTTGGTGTTCAAGCTGGAAAACTTGCAAACCCACCCTGGCGTCAGGATTTGCACAGTCACAGCTCATTTCTTTACAGTGAATTGAGAAAGACATTTCTTTTATTCCCCGCAGTTCCTCTCAAAATGAGAAAATGAAGTGATGGAAAAACACATTTCACTCTTTTTGACTGCATATTTAGATACGCTGGACTAAAAAGATGGAGGCGTAACTCATTAGAGACGCAGAATAACCCTGAGGAAAAGAGATAAGATACGTGTCAGTGACTGATAACTCATCTGTGAAGAACTTCCCTTGCAAATCCCATTTCAGCTAAGAAGGGGGGAAAAAAAGGATCTGCCCAGAGGAGAACAGGGAGCACAGTCCTGACATGTCATAAGACCCATGAGATCTTTTTAAAATGGCGAACTCTGGAGGAACATTAAATGTTGCCATCACAGACGAATGTTCAGCTCAGCTGAAGCTGATTTATGAGGAAATTATAGTCAGGTTTGGACTCAGAGATCAACTTGTAGTTAAAAGATGATGGAAAATGCCTCGTGGGTTTCTGCACCACACTTGCAACACTGGTGTGGATTTGGAACAAGAAGAGTAAAGTTCCAGGCGGCCGGAGCAACAAGTATCAGGAAAAATCACTTCTGCGTTATAAGAATGGTGAGAAATAAACTGGAAAAAGACACAAATGTGTAAAATAACTGTTATTTATCATACAAACACTGAAGGTCTTGTTTTCTCTCAACTTTCAGATTACAAATAGAACTTTTTGTCATAACAAAGCTTGTTTTTGTGAAAATAAGCCCAGAGCAATAATAGCTCTGACAAGTGTTTTGGAGATTAAGAGGCCGAATTTACCTGTTTTCTTCACACGCCTCGATCCTCTCCTCCTTCGGTCCCTGGAGTCTAGAAAATATGTTCAAAAACACAAACAAACTTGCTTTGGAGGAGCAGCTGCTACACGTACGGGTGTACCTCCACCAGCGAATAGGAGCCCTGTGTGGAGCGTCAACACAGCTGGATTACAGCGGATCCTTCTTCTCCAGGGTTTAAAACATTTCAGATGAGCTCCAGATCTGCTAGCTGGAGGAACTCAAGTTCAGCACAGTGAGGCTGCTCTTCCTCCCTCCCTCTTGGACTCTTTAACAGACCTCCTCCTTCTACAGCGATGCCTAGCAGAACTAAGGGCAGCTCTAACTTTCTGCACACATGGATGAGTTGAACTGCGCCCAGAGGGCGTGGATCTATCAAAAAGGAGGGGGTGTGAAAAATAATTTCAGAGTTGCTATTTTCTTAATGACGTAACATATTTATGCACATTGAAAGTCACGTGACCTCATGTTAGACTCCCATGTTTTTAGACTGAATGTGCAACAACACGCCGTTTATTTACAGATGATGGCACCGTTACTCCTTTAGGGCCGTGAAGCTGACAAACCAGATCTGATTCCACTTTCCTGCACCACCTGCTGGCAGTCTGATGGAGGAAAAACTCTCCACCGCGGACACACCCTCCTGGTTATCGTAAAAAGCTGTTTGTCATTACTAGTCACGCAGAGGAATCCAAACATAAAAAAACCAAACTAATTTACTTTAAAGTTTCATAAAAGAAGCAAGGTTTAATTTACAGTTTTACTAAATGTACATTTCTTTTAAAAAGTGTCATTATACACAATAAATACAATACAAAATTAATCTGTAATACTATACTTCAAATTCTCTTCCAGTCTTTTTTGTACATTATTATTGTTCCTTTTTTCCACTCGATGCTTGTGCTGCGTTTGTGTTTGACTCGTCCAACAGAAGACAAACTGATGGGAGGCAGGGATACGGACGGCACAAAGCTGAAACAGCAGGGAAACGCAGATAAAACTGTTCTGACCTCTGCTGACCAAAATGCATAATGCTCTAACCTGGAAACACGAGTAACAGCGCAGAGGGGAGGATCCCAAACTAAAACAATCTGGAAAAACTGACATTAGGAGGCAAATAGAACCTAATTTCAGCAAAAGTTTGTTTAAATCTCAAAAGTGTGTTACAGCATCAGAGTAGCCGTAAAAAGGAAAACAAAGCTTTTTCAAATTATATTCTGAAAACATTTGAATCTAACATCCGTATGAAACTGCAGACTGAACGGACGCCAAGTATAAAGAGCCAAAATTTGTGTGTGTCGCTTGCATTTGTAAAGCAGCATTATCTCTGTGATAAAAACCAAATCGGTGCCAGAACACTGCGCTTTTACGACATTTTACAGGATCGCAGTGGCATTTTCTTAATTGCGAGGCTCAGCGGGACGCCGTTCATACCGGGAGGCAATCTGCCGAGGAAAGAAAGTGAATGTTTAGGTGTTGAAATGAGAAAAAGAAGAATTAAAAGTTCTAAAAACTGTGTGTTGTTGCTAAAGGGAGGTTGGAAGAAGACAGTTCAAGCCTGTTCAAGTCTGCAGGTCACTACATTTACTTCCAAAGGCTACGTAGGTCAGACCGTATATGAGAGAAATGTCCGCACAGCTCAAATAAACACACCTGACACAGCTAAGCAGAGCAGTACAGTGAAGCTGTTCTCACGGTGCCTCCACTCCCTGCCTCCTACCATCTTAGTCACCCCCATCAGTCCAGTCTGAGGGGCTGTTATCTGCTTTGAGTCTGGGGTACCAGGCTGCCGTTGTGGCCGCGGCCACCAACCTGAGGGTGCTGAGCCAGCGAGGACGACGGAGATGCAGATGAAGGGTTAGGGACTGAAGGTCTGTGGGACGAGGCTGCCAGATCTCCAGGACGCTGACTTTGGTGTTGGTGGGGCCTGCTGCTGCCCCCTCTGATGTGGAGCCCGCGAGTGGAGGGCTCCTGCTGCAGGTTGAGGATGCTGTCGATGGCACACTGCAAGTGCTCGTTCAGAGAATCGTCCGGGGGGCTGCCGCTGGAGAAGCTGGCGTTGTCCATGTCAGGAGAGTCCGACTTGCAGCGTTTGGCAGGAAGCAGAGAATCTCTTGAGAAGGAGGACTCCGGAGAAGGAGGCCCGGGGGCATGTTGGTCCATTCTGAATGTCCCTCCAGTCCGCTGTCTGTTTTTTTCACCTAACCTTTTGTATTTACTGACATCCGTGTCCTGGTCGGTGTGCTCCTCCCCTCTGTCCTTGTCTATGAGCAGAGACAGACGGTGGTGCTGTGTGGTTTTGATCCCATGGTTAAACATCTCGTTCATTTTGTCCCGCCCCGGCAACGTGTTCCCTAAATGGCCGCCATCGTGGCTCAGCTCTGTGTGAGTGTGTAAGCCACCACCGTCTCGCTTCTCCACCTTAATGCTGGCTATCACTGTCCGCTCTGAGGGAGGGGAGGAGGCCTCGTGTCTGGGGGGTGACGGTGTGGTTCTGGGGTAGGAGAAACTATCATCCCCTCCTCCTGGGACTCCAGGTCTGACCCGGGGACTGACATTTTCGCGGTAGGTTTTCCGAAGGGGAAGGCGGCAGGTTGTCTGTGAGGGTGTGGCAGTGGAAGCGGGGTTGTGTTTGAAGCCGTGGTGTTCCAATGTCCCGTTCAACTGAGTGGAGGACGAGGAGGTGGAGGATGATGGGACTGCAGTAGGCGGGGCTTTACCTCTCGGTGGGGCATTACACTGGGTGGTTGCTGTGGAAACCGTAAAGCCAGAGGAAGAGGTGGAACCTGGGGATTGAGTTCTGATGACGGTATTAGGAGTTGATAAAAGGCGGGACTTAGAATGCGTCGCAGCAGGTTCTGACGGAGGTTCGGGGGTGGACCGGCCACTCAGCTGAGGTTGGGGTGTGTGCACCGGGTCCAAGGCGGTGTTGTGGACCACCTTGCTGAAACCTGTCTGATCCTGTTTGATCTTTAGCTTCAAGCCGATCCTCCTGCGAGCCTCGTAGGTCTTGATAGGAGGTTTACTGATTCGTTGAGGCAATGCGTCGTCGTCATCTGCAGTTTCAGACTTTACTGAAGACGAAGAAAAAGAGGCAGATGCTGCTGGAAAAGAGCTGAAGGGTGGGTTCTGGCTGACGGGTTCAGCGGGAGGACAGCTAGTGGACCAGGACACAGACGCTCCACCTCCACCCTGCTTTATGACCAGTTTGGTAGGAGGGAAAGGGGAATGGGAAGGAAGGACTGGAGCTGGAACAGGAGCAGGAATAGGAGCAGGAGGAGGAACTGGAGCCGAAGCAGGAGGAGGAACCGGAGCTGGAGCAGGAGGAGGAACCGGAGCTGGAGCAGGAGAAGGAGCTGAAGGGGAAACTGGTGTAATGTTGGGAAGAGGAGCTGGAACAGGAGGAGCAACAGGTGCTGGAGCAGAGATTGACGTAGATCCACTAAAAACCCCTGTAGAGCTCTCAGGAGACGAGGACTTTTGTTGGGATGAAGCTCCACCCACCAGCATCCGTACGCTAGCCACAAACTCGTCTGCATAAGAAAAAGAACAAAATTACATCCTGGTATTCACTGAGAAAACTAAACACAGGAGTGGGCGTACCTGGCCTCTCCTTTGCCAAAATCTTGTCCTGATTCAAAGCAACCTTCTCCTCTTGGATGAACATCCTGTCGATCATCACCATTTCTGCCGAGGGGCCCAGTCTCTGCTCAGGTTCAAACGCCGAAAACAGTCGGTTCAAAATCAGTTCAGAATAAAAGTGTAACTCCTGTTTGCCAAAAACCAGTTTATAAACTTACTTCTGACTCTGAAAAGAGCAAGTTACGATATTTATCCAGCATGGCCTGGGTCTTTTGAAGCAGCAGACAGGAAACCTTCTCAAATTCGTCATCCACTGCGTCCAAGACAACACAACACATTCACGACCACTAAAAGTACACTCAACAGTTTAAAAACACCAGCGGGTTATTTGTAGGCGTTCACCTCTCTGATAATCTTGAGAAGAGTTGGCGGTTCCCTGGTAGACGTGGTAAGGCAGCAGTCTGTGTAGCGTGTCCTCAAATGAGTGGAAAGGAGCACTGAAGCTGGGGTGGAGCACCGAACCTTGATGTTTTCTTAGCTGCTCCAACACTCTGCAGACAGGAGTGGATACAGGTTATTTAAAAAAATAAAACATTTATACAAAATAATTTGTTAAAAACTTCCATGGAAACATCTGCAGCACGTACCTGGCTTCTTTACTGGGCTCTGCCCCTAAAGGCATCTTCAATGCCGCCGTCTGGGATGTGAGACAACACAAAAAAGAATTTTACTCATTTTGGACGTCAAAAAATAAAAAAATAAATCTCTTGACCAGGGTTGGGAATTGTTTAAATTTGAAAGATTCTGGTTCTGATTCCAATTCCTTGTCTCCATTCTGGTTCCGACCAGTTCTCGATTCAGATCATTTCAAGAGGCAGGGTTGGAAATCTTTACTTGTTTTTAAATGAGCCAGCTCATGTTGTACTTGAAGTCTGAACTTCAACATGAATTTTAATTACATGAACAATAACATCACCTTAATTTAGACGAAAACATAGTTTTACTTCTAAAAGAAAAACGATGTGCAGCGTGATCCGTGTGTTTGTTTTTGACCACAGCTTCTGCGGTTTAGAACTGAAGGAGCCTCTTGGCTGAAAGGCAAAACCTCTTCAAGTTAACCAGAAAAGCCACGTTGTTTTCAGCTAAAACTCTCCGGATGATCATGTCCAGGATGACTGACAAGCTACACCAACGTGCTGCGGTGCAAAGCCGCAACGATTCAGTCCAAAGGAAAACTGAAACTCAGATGTAGCTTCTGTCAGTAACAATGTTACTGATTAAAAACAATAGAAGCTCTCAACAGATTAAAAAGTTCAAAAAGCCATAAAATAATTTCACAACTTTGCTTGTTGCAAGATTTAATTTATTTATTGCCCGTAGCGGCACCTAGTGGGCAGAACCCGGTGAAGGCTGCTCATTCAGCCTCAGCTTTCTTCCTGCTCGCTGAATTTATCGTTGTGGAATGCAAAGTAAAAAAATTTGGTGCACGCCTGTGCAGTGTCAATACGGCAACGGGAGGTGTGATGCTGCACACAGGGTATCTGTCTGCTGCGTAGGATGAGTGACAGCTGGTATGATCATCTCTGAAAAGCATTGCTCAGAATTGGCAGATCAAATTTTTTTCTGGCCAATTTTGATCGTAGGCCAAAGCCGCACTTGAGAACACCTCTGCAGTCTGCAGATTTGATTGCACGGTAACGCAAACACTTCCGGCAGGCTCTTCTTCGTTGGTATTCGTCAGCTTCTTTCGGTTCACAGAATGATAATCGAAACTAGGAATCGAAATTTTAAAAATTGAACGATTCTGGGAAATACTGACACTTATTCCCGGTTCCAATCGATGCTTGATGCTGAACCCTACTTTTGACATTCTTTTACCTGAGCTGGAATAGGAGCTGGAGGCTGTGGAGCAGGCATCTGAGTCAAAGCAGGTCCCAGCACTTGGATCTTCATCCCACCTTTGCCCAGAGCCATCCCTCCAACTGAGCTGATCACTCCTGGCTTTGGCTGAACCTGTGCAGAAACACGCATAAAAATCCACTTTCAAAAACAAACAAAATGTATAAAAAGCTTTTAAAGCTGCACCAACACCACCTACCTGTGTAGGCTGAGTAAGGCTGACAGGAGTGACGGTCTGGTTCACCACTGCTCCAGCTGGCCCTTGGGCTCCTGAGAATCCCTGTAAGTCACTTGATGCTTCACCAGAAATGAGAATAAAATCATTATCGCGACCCTCTTGCTGGCATCTCTGGCCGTAATTAAGATGTTACCTGTGGCGGGAGTTTTGACGAGCACTGAGGTGGGCTGCAGTATGGTGGGAAGCTGAGCGGATGTTTCTGAGCTCACAGACGATGATGAAATCACTGCTTTATCAACAGGAACATCTAGCTGTATACCAAACTGACTCGAGACTGGAGGTTGAGGTTTTGCCTGCAGCATGATGTCTTGCTGGAACTGAAAACACAATTAAAATGCTTAAACACACTTTACACAGTAACGTGCTCCAGATATTTCATGATATTTTGCCTTTGTACAGCAAATTCAGAGGCTAACATGAACAACATATAGTTCACGCTCATTTTATCCTATAGAAAACACGATTCATAAAAGTATGAAGTCATGTTGAAACCCTACCTGCTGAAACTTCTCCAGCAGCTGTTTCTGCTGAGGTGAGGGCTGAGTGATGGATGACAGAGTCTGAATTCGAGCTCCAACAAACTGCAGATGTTGCTGCTGCCCTGCTGTCAGGCCCTGGATGGGAAGCTGTGGCTTTACCACAGCAGTGGAACCAGCGCTGGTGGGCGGTGCAGCAAACTGGTGCTGTGCAGGCGGTACAGAGGGGGGCTTGGGTGATTGGGACACCGGAGGCATCTCTGGCTGATAGGGAGCAGGCTGCGAGGCGGGTTGAGGCAGCGGCTGAAGCTGAACCTGAACGTGCGCCTGCGGAGGCGGCGTTTGCTGTGGAGCGGGTTTGGGAGACTCTGCGATTTGATTCTGGATAATAAAAAGCGAGGGATGTGAAGACGGTGTGCATGAGCGCGAGGGAGTTTGAGATTGGGGCTGAGAGGAAGGACGCGAAGGCTGTTGGTGGTGCAGCGACTGGATCTGCTGGCTCAGAGTCAGAGGAGACTGGGAAGGTTGGGGGCTTTCAGCCACAGGAGGTGTTGTGGTGTGAGTGGTTAAGGCCGGTGAGGAGGACACGCCCTGAATCTTCAGGGGCTGCTGAGGTCCAGCCGAGGGCACCTGAAAATCAAATCAAAACTTGTGTATACTAGACTGATTAATGGATGAAAGCAACACTTAAAGCCCAAGAAGAAACCAGGATCTAAAGCGCAAAATAGGTCACACACCAACATTTCTGCATGTGTACAAATTATTGGATGATTCAAATAAAGAGGGCTGGGCGACATGGCTTCACCACAAACTGATGGTAAAAATCACCTGTTAACTGTAAATTTGATCAAAGTTACATCATTATTGAGTCAAGATACAATCCTCCTGAATCTAAAACCAAACTGTGATTAAAACTTATCGCCCAGCCCCAGCTGCACAGACATAATCAAACAACAACAAACAACACAAAAGCAAAGTGTCAGACTTTAAAATCTAAAAGGTGCTACAGTAAAAAAATAAAAAAATAAAAAAAAAAAGGGGGGGGGGGCACACAGATTTTTGTTTTCCCAGCGTTTGAAGGATATAACACAAAGAAAGTCATGATCGCTTGGTGAACAGGAAAAACGGGCGACAAAAGCAAGAACTGTGGAACTGTGATGGTGAATTAGATCTGAGCATTTTGTGTCAGTGTCAGGCCGATCATTTGGGTTTGGGGAACATCGTGTTGCTCTAACTGGGCATAAAAAAGGTGACCGACAGAGTAAAATGAGTTAAAATGGCAAATGGGAGGTGTAGAACAGAGACTTGATCATTGGTTAGTGATGAAACAGGAGATGGAATGACCGAATGAATGAATGAATGAAAATCAATTAAACAGCAAAGAACAAGTTTTATGCTGTAAAAAAAAACCTAAATAGCCAAAAAATAAAATAAAATAAATAAACTATATAAAAGAGATTTTTGTTAAAAAAAATAAAAGTTACTTCATTGTTAGTTTCATACATTCAACAAAAATGGCATGCAGTTTGAACAAATGAAACAAGCTTTTAGGAGAAATGAAGCAAGTTGAAAAGGAGCAAGCAAAGGAATAATGTTCGAACCGAGGAACACAAGTGAGAGCTGTGGAAGCAGTGACATGTGCAGGAGAGAGGTCAGAGCGGTGGTGGGAAAGGTAGGAAAACCTACGGTTGTGGCGGCGGCAGCAGCAGCAGCAAGTGGTCGGGGCTCAACATGAAGGGGCATTTCTACCTTTACCACTGCTGTCATGTGGGAGGGGCCGGGGGAAAGGCGGTGGCTCTGACCCACCCATGAGTCAGTTAACTGGCTGTCATGGACAGCAGGGGCCGCGGTAGTGATGCTGTTGCTGCTGACGATTACGGATGCTGGTACGCCCACAGAGGGGGTCGACTCATTCTCTGTTTGGTGGTGCCGCTGCTCCTGATGGCCCATTTACCATTTCAGGATGGGGGAGGGAGGAAGGGACGGAGGGAGGGAAGGGGTTGGAAGAACGAGGAGTAAAATAGTAAACCAAAGAAGTCAAACCAAGTTATCACTCCGTGCACGTTATTTATTTTTAAAGACAATGTTAGCTGAGCACATGAGAAGCAAACGAGCAGCGAGTGGAACACTGACCTGCTGTAGGAACATCTGCAGAGACTCCGGGCTCAGAATCATACTCGGGCCCTGGTTGGTGAACAGCAGCCTCCCTGGACTGCTCTGAGTCTGAGGGGGGACCAGCCCCACAGCTGTGACCGAGGAGGAGGTGGACGGAGAGGAGGTGGTCACGGTGGACATAGACGAAACCGGAGGCTGCATGGCGAGGATCGATGTTTGTGGAACGAGTTGTGTAGTGGGATGAGCTGCCTGCTCGGTGGAGCTTCCCAGTACAGTAACAGTTTCTCCAGGCTGGCCTTGAGCTGTGGTTGCTGCTCCTGTGCTGCTGGGGACTCCCCCAGGTGGGGGATGCAGGGCTGGCTGAAGGCTGACTGCAGGGCTCAGTCCCTCCACCTGACTCACCATGGTCAGAGAGTTCTGGATGGGCATGCCCTGTATCACTGTGGGGGCATGACCTGAGGCAGCAGGGGTCTGCGTCTGGCTTTGACTTTGTGCCAGAGAGGCCACAGGCATCTGGAAGAGGGTAGGTGTGCCCATCTGGCCGGGCTGGAGCTGAATGGGTCCAGAGAGGATGTGGGCAGCCCCAGCGTGGCCCTGTGATGTCAACACCTGACCCAAATTAATGTTCTGGTTTGCTGTTAGAATCTGGTTTGCAATGAGCTGTCCACCTGGACCTTGACTGGTTATGATGTGGCCACCAGGATGCTGGGTTAGGATCTGCCCACCTGCCTGTAGCTGGGGCAGGAGGAACTGGTGGTTCTGACCTTGGAGAACCGTTTGAGAGGGAATAACGATGCTGCCTTGTTGGTTTAACAAATGCACACTGAGGGGTTTGCCGGACGGCTGTGCAGCATGTTGCTTGAATAGAGTTTGTTGGAACTGGGGGCCCTGTGTTGCAGCCCGAGTGCTCAACACAACATTAGAACCTGGTTTTCCTGTTAGGAAGGCCACATTCTGAGCAGCAGAAACTGGAATTTGTTGAAGCCCAAGAGCCTTATGGGCATCATTTTGCATGGCCTGGGGAGCTGCTTGTTGGGGCTGCGACTGTTGTTGTGGTTTGAAGAGTTTACTATGAATGGCTCCCCCCTGTGCGGGTTTGGGCTGAATGGGTGTTGGTGTACGCTGGATGATCACGTTCTGCATGATCTGGCCCGGATTTTGCGTTTGTGGTGCCACCCCTGCACTCAGAGGGGTACTTCCAAAGCCGACAAGCCCAGCGGGAGCGGTAATGGTACCACTACCGCTGCTGCTTGTGCTGCTGACACAAACAGCCGGTCCATTTAAAGCTGGAGATCCCAAAGTCGCTTTGTTGCCTTGGATTAGAAGTCCACCTCCCGAGGCTCCAAGTCCTGCCTGAGAACCAGCAGCTGATACCTCCGAACCTGACTGGTGCAGCTGGTATCCACTCATGGCTTTAGCCAAGACTGGCTGCCCAGACTGATTGATAGTCATCACGGTAGGCTGGCCCACAACCTGAATCTGTCCGATACCCAAATGTCCCGACTGACTCCCGTTGGAGAGAGCCTGGAGACTTGAAATGGGCTGAAGAGTCACGTTTCCCAGGCCCACAGGCTGCATAAATGGCTGAACGCTAATAGCTTTGTTCATAACCTGGGACTGGAGCTGAAGGCCCTGCTGAGCGAGCACTGAACCAAGCATGTCAGCTGTGGCGTTGGGGGGAGTAGCCGTGGTGCTCGGGGCAGACCCGGGAAAAATCGTCGCAGCTCCACCGACGCCAATGCCTACACCAACAGGTGTGCCTCCAGCTCCAGCGAGGCTGGCATCAGGCAGTGCCTGAACCACCTGTGCAAGGCCTGGAATTCCAAAGGTATCCAGGTCCAGCTCGGCACCTGCCTCCTGCAGGCTTTGCTCTGTGATGTTGGCCTCAGCCAAACTCTGCTGCAAGATGTCGCATGTCTCGTGATTTGTCCCAATGCCATTGCTACCACCTTCTCCACCTGGAGATCCACCCAAGATGTCATCATCCTCAAGGAAGTCCAGGTCAACGCTGACTCTCGGCAGGCCTGCTGATTCGCTGGCCGACAGCTGGACTGCAGGCTGGACCTCTGGAACATGTCCCTTTAAAAAAGAAAAAGTGAAACCAGACATGATAGCGAGGAACATGACTGATTGGAAACAAAAACAAAAGCCCAATAAAACATCTCGTACAATTGCAGCGAATTATAGCATGTTGACTGTAGATCTGTTAGTGGAAAAGGGAGGGATTTAGGGAAGCATGCAACAAAGATGGATGGACAACAGCAGGAAAAAAAAGTGGGGGGCTTTACTCACCCCAGTGGCAGAGAAGAACGAGCTGGAGGGGTCACTCGAACCATCCAAAAGGTCGTCAGTGTCCAACTACAGACACACCCACCAAGGGTAAGACAGACAGAAACCAAAGACACCCAAACCAGCAGGCAAAAAAGTCACCAGGACAAACATACAGACCATCAAAACAGAGGGAGGGCAAGGCAAGGGCAGAACATGGTTCAGAGAACCCAGAACGTAAAGCATCAGTAAAGAGATAAGCTACAGAGGAACAAAATGACAGGAATAACTCAAGAGTTGGGAAACGTTAGTAATAGGAATTATTGTTCTGGCAACCCAAATGCAACCATTAGGCAGAGGAGTTATAAAAAGTTTAATGAGAGCAGTGAGGGATGCAGGTTACAGGGTGTATCAACTTGTGAGCCGAAACTGATTTTATTAGAGATGCAAAAGCAACAAAGATAAAACCTGAACAAGTCACTCATCAGTGGAGAACTTGTATCGTGAAGCTTTGCTAAATGCGGCCATTTGTTAGCCCTTCTCATACTTACATGGGTCTCAGATCCATGAAGAAAGTCATTAAGAGCTTCTGGGTCGCTGATGGAGAAAACAACAGATGTGTGACACAATGACACATAACCGAACAATCTGATATAAAATTTCCTACAATACTAGAATCAGGTCTTTCACGCTGTCAGAACATACTTACCAAATTACATCTAGAAGGCACCTGCCGTCTTCATCATCCATGACAACTGTTGAGATGAAAAACACCTTCAAGCTCGGTCATGACTTGTTCAACAATCACAACCAAAATACTCAGTTACATTTTGTATAACATGGTTATTAAGAATTACATGGGGTTTGTCTTAGGTTTAACTTCATAATTATTCTTGACTTTCTCAAACCACATGCTGACTAAATTTTAAACGACATTTTCATATTTACTCCAGCAAAACTCGAGCCATTAAAGACATGTAGATGCAAGATAAAGACTGACTTTCAAAAAGTCTTGAGCCACCGATACAGGCATTTAAACAATCCAAGCGAATAATTACAAATATTGTTAAGTGGCAGTTTTTTGCAGTAAGAGATGGCATGGCACACACCCCAAAAACATCCGGGTAATTATTCAGTAATCATCTGTGTCTTCTTTTGAAGAAAGAGTTCTTTAGTGGAAGTGAGTCTTTCCCTTTAGACATAGGTTTTTTTATTTCCTCCCTGATGGTAAAAAGCTATGAGAAGTCTCCATAGGCCAGCAACAAACTCTTTCTGACTTATGAATAAATGTTTGACAGCAAGAAACGTTCAAAACAATGAAAAAATGTATTCATATACTTTATACACAAATTTTTTCTTTGGAAAAAAATCTTAAAGACCACTCAATGCTATCAGGCATTTAGTTTATATTAAAAACTATGAATCAACATAGAAAGTAATTCTGAGTTCCTAAAAAACGAAAACTGTCTAACCTAGCGTTTGATTATCAATATCAATTACAAAGCGAGATTTTTCCCCATGTACGCTCGGTATCAAACAACCTTGGTGCGGCCCTGAACTCATCGAGACACGTAACAAAACTTAAAATTTCTGAACACGATCAAACAGCAGACAACAAACTGAAAACGCGCGGTTTTCGCACCGCCTGGAAAGATTTTGAGCGTAAGCTGTCGCTGACTTTTAACCGTGCACAGCTCGTCCAACAACACGAAAACCAAACCAACACAGTTTCTATGCAAATAAATTGTGGACATGATGCAGGAGTCCCAGCTGTCCGCCGATCGCAGCTCGGTTACAGAAAACCAGTGCGCAGGATATGAATGGAGACGCTGCAAACGGAATGCTAGATGCTAGCTGATGTTTTTAATGAGCTTTGCATGCATACCTCAACAAATTCCCCCAACGTACAGTATCTGACAGCAACACAGCTGACCTACGACTCAAATGTTTGAAATTAAAACAGTTTCATCCGTAATTTCAGCAATTTGGGTGCTTTTGGGTTGACTTTCGTTAGCCTAGCAAGCTACCCCCGCTATCAACAATATTCAGACGTATAGCTAGCTCGAGCCTTTGACATTCAAAACAAACCAGAGTGACACAATTTTAACACAAATTACGCACAGCGGCAGTCCGGTTGAGCTAAAACGAAGAAATGCTGTCTGCTTATAGTCGTAAACGCAACTACGTGGCGAGCTATTGCTAATTGCAAGCAGAATATCAGTAAATGTTGGAATACTCTTGGATGAGAGGGGGTATGCTTGGGAATTCGTTGGAAAACGAGCCTGTTTACGGTGTGATGCGGCAGTGTGTCGCTTCTTTTGCGGTAGCAGTGCGGTTCGTGTCTGCTGAACAGTTAGCAGATATCGCAGCTTTGTAGCGGATATTGGGATTAATGGAGAAATTGTTACATTGTAACAAACTCACCCGAGACGTTAGAGGTGCAGGCAGCGCGGGGTCTCCAGGACAGCCTCGCACGGGCTGCTCAACAGGACCCAACTACTGGCAGGAAACGGCAGACTTCCGCTCTGCCTGATTGAAATCCATGTTGTTTATCGAGACTTTCTTTACACACAAATACCCATTCGGAACATTAAACGGTTTTTGAACATTTTTGTTGTGTTAATTAGTGCATTCTTAAATTTGACATATTCTTCATGTTAACTTGTTTTCATTTTTAAAACTCAAAAAACATCAATAGAAAGGCAGGAACAGCAGAGGAAGCCTGTGGGGAGAAATTGCTTAAAATGAAATCATAAAAGAAACTGGATCACAAATGTAAAAAAATATAAAAGCAGTCATGTTAACAAATGCCAGCAGATTTGTTAGATAAATGCAACCCAGTCTTGAACTGCAATCAGATTATATGATTTTGGCTAAGAAAAGAACAAACTAATCTACAAAAAGCCTAAGCAAAATACTGTAACATAATCTACAAGAAAACATTCCTTTTCCATATTTTAAATAATTTTTGTATAGTTCTAAAATACGTGATTATTTTTGTAAATTTTAAAAAGGTATTTGAATGTTTGACTCATGTAGTTACCTACCACAACCCATAGCCCTAAAATATGTTTGTCATGTATTTTTCAACAAAATATTTTACACACATTTAATTCACTGTGCTATAATGCAAAGCCTGGAAAACCACTTAACATAGTTGTTATCTATTATTTATGTTAAAATTGTAAAGATTTCAGCTGACAAACAGTTTCATTATGATGCTAACCCATTTTGATTAAAAATGTCTCTTTATAATGGAACTGGCATTGACTAAAGGAAAGCATTTTCTTATTATAATTCTAATCAATATTCCTTTAAAACTGCACTTTTGAAGATATTTACGCTATTACGTTTTATTACAACATTTATGCTTAAATATTGTCACCTTTAATGTCTGATTGCTTATAGAAAAATAATTGGCTGTTGAAAACAGATAACACAAGGGAACTGTTTTATATAGATTGTCATGAACGCACTGTAATGATCCTGAGACAGATTAGAAGCGATTCCTTTGTTTCTACAGCAAATATTAACAACGAACATGTTTCTTAATTAAATTATCGATTGATATATTGTGTTGCAGCATGGTCTACAATCAGTTTATAACATGAAACATTATAGATTTGTAATGGACCAACTCTGGACCGTACGAGCAGCACCTGAAGGCAGCAGGGCTGTGACCGCCCTCCCATTGTCACGTGACAGAGAAAGCGCTGGCTGCTGATGTGACACTGCTGTTAGCAATACTTAGCAACTTTGTTGACTTTAGTATTTTTTCGCCCCCCTTTAGATTCAGAAAAACAAGTAAAGCAGAATGGATAACAGTGGGAAAGAAAAAGAAGCTACAGCTTTAATGGCGGAGGCGGAGAAGAAAGTTAAATCATCTCAGTCGTTTTTCGGGTCGCTGTTTGGGTGAGTTTTAGTTAGCTGATGTTTAGCTTCTGCTTTCAAGCTGAGGGCCAGCTATGCGGAAGGTGACCACCTAACACCAGGGCTGATGGCTGGGCACAACAGGACTGGAGCTGCTGTTAAGATGTTGTGGTATTGAGAGTATTTGTCTACGGACGTAAGGTTATTTCCCCGGATTTCTGCTGACCATAACGTCTGCAAACAACAAAGACTAACACGTAGCCGTTTATCCCAGTAAACTGAGAAAAATTACACTGAACAAACCGTTGTTTGACATGGACGATAACAGAATACTAAATTCGTTTTTATTTAAGTATGACTGTAAAAAAATATTTTTTTAAAAAGTGTGATCACATTAGCTCTGCTGTAGCACCATCTGCTGGCTGTTCCGTATTGTGCAAATCGTCACAATGTTTACAGTAGAAACCTCAAAGTTGTATCAAATCTAATGAAAATTATTTATTGATATTTGCCTTTTGCCATAAAAATGTTGGTGCGGAAATATTGTCATTATTGGACAACAATCTCAACAGATGAAATACTATCTACTATTTTTATTTTGAAAAGTAATTACTTATTATCCAGTCTTGTTTATTGCATTTACACGATCCTAACCTGCTAATAACCAGTATCTTATAGTTGTTGTTTTTTTACACGTTTTTTCTTTCACACAGGAGCTCCTCCAAGCTGGAAGAGGCCTGTGATCTGTATGTGAGGGCAGCCAACATGTACAAAATGGCCAAAAACTGGTGTGGTAAGAGGACAGTTACTTTCCCTTCCTTGTGCATATCTGTTGATATGTTTTATCTTTTAATTTGTGTTTTCTTTTCAGCTGCAGGAAATGCGTTTGCTCAGGCTGCTCATCTTCACCTGCAAATGCAGAGTAAACACGATGCAGCAACTAATCTCATAGATGCTGGAAATGCCTTCAAAAAAGCAGATCCACAAGGTAAGAGGTCACTCAATTTTACATGGAGCTCTTTGTAAAAGGTTTTAAAATCTGGAAGGAAATACATTTTTGGACTTTTTAAAATTAACTTCATATAAAGTGCAGCCAATCTAATTAATACCTGGTTTGGCAGCAAGTTTGATCCCATGACTGTGTACACTTATCTACAGTCTTTAGTTTACCCCATACTAGCTTAGTTCCAAGCATCTTGTGTGTCTGAAATTTAGCTGTCTTCTATAGACTTACCCCTGATCGAGACTCTTTATTTTTAAAACTAAGGGTAGTTTTTATACATGCAGATTTTGAACAACATCAATGCCTGTTTGCAGCAGTTTATTTGTGCCTGTGCAGGTGGCACAACTCAAAACTAAATGTGATATAAGTAAGATGAAACGTCAAAGACAAATACCAGGAATTCTTGAGCAGTCAGAAATGTTAAACTCCTCAACCTGTGCAGAAGTTTCTGGGTAAGCCTGATTCTGATGTTTAGGGTAAATGTTTCCTACAGAAGTGCATTTAAAGACCAAGTTCACTGAGAAACTTTTTTTTACTTATTATTATGTAAATATGATTGGAAGCTCTGAGTTTTGTGTACAGGCTGAACGTGAAAAAAGTCTTCTACCCATATTTCCTGCATTAGTCGCCCATAGAAAATAGATGGGGAAATGTTTGAGTTAGAAAGTACAGTCAGCTCTACATCAAGCTGTGAATTAACATTCATGGACTCGCCCATCTTGGCTCACGACGGGGGAAGGCTGTTGTTGGTTTAGCACCCAGAAAAGAGCAGAGCTAGTAGACACTAACTGTTAGCATGAGCAACTCCACAACATAGCAGAACTCCTTTAGGCTTGTGTTATTTGAGGAGATAACATATCAGTGTTGCAGAACAGTCAGTGGTAGAGTTGTGTTAATGTTAGTCAATCAGAGGTGAGATGTCCGAACATCAGGAATTCTGCTCACTTCTGCTTCCTGAAACAGGAGCATGAGATGTTGTTTCACAAGCCATTCATGCATTCTAGAGATCACTGCAGATGTATTGAGAAAATGAGTGAACTTTGTCTAAAGTCTGTTTTCTGCAGTGGAAAGAAATTTCCTTTTACTTATTTCTTGTCATTCACTGAACTGATGTTTTTCTCTCAACAGAGGCCATAAACTGCCTAAACCGAGCTATTGAAATATACACGGATATGGTGAGGTTTTTAATACAAATCCCCCTCCTAAGCTATTATAGTTTTATTGATTTGTGTTTTTAATTTTGTTTCGTCCTTGCTCCTGTGTAATTTTAGGGTCGTTTCACCATCGCTGCTAAACACCACATCACCATCGCTGAGATTTATGAGACGGAGTTGGTGGACATCGACAAGGTCAGAGACACAGCTGATGGTTATCACGTTGTTTATATTTGATCAAATGTTTACATGGTCATTTGAATTTTTTTTTTTCGGGGGTGGTGGTGTTTCAGGCTGTTGCTCATTATGAACAAGCAGCAGATTATTACAAAGGCGAAGAATCCACCAGGTAAATATTTGACGTAACACATCTGAGCAATACTTCTGTCCACTTTTGGGTTTAAAGGGAGACTAGGCAGTTTTGGCTTGCTTTTAGCACCCCCTAGTGCCCAATTAGTAGAAACAAAAACAAAACCTATCTACTTGCTGTGCGTTTTTCTTTTTAACACCTTGATCTAACAGCTGAAATGTCTCCCCAGCCTTCATTAGTGTCTACAGGACACAAAATTCATCAATAAACTAAACAGTTTAGCTGTGTTCATGATCTAAAACATGCAGGAAGCATGCTAGAACCAGACTGCAGCATCAGGTATGTCGGCTCACCTTTTCCCCCCGGACTGGCACTCTGAAGTTGCAAATGCGGTATTCTGACCACAGAGGACGGTGGGGGTCTGAGTGACATTTCATTAACCCTGTTAAGGGTCATTTTAGCAAATAATGACTCAAGAAAATTATTTAAAAATACCAAAAAGTTGCCTAGTATCCCTTTAAATAGACCTGAAACAAAAATGTATAAAGATTTAGCAAATGTTGATACTATAATTTAAATTTCACACCTTGGTTTATTTATTTATTTCTCTTTTATATCAGTTCAGCCAACAAGTGCCTTCTGAAAGTAGCGACATATGCAGCTCAGCTGGAACAGTACCCAAAGGCTATAGAGATCTATGAGCAGGTGAGATGATGATTTTTAAACCACCTGTTGCCCCAGAGGCTCCAGTTACACAACAATCTCTGACAGGTTTTGCGTTTTAGGTTGGCACCTATGCAATGGACAGCACACTTCTGAAGTACAGCGCCAAGGATCACTTCTTCAAGGCGGCGCTGTGTCACTTCTGCGTAGACATGCTGAACGCAAAGGTACACATTAGAGTGCGTCTGGCGTTGAGCTGATGTGACATGAGATCATGTTTTGATATTCATCCTGCTGTCGCCCAGCTTGCTGTGCAGAAGTATGAGGAAATGTTTCCAGCCTTTTCAGACTCCAGAGAGTGCAAGCTGCTGAAGGTTTGTGGAGTTCTTGTCAGTAGAATCGTCATTTGGGATCCCTGTGGCCTTAAAAATGAAAAGTACCTCTTAATTCCTGAGTCCAGAGATCTTACAAACATCACAGACCCAATAAAAGAGATTGCTGTATTTTATTTGGAAATGGCAAAAAAGAATTTCGCGTATTTCTAATTGAGGTTTTCCATTTGAAACTTATGGGTGGGACCACCAACTGTTATTCAGATGTGTGTGGGGGCAGGGGCTCTTACATTAGCCAGAGGGTGTTTGCCCGATGGGGAAGTGCAGGATTATCAATAATGCATTGTTTGTTTTTGGAAACTGCATGTACTTTTGTTCTCTACAGAGAAATTATCTTGATTTGTGTGATACTTTTCACAGGTTTTCTGCTTCTTTTTACTCAGATTTTTTGGTAGTTTTCAGTAAGAACTGTTTTCGTTTAAAGGCACCACTGTATTGTGTGTGTACCTTTATGTTTGTATGTGATCGGTCCTTTTGTTGCAGCCTTGCGTTTTAAAATACATCTTTTGTTTTTCTCTAAAAACCAGAAACTGTTGGACGCGTACGAAGAGCAGAACGTGGAGGCCTATACCGATTCAGTGAGTGCAAAAGTTATTTCCTGTTGATTTTTACAGCAGAAGTAAAACGTAGTGCCAAATGAAAGGGTTAAAAAAACTGTTCTACAAAAATAAACTCATCAGTGCAGATTAACAATCCCACCATTCCGAGATCTTTAAGATTTACAAAAATTTGGTTTCATCAAACTTTTGATTTATGTCAGACAGGTGTTCTGCGGTTCTGTAGCAACCAACAACCGATGCGTAAATAAGTGGAGTGGAAGTTTCTGCTTCCTGGTGTTGGACAGGTTTTTTTTTCATGCAAGTAAACAAGACTTTTCTGAGTTAGAAGATTTTTGTGGATGTTTACAGGTGAAGGAGTTCGACACCATTTCTCGGTTGGACCAGTGGCTCACCACCATGCTTCTACGCATCAAGAAGACCATACAGGACGACGAGAGTGACCTCCGCTGACTCGCCTCCCAGTTTCCCCTAATGCTCCCAACAGCAACAACAATAACAAACATGCATCCTCATTTCTGCCTTCAGCTTCTTGCTTACGTTCCTGCAGCATTCTTCATATTATGAGCCTCTGGTTCTGTTTCTTTCACACCGTTTGCAGTATTTATTTTCCTGCCTTTTATTCAACTTACTGTTCCCAAAAAAATTCTTTGCATCATATGTGTGAACACTATGCCCCTGGGTGTGCTTTCCACACACACCGTATGTTAGTTGTATGTTGTTTTGCTACAGGTGTTAATTAACCCAATGATGGTCCTACCGGTATTTACAACTGCAATGCAATACCAAATACTCATACCAGCATCCTTGTATGATACAGATTATATTTTTGTTTCATTGTTAAGTGATGGATGAGAGAACACAAGCATACTAACAGTTTGATCTAATAAATAAATAAATATATTTTGAAGAATATTCTTTAGAATAAAGAAAAGAGCCACCTGAAGCTGATATATTTGGGAATTTGGTTCTGTTTGGACCTCACAGTGCTTCTAATTAAACAGAACTTCCTTTAAGCTGCACGGAGAATAAAATTAAAAGGTTATTTCACAGCTAACACCCTCTCTGCCTTAAACTGCTCTCAGGATGTGAATGGCAAGATTTGACTCCCAACTTAAAAAATTCACTTGCATCGGATTTCACCTCGATTTAAAATGCTTTTATTCCAGAGAATAAAACAAAGGCATGTTTTTGGTCATTGTTTGCATGGTTTGGAATGAATAAGGACTCAAATGCAGAAGTTTTATTTTTTTTGTACTGTTTTCTGTTTCATGTATAACAGGCTGATAAAACTCATGTGGTCTGAAAAAATACAGCAGGGGTGGTTTAGACTTCTTTAGTGGGTTTCTGTGTTATCCATGACTTTTTAAAACTGACTTCACATCTAAAAATAAGTCCAATTTTAAAGCAATTTACAGGAAATTGTTTTATAAACTAACACGGCTTTGATTTGATTATTTTTTGGAATATATGATTATTCTGGCCACAAATGGGCATTTTGTACAAGAAGCACTGCTGCTACTGAAGTTTTCCTGTAAATTACCAAATGATATAGAATTTAAATAAAATCTTGTTTGCTTCTATTTGGAGCAAAATCTGTTTCTCCGAACTTAGGTTGTTACAAAGGCAGGTAAAAATATTTATAACGCAGAAAGCTCATTTTAAAAGGTCTGAATTGTCTAAAGAAAAAAAAACACCAGATCTAAACTGATGTGAAACGCTGTGCTGATGACTGATCGGTTAATTGGATGATTTGTAACGTTTCCTGTCTGAATAAACCGGTTTAATTGTGGGCGGGGCTTTCAACACCTGTTTATAAACCAGATCTCACCTGAATGTTGTCACATCGTTACGCTATTAGCGTTCGAGGAAATATGAGGTGAGAAAGCCGCACTCCCAGGAGGAACCGGATCCGACAGCAGCGGCTTATTCGGACCCGTGAGTATCATTTTACACTATTAATCGATTTTATGGCCCATCTTAAACCTCTCTGACGGCTAAAGGTGTCTCACGCGTTTTGTTAGGGAAATGTTTAAGGTTATATTTGAATTTTTAGGCCTTTATTTTTTTTACGAGCTCGACTGTCAAATGTGAGGCTACACAAACATACCCAAAATAATTAAGCTTGTGTTTTAAAACAATTAAGGCATAAATGTAGTCTATATAATTCGTTCTTTCGTTTAGTTTTTTAAGTTTGTTTTGACCTATTGTCAGAAATCAGGTAGAAAACAGAAAATGCTCCAAATCTGAACTATATCCAGGTGCGACTAATTTTAGGTCTAATGTGTTTTTATCTGTCCACAACCTGGTACCACAAGCTTCGGTATGTTTATGAGTAAAATATTTAAATGATGCTAAAACTCAAATGTTGTAAAGATTGTTGTAAAGATTATTTAATAATCTATTTCAGGGCAGAGATTAACACAAGAATCAAGCTGAATTTAAAATAAAACTGGAAAAATGTAACAGTTTTTGTATAAAGCTAGATCGACCCAAAATGTAAAGCTTGGTTAATATATATCTAGATGGAGAAAGAAATGGATCTCTATCTAGAGATGTTAATCTAATTCTGTTTTGAGAGCATCTTAATTTTATGATCTATTTATGATTTTATGACTTTTTTAATTTTGATCTATGTGAAGCACTTTGTGATTCTGTCTGTGATAAGTGCTATATAAATAAAATTTACTGACTAGAGTAGATGGTGGGTCAGTGAAGTAATGTTGGAAATGGGAACCACCTTGCCTGTATTTAACCTTTAGCAGAAGTAGTTCACATTAAACCAAATCCAGCACATTGAAAATCTGTACACAAAACTTTTGAGACTCCCATGATATTCTGCACTCAAGAATAAAAATCTACATGCAACTATTTTAACCCTCTGGGGGCAGGCGTTGCAGATTTGCAATGTTAAACCTACCTAACTGGTTACTCCACACATATTTCATGAGCCTCTTTTAACTCCAAAGTACTCCTGAAGGACTTGGTGGTTCATCCTATCAAAACTTATTTTGAGCCTGAAGGTTAAGTGGCTTGTGCATAATTTAGTTGAGTGAACCTTCTGCAGTTTTTCAGACAAATCCTTTTTGTTTAAACTTAAACTGATTTAAAACTGATTCTGATGCCTAAAAAAACAAATGCATCAGATTATATTTTTATAAAACGCTTTTACCGCATTCTGCTCTTTAGTACTTTTTTTTCCTTACGAGAAGCATCAAGGAAAATAAAGATGGTATCATTTGGACAAATGACGCAACAAAAACGTGAATCAAGACTATGTAGTTTTATTTATATGAACTTTCTCATGTAAAATGACTAGCTAGTTTTTTCTGTTTAAATATTAAACCAGTTCCTCTTGAGTTCAGTTCAAACCTGTTTTTTATTTTATGAAACACAACTTCCTGACACATCTGTTCGTTTGACTGTTATGTTTTTGAATAGTAAAAATCTGCTCTTTCCCCATCAACAGGAGCCTCCAGGAAGACTGACCTCCTGCCACCGGCTGTAATCTGACAACGGGTCAAACGTCACTCCTGAAAGATGTATTTCTAGAACGACTTTTTACAACAACGGGCCAATGATTCGTATTAGAACCTTTGGTATGATGGTTCTTGCCACTTCGTTCTTTATCTTCTATTTCACCATTCAGCTGGAGAAGACCAAAGTGGTCAGTGCTGTAAGAAATGTCACCAAGATGGAGGAATTCACAACGATGCCCTCCCTTCTCCAGACTGTGATGGTGTCTAACGAACTGAAAAAGATCATCCCTCAGGACGGAGCATACTGGAACCGCCTGCTGTACTCGGCCCTGAAGAGTCTGGCAAACGGTGAAAATCCCATGAAGAGGAAGCTCAGCTGGCTGACCTGCAGGGAGGAGAATAAAAAACTCCTGCAACTCAATGTCCATGACTTTAGTGTATACCCAGCTGTGTTTCAGCGGTTTGTGCAGGGCATGAACTGCAGGCTTCCTCCAGTCCTGATTGATCAGCCCGACAAGTGCCAGGGTATAGGTGGAGACAACCAGACTTTGCTTTTTGCCATCAAGTCGTCCCCCAGAAACTTTGAGAGGAGGCAGGCAGTCCGGGAGGCATGGGGCCGAGAGACGGTGTACCGGTTCGGGATGAGAGTGCGTTTGGTGTTCTTCCTGGGCAGCACGTCGTCGGACGAGCCTGACCTCAGCACCCTGCTGTCGTTTGAAGCCAGTCACTTTGGAGACCTACTGCAGTGGGACTTTGACGAGTCCCTGCTGAACCTGACTCTTAAAATGAACACCTTCTTGCTCTGGACGGTGAAAAACTGCCCCTCTGTCTCTTTCGTTTTCAGTGGGGATGACGATGTGTTCGTCAACACACCAGGACTGATCAACTACCTTCAGTCTCTAGATGCCTCTAAAGCATCCCAGCTGTATGTTGGACATATCATAAACTCTGCGAGTCCTCTCCGGGACAAGAGAAGCAAATACTACATTCCTCCAAGCTTCTACAATGGCCCGTATCCTGCTTATGCCGGAGGTGGCGGATTTCTCTTCTCCGGATCCCTGCTGCACTCTTTGTATTCAGTTGCTCAAGTGGTCCCCTTCTTTCCCATTGACGACGTCTACATGGGGATGCTCATGAAGGCTCTAGGAATCTCCCCAGTGAGGCACGGAGGATTCCAGACTTTTGATGTCCGGCAGCAAGACCGTGAGAATGTGTGTGTGCACAAAGGTAACCTTCTGATTCATCAGCGATTACCACCACAGATTCTAAAGATGTGGAAAGGAATCAACAATCCACTTTTAACCTGTTAAACTGGATGAGGTGGCAAACACTACCTGCAGAGACTAAAGCCATTTCTGGTCCATATGGGTGAATACTTGGAAACATCAAAGTTTTGACTTGACGCCTGAGTTTAGATTTGAAATGTCTCCCAAAAAAGGTCAAATATTTATTAAATGTTCTGTTTAAATAAACTGTTTCTGTGACATGTTCTAAAGTTTTATTTTTTCAACAAACCATGTTTTACAGACTTTCAGATCTGGGTTTCTAAGAACATCTGGGAATATAATTGTGTCTAAAACTGCAATTCGTACTTTTCAAGATGGTTTTGGAGCAGATGCAGAAAGGACAGACTGGGTTAAATCTCCTGTTCCTATTGCTTTGCATGTTCATTTTAATTTATTCAAACCTGCTGAGGATCCTCTAAGAAATTCGTAATGGTGGATGTATCTTTCACTTTAAACCTAAGGCAAGTATCAAAGAAAATGGTTATAATTTTAAATTTTTTTTTAGCTTGTTTGCAGAATAAGGTGACACGGTAAATCCTGTATGGGGGTGCAGCAGCAGTCTCCTAGCTAACCTCACCCGCTCCGGCAATGCTGGGGTGTTACTTCTCATACAGGTCTAGAGGGTAGTGCTCCTTGTATTGCTGCACATGTTTCCACAGGGCTTCTCTCTGCTTGTTCAAGCTGGGTGTCATCTCATTGTACACGTCTGTGAACAGCAGCTCCACGTTGGGCTTCAAGCGCTTCTCGGCCTTCTCGAACGCCTCCATCACAGTCTTGCGGGATTGCTTCCTCCAGCTCCGCTCGTCGTCCTCACTCCACCAGTCCCGGGCTGTCATGTAGTGCCTCAGCCTGGAGATGGGGTGGTCCTGCTTGTCCCAGTAGTTGACCTCGTCCACAGAGCGGTAAGCAGAGCTGTCGTCGCTCGTGCTGTGGTGTCCAATTCTGAGACAGACGGAAATGTGTTTACCACAAATGTTTAAAGCCCTGTTTGATTTAACACTTTTCTATATTATTTATATTTAGTTGCACGTTAAAGCCATGCTGGACAAAAGCCAGCCCCAAGGGTGTAAAGTAAACATTTATAGCGGTAAACAAAAAGCACAAAATTCAGCCTCTGCCGTGGGGCAAACGCTCCCAAGTTAAGTTGGCTCAGCCTTCAGCCTGGTGGAAGAAAAAGGATTTTATTTTCTCTACACCTGGTTTTATATTTCAGTCAAACTTTTATCCAGATTTCATGAATCCTATTTAGGAATTACAGATTTCAACCCCTGCAGCTGCTTTTCTGAGGTATTCAACAAAAACTGATTATATACATTTACAAAATAAACACCAAAGGTGCCAAGTACAAATACTTAAAGTTTTGTAACTTTCTCTTTAAATGCTAAAGCATCCTTACTCTTTATATTGGCTCTTCATTGTAAAACACAGAACCTATCCAGGTCATGAATCTGATTGTGGGTGAATGCTAAATCTATTGGTTTCAACCATCTCATATGGTTCTTTTGATATTTGCACTAAATACCTGCTAAAATTGGTAGTCTAGTGAAGTGTTTCCACTTTTCAGCTCCAGCAATTAGAAGTGTACCACAGATATCTGCCTTGACTGGACATGCTTCAAAAGCTAAATAATTCAAAGCATAAAGAAAACGATTCCGCTCACATCGATTTGTGATTGAGTTTTCATAAGAATTATGCTAGAAATTACTTGCATTTTATTTGGATTTCTGGAAATCAAGACCTTCTGTGAAGTGCTCGGTGACCCACTGTAGGAATCCTACATCAACTTTGGGAACCACTGGTCTGTTTTCTAATTCAGTCAACATAAACATTTTTCTATAACTTCAGTCATTCGGATCATAAGTCAAACTTTCTTTATTCATTCACTTATTTATAGAGCACCTTCCCACTTGAAACCAAGGCGTAGGTTAATGTTAATCAGAAAGCTAAAATGTAAATACAGCTAGATACAAATCAAATCGCGAACCAGCAAGAGGCTAAACAATGTAAAAACCAAGGATAGTAAACAATGGAAAGATAAGAACAATCTGCAGCCTCAATGATGTTGATGTAGTCAACCAACATACAGAGACTTGCAGTAATCAAGCCTGGGAAGCGCGTGTGCAGATCTGACTGTCTCAAGGATTTTTTGGGATAGCATTGGATTAATTCTAGAAAGGCACTGAAAAAAAGTTTGTCTGCTGGTTTTACCAGCAGACCGAATGCAGCTGTGACTTGAGTTCACTTTATTTCGAACACCTGTTGTTCCCAACAGGTTTTTCTTGCTCACAGAACATTCCTTCCTGTTCGTATTTACTTCATTCCTTTGTTGCTAGGTGCCTGTAGCAATTTCAGTGATGTTGGAAATGTCCCTTGAGCTCTAATACTCTTTATCTGATTTGTTGCTAAATACTGATAAGGCCATTGTAGTGGGGGATTTTAACATTCATGTGGACATTGAAAATGATAGCCTCAATGTAGCCTTTAGTAATATCTTAAGACTCAATTGGTTTTACCCAAAGAATACATAGCTCCACCCACTCCTGCCATCATACATTAGACCTTGTGCTGACTTATGGCATAGAGTGTCAGGAAAAAATGATACATAATCCAGTCCTCTCAGACCACTTTTTGATAACCTTTGAGTTTTTTATAACTGAGTTCTCGAGACATGAAAGTAAATTTCACTATAGTCTGTCTCTATCTGACAATGCTGTTGCATCTTTTAAATCAACTGTTCCATCTTTACCATCTTCAGCATCTCAGAGGAACATAGCAGAGGGCAATATTTTTCTTTCTAGCCCTTCACAAATTGATGCTTTAGTTCATGTTACTTCCTCTTTACGTGTGGCATTAGATGATGTTGCCCCTTTAAAAAAGAAGGTAATTAGGGACAGGAAGTTGGCTCCCTGGTTTACTTCTCATTTACGAACTGTAAAACAAAACTCTAGAAAATTGGAGAGAACATGGCGCTCTACACCATGAGGAGGCCTACCTATCCTGGAGAAATAGTCTTGTGCTTTATAAAAATAAGCTTCAACAAGCTAGAACTGCTTATTTTTCATCGCTAATTGAAGAGAATAAGAATAATCCTAAATTTCTTTTCAGTACAGTTGCCAAACTTACACAGAATCATAGCTCTGAACTATCTATTCCCTTAGCCCTCAGCAGCAATGACTTCATGGGATTTTTCACAAGTAAAATTAATTCTATTAGAAACAAAATCATTAGCAGCCTCCCTAATGCGATTTCTTCTTCCTCAGTAAGTGAGGCAGCATCAGAGGTAACTGTAGAACCTCATCTGTGTTTGAACCGTTTTGCTCCAGTTGAGCTTTCAGAGTTATCAAAAATATTAGCTTCATCTAAACCTTCAACTTGCATTTTGGATCCAATCCCAACCAAATTATTTAAAGAAGCATTTCCTTTGGTTACTGCCCCCATTCTAGATATAATCAATCTATCCTTAGTAAATGGGTATGTACCACAAGATTTTAAGGTTGCTGTAATCAAACCTTCACTTAAGAAGCCTTCTCTGGATCCAGATGACCCAATGAATTATAGACCAATATCTAACCTTCCATTTTTATCCAAAGTCCTGGAGAAAATAGTGGCCATCCAAGTATGTGAGCATTTAAACACTAATGCTCTGTTTGAGGAATTTCAGTCTGGTTTTAGAGAGTATCACAGCACTGAAACTGCATTAGTGAGAGTTACAAATGATATTCTCATGGCCTCAGATAAGAATCTTGTGTCTGTTCTAGTCTTGTTAGATCTCAGTGCTGCCTTTGACACAGTTGATCACAATGTTCTTTTAGAAAGGCTTGAACATGTTGTAGGGATCAAAGGAACAGCGCTAGGCTGGTTTAAATCTTACCTGTCTGATAGATATAATTTTGTAAACATACATGACAAATCTTCTTCATACTCCAGGGTTACTTGTGGAGTACCACAGGGTTCAGTGCTTGGACCAATTCTTTTTACTATATATATGCTCCCAATTGGTAAAATCATTAGACAGCATGGGATGAACTTCCACTGTTATGCTGACGATACTCAGTTATATCTATCCATTGACCCTAATTAACCTAATCGGCTAGTTAGATTACAGGCTTGTCTTGAAGACATAAAAAATTGGATGACTCAAAACATTTTGCTTTTAAATCAAGACAAGACTGAAGTTCTCATCTTTGGACCTGAAATTCAGAAACGGAAATTGCTTAGTCAATCACCTGACCTAAATGGCATTAAATTAGTCTCAGAGAACAAAGTAAGAAACCTTGGCGTTATCTTTGCCCAGGACATGCCATTCAAATCCCAAGTTAAACAGGTTTGTAGGATTTCCTTTTCCCACCTTCGGAATATTGCTAAGATTAGATGTATCCTTCCCAGGAGTGATGCTGAAAAACTAGTTCATGCATTTATTACATCAAGACTGGATTACCGTAACTCATTACTCTCGGGAAGTCCACAGAATGTAGTTAAAAGTCTTCAGCTTGTCCAAAATGCTACAGCTAGAGTTCTGATGAGAATTTAAAAAAGAGATCATATCTCTCCTGTCTTAGCTTCCCTACATTGGCTGCCTGTTAAATTCAGAATAGATTTTAAGATCCTCCTTCTCACATATAAAGCTCTTAATAATCAAGCTCCATCATACATCAGTGACCTGATTGTTCCATATGTTCCTAACCAAGCAATTCGCTCTCAGACTGCAGGTTTACTGGTGGTTTCCAGAATATCTAAAAATAGGATGGGAGAGAGATCTTTTAGTTATCAGGCTCCTCTCCTGTGGAACCAACTCCCAGCTTTAGTCCGTGAGGCAGACAGCTTGTCAACTTTTAAGACTAGGCTTAAAACATTTTTATTTGATAGGGCCTATGGTTAAAATCTGATGTTAGCCCAAATCTGGACAAGTGGGGGAGTAGGAGGTGGAGTGTACAGTCGGTAAAGATGACTCTCCCTTGACCTGCCTCCAACACGCCTACATCTAAAAGGCTAGGTCATCCAGAGTTATCTCTGTAGTTATGCTGCTATAGGCTTAGACTGCTGTAGGATACACTGACCACTTTCCACACTTTACAACTTTCTTCTACAATCTGCTCTTTAACTGTATTTCCTGCAATTTCAGCTGTTAACTTTATTTTTTCTCTAAGTGTTTTTCTCCCCAGAAGGAGCTACAATGATGTTCTGCTTAGCTGTGGTAGCCTCATGGAGGGGGCCATCATCTTGAACACTGTTGCTAAACACTTAAAACATTCTCCCTCTCCTGATAATAACATTTGACTTTCCTTGACATTTAATGTGCTACTACTAGTTTACCCGTTTAATTATAGATTCAATAGGATAAAAACAATAAATAAAGTTTATCTCTCACCAAATAGAATATTTACTAAGAAATTACAATGTAACCATAGAAACATTATTTGGTGTGTGCGTGTGTGTGTGTGTGTCTGTGTCTGCTCTGTCTTCTCGATCCCCAGTGAGTCGTGGTGGATGGCTGCTTATACTGAGCCAGGATGCTCTGCAGGTTTTTTCCTGTTAAAAGGGAGCCTTCCTCTCCACTGTCGCTGCATGCTTGCTTAGTGTGAGGATTGCTGTAAAGTCACTGCCACTAGTGGACACTAGTCAGTGACTCGATGCAATTTGCTGGGTTACTTATATAGGAAACTTTTTTCTGATTGGCTTAATGAATTGACTTGTATTGGAATGTTTATTATTTGAAGTGCCTTGAGACGACTGTTGTAGTGATTTGGCGCTATATAAATAAACTTGAATTGAAAAAACTTGAATTGAATTTTGCAACAATGGAGAAATCAAAACAAAACACACAACTAGACCTGGTCTGGAGAAAAAACAAAGTCTATAGTTCATACCGACCTGTAGGTCATCGCCTCAATAAGAAAAGGCTGATTTTCAGCCACAGCTCTGCGACGCGCTTCCTTTGTAGCGTTGTACACCGCAAACACATCGTTACCGTCAACACGAATGGAGAGCATCCCGTAACCTGGCCCACGAGCAGCTGGTAGACAAAATAACAGGATTTTACTGAGTATTTTACAGGGCGTTCATTATTCATAACTTAAAACCAAATGACAATAAGAATAGTTTAAAAAAAAAAGCCTTTAAATCGGAGAAGAGAACCAAAGCGGGCTTACCAATGCCATCTCCTCTGTACTGCTCATTGGTTGGGGTGGAAATGGCGTAGCCGTTGTTGCGGCAGAAGAAAATCAGCGGACACTCGAGGGTCGCCGAGAAGTTGAATCCAGCGTGAGCGTCCCCCTCACTCGCTGCTCCCTCTCCGAAATAACAGATCACGGCCCGATTCATGTTCTCTCTCTTGATTGCATACGCAGCTCCAACCGCTGAAAAGGGACGCAAATGTGAAGAAGAGCAAAGTTTGCACTGAGGAAGTGAGAACGACTAAAGGCTGCAAGCTCACCTTGAGGAATCTGCGTGGCCAGAGGGGAGGAGATGGTGACAAAATTTAGATCTTTGCAGCCATAGTGGACGGGCATCTGCCGGCCCTTTCCCAGGTCGTCAGCGTTGGCGTAGCACTGGGCCATGAAGAGGTCCAGGGGGAAACCACGGTACATCAGAACTCCTGTTTGAGCAACGCGGAAATTATCACCGAACTCAAGGACCTTCATAAAATGTTTCATGGGCGACGGTGGCACAGGAGTTAAGAGCTTGCCCCGTAATCAGAAGGTTGCAGGTTTGAGCCCCACTCAGTCCGTCGCTGTCGTTGTGTCCTTAGGCAAAACACTTAACCCACGTTGCCTGCTGGTGGTGGTCGGAGGCACCGGTGGCGCCAGTGCTCGGCAGCCTCGCCTCTGTCAGTGCGCCCCAGGGCAGCTGTGGCTACATCGTAGCTCATCCCCACCAGTGTGTGAATGTGTGTGTGAATGGGTGAATGACTGATTGTGTTGTAACGTGCCTTGGGGGGTTCCAGGACTCTAGAAGGCGCTATATCAAATACAGGCCATTTAGATTTGATGCATCAGTAACTGTTTGCAGCAGATTTACCAAATGTGATTTTTTTTCTTTTCTTCTTAAGAAATCCTGAAAATGTGTCTGATTTGCTTACATAAATGAAAAAAAAGTAGCAACCAATTTGCATCAGCTGTTCGACCAACTGGAGGCAACAACTCAATGCTTTGCATAGCGTCACAATAGAAAATACAAAAATGTGTTTAACAAATTGCTGACTGACAAGTAAAAGAAGTAATGATTACTTTCTATTTTAGCCGTTTTACACTTTGAGTGAGAAAAGGACCACTCCAGAAAACTCGGAGACAACGTTAGAACCACTTGCCTGCTTCTCTATATTGACCAAAAACCAAATCACTGGGCTCCAGAGCTGCAGCACTGCCAATGTGTGTCCCCTCCTCACCATAATTAGTCATGTAGAAGGATATTCGGCCCTGCAACCAAAACAAAATACCACTTCATTAAAAAAAAATACACTTCATTCACCTTTCATAAAAAAAAAAAACACACCTGTCTCTGAGACTCGTACAGAATCCGATCCATCGTGTTCAGAAGCGTCATCTTCTGATAAAAATTTAGAACCGTCTCTTTGGACAGCTGAAAAAACACAAACATACTTTTTTAGCCTGTCGGGAGAACATGTGTGATTTTAACGATCCAGAACGGAGGCAGAAAAGAGTACCTGAGGGTCTTGAGAAGGATTGATTATTTTCCCCAGCCTATCCATGACCCGGTACACCGGGATCCCAGAGATCACATTGGGCTGGATGAAGTCAAGCTGGTCCACGAACTCGGCCGAGGCGCCGGGGAACTGAGGCTTTTCCAGCGACGAGTCGAAAGTCTGCTGCTGGTGCGCCGCCTGGAAGTTAACAAAGATTTTAAAAACAAGACTCACCAACAAATCAGCAGCTATAAATGGACATTTCCTCGTGACATCACACCACAGAGAGGGAATATAATGAAATAAGAGTGTGTGCTCCATCTTCTCAAACCCCCAGTGAGTTGTGGCAGACGGCTGCTCACACTGAGCCAGCTTCTTTTGGAGGTTTCTTCCTGTTAAAGGGGAGTTTTCCTTTCCATTGTCGCTGCTTGCTTAGTTTGGGGATTGCTGTAAAGTAACTGACACAATAAGCTAGTGACTCGATGTCTTCTGCTGGGTTTCCGTGGATATAAAAATGTTACCTAATTGCCATAATGAACTGAGCTCAGTACACTGATTTGTAGGTTCAATTGGAATGTTTACAAAGTGCTTTGAGGTGACTCTTGTGATTTGGCGCTATATAAATAAACTGAATTGAAATGATAGGTTTATTAAAGTTTGAGCTATAACCTTTATCTAGAGTAGCGCTCGGCAATAAATAAAAAATGTATCGTTATCAAAATTTCTGACTCTTATCAAAAATAATTATTCTCATGTCAATAAATTTGATAATAAAAAAATGAAAAGAGGTGTGTAGGTTGGAAACATTCATGTCCCTTTAAGAAGCTGTACCACTTTGAGTCACATAAAAGCCCCATCTAGTGGACAACTTTTGTTTCTGCGCATACCTGTAGTAATCGTCCATTTATCGATATCAATATTGTCCATTTATCAATATCCACGATATATCGTGATATTGATAAACACATATCGCCCAGCCCTAATCTACAGGGTAAAATATTTGAACGCAAAATATCAACAAGTTCTGGACATTTATGAAGCGTATCTTAAATAAATAATACTTGGCCAATTTCAAGAGCACAGGTGCTGCAGGCTGGTGAGGGAGTGCCTTGTTAACAAATCATTTGACCATTTAAATTTTCCACATGTATGTTGAGGGTAAAACAAACATGACCTACTAAAATTGCATCTATTTGAATAGATGGTTTTGTGAGGTGAAAGAAGAATTGGTCCCTAAAGGCTTTAGTTTGTGGTTAGGCTAAATCAGTAGGTGAAAGACTTAAGGTGTGGTTAAGTTAGAACAGAATAGACTTTAAGGATCCCACAGAGGGAAAATTCACTCGTTAAGGCAGCACATACACTTAAATAATACAGGTAAATACACAAAGGCAGTAGGCTACTATTGTAACCTTTATCAAATAAAAGAATGGATAATAATAGAAAATTTGAGTTTCTAGGAAGATGGTAAATAGCCTGTATTTGTATAGCGCCTTCTTAGGGTTCTACAACCCCCAAGGCACTTTACAAGACAATCAGTTATTCATCCATTCACACGTTGGTGATGAGGAGCTACAACGTAGCAACAGCTGCCCTGGCGAGCGCTGACAGAGGCGAATCCTGCCAAACACTGATACCACCAGTCCCTCTGACCACTACCAGCAGGCAAGGTGGGTGTCTTGCTACTGCTGTCCCATTTAATATACCGAATGACCAGAAATAACAGCATAAAGAACACAGACATACAATCGTACAATCATAATAATGTTATTTTAACTTACAGTTTAGAGGTTATATTCTGTAGCGGTTGTGCTTCCTGCTTAGACGTGTCCTTCACAAATTTTGTCAAGTGCAAGAAAAGTCACCATCCAGATTTAAAGGTATTGAACACTTGTTTAATCAATACATCTGTAGTGGTCTCTAGTAGGAATGAATACCTTGTATGTCATATTCTGGGGGGAAAAACAGCGGTGTGCCATTTTCAGGAACTAGAAGTGAGCCACATCCCAGCTGAGCTTCAGAGCGCAGGATTTGGAATCTTTTTTCCTTGTATTGGAACATCCTGCCTCGGGTTGGATAACAGCAACATGACTCTACCACTGACTTGCAATGTGGATGTTTTATCTCCACAAATACCTTAAAGCTTGGTTTATGCTTGACGCATTCACTTTCCGCTTGGTGATGCGGCTCGCGGATGGAACGCGCTTCACAACTCGCAGCGTTTATGGTTCACGCGGCTTGTCTCTGCGGTGAGCCAATATTCTCCCAAACTGAACGGGGCAGCATGAAGCTCTACGGCATGCATCCAACACTAAACCATAGTAGAAATTACTGTTGTTTACAACATGGCATTCCAGCATTTTTAACAGCGTCCTCGTCTTTTCCGACAGTGCAAGCTATTTCTCTCCAAGATTTATTAACAACACGTTGATCAAGGTGATCTCTGAGAGCTGAATCATACAAATGTCTGTATTTACGAACCTCTGCCATACTAGTTCTTGCCAGTCCGCCATGTTTTTCCACGTCCGACCGTCCGCATGGTTAGAATTTTTTCATAGGTGCGCGTTGCGGAAATTTTGGGCCGTGGTTGTTAAAATGACGCAATTTCACAGCGCGGACCTCGCGGACGCGTCAAGCATAAACCAAGCTTTAGCCTAAAGGAGTTCTGCTGTGTGGGGGAGTTTCTAATGCTAACGTTAGCTTCTACTTGCCAAGTCGTTCTCTGCGGTTTCCTGGGCGCTAAACCATCTACAGCCTTCCCTGTCGTGAGTCAAGATAGGTGGGTTCAGGAACGTTCAGTGACAGTGTGATGTAGATCTGTCAGGATTTTCTAATCCTAGATTTTCACTGTGTATTTTCTAGCAAAAGCTAATGCAGGAGATAGGTGTAGGAGATTGTTTTCATGTTCAGCCTGCATGAAAAACTCAAGAGTGACTGATTATAATCAGAAATAAGTTTTAAGTATTTTTTCTCAGTGTTCCACATCTTTAAACAAGTATGTGTGAGCATGCTGCTGGACAATTACTGCACTGCATTTGAATACAACTGATAAAGGTCTCTAGTGCAGGGACACACAGAACCGTTCAAACGCCTAGGGACAGTTTTCAACCTGACATGCGTGTTTTTAGTCTACGAGGAAGCTCACGCATGCACGGGGGTGGGGGTGTTGCAAACATGCAGGTCATGGAATTTGTGACCTCCTAGACATCAATGTTACAAACTGTACCGCCAAGCAATCCTAAAGTGTAAAAGTGCATTTCAAAATTATAAACCTTTTATAACTAAGCCGTCTTTGTTTACTTTAGTGGTGCAATTTTCGACAGCACTATGAGCTGTATTCATCTCATGATGCTGTTGTATGATTATGACCTGTAGGAGGTGTATTAAACAAACTTGTGGCCCGACTGGTTTATCCCTTACGCCCCTTCACTCGACCAATTGGAAACAAGCTAACCTAAACTTTAGCCAGCTGGCAAAGATCGTCAGACACAAAACAAAAAACGCATAACGTTAACACAACAATGTGGTATCCATCCGTGAACATGTAACTGTGATTGTCTGCAATAGTTTAGAGAGACAAAAAAGAAAATTGTATGCTTCCGAATCTGTTAGCATAACCTGCTAACACTCAGGTATCGCGATAATTTAACAGGTCAAGCGTGTTCAAAATGTTTCATTCTAATTTTTACCTCATGAACTTTGCTAAACGTTAGATTTACTTCCATATAATCTGCACCAGTTGGTGTAGACATACTTATTTTTATTGTCTCCTGCAGCCTACCAGGCCACATTCAGACCACCTTAAATAACCTCTAGGATTTCCAAGTTAACATCCGAAACTATGTGGATCTCCGTACGAAGACGTTCAAATCATTTCAACTCACGCTGATTCTGATGGATCTACACTGAAGCAGCCTTGGTGCGTTTATTCCTCTCGTTTCACGCACAGCATGAAAGCAGATCCCATTGATTCTGCGCATTGCGCTCACAGCCGCCATTCGGATAGTCCAGTCGCTTGGTTTAATTCAGTGAGATTGCGTGTTTGTAAACTAACTGTACAGGTATGCCAGACCTTAACGGTACAATAAACTTAACTCTTGAAACCCTTCAGTTTGTGTCCATCCTGTCACTCTTCTTCTTTGAACCAGTAGGTCAGAGGTAGAACAGATACGCTGCTGCCCCCTGCAGGTCATAAACTGGTTTTACGTTGATACTAATTCCAGTAACCTCTAGGGTCCTGTGTCCGTGGTCCACATTAGCTCCTTGCACTTTAATTTTTTTTTCTCTTCTACTTGGACCCTTTTGTTATTTATAGAAACTTGATATTGACTTTAATAAAAAAATCACTTTATTTCCGGACATTTGCAGGTTATTTTTATGAACGTATTTAACTTCTAAGTAACTTATTGTTCTTGTCACATTGCTCTTTGATCAAACACTACCAGAAAAACTGAAATCTCTGCTTATATTTATAATCTTTACTAATATATGAGCAAATCCGACATCGGCACGTTGCACACATGACGTCACCACAGAATCTCTGCCATTTTCCCTGTTTTTCTCCGTGTCTGCTTCGATGATGTCACTTTCATAAAGCGCATTTGTAGTCCTGGACTTATTACACAAAACTTAAAATCTCTCCCCCCCTTTCGAAAATAAGCACGTTCTTGGTATTAAAATGCATCTTTATGGACATCATATGTGAAATCCATGGCACATAACAAGCAGAATTAGAAAATAGCGTCTTTAGCACCATTGACTTGCATTCATTTTTTTGTTTTTCTGGGGACCCGTGGTCCGGAAGTAGATGGGCGTGGCTTAGGCTCTATGGAGTGCTGTCTGTCACCTATGATTGACTGTCACTATGGTAATGCTATGGAATCTTGCGTTACCATAGTTACAGCTCAGGTGCATCATTTAAAATGCTCTTTCAGACTTCAGTTCCATCTCGAGTGAGTAGGACCTTTTCTCTGCGATCTCTGTGTTTGCTGACTTTAGTCTTCCAGAGAGCAGCTCTAGCATGTAATAAAACTACCCACAAACAAACCAGCCCAACATCTGACATGTTTAGACTTTCAGATTTATCTGAAGTGTTTCCTGTGCTTTACTGGGAGACTTTAACATTCCTCAAGGTAAACTGGTTTTATCATTTATATAAAATACACCTGCTGGGAAAAAAAATAAAAAAATAAACAACAACCCCTTAAGCAGGTCAGATTACAGATAAAAAGTCAAGATAAAACTCATTTGAATCTGAAATATGAGTTATAAACGTACATTTCTATAACTAGACCTACATGCTATCTGCCGTGTACAGTAGTTGTGTCTGGAGAAGGGACTGATCTTTATTTCTGCACCAGTTTGACAGAAATATAAATAAATGCCACTTTTTCATCAGTGAATAAGTTATAAATTTAATAACATTAAGTGAACAAACTATTTTGACTTGTTTACATTTAAAAATGGATCCATCAGCTAATAGAAGAGTCATTTGGCTTGATTTAGCAAACAGAAAAGTCAAGAGGCTCAACTGCAGGTTATTTTTATGTACGTATTTAACTTCTAAGTAACTTATTGTTCTTGTCACATTGCTCTTTGATCAAACACTACCAGAAAAACTGAAATCTCTGTTTATATTTATAATCTTTACTAATGTATGAGCATCAGGACCAAAGAGAAATTTCTTTGATGTCAAACAGTTTGTTATTTGTCTGAAGAGGATTGCATTATCTTCTTTAAGTTCTGATATATTTTTATTAATATATTTCTACGTCATCAAACATCTGGTCTGTGATCCGATCATTATTATACATAAGAGGTACAGCTGATGATGGCTCCTTTCATGTTAAATCACGTTAAGAGGGACAGGATGACAGAATTTAAAATGCAAACAAAAAATAAATCTTTTAAAAAGTAATGAAGTTATTGAATATGATATATTATGTAAAGCTTTCTTTATTTGTACTTTACTTATTTTCTTCAGGTCTACTTTTTACTTTTACTTCACTAATTTTTAAAGCCACTATCTGTACTACAATAAGGAGCCTAGGTCTCCTCTCTTCCCGGTCGGCTCATGGGTCCCCGGAAGAACGAAAACATGAATGCAAGTCAACGGGACTAAAAACGTTATTTTCTAATCCGCTTTGCCTTACGTCCTGGATCACACACATGTTGTACTTCAATTTAAATGTAATCCAACGATGGGTGTTTCAATCATGCCAGTCACGTACTTTGAAATTTATCAGCTTGTAAAAGTTCGATGTTAGCATGACTACAAATCCGACATCGGCACGTTGCACACATGACGTCACCACAGAATCTCTGCCATTTTCCCTGTTTTTCTCCGTGTCTGCTTCGATGATGTCACTTTCATAAAGCGCATTTGTAGTCCTGGACTTATTACACAAAACTTAAAATGTCTCCCCCCCTTTCGAAAATAAGCACGTTCTTGGTATTAAAATGCATCTTTATGAACTTCATATGTGAAATCCATGGCACATAACAAGCAGAATTAGAAAATAGCGTCTTTAGCACCATTGACTTGCATTCATTTTTTTTGTTTTTCTGGGGACCCGTGGTCCGGAAGTAGATGGGCGTGGCTTAGGCTCTCTATGGAGCGCTGTCGGTCACCTATGTTTGACTGTCACTATGGTAATGCTATGGAATCTTGCGTTACCATAGTTACAGCTCAGGTGCATCATTTAAAATGCTCTTTCAGACTTCAGTTCCATCTCGAGTGAGTAGGACCTTTTCTCTGTGGTCTCTGTGTTTGCTGACTTTAATCTTCCAGAGAGCAGCTCTAGCAGGTAATAAAACTACCCACAAACAAACCAGCCCAACATCTGACATGTTTAGACTTTCAGATTTATCTGAAGTGTTTCCTGTGCTTTACTGGGAGACTTTAACATTCCTCAAGGTATACTGGTTTTATCATTTAAATAAAATACACCTGCTGGAAAAACAAAAAACACAATAAACAACAACCCCTTAAGCAGGTCAGATTACAGATAAACAGTCAAGATAAAACTCATTTGAATCTGAAATATGAGTTATAAACGTACATTTCTATAACTAGACCTACATGCTATCTGCCGTGTACAGTAGTTGTGTCTGGAGAAGGGGACTGATCTTTATTTCTGCACCAGTTTGACAGAAATATAAATAAATGCCACTTTTTCATCAGTGAATAAGTTATAAATTTAATAACATTAAGTGAACAAACTATTTTGACTTGTTTACATTTAAAAATGGATCCATCAGCTAATAGAAGAGTCATTTGGCTTGATTTAGCAAACAGAAAACTCAAGAGGCTCAACTGCAGGTTATTTTTATGTACGTATTTAACTTCTAAGTAACTTATTGTTCTTGTCACATTGCTCTTTGATCAAACACTACCAGAAAAACTGAAATCTCTGTTTATATTTATAATCTTTACTAATGTATGAGCATCAGGACCAAAGAGAAATTTCTTTGATGTCAAACAGTTTGTTATTTGTCTGAAGAGGATTGCATTATCTTCTTTAAGTTCTGATATATTTTTATTAATATATTTCTACGTCATCAAACATCTGGTCTGTGATCCGATCATTATTATACATAAGAGGTACAGCTGATGATGGCTCCTTTTATGTTAAATCACGTTAAGAGGGACAGGATGACAGAATTTAAAATGCAAACAAAAAATAAATCTTTTAAAAAGTAATGAAGTTATTGAATATGATATATTATGTAAAGCTTTCTTTATTTGTACTTTACTTATTTTCTTCAGGTCTACTTTTTACTTTTACTTCACTAATTTTTAAAGCCACTGTCTGTACTACAATAAGGAGCCTAGGTCTCCTCTCTTCCCGGTCGGCTCATGGGTCCCCGGAAGAACGAAAACATGAATGCAAGTCAACGGGACTAAAAACGTTATTTTCTAATCCGCTTTGCCTTACGTCCTGGATCACACACATGTTGTACTTCAATTTAAATGTAATCCAACGATGGGTGTTTCAATCATGCCAGTCACGTACTTTGAAATTTATCAGCTTGTAAAAGTTCGATGTTAGCATGACTACAAATCCGACATCGGCACGTTGCACACATGACGTCACCACAGAATCTCTGCCATTTTCCCTGTTTTTCTCCGTGTCTGCTTCGATGATGTCACTTTCATAAAGTACATTTGTAGTCCTGGACTTATTACACAAAACTTAAAATAACGTCTCTCCCCCTTTTGAAAATAAGCGCGTTCTTGGTATTAAAATGCATCTTCACGGACATCATATGTGAAATCCATGGCACATAACAAGCAGAATTAGAAAATAGCGTCTTTAGCCCCATTGACTTGCATTCATTTTTTTGTTTTTCTGGGGACCCGTGGTCCGGAAGTAGATGGGCGTGGCTTAGGCTCTCTATGGAGCGCTGTCTGTCACCTATGATTGACTGTCACTATGGTAATGCTATGGAATCTTGCGTTACCATAGATACAGCTCAGGTGCATCATTTAAAATGCTCTTTCAGACTTCAGTTACATCTCGAGTGAGTAGGACCTTTTCTCTGTGGTCTCTGTGTTTGCTGACTTTAATCTTCCAGAGAGCAGCTCTGGCAGGTAATAAAACTACCCACAAACAACCCAGCCCAACATCTGACATGTTTAGACTTTCAGATTTATCTGAAGTGTTTCCTGTGCTTTACTGGGAGACTTTAACATCCCTCAAGGTAAACTGGTTTTATCATTTATATAAAATACACCTGCTGGAAAAAACAAAATAAACAACAACCCCTTAAGCAGGTCAGATTACAGATAAACAGTCAACATAAAACTCATTTGAATCTGAAATATGAGTTATAAACGTACATTTCTATAACTATATTATATCCACAAGCATGTGAGGATGTGTTTCGGCTGCTAACAGGCACCAGAATCAAAATAAAAAATTAAACAAGTATGAACTCTAACACAATATCTTCAACCATCGTCACCCGTGAGCTACACATGTAGGCAAATCTGTCCGACTTAAACGCCGACTTTCAGTCACTCCCCCTGCTGCGTCTGTCTGCTTTAATCTGTTTTCCAGGCGAGGCACTGCTCAACTCAATCAAGGCCTTTGTTTCAGTGATCCTGTCACTCATGTACACAACCGCGTCATCTGCATACATTTGAAAACAAGTCCAAGGACAAACTTTTGGTAAATTCTTAAAATAGAGGAGGTCTATTCAATTCTGGGCCTCGAAGCACAGTATCCAGTATGTTTTAATGATTTCTCTGGTCCAACACACTAGATTCAGTGGTTGAATCACCTGTGGAGCAGCCCAGGCTCTGCAGAAGCCTGTTAATCACCTGCTGATTAAAATCAGGTGTGTTGAAGAAGGGTTAAAACCAAAACATGCTGGATAACAGCCCTCAAGGCCTGGAATTGAGTAGCATTAAAGAGCAGTGGGCCTAGTAATGATCCCTGTGGGATGCCTGTTTTCAATGGTAAAAATTATGATTTTTCATTATTGATTACTACACGTTGTTCCATCCATCCATCCATTTTCATTCGGGTCAGGGGGCAGTAGTCTAAGGCGAGGGGCCCAGAGTTCCCTCTCCCCAGCCACCTGGGCCAGCTCCTCCGGGGGAATCCCAAGGCGTTCCCTGGCCAGGTAAGTGACATAGTCCCTCCACCGTGTCCTGGGTCTACCTTTAGGTCTCCTCGCTGTTGGACGTGCCTGGAAAACCTCACCAGGGAGACATCTAGGAGGCATCCTGTCCAGATGCACGAGCACAAGGCACTTTGCATTGACTATTTATGGAAGTAAGTGGGCGTGGTGAGGGCGGGATGTGACTAAAAAGCAGCTGAGAAACATTCTTGTTAGTTTCCGATTTAAGAAGCAGAGATTGCGTGCAGCTGTGCGTACTCCATGTTTGATAGATCACAAACCTACTTGGCTTAAGTAGATTTTTTTTTGCAGAGCTTAAGTATGGTTTTAGTAAGGATTCTACGCAATGTTTGATAAATGAGACCCCAGATGCTTTCAGCTACACTTCTTTGTCCTTTTTCTGGACATAAAACTGTTTAATCAGTTGTTGTACATCAGGCTGATTACCTAGAGACAACAACTGTATCTTTGCTACACAGATGTGCAAGTTGTAATATAGGATAAAATTAATGATTTTTCTTAGATAGGTTTTATCATAAGAGTGAACTCAGTCCCCCACATGTTACATATTAGCCGTATATAATTCTACCACAAGTGACCAACAACCCAACAGTGTTGATTTGAAACAAAGGAGTGTCCCAGCTACATAAACTCTGGGATTCACTTCAGAAATGTAAAGAAAATAATAAAACCCAACCACAAACCTCCTTTTCTGCTAACAATGAAGCTACTTCCTGTTTGTTTATTTATTTATTTTATTTATTAACTTATATTTTTAAGGAGGATAAAACCACTTGAGATGAATCATCTCGTTTACAGCTGGGTCCTCCTGGAAACAAAGATGCAAATACAAAGACAAGATAACAGAGCGATAAATTGAATTCAAAACAAAATGACAAATTAACACTACCACAATAAAAAAACATTAAAAGTGAATACATAAAATAATAATAATAATAATAATAATAATAATAATAATAATAATAATAATAAAACAAAGAAGTAATCAAATAGAATAAATTGTATGAACAATTGTTTATCTGTGGAGGTCTGCTGCTGTTGCCACCTGCAGTTTAGGAGTTGGAACCATCCTGGGATTGAAACCTGCAAGAAAGTAAAAGATAAAAGACTTCAAAATAATGTTAGGTCATTTTGAATATTTAGCAAGTGGCAAATATGATCATATCTGCATACAGGTTACTCAAAAAGAAGCCAATCTTTAGCTTTTCTGCAGGGCAGTAGAAACTACTAAACTCTGTCGCCCTCTAGTGGATAAAAAGCAAACTGCAGATTTTAAAATTTTATGAAACATCTGAAGCATGGTTCTGTACTGCTGTAGCCTGGCAAGCCAGACTAAATAAACATTATTTAAACTTTGCAAAAGCAAGAATTTGGTATAGTTCACTAGGCTAGTACTGAAGTACAATTAACTTTAATTCATTTATACACATGGAACACGCCACACTGGTCTTTGAAACCACATTCTAGACTTTTCTAATCTACTGCTTTGATTTTACATGAATAGTTATTTGAGAAAAAACATCAGTTCTGTAGAAAGCAGTGCATCATGTTTGACAACTCCCAAACAGAGATGAATAAAAATATAACTAGAAAATATAGGCTGCAGATGCAGGGACAGATGTTTTTACTTTGTCAGCTTCTTGATGTGAGGAAAGCCAACTAATAGATCCGTACCTCTAGTGGATGGATATGAAAGTCCAACTCCAGCTCCCCTGCTTCTGCCTTTCTTGACGTCATGGATCCAAATAAGTCCTCTTCATCAGAGATGCTGCTGTCCATGCAGGCATCGTCCATCTCAGAGTCTAGGTGTTGTCTGATAAAGTTGAGACCTGTGTAAAGGAAAGCTTTCAAAAATTGATCTGTATAAGACTGACAAGCTGCTGAGCTCTTGAGATCAATCAATCAATGTTTATTTGTATAGCACTATACAAAAAATACAGCTCAAAGTGCTTTACAGGTTAAAATCACCCCATGTAACCCAAAATCACATCATTTCCCCAAAATTATAAAAATAATTATGACAATTGCACCCCCCCCCCCCCCATCCCACAACCCATTTCCTAAGGAACATACACACACACACACACACATGAACAACAAATACACTCATGCGCACACAAAACTTAAAAAAAAGGATAGAAAGCATCATAAGTAAACATTACAAAGATGGGTTAGGGAACGAATGACACGCCATCAGCTGAGCCATCTGCCTTGGTAGTAGTCGATCGATGGCAGCAGCCAAGGCACCAACCCAGGGCTCCCAGGGAGGTAGGGCGAAAAGCACTCCCCGAAGTGTGCCTAGGCCACCACAGTCGACCACCACCCCGGAGACAGAGGGCCCCACAGAGGAAAACACTGGCACGAACAAATAAGTAACATAAAAAAATAATAAGAGCTAATATGAATAGTAAAATAACTAAAAAAGTGATTAAAAGATAAAACACTAATACATAAATGTCTAATAAAACTCAAATATAAATAATAAAATAACAATAAAAGAAGCAATGCAGCTGAAAGCAGCCGTTTCATCATTTAATCAGCAATCAGACCTCTCTAATTTCTATTTTTAATAGAAAGTTGTAAAATGAGCAGAAAGAAAATGTTGCACTAAGTGTTCTACAAAAAGCTTTTCTTTCTGCTGATCTGAAAAATGATCCAATCCAAACTGAGTTTTTATATCTGTTCTCACAGATGTCACCATATCGCGACTGCTTTGACAGTGAGTGATGTCTCAGATCAGCACCCAAAATTGTCCACAGTAACATTAATAAAATAAAAGTTTATCCGTCAAAGTACTGCATTATTTAATCCATTCAGAGGAGCCGGAGAGCAGCTGCATGAACTATGATTTTTACTGCACTCTGTGAGAAAAAAGCCCCGCAATGTACGTGGTGAAGGAGGATTTCCACCGTGTTTTGCGATGTTAAGAATTCAGCAAAGGTGATTTTAAAGAAGTGTGATTTCTGCTCATATTCTTTTGCTTCCATTCTGCTTCACAAGCAACTCTTCTAATTTTACTAATATCCGGTTGTTTTAGACGGCGTCTGCTGATGTCATTTCCTACTGAGTTACAACCAATCAGTGTTGTTCAGGGGTAGGTACAATTTATAACAAAAACGATGTAATTTTTGGTGCCAGCTATTAAGATGACCTGCGCAAGACTACTGATGTCACTTTGTTTCTGGATTAAAGGCATCTCTTTCGCATGGCTTTGAATATCCTGGAGTGTAGTAATCTATGTTGAATTTTATGTTCTTGAATTTTTTCATTTTAACCTATTATTTTTGCCATCTTTAAAATGGCTCTGAATTGTATTACTTTTTATAGTGGTTCATTAAATGTTATTGTTTTTACTGCTGTTTCGTTTTTTTCCCATAATAATGTTAACTTTGGTCAGACTGCAGTGTAAAGCACTATATAAATGAACATTGATTTGATATTACATTTTAACATGAAAATTACACTGTAACAATGTTAAGATGATATTGTTAGAACAATAAAATCGTGTTATAATTTTATTTTGCACGGGTGTTAGCTCAACGCTCCCATAGATATGATATAAAAAATACATTCTTGGAGAGCTTGAACTACTACAACTTGCATAACCGAGTATCAAATATTAGAATCCATAACGAGTTGAAACATTCATATAAGCATTAAGCTCGACATTTACTTCAAGTAGATAGACTAAAGAACAGAAAAATGTTCAAATAAAAATGACTTTCTTTTAGTGCGTACCATTATAAAGTCAAGTCAAGCATTCTTCAGTCCCAAGGTAGTAGTGATGTGTCGGTCGCGAACGAACCGGCTCTAAGAGCCGGCTCTTTGAAGTGAACGACGGGAGCCGGCTCGTCATTGGGAGCCGTACCCTCCCCTCCCCCCTCCCCCTGCCTTGGTGAAAGCTACAGGCGATTGGTCAACATGTGTAACTGCGTGTCCAGACTGTCCACACACAGAGGAGTAGGGGCGGGGAAGAGGGAGGATCAGACTCAGACACACAGCAGAGCACATGCGGGAGGAGGGAGACGAGAGGGAATAAGGAGGAAAAGGGCGAGCGAGGGAGAGTGCGACGAAGACGGTGAGAAAATGAGCGCCAGCAGTTGGAAAGTGGAGATTTCTTAGTGATCAGTTATTAAATCCATAGAAATGATAAATATTTGATATATTGCTTTTTTTTACATTAGTAAATTATTTTACATATAGTTTAGCATTATTTTGGTTATAAATGTACTCTAAGCAACAGAAAATCTGAGGAGCCACTTGGGAGCCAAAAGAGCCGGCTCTTTTTGGTGAGCTGAGCCCAAAGAACCGGCTCTCTATAAAGAGCCTGAATTCCCAACACTACAAGGTAGAGAAAAAGATAAACATTGTGAATTGCATGACTTAACTCTAGTTGTAAATATACCAACTGCTTAACAAAACTACATTCTTTCAAACAATAAGCTAGGCAGTAATGTCATAGACCTACACACAGACACCTGTTTTAAATGTTGTACTCTAATCTGTAGAAATGCATTATTTCTTGCTTTTCACACAAGTAGGGGAGGTGCACCGTTCCTGGAAATACTGCAATACCAGGTCGATGCGTGGAGTGGACGGAGCAAGCCCCTATTCCATCTCCCTGTTCCAAAAATCAATTTAATATATGGTCCCCGGATAGGGGACGTATCAGATATTAAACTGATAAGAACAGATACTACACTTGATCTTAGCCAAAAGGCCGAGAAGCGATGCCATATAATTGTTTGAAGACACCAAGTCATTCTGCTCACTGTCATTTTGACTCGCGGTTCTGGAAATAACATTATTTCCAATGGCACACGCAAACAGAGACCATTTATTTAATTGACCCATTGTGTAACTCTGATGTTGGGTGGCTATAAATTAGATAAAATTGAAGTTAAGTGAAAAAAACGCGGCGTTGCTTCCGGGTCACGTGTGTCATATAGGTCCAATAACAAACAAAGAGACCTAAACGCTTACAAAAATCGACATTCTTCACATTTTCTTTAAAGCAAATCTCTAACCTTGCGTAAACACATATTTACTACATTTTATGCTATCTTTGAAATGAAATGAAACGGTACGGTTGTTATATGATGCATTACGAAACAGACCTAAGCAGCGACCTCTGGTGGAGAGGAAAGAAAACTGCAATACATCATGTAAAAAGTAAATGGGTGGAAAACACGTTTTAGTTTAAAACACGACGGAGGTAAATTAAGAAAAGCAATAAAAACATACACATTCAGATATTAAACTGTGTCTAAAAGTCTGGATTTTACTTATCAAGCCAACATTCCTCGCCTATTTTGTTTGTTGCTGCTGCCATTAAAATAAAACAATTAGCGTGCAAGAAGTTATGTTAAAACTTACAACTGTTGAGCAAAGCTTGAATGTAGCCTACCTCAACTCGATATGGGGACGCCCCCAGTCAGTAAACCTAATTAAACTGATTTAGCCACTTACTTCTTGTTTGCTGCTGCTGGTTACATTGTTCAGACCTTTAAAAAACGCGTATTTATTTTAAATATTGAGTATATATTAGTCCCTCATCTGCAACCGTAGCCTGCACAAGGCCTCACCTCACCTGCAGACTCCCAGGCGCCACAACGAAGCTACATTCATACCTCATCGTTGAAAATTCTAAAAACAACACAGAAAATAAAAGTTAACACTACAGTACGAAAAGTGAAAGTCGACATAAACGTACGATATGTCGTGGTCTTCAAATGTAGTCCGTCGAAATTAACGAAGTCCGTCATTATACGCATGCGCATGTTTAATGATTTTTTTTCCCAAATGGTAAACGAGATTCTCTAACAAGGGGGAAAAAAAGACAACATAAAAAAAAACATTTCCTTTAACAAAATAAAAGTCACACTACTTATTCAATTCACTTTCATCTAATTATTTTACATTCATGTGAGCTAAATAATCACATTAATACTTTAATTATGAGGTCGAATAACAACCATTTTGATAAAATTGTCAGTTTAATTAAGAAACGTTTCTCATCTACTTCAGGTTTAATTTAGCTCAAGTCTTTTTTGATTATTTGCTAAAACAACACTGGTTCAAAAAATGTTACATTTCTGTAATGCACTCAAGGCCGGATTAATCATATGGGCAACTGGGCAATTGCCCAGGGGCCCACGGACTCTAAAGGGCCCAGGCCCAGGGCAGCAAGGTCACAAGCAAAACACTGTATCTGTAATCTCCCGCTTTATATTAAACTAGGGTGACCATCCGTCCTCTTTTCCCCGGACATGTCCACTTTCTCTGTCCGGGTATCCGGGGGGTTCTTGTATTGATGAAAATGCCCGGTTTTTCATCCAAGAGCAGGGATCAATTTATGGGGGAGCTGGATATCCTACACATCCAGGGGAGCCGGAAAAACGTTTTCTACCAATATTACATCATTCATGGACTCTTTTGAGCGGAGAGCGGCAGAGCGATGATTGTTGCTGCGCAGCGCTCCAGGCTGCTGCGTCCAGCGCACGGTCCATTCTCAATGTGGTGCAACCAAAAACTATAATTAACACACGATTGTTCATGTCCGCACATGTTCTCTACTTTCTGTCTTATTTGTGCCTGAAGCGCTCTGCTACTGCGGAGCTCATCACCTGTGCTGCGGTGATTTCACCTCACTGACGCAGCATCAAAACGCGCACTCCACTTTGCGGTCAGGAGATCCCTTTGATCTGCTCAAAAGTAACTGATGAGGTGAAAAGGTAAGAATCCAGGCAGCAGTTTTTCTGGAGACTTTAGAGGAGATGCAGGAAGATGAGAGACAGACAGGACAGGACAATAGTCACATAAAAACAAGAAAGCAAAACAAAGTGTTGCAAAGTAAAATGTAGATTTATCTCCACTACGTGTTTTTACCTGTATAAAACAATAAGTTATACACATGTAATATGTATACATCTGATACAATTCAGATCACCTTCAAAACAGTCACACACCCAGGGCCGTTTCAAGGCATTTTGGGGGCCAAGGCAAAACAGAACACTTAATAATTCTTATTAAACACTTTGGTCTTTACATAACTGAATGTACCAACAACAAAATCACACAAACATTATCAACAGAAATCAAATTTATCAGCCCACGGCGGTCTGGCTTTGGAGTCACACTCAAAATTTACATGGAAAAACACAACATAGGCTGATCCAACTTTCATGTAATCACCTTAGAACTAGTCAAAATGAGGCTCAGTATTGTGTGTGACCTCCATGTGCCTGTGTGACTTCACTACAACACCTGGGCATGCTCCTGATGAGGAGGTAGATGGTCTCCTGAGGGATCTCCTCCCAGACTTCCTAAGTGACTAAGTCGATGGATGGATGGATGGATTTATGGATGGATGGATGGATGGATGGACGGATGGATGGATTTATGGATGGATGGATGGATGGATGGACGGATGGATGGATGGATGGATGGATGGATGGATGGATGAATGGATGGACAGATGGATGGACGGACGGATGGATGGATGGATGGACAGATGGATGGATGGACAGATGGATGGATGGACAGATGGATGGACGGACGGATGGATATACAAGCACATCAAGGATAAGGCCCCAGCAGATGACATGCTCAGTGGATGTCTCAGACAATGACAAACAGACGAGGAGACACTGGAAATACCATCATGGGACGACAAACCCCTACATGAGATGTACCACAGACCAATAACTGAAGTGGCTGATATCAAGAAATCCTACCAATGGTTAGAAAGAGCTGGTCTGAAGGACAGAACAGGCACTCATCATGGATGTACAGGAACAGGCCCTGAACACCAGAGCAACAAAGGCCAAAATCTTCCACATCAGACAAGACCCAAGGTGTAGGCTATGCAAAGAGGTCCCTGAAACAATCCACTACATAACTGCAGGGTGTATGATGCTGGCAGGGAAAGAATACATAAAACACAAAAGATTTAAGTGAAAGCAGCTTTAAATAAATGTGTCTTCAGCTGTTTTGGTGACCAGACTGTGAATACAACGCAAGGATAAAGGAAGTTCATTCCAAAGTCATGGTGCAACCGCCTGGAAAGAGCAATCACCTCAACTTTTATATTCTGTCTTGTCTCTCTATGCAGGTTACCGCTGAGCACAGGTGTAGATTCTCACCTAATGGCTCACACCCATCAGGTGGGAGGTTAAAGAAGCCAGTCATTCTCTGCAAGATTAATCCCAGTGGATTGGCAACCTGCAGCCTCCTTTAGTTGAGTTGTTCATCCTTGAAATTTTACTCACCTGTTGAACTTCTCCAGGTGTGTTTGCCAAAGACTCCCCCAGGTTCCTCTTTGTCCCCCACTCTTCAGCTTTGTGTATTGCAAACCTCCTCCCTGGCTTCCAGCAGTTAAAAAGGTTCTGCTCTGTCCTTGTCAACTTTGGCCTGATGGAGAAAGAGCTCTTGCTGATTACAGAGGAAAGGGATGGCATCCTCAAAGCCTGGAATGCTGTGGAGGAGCTCTACAAGCAGCTACAGCAGTCACTCAGCTGTACAGGACTCATTGGGAAACGCTCAGCAGGACCAAGAGGGACGACCTGGCTGAAGCTGCTGTGGTGCAAAAATTAAAGATGCCAAATGTAACACAGCAGCACATGAGATCAACATAAGACTCGTGAACACGCTGGTGAAAATGCTGTGGCTGTGTTTTCCCCAGTGGTCAAAGTAAAGCTCAGAGAAGACGGCCATCCTGAGGGTGTAGGATTTGGTGCAGCACGGGATTCTAGTAGAATCTGCTAAAAATCAATTTAAAAAGAGTTTGTGAATTGATATCTTGTCAGAAGAGACTCGTCAACTTCCAGTCCAGCACACAGCCAATCACTGTAACCAAGCTGACATCAATCTCAATGGCTGATGTTTCTCCAGCACTTCCTCAGCCTGCTGTCCTCCTTCCGCCGACTAACCATAACTAACAATAAATTCACAGAAAGCACAACAGGGACCACGTTTTTGGGAGACCTTGTGACGCCAGTCTCCCAGCCTGCTCCTCAGCCACGGCTTCAGCCACATTGCCTCACTTTCAACTGCAGTCTCGGCTACAGCCTCGATCACAGTGGCCTCCTCCAACACTGGTCTCCGAAACCCCTGGGAACAAAGGCAGACCCAGTCTGCCTAAGGCGATCTGTTCCAGCTCTGAGTCTTGCCCGCCTGCTCAGTCTCCTGCCAGTCAGGAGTCTTCTGAGGCCATCGCTACCTCTTCTCCATCTTCATCATGGTCCAGGGCCATGCTTTACAAGCAAAAACAGGAGCATTCCTGCATGGTGGAGGGAAAAAAGTCCCAGGTGCAGAGCAATTCTGTTTGCACAATCTATGAATAAGTGACACAAAAAAGACATTCTGCCCTGAAAAAATGGTGTCCACATCAAAATGTCTCACATGCATCAGGGTCTAACGTTTTGAGCACTTTGTTGACTGTTGACTCCAAAGATGATACTGCTGCTGTCTAGTTTCCGTGATGCATTTCGTCTTAGCCCTCCAGACTAGGTTGGAGCTTGTTTGATTTGCACCGAGGCTGATGTAATGCAGCTGTACTCTAATGTTTTACTCAGGTTAAGTTTGTAATTGTTTTTATTTTTATTCAGCACAAATTGATGCTGCTGTTTGTCAGCTGTACTTATTTTTATATGCATTTATTAGCAGAGAAGTCGGTTTGATGGCATGTATGGCACATTTGAATTGTATGCGTGAAAACCATGTTTTGAGAGAAATTTGAGCAAGTAAAATAAAATAAATCCTCTCTAAAAAGTAAGATACACTTTGAATTAAAGGCAGGATATTAAGCCCACATCTGAAGAAAGTTCTCTCAATGTGGGGTTCCGTTTTGCCTTGGCCCCCGAAATGCCTTAAAACGGCCCTTGGTGTGTGACTGAGTTTTGAAGGTGATCTGAATTGTATCAGATGTATACATATTACATGTGTATAACTTATTGTTTTATACAGGTAAAAACATGTAGTGTAGATAAATCTACCTACATTTGTCTTTTCAACACGTTGTTTTGTTTTCTTGTTTTTATGTGACTATTGTCCTGTCCTGTCTGTCTCTCATCGTCCTTCATCTCCTCTAAACTCTCCAGGAAAGCTGCTGCCTGGATTCTTACTTTTTCACATCACGAGTTACTTTTGAACTAAGCAGATCAAAGGGATCTCCTGACCGCAAAGCGTAGTGCGCGTTTCGATGCTGTGTCAGTGAGGTGAAATCACCGCAGCACACGATGAGCGGAGCGCGTCAGGAACGATAAGAAAACAGAATACCAGAGGATATAAACAGATATGAACGATCATGTGTTAATAATAATGTTTTGTTGCGCCACCTTGAGCTCGACATTTACTTCAAATTGATAGAATACATTCTTCACAGGCATTCATTTTAGTTATGTGTCGGTCGCGAACAAACCGGCTCTAAGAGCCGGCTCTTTGAAGTGAACGACGGGAGCCGACTCATCATTGGGAACCATCCCCTCCCCCTCCCCTCCCTTCCCCCCTCCCCTCTTGGTTTGGTGAAAGCTACAGGCGATTGGTCAACATGTGTAACTGTGTGTCCAGACTGCACACACAGAGCAGTAGGGGCGGGGAAGAGGGAGGATCAGACTCAGACACACAGCAGAGCACATGCGGGTGGCGGGAGACGAGAGGGAATGAGGAGTAGGAAAAAGGAGAGCAAGAGAGGAGAGTGCGACGAAGACGGTGAGAAAATGAGCGCCAGCAGTCGGAAAGTGGAGATTTCTTAAAGTGTTCAGTTCTTAAATCCATGGAAATGATAAATATTTGATATGTTGTATTTATTTATATTAGTAAATCATTTTACATTAGTTTTGCATTATTTTGGTTATAAATGTACTCTACGCAACAGAAAATCTGAGGAGCCACTTGGGAGCCAAAAGAGCCGGCTCTTTTTGGTGAGCTGAGCCAAAAGAACCAGCTCTCTAAAAAGAGCCGGCTCTTTTGGTGAGCTGAGCCAAAAGAACCGGCTCTCTAAAAAGAGCCGTAATTCCCATCATTTCATCTACAACTAAAGAACAGAAAAAATGTTCAAATAAAAATTACTTTCTTTTGGTGCGTACCATTTTCAAGTCAAGTCAAGCATTCTTCAGTCTCGATGTAGAGAAAAAAAACATTGTAAATTGCGTAGCTTAATTCTAGCTGTAAAATAAACCAACTACTTAATACACCTACAGTCTTTATAACACTAAACGAGAATAACATTGTCATGGAACTTAACCCACCCCGGTCCTTTAAGCACTATTAACACCTGTATCTAGTGAAGGATGACTTCTTGCTTTTCACACAAATAGGGGAGGTGCACCGTTCCTGGAGATACTGCAATACCAGGTCGATGCGTGGAGTGGACGGAGCAAGCCCCATTCCATCTCCCTGTTCGAAAAATCAATTTAACATATGGTCCCCGGATAGGGGACGTATCAGATATTAAACTGATAAGAACAGATTTTTTTTCTCAAAATTTTTATTGACAATTATCAGTTTACAATGCCTTTAGAATTGTACAATAAAAGAACTATTCAACTAAATGACCTCTGTCATTTGTCTGAAGGCTGTGATACCTTAAGTTGCCGCTCTCCATGACCCTCAACCTTGGGGTCCCCAGACTGGGGGGGGGGGGGGGGGGGGGGGGGGGCAGATAGCAGTCATTTCAACATCAAAATGCACCCAGATCCTCCTCCACAAACCAAGGACCCTTTGTCCTCTGACCACACCACTGGGGTGTGGTTTGGGATCCTCCATCTATGCGCTGGAGTGTCAGAGTGTTGCTGCTTCAACCTTTTCCCGTGGACTCCGGCTCCACCATCCGAATGTCACAGAGGCGATTCTTCTTTGTGGCTGTATTACGGCCGCCGCCGTTTTGGAGCCCAGTGATGTGCTGCACTCCGTTTTCCGGTGCAGAAGTGCAGCACCTTGGACAGCTGCTCCTTGGGAAGCTGTCTTTCCTTCAGGACCATGGACAGCACCAGACCTCCAGTCACGCTCAGCTGGGACTTTTCAACTCATCAGCTGGCCCTTCAAAAGCGGCCAGCTGGAGCTCATCAGGGGAGAGAAATGTTTGTGGGTTGCAGCAGCAACTGGTTCTTCTCTTCCCTTGTGGTTCTCCTGGTCTTGTGGTTTAAAACCTTTAGCAGTTGTTCTTTCTTCTAGAGAGAGAGAGAGTGAGTAGGATTTTTTTTATGTCTGGGACACTTTGAGTTAACTGGTACTTGTGGTTTGGTTCGTCTTTAAGACTATTTTTGGTTAATTACCTGTTGGGGTTATGCCCGTTTTGATTTTGAGTCTCCGTTAAATATAGAAGAGCTATTTAGGATTTTTGGTGTTTTGACAATTTCAGTTACTGTAGTGAATTTAGCTTGGTTTGTCTCTCTGACAATCCTTAGTTAATTATGGGGTTTTTGCCCTTTCTTGATTTATAGTCTCCGTTTAACAAAGGAGTTATTTTAGGATTCTTGGTGTGGTTTGTCCTTTGGACATCTTTAGTTAATTGATCTTAACTTTGGTAATTTCTAGGTAAGGGTTTTGGCCCCCCTTTTTTTTAATAAACCTTTGTAAAGACGAGGACACTTTAAGTTTGGTTTTGCTTTGTCAAGCCTTTTTCTTCCCATAAGGGTTACTTTGCGTTAAACTCGTCCTTATGTTTATTCCCCTCTCCTTCCTAGCTGAGCCCACAGAGGGGTGTAACATAAAGGGGGGGGGGGGGGGCTGGGGGGGGGGCTCGTTTGGGATTTACTGATTTATTACTGCTTTATTACACTGTTAATAGCCTGTTTTGGATCAGTTAAACCCGTGTCAAACATTTGGACTAGTTTTAACAATTGGTAGCTCTTTGTTGGTTTTAGAAGACACAAAACACCCACTGTTTTGTGTAGTGTCCTTTTGTTCTTGTGCTCTTAAGCACGGCTCGGTTTTGTGTGGAGACATTTATGGAGGCTCCATCCCGTGAAGTGCTGGAGCGTTGCCGCAAGGCTGACCTACTGCAAATAGCTGCCAACCTTGCTCTTGACATCCCAAACCCTGTTCTGAAAAGAGACTTGAAACTGCTTATTGTGGAGCGTTTAGAGGAAATGGGGATTTTACAGACTGAGAAGGAGTCTGGCACAAAGACTGAACCAGATGGCTCTCCTGCAGATCCTGCTGGGTGCGACGATCCTGAAGTCCCTGCTGCTGCGGAGGATCGCGAGGGTGAGATGACAGAGACGAGCAAATCTCCTCTAACACAACGAAAGTCTGCTCCGACCTCCCCAGGTTCACCGACGGAAGGATCTCGAGACGCACGATTACAGGTGCGACTGGCCCGTCTGGACATAGAAAGAGAGGAGAAAGCCCAGGCTAAAAGACTGCAGATGGAACTGGAGGTTCGGAGGATGGAGATCGAAGCTGAAACGGCTGTGAGAATAAGGAAACTGGAACTAGAAGCCCAGCTTTCAAACCCTGGACTTTACACCACGCCCACCAAAACTCCGCAACCCGCCACAACCCCGGCCTTTGATATCAGTAAGTGCATTTCTTTAATGCCTACTTTTAGAGAGACCGAGGTTGACAGCTATTTTGTAGCTTTTGAAAGAATTGCGAAGACGTTGCAGTGGCCGCGCGGGGTGTGGTCTGTGCTGCTCCAGTGCAAGCGGAGTGGCAGAGCTTTAGAAGTTCTGTCTGCGCTCCCTGTCACAGACAGTTTGGACTATGACCGAGTGAAAGCTGTTATACTTCAAGCTTATGAGTTAATCCCAGAAGCTTATTAACAGAAATTCAGACAAGCCAAGAAAAGTGCTGGACAAACACATGTGGAATTTGTGTGAGATAAGCATGTTGTTTGATAAATGGTGTTCGTCCACCAAAATCAAAACCTTAAGTGACCTCCGAGAATTTATCCTTTTAGAGGATTTTAAACGTAAGCTGCCTGAGAGACTGGTGATCAGCTGCGTCCCTGTTAGCGGACGAATTCACACGAACTCAGAGAGATTGCGAGGAGATGAGAGAAAAGACATTCAGCCTGTTGTGGTAAAGAAGTCTATAAAAAGAAGCCCTCAAAACTGTAATCCTGAAACCCGTGCCTGTTACTACTGTCACAGAACAGGACACGTCCTTAAGGATTGTTTTATGTTGCAGAAAAAGAACGGGAAGCCCTCTGCAGCCCCTAAGGAAGTTGCATTCCTTAAAAGGTCGCCTGTGGTTAAACCCTTGTGCGTGCGCCGCCAGAGAAACTGATGCTTGTTTTGTACTTTTTATTCTTTCAGGGGAGACCTCGTTGACTCCCGGTGATTCGGACAAGCAAAGCATGGACATCTTTAGTTAATTAATTGATCTTAACTGGTAATTTCTAGGTAAGGGTTTTGGCCCCTTTTGGGTGTTTTTTTTTTTTAAATAAACCTTTGTAAAGACGAGGACACTTTAAGTTTGGTTTTGCTTTGTCAAGCCTTTTTCTTCCCATAAGGGTTACTTTGCGTTAAACTCGTCCTTATGTTTATTCCCCTCTCCTTCCTAGCTGAGCCCACAGAGTGGTGTTACGGGCTGTGTCCTTGGCTCGCTGCCCGCAACACTGACTATGTCCTCAGGGCTGCAGCCGTCCAGATCAGCCACGGGGGGATCTGCATGTGTTTTCTCACCAGCAAGTTTCTGGAGGTCCAAATGGCGTCTTTGATGGCGGCTAGGGTGAGCCTTTCCTCGTCACTGAGTTTTTCTGGCTTTGCCCTACTCTGGCTCACCCCATAGAGCACTAGGTGTGCTGTCAGGACCTCCCTTGCTGGCAAGTCCTGGGAGCCGGCTGTTGTCCACAGGTCAATAACAGCGCTGCACTCCCAAAGGAGGTGCCGTACCATCTCCGATGCGCCACAGCCGGATCGGGGGCATGCTGCTTTGGCTGCCATTCCTCTGGAGTGCATAACATCCCTGACGGGGAGGATCCCATGTGCTACCAACCATGAAAGGTCCATCAGTCTGTTTGGGAGACCAGGGAGACCTGCAAGTCCCGCAACAGGAATCGGGTCACTTCGAGCCTGTACAACAGAGGTTAAATAACGCTGGTTTAAAAGTGTCCTGGCTTTCATTTTCCAAACTAAAATGTGTTAATGTCTTAATGACCTCGTAGGCAGGTGGTAACTGAAAAGCTACAGGTACACTCAAATTAATTGGTACCAATTTTAATTTATGGAGGTATGAACCCATACAATAGTAAGTCATTGCACGTGTCTTTACACCGCCCTGTTCCATCATTACTACTCGCATGTGGGTGCAGGTGTAATGTGCTCCCAGACACAAATATAGGTCTGGAACCCCCATGCCTCCTTTTCCTTTAAGTTTCATTTCTTCTCTCCAGTCTCTCCCATTTGGATCCCCATTAAAAAACTGGAAGATTGTCTTCTCAAGACTTCTTATCGTTTTCCTAGATGGTAAAAACACACTTGATGCCAATAAAAACAAAGGGATCATCACAGCTTTTATCAGCACTTTTCCGTTCAGGGTTAGGTCTCTTTGTTTCCACAGGCCTGTTCTCTGTCTCACTTTTGCTGATATTTCTGTCCAATTTACCTCGCCTTTACCTTCTTTATCAAATTTAATCCCTAATATCTTTTGTTCATTTGAGTTTACTTTTGCCTGTGTTCTTTCACTTGCTGTCCATGGTCCATACAGCTGTAGTTGTGTTTTGTTCTCATTTAATTTGGCCCCAGATGCTTTCCCATACTGCTCAGTTGGTATAAAAGCTGTTTATAGATGCCATGTCAGTACACACGATATTAATGTCGTCCATATATAAAACACATTTTAGGTCTTGACCTCCACTGCCTGGTATCCTTTGTCCTGTAATCCATTTCTTATCATTTGTGCTAATGGCTCAATGTATATCACGTACAAAATCGCTGACAGCGGTCACCCTTGTCTCACACCTGACCTGATGGGTATTTGTTAGATGTCCATTTAGCAGACATTTACTGTAAACATTACTATATATTAACTTTATCCAGTGCTTGCATCTTTCAGGTAGACCTATTTTCTCTAATAACTTGAACAAAAACACATGTGAAACTCTATCAAAGGCTTTTTCAAAATCTAGGTTGGCTATTATTAACTTGGTGTTCTCTTTAGCCATTGCAACATTGTCCCCTATAAGGATGAAACCATCTGATCTTTCTCCCTTTAACTGCACACGTCTGGTCTGAATGTATAATTTGTCCTAAAAACGGTTTTAGTCTCGTTGCTAAAAGTCTACTAAAGTTTGCAGTCTGTTTAAAAGCGTAATCGGTCTCCAGTTCCTCAAGTCCATTTTGTTGTTCCTTTATAAATTCGGGACACGATTCCACATCTAAAACTCTCAGGTAGCTGGTCCAATTGATCAAATTCTTTAAAAACCTCCAAGATATCTGGTCCCAAAATCTCTCAAAATGTCAGATAAAACTCCAAGGGTAAACAATCTGCTCCTGGTGATTTATCTTTTTTTGAAGGCTTTTAAATTCTTTTCCATTTCAATCATATTAAACTCTTGACACATTTCTTTTCCTTCTCTAAACTCTGTCATGTCTTTTAAAATTTCATTAAACATTTTCATCTCTATCTCCCTTTCATTGTACAAATCTTTATAAAACTCTTAAACAGTCCTCTTTATTCCTTTCGTGTTTTTCTTGTTTGGTTCTCAGAACTGTTATCGTATCTGTTTTACTCATTATTTTCCTAAAGAAGTATTGTGTACATTTTTCTCCTTCCTCTGCTTCTTTAGTTTTACTTCTTAAAATCATACCTTTACTTCTCTCTTTCGACCATCTCTGTCATGTCTTTTTATTTCTTATTTCACTTGCAAAATTAATTCCATTTTGGTTTAAAACGTAATACCTTTGCAATCTTTTTTGCAATTCTTTTAAGATTTGTGTTTCTTTGTCCTTTTTTTTTCTTTTGTTGCAGAAAAAGGTTTTTGTTCTTTGTTTAACCATTTCCCACCACCTAGCTCTGTTTTCAAACATATCCTGAAGTGTTTGCCCGTCCTTATAAACCATCTCATATTCTGCTCTTATACGGGGGTCTTCTAAAAGTGAGCAATTTAATTTCCATAAACCTCTTCCTGGTACTAGGTCCAATAGTATTTTACATTTGCATGTTAGCACACAGTGGTCAGAAAAAAAAGCTGGAGTTAGCTGAACATTCAGAGGTACAGTCTCTTGCCAGTAAGTAGTCAATTCTTGACGCTTTGGAGCCATCGTCACTGCTCCATGTAAAGCCTTCCTTTTCTGGTTGCAAGCTTTTAAAACAATCTATCAATTTAAAATCTTGTGTTATCTTTCTCAATAAATGTGAGGTTTTATCAAGTTTTAAAATCTTCCCCGCACCCTTTCCTGTCTTTACTATTCATTAAACAATTAAAATCTCCTACAATTATTGGCATCTTCTCAAGCAAATGTTCTTGTAAGCTTTCTAACAAATCCCATCTTTCATTTTTGCTATTTGGTGCATAAATATTTAGAATTTTGAAATTTTGTCCTAAATAGGTTAGTACTGCTATAAGTGCTCTACCATCTTTTATCACTTTACTCTCTTTTATTACCCTTGGATTGTTTATTAAGATTGCTACACCATCATTTTTATTTTCATTTGACCCACTCCAGATTGAAGGATATGACCACGACTCTTGCTACCAATGATAGCTTTTAAGAAATTGTAGATTACATTCTTGCAGCAATAAAACCTCATTTCTCGGATGTTTTAGAGATGTTAAAACCGTTTGGGCCCTTAATTTTGTCTTAATACCCCTCACATTAATTGTTGAGATTGTGAGGGACATGAAAATGAGAATAAACCACATTACTCACATTGTCATTTTTGCATACAATGGCTCTTGCCATCATTCATCCATTATCCTTGTCTTTTTCCACGGTGTTCTGTTTTACCCTTTCTCCTTGTTCAAGCTTTTGTACTGGGTTGGTTTCTCCAGATTTACCTTTTGGAGTAGACTGATATGTTATCGGAAGAAAAGATGTTTCGTTCGGAAATTTATTGACACTTTTCTCTTAACATTTACATTCTCTTCACCCATATGGGGGGGGGGGGGGATAAGGGGTATAACAAGGGTAGAAAGAAATGCAATGGCAACAATAAAACATCCCAAACATCAAAATTCGTCACAGTAGCCATCTCTCTGGTCCCATTGTCCCATCACTCCCTCCACAAGTCGCAGGACGATGGGGGGTGGGGTCAGCGACCCCACTGCACTCCTGGTCTCCCCTCTTTTTCTTTACCTGCCTCAGCAGATGGGGAGGGCCTCTGGCCTCTTTTACCAGTCTCCCTTTCATCGTCAGGCCGCTGCTGCCCTAATCTTTTTTTCTCTGGACTCCAGCTCCTTCCTCCGTTGGGTGCATGCGATTCTTCTTTGCGGCTGTGTTCTTGGCAGGCAGTCCTCTGACATTTTATTCTCCACTTGTCAGCTACCATTCGAACAACAGCCACAAGTTTCTGGAGGTCCATATGGCGTCTTTAAGGGCGGCTAAGGTGTGCCATTGGTCCAGACTTAGCTTTGCTGTTTTGCCAGACTTGGGACACACACCGTACAGCACAGTCTGTGCCGTTAGGAACTCCCTTGCGGGTAAGTACGGGAATTTTAAGGAGCTGGCCGTTGTCCATAGATCCTGGGCAGCGCTTACAGACTCCGGTGCGCCACATCCGGGCCGGGGGCATACCGCCGTGGGTGCCATTCCTCTGGTATGCATCACGGCTCTGACTGGGAGAATACCATGTACCGTCAACCATGATGTGTCCTTTAGACGGTTTGGCATTCCAGGGCGGATGATATTTTTCCCAACCTCCTCCGCCTCCTCCCCATCAGCCCTGCGACCGGGAATGGTATATCTCGTGCCTGTACAACAGAGATCATTAGACATTTACTTGATAAAACTTTCTCATTTTCGTTTTCTAACTTAAAATTGTTTAAGAACACCTGAATTTTCTTGTATGCACGTGGCATGTTTAGAGCCATCGGTACTGTCAAATCTCTTTCTTTCTTTTTCAATTTTTGCAAGTAAAAGCCCATCCAATATTATCATTGCCATGTACTTTTCATTCTCTCCTTTTCCCAGTATCTGTTTCATATGTGTTGCAGTGTAATGTGCTCCCAGGGAGAGATATATATCTGGTACGTCTCTTCCCCCTTTTTTTTTTTTTTTTTTTTTATCGGCTTCTTCATTTCTGTTTTTCTTATCCTATCCCATTTGGCTCCCCACATGAATTGCATGGTCAGCCTCTCCAGTTCGCCAGTCGTTTTCCTGGAAGGGAAGAACACACTTGCTGCCAACTGGAGCAAGGGGATGATTACAGTCTTTATCACCAGAACCTTTCCTTCTATGGTCAACTCTCTCTGTTGCCATAGTCCTACTTTTTGTTGTCCTCTTTCTCCTCTTCCCTAGCTTTATATCGTTCCCTTTTCCCTTGCTCTAGCTCTTGTAATGTGTTGGTTTCTTCAGAATTATCTTTTGGACTTGACTGACACAATAACGGAAGAAAAGATGTTTCGTTGGGAGAGTCTGATGGAAAGATTCTAGTTTCCTGCAAAGATTCATCTGATAACACATCATCCCTTCCTCTTTTTCCCTCTGGAATGGGACTTTGAGGTAAAGAGTCCTCAGCTGGTCTTTTAGCAGTTTGTATTACTGGTCTCTGTTCTTCTGTTTCCTTCTCCGTAATTTGTAACACCTGTCCCTGATGTTCTCCCTGTTTTCCAGTTAATTGTTTTTCAAGCTCCGCCCCCTTTTCCTCCTCTGTCATTGGTTCCTCTAGTAACTCACCAAGCTCTTCTGCAGGTGCCTCCACTTCCCTCCTAATTAAGTCATCTTGTTTTCCCTTACCCGCCTTAACTTTGTTTGCAAAGGACTTTGGACAGTCTTTAAACAAATGGTTTTCCATTCCACACAAGTTACATTTCCTTCCTTTATCACACTCTTCAACAGTGTGTCCTATTTCTCTGCATTTCCTGCAGAATGCTTTCTCACATGCTTCCACCAAATGTCCATGCTCCCCACATTGTCTGCATAATTTTGGTTGACCTTGGTAATGAATATAGCCTCTGTTTTCCCCCAACACGATTACCTGCGGCAGGTGTTTTAATCCCTGAAAGCTCTCTGGGTCCTCAAACTGTTGGATTGGTATCCTCCATGCACAGTTCCAAATGCCGTCAATGTCCCTAACTTTCACTGCTTGCCCTCTTGCATTACAAAACCTACTCAACCAAAGGCAAATGTCTTCACCACTCAGTCTTCACCACTCACCATCTCATTAAACATTCTTAACAATCACTGTTTTCCTGGTATTGTCATTCAGTTTCACAATTTCGAACATGTTGAACTCCATTTTTACCTTTTCCAGTCTTGTCCAGAAGTCTTTCCATAGTATCTCAGTCTGAAAACTGACATCGAATCCTTTGTTGAAAGGCAAGGTCAGGATGCAATTTAGGTTGTCTGGCTTGAATCCCAGCAGCTGTTGGATCATCTTCCGTGAAAAATCCAAACGTGACATCTTCTCCACCGTTAACCTGAAGAGAAATTGCACACTGTGGTGCCTCCATGCATCAGCGCAAAGCGCCGACATCACGGAGGCATCACAGAGTCAAAAAGTCCACAAAAGCTGTCGAAACTTTAAACCAATTCAAATTTTAAATTATAATTTTTGGTGCTAGCTATTGAGATGACCTGCGCAAGACTACTGATGTCACCTTGTTTCTGGATTATAGGCATCTCTTTCACATGGCTTTGAATATCCTGGAGTGTAGTAATGTTGAATGTTATGTTCTTGAATTTTTTCATTTTAACCTATTGTTTTTGCCATCTTTAAAATGGCTCTGAATTGTATTACTTTTTATAGTGGTTCATTAAATGTTATTGTTTTTACTGCTATTTCGTTTTTTTTTCCCCATAATAATGTTAACTTTGGTCAGACTGCAGTGTAATGCACTATATAAATGAACATTGATTTGATATTACATTTTAACATGAAAATTATGCTGTAACAAGATGATATTGTTAGAACAATAAAATCGTGTTATAAAATTTTATTTTGCACGGGTGTTAGCTCAACGCTCCCATAAATATTATTAAAAAAAACAAATACATTCTTTGAGAGCTTGAACTACTACAAGTCGCATAACAGAGTATCAAATATTACAATCCATAACAAGTTGAAACATTCATATAAGCATTAAGCTTGACATTTACTTCAAATAGATAGACTAAAGAACAGAAAAATGTTCAATTAAAAATGACTCTCTTTTAGTGCGTACCATTATAAAATCAAGTTAAAGAGGTCGTAATGCCCCCCTCAGAGTCTTACTCCACTCACGTATCAATTTTAAAAAATGCAACATTAGTAGGCATTGCCTGGAGGACCGAGAGGGCGGAGCCGCGGCAGTGACGAAGATGATGGCTAACTAGAAGATGCTAGCTTCTTTCACTCTGAGCAGTTATTAGAAGTGGAGGACGTTTCTCCCCCTCCTTACCCAGACACTCAAGAAGAAAGGGACCAAGTCTATTTGGAGGAGACAAGTGGACCTGAGCCTTATTGTTTTGAGCTTGTGAGTTGCCTGAAACTAGCGGAACCGACCCAACAGAACCAGCTCTGAATGGTAAGTAGCCGTTAGCCATGGCATTGGATTAGCTGCAGGGTTTGGCTCCACGACCCTAAAAAGCTAGTATTCCGCATGTTTTAGACGTTTATCTGCTTCAACACACCTGGTTTTAATCAGCAACAAATAGCTGAGCTGCTTAACAGCTAACCTGTTAAAGCAGGAAAACCACTGAAACGTGCTGGATAGCAGCTTTCCAGGAGCCCTGGGCTCAAGTTAGTCTGCTGCATAGAAAGTTATGAAAAAACTCTATGAGAAAATTATTCTGTAATGTGTTCAGCCCACTAAAACTGCCCTGATTTATTTATTTACTGATAACAGCTGCTCTCTTGGTTCTAGGTCCTCTGGTGTCTGCAACTGGTCTGGTGTCGTCAGGATCAGGAGCTTCCGGAAGAATGTGCCTTTCAATTACTCTTTCCCCCTTATTTGTTATATTAATTAAATAAATCTTAATTTATATATTTCCTGTTTTTGTTCATGTCCATAAATACTTATTAAAACGAGCTTTTAACAGTGAGGTGCTAGTTTAATTCATGACAATACAGCTAGTTAAGCATGCAACAATGTGATAATCAATGTAATTTATAAATATCCATTAAAATATCAAAACTGGAATCTAAATGAGATATTTGGCAGCACAAAAAACTTGTCAAACACAATATTTATTATAATAGTTGTAGGCAGACAGGAGACAGAGCTGATGGAGGTTCTTAGTCATCGAAGGATGGCTGAAGGCTTTCCAGGAACAGGAGATGTGGTGTTGTCTCTTCTCTCTATTCTGCCAGATGAGCTGATAGGTTACAGGTGTGTGAGGACATCCTCATGCTGTCATAACCAGATGACATGAATTATCAGGTGATCAGCCAGGCTAATGATGAGATGCAGAAAGAAAACAAATCCAGCACAGTGTACAATAATAATATGTGGTGTTGCTCACCTTATGTGCTCTTATAGAGTGTTAACGTGTGACTGCCTCATGGTGTAGAGCCCATATTTTGCTGAGTGTCCTGCAATAATGCAGGTTATTAGTTAATTTACTTTTGATCGCAAAAACAAAATATTTAATGTAAAAGTTATTTACCAGGTGAATCAGCTCACATGTCACCACCAAGTGTCACAGGGCCAGAATCAGTAGCCTCCTTCATGATGTCATGATGTAATCACATACTTATTTAATTGTTAATATCTTAAAAATTCTGAAATGTTTTAATTTTTTTTTACCTTGAACAGTTCACTGAGCTTGCACTGTCACTGAGGTGGAAGCTGGAATCAAGAACAGACACCTCACATCTTGGTCTTTTCAGGGGTGTGGACGCTGCTCTGGGACTTTCTGGAAGATGAATTTCCATCATGGTCCCTGTGGGTCACCAGACACCCTGTGAGCTCTAAACTGCGTGGCTATGTAAAAACAAAGAAACAGCACATTTATAAATGTTTAAAAGAGCATAAAATCAAGTATAACAATAATCTGTAAAACAAATTAAAACTAGAAGGTAATAATAAAATGTTTACATAGAAGATTATTAAAAATAATTCACCTTTGCTACGGGTAAGGCTTCACATCAGCCTGGACAAGTGCATTCTTGCAGACTACTAAATCAGTCTGACAGCCAGTGTCTTGGGTAGATTTAGCCTGAAAAAAAAAATAGAAGCACATTGTTGTTGGGAGTTTATAAAGTCAGATAATATACAAAAGAAACTGTCCTATATAGGTGCTTTATAACATTCCTAGTGAGTGATCATTGTTATAATGTAAAAGTCAGTCACATATGATGTGGAGAGCCTGAAATGCGACCTCCTGAACAGAATTCCTCACGGAACCGGGTCACAAGCTGGATTTCACGCTGTAATGCGGTCTGTCAACTAGTGCTGCGTCAGTTAGAGCCACTGTTGCAGAATTACCGACTGACTAGCTAAAGGAAGTGAACAATGTCGCTCAGACTTTGCATTTAGGTAGGGAATTGTCTTTAGAAGATGTCAAAACTTTTATTTGGCTTACTCACCTCAGACTGGAGCCCGCCGTGGTGGGGGAGCCGAGTCGGTGGGCTGCATCTAAATCGCGGAAGAGCCACGGTGGGCACAGCCTCCCTCTTCAAACGGAGACGTGCAGAATCGCAGGTAAAATGCTGGTTGCAAACTACAGCACCAGGCGGGAGCTGAATGTTTTCCAGACACCGATTGCGCGCAACCACTGGCACCTAATTTCTACGTCCAGCGGAGTACAACCCCACAGAACCACCGCAGCCATACTACACTACACCTTCTCACCATACTAACACGATATGGAGCACTAAACCCGAACTACTTTCCTAATTACACTAACAGCCAAACACTAACTAAACTACAATATCCAACAGCCAAACTAACACTAAATAAGTATTTATAACACTAAAAGCTATGCTAAAGACTAGGATATGCTAATGCTATATGCTAATGCTGAACTACGGCTAACCTCCTACACTCGCTTGCAAATCCAACTCCCAACTCGCCACAAGGCGTGGCCGAGACGCTCGTTGCTTTTATAACTTTGACACAGAGCTGCTACGTAGTACTCTACTGGTTTACGTAGTATCTTACTCTTTAGCCATTGGCTAAAATTGATTCAAAATGAGTCAAATTCTATGTTTTAAGCTGAAGGTGGAGCTATACTGTGGTATTTAGGCAGAATTTTTAAAGAAAATGCACCAAAATGCTAAAATAATGAATACACACATTTAAAACACTATTAGACACTGATTTATACAGTTCATCAGCAAGAAAAAGTTATTTTAGACGTTACTTGCTCTTTAAGCATTCTTCCGTCCCAAGGTAGTAGTGATGTGTCGGTTGTGAACGAGCCGGCTCTTTGAAGTGAACAACGGGAGCTGTCTCGTCATTGGGAGCCGTCCCCTCCCCTCCCCCCTCCCCTTTTGCTTTGGTGAAAGCTACAGGCGATTGGCCAACATGTGTAACTGCGTGTCCAGACTGTCCACACACAGAGCAGTAGGGGCAGGGAAGAGGGAGGATCAGACTCAGACAGACACACAGCAGAGCACATGTGGGAGGAGGGAGACGAGAGGGAATGAGGAGGAGGAAAAAGACGAGCGAGAGAGAGGAGAGTGCGACGAAGACGGTGAGAAAATGAGCGCCAGCAGTCGGAAAGTGGAGATTTCTGAAAGTGTTCAGTTATTAAACCCAAAGAAATGATAAATATTTGATATATAGCATTTTTTTACATTAGTAAATCATTTTACATATAGTTTAGCATTATTTTGGTTATAAATAAACTCTACGCAACAGAAAATCTGAGGAGCCACTTGAGAGCCGAAAGAGCTGGCTCTTTTTGGTGAGCTGAGCCAAAAGAACCGGCTCTCTAAAAAGAGCCGGAATTCCCATCACTACAAGGTAGAGATAAAAACATTTAAAATTGCATAACTTCATTTATTTGTAAAATGAATCAACTGCTTAATAATACATTATTTCAAACACTAAACTTCAGAACATCATATCATAGACCTATATTCACACAGGTTATTGACGAACTTTGCACAACTTCGGGCAAGATATAATACTTGATTTTCACACCATTAGGGGAGGTGCACCGTTCCCGGAGATACTGCAATACCAGGTCGATGCGTGGAGTGGACGGAGCAAGCCCCTATTCCATCTCCCTGTTCCAAAAATCAATTTAACATATGGTCCCCGGATAGGGGACGTATCAGATATTAAACTGATAAGAACAGATTTTTTTTTTCAAAATTTTTATTGACAATTATCAATTTACAATGCCTTTAAATTTTTTTTACAATAAAAGGAGCTATTCAACTAGATGATCTCTGTCATTTGTCTGAAGGCTGTGATCCTTTTAAGTTGCAGTTCTCCATGACCCTCAACCTGGAGGTCCCCAGACTGGGGGGCGGATGGCAGTCATGCCAGCATCAAAATGTACCCAGATCCTCCTCCACAAACCAAAGACCCTTTTTCCTCTGACCCCACAACTGGGGTGTGGTTTGGGATCCTCCATCTATGCGCTGGAGTGTCAGGGTGTTGCTGCTTCAACCTTTTCTCGTGGACTCCGGCTCCACCATCCGAATGTCACAGAGGCGATTCTTCTTTGTGGCTGTGTCCTTGGCTCGCCGCCCGCAACCCTGACGATGTCCTCAGGGCTGCAGCCATCCGGATCACAGCCACGGGGGGGATCTGCATGTGATTTCTCACCAGCAAGTTTCTGGAGGTCCAAATGGCGTCTTTGATGGCGGCTAGGGTGAGCCTTTCCTCGTCACCGAGTTTTTCTGGTTTTGCCGTACTCTGGCTCACCCCATAGAGCACTAGGTGTGCTGTCAGGACCTCCCTTGCTGGCAAGTACGGGAAGTCCTGGGAGCCGGCTGTTGTCCACAGGTCGATAGCAGCACTGCACTCCCAGAGGAGGTGCCGTACCGTCTCCGGTGCGCCACAGCCGGATCGGGGGCATGCCGCTTTGGCTGCCATTCCTCTGGAGTGCATAACATCCCTGACGGGGAGGATCCCATGTGCCACTTGCCATGACAGGTCCAACAGTCTGTTTGGGAGACCAGGGCGGCCTTTCCACACCGCCTCCGCCTCCCCACCTGCAAGTCCCGCAACAGGAATCGGGTCACTTCGAGCCTGTACAACAGAAGTTAAAAAACGCTGGTTTAAAAGAGTGTCCTTACTTTCATTTTCCAGATTAAAATGTGTTAAAAATGTCTTGATGACCTCGTAAGCAGGTGGCAACTGAAAGGCTACAGGTACTCTCAAATTACTTGGCATCAGTTTTAGTTTACGGAGGTATGAACCCATACAATAGTAAGACATTGCACGTGTCTTTACACCGGCCTGTTCAGTCATTACTACTCGCATGTGTGTGCAGGTGTAATGTGCACCCAGACACAAATATAGGTCTGGAACCCCCATGCCTCCTTTTCCTTTGGGTTTCTTCATTTCTTCTCTCTTTAGTCTCTCCCACTTGGATCCCCATAAAAACTGGAAGATTGTCCTCTCAAGACTTCTTATCATTTTCCTAGATGGTAAAAACACACTTGATGCCAATAAAAACAAAGGGATTATCACAGCTTTTATTATCAGCACTTTTCCATTCAGGGTTAGGTCTCTTTGTTTCCACAGGCCTGTTCTCTGTCTCACTTTTGCAGATATTTCTGTCCAATTTTCCTCACCTTTACCTTCTTTATCAAATTTAATCCCTAGTATCTTTTGTTCATTTGAGTTTACTTTTGCCTGTGTTCTTTCACTTGCTGTCCATGGTCCATACAGCTGTAGTTGTGTTTTGTTCTCATTTAGTTTGGCCCCAGATGCTTTCCCATACTGCTCAGTTAGTATAAAAGCTCTGTTTATAGATGCCATGTCAGTACACACGATATTAATATCGTCCATATATAAAACACATTTTAGGTCTTGACCTCCACTGCCTGGTATCCTTTGTCCTGTAATCCATTTATCGTTTCTTATCATTTGTGCTAATGGCTCAATGTATATTACGTACAAAATCGCTGACAGCGGGCAACCTTGTCTCACACCTGACCTGATCGGTATTTTTTTTGTTAGATGTCCATTTAGCAGACATTTACTGTAAACATTATTATATATTAACTTTATCCAGTTTGAATCTTTCAGGTAGACCTATTTTCTCCAGTAACTCAAACAAAAACACATGCGAAACTCTATCAAAGGCTTTTTCGAAGTCTAGGTTGGCTATTATTAACTTGGTGTTCTTTTCTTTAGCCATTGCAATATTGTCCCGTATAAGGATTAGACCATCTGTGATCTTTCTCCCTTTAACTGCACACGTCTGGTCTGAATGTATAATTTGTCCCAAAAACGGTTTTAGTCTCGTTGCTAAAAGTCTACTAAAAAGTTTGCAGTCTGTTTAAAAGTGTAATCGGTCTCCAGTTCCTCAAGTCCATTTTGTTGTTTCCTTTATAAATTAGGGACACGATTCCACACCTAAAACTCTCAGGTAGCTGGTCCAATTGATCAAATTCTTTATTTCTTCTTTTCCTTCTCTAAACTCTGTCATGTCTTTTAAAATTTCATTAAACATTTTCATCTCTATCTCCCTTTCGTTGTACAAATCTTCATAAAACTCTTCAACAGTCCTCTTTATTCCTTCCGTGGTTTTTTCTTCTGTTCCTTGTTTGGTTCTCAGAACTGTTATCGTATCTGTTTTACTCATTATTTTCCTAAAGAAGTATCGTGTACATTTTTCTCCTTCCTCTGCTTCTTTAGTTTTACTTCTTAAAATCATACCTTTACTTCTCTCTTTCGCCATCTCTGTCATTTGTCTTTTTATTTCTCTTATTTCGCTTGCAAAATTAATCCCATTTTGGTTTAAAACATAGTATCTTTGCAATCTTTTTTGCAATTCTTTTAAGATTCGTGTTTCTTTGTCCTTTTTTTTTCTTTTCCTTTGTTACAGAAAAAGGTTGCCAGCAAGGGAGGTCCTGACAGCACACCTAGTGCTCTATGGGGTGAGCCAGAGTACGGCAAAACCAGAAAAACTCGGTGACGAGGAAAGGCTCACCCTAGCCGCCATCAAAGACGCCATTTGGACCTCCAGAAACTTGCTGGTGAGAAATCACATGCAGATCCCCCCCGTGGCTGTGATCCGGATGGCTGCAGCCCTGAGGACATCGTCAGGGTTGCGGGCGGCGTCAACACACACAACACACACACACACACACACACACACACACACACACACACACACACACACACGTAAGCATAATCACTTCACCAATTGTTTTGATAAACTCACGATTTTCTATAACCTTTTTACTGTGTTCCTTGTCGAGTATATTAGCCAATGTTGTATTAGCTTTCACAGCCCTCTGGTAGTCCCTCCACGCTATCATTGAGTCCTTATGCCTTTCAGACTTTGCATGTACTGAAAACCCCTCCTCTCTCAGTTGCTTTTTTCCAGTTCCTAAATCCACATGGTGAGTCAAACACACTTCCTGCACTACTTGGTGGGCTAAAATGTCTGCATGCATGACAATAAGTAGAGTCCATAGTAACAGAATATTCAACCCAAGGATTACTTTCATACCAGCTTGGCTGAAAGCTGCATCTTCTGTCTCCTATTAATGTCACTGGAAATGTCCTCAAACTAGGCTGAGTAGGTGGGTCATCCTTGCACTTGCTGATATCTGAAAGAAAATAAATGTTAGCATGAGGATAAAAGTCATAATTAGTTAATTCAGAGTCTTATTTTATTTATTTATTAAATATAAACAACAGAAATGTTGGTCCAGAGTCAGAATGCCTCAAATGCATTTTACACACAATATGAGCTGCAAACACAGAGGGCTTGTTCAACACCCACAAACCTGACGGTATTGTACACGGTGCACATGACAGAAGATGTCCCTCTTTTTGCTCCTCACTCTCTCCCTCACAGCCTACATCTTCCTCCTCCTCACTCTCAGGGTGGACAGCCTCTGACCTGTCTGGTTCCTCTCCAACCAACTCCTCCTTCTCTCTTTCATCCTGCTTCTCAGTTCCCTCGTGACTTTCATCCTCTCTCTGTCTACGCTGTTCTTTACTAACAGCGGTAAAAAAAGGACAAAACGTCCCGCTGATGCTTCCAGTCAGTGCAGCGAGAAAGTCATAGATAAATGAATACTGTGATCTAATCTCAACGTGTCTAAGGCTTAAAATGCAGCAACTTCATTTTTATTTTACAGTTAACGTTACACAGGAAAAACAAATCAGTATTAACTGTGGATAGACTCAGTTAGGAACTTAAAAGTAAATGACAGAAACGCGCGACTACGACAAAACACTGATGTCAGGAAAATAAACTGTATTGCTTACCTTCGTCTCTTAGCGTCTTTTCCGTTTGGCGTCCTCAAGAACTTCTTCGGGTCCCATTTAAACTATTTTTAACCTTTTATTCAAAAATCCACCGGGTAAACAGTTCTGTCCACAGAGTGTGCTGCGCTCTAAAGGCTCCGTGTGAAACGCTGCAGCGCATTAGTTCCCGTCTCCGAGGCAGCGCGCGAAAAAAAAAATCCGATCTCTTCAGCACAGGGGCCATAACAGGGGCCAGGGCCGGTTCTACAGGGGCCCAGGCCCCTGTAGGCCCCCGTTTAAAACCGCCATTGGCAGTGAACGGTTGGATCTAAAATGACGACTTTAGTCGTCAATGGCAGTGAATGAGTTAAGATTGCTACACCATCATTTTTATTATCATTTGATCCACTCCAGATTGAAGGATATGACCACGCCTCTTGCCACCAATGATAGCTTTTAAGAAATGGTAGATTACATTCTTGCATCAATAAAACATCATTTCTCATATCTTTTAGAGATGTTAAAACCGTATTGGCCCTTAAATTTGTCTTAATACCCCTCACATTAATTGTTGAGATCGTGAGGGACATGAAAATGAGAACAAACCACATTACTCATATTGTCATTTTTGCATAAGAAGGCTCTTGAAATTCATTCATCCATTATCCTTGTCTTTTTCCACGGTGTTCTGTTTTACCCTTTCTCCTTGTTCCAGCTCTTGTAATGTGTTGGTTTTTTCAGAATTATCTTTTGGACTTCACTGACCTAATGAAATCCCAGACAAACATCATAATCATGTAATTTATGTCAACCTGAAATAACACAAAAGATCACTCTCTCTATAAAGGCAAAGGAAGGGAGATGAATCATAGTAAGTTGTTGCAGGATTTAGGTTTGGATCTAAAAATGAGCGTATAAGGAAGTGTAAATTTGGATCAATCTCATTTATTCCAAATCTTGTCACATCATCAGTAGTGTGCCTTGGTATCAACAGATCGTTTCGGCCTTTTAAACACTATACGATCCTACTCCAAGGTGGCCCGACGAGGTGATCATTCTCGCCGTGTGTCAGACTAAATTTTGAAAAACATCCAAAAGGGATTTATGGCCAGCTCCTGAGAGCATCAGTCACAAGTTGGTTATGTCACCATGTTGTTATGAAGCCATGCATGTCTGGCCTTCTTTGTGCACTTAAGAATCAATTTCTCTTATTATATTTGCAATTAGAGATAGGACAATACTAACTCTAACCGAAGAAAATTATCATAGCACCACTTTCACACCGGTTGTTGAGAAATGTTTTTCAACTTTTAGCAAGATATATTGTTTGTCTTTCACACAAATGGGGTAGGTGCACCGTTCCTGGAGGTACTGCAATACCAGGTCGATGCGTGGAGTGGACGGAGCAAGCCCCTATTCCATCTCCCTGTTCCAAAAATCAATTTAATATATAATCCCCGGATAGGGGACGTATCAGATATTAAACTGATAAGAACAGATACTACACTTGATCTTAGCCAAAAGGCCGAGAAGCGATACCCTATATCTGTCTGAAGACACCAAGCCATTCTGCTCACTGTCATTTTGACTCGCGGTTCCGGAAATAACATTATTTCCAATGGCACACGCAAACAGAGACCATTTATTTAATTGACCCATTGTGTAACTATGATGTTGTGTGGCTATAAATTTGATAAAATTGACGTTGAAGGGGGGGAAAAAACCGCGGCGTTGCTTCCGGGTCACATGTGTCACTTTGGTCCAATACGAAACAAAAAACCCAAAACGCTTGTAGTATGCACATTTCTTGTAATTTCCTTTAAAGAAAACTTTTAAACTTTTATAAACGCACATTTAATATATTTTGATGTAATCTTTGAAATGGAATAAAACTGTACAGCTGAGTTAAACAATGCTTTACGAAATTGATTCAGAACAGATTTGGCAGCGACCTCTGGTGGACGGGACATGATACTGCAGTACTTCAAGGCATCTTTTAATTGAAATGAAAAAAATAAAGGAAACAAAATACAAACACGCGTATTTTGTTGTTAAATAGCATTGGCATTTTAGGTCTAAATTTATTTATGACAATGTATTAAATACCTCATCCTCTCCGACCAAACTGAGCTCTAACATGCCACTCAAACATTTTAATTTGTTTGTTAGGCTGCTACTGCCTTTTAAAATCATCCTGAAATACAAGAAGCATCCAAGAAGTTCTATTAAAATTTGCACTAGTTGAGCGAAGCTTGAATGAACCTAAACTCGATTTGGGTCAATAAACCTAATGAAACTTATGTTTGCTGTTTGTTTCCTGCTAAAATAATTTTGGAAAGCAATAATATAGAAAATTAAAAGTCAATGTGTAAAATTCATGTAAACTTACTGAATGTTGTAATTTTCAAATCTAGCCGGGGGGGGGGGGGGGGGGGGGGGGAGGTGCACTACATCTGCCTCAGTCCGCTCTCTCGGTCCTCCAGGCCGCCTCTTCTTGAAGCGTTTTTCCAACAGGAAGTGTGGTTGAAATAAGTTTCCACCCATGCTGTGACTCCCACTTAAGTAGAGAAAACACATCACTAATAATAACACCAAAACATTTACTACCTTTGAAAATAACAATAGTACTTCTAAAATTTGCTTAATTTAATAGAATTTACAGAGCCTAAAATTACAGCAATTTTATAATTTGTTCAGTGTGTGCAGCCAGCCAAAAGTCTGCACGATTAGCAGATACAACTTATTGTCACGGTTTAAATGAGAAAAATGGGTAATATGTCAGTCTTATCCATCCATCCCCATTTACATCCACTTATCCGGGATCGGGTTGTGGGGGTAGCAGCCTAAGCAGAGAGACCCAGACTTGCCCAGCCACTTGGTCCAACTCCATTGGGGATTTCTCAAGATATTCCCTGGCCAGCTGAGAGACACAGTCCCTCCAGCGTCCTGGGTCTTCCTTTGGGTCTTCTCCCAGTTGGACTTTCCTGGAAAACCTCACCAGGGAGGCATCCTAATCACATACCCGAGAAACCTTAACTGGCTCCTCTCTGCCATCTCCTATCTGTGGAGGAGCAGCAGATCTACTCCGAGCCCCTCCTTAAGGGGAGCCCCAATACCCTGTGGAGAAAACTCATTTTAGCCGCTACTATTCAAGATCTCATTCTTTCAGTCTCTCCCCAAAGCTAGTAATCATAGATGAGGGTCAGAATGAAGATCGATCAGTAATTTGAAAGCTTCACCTTCTGGCTATGCTCCCTCTTTGCCGCCACAGATTGGTACAACTCCCACATCACGGCAAAGCACCAATGTGCCTATTGATCTCGCGTTCCATCTTTCTCCCACTTGCAAACAAGACCCCAAGATACTTAAACCCCTCCACTTGGGGCAGGACCTCATCCCTGACATAGAAAAGGCATTCTGGCCTTTTCTGATTCAAGACCATTACATGTTTATTTTTGCTTAATTCATAAAGATAGAGACTTTTAATTATCTAAATCTCTAAATCAGCCCTGAGAGGTAATAGACTTGTGCTAATCACATGTCACCCTTTCAGGACTCACCAGTGTTCCCTGGGGCTGGTGTTGATGACATCATCAAAACTAACCCACAGCCATCTGAACAAACCAGGAAGAACTGTGGGGATCATCTTGATTTCTCCAGTGCATTTAATACAATGCAGCCAAAGAAGTCCCAGAAGACACAGGTTGCGGCCTTCACAATCAATCATGGATTAAACCTGACATACACCCCTCAGTTTGTCATACAGAAGGGTTAGCTGTCAGCACCACAGAGGACTGCACTCTCAGTTTCACTTTGTTCCCCTCAGACATTCAGTGTCCTGTCTACTGCTGAACTCTGCAGTTGTTGCATGTATCAGGGATGGGACAAGACTGGGTACAGAACATCGTGGGATCAAGGGGAAGGATGTATTTGTGGAGAAGAGGTAGAGGTGGTGAAGGAGAACAAACACCTTGGTGTTTACCAACGTGAGCAGCTGTGTTTGCAGCAAAGTGTTATTTGTTCAGGAAGCAGTAGTGACCAAATAAACAAGCTAATGAAGGAAGATGCATTAAACATGTTCAACAGCCTCGATCTCCATTTTCACAAGACAGTATTCAGTAATAAGTTGTCTTCGGCTGCAGGCTTCTTCTGATCAGCTAGACCATTCTGCAACGACTAAATAAACAAAGTACTTTGTTAATGAAGTTTATCCAGTTACATTCAGTCAAACTTGATCAAAAGCACCACAAGAAAGCCAAAAATAAATATAAATAAAATACACAGGATGTTTATAGTGCAATACCCACCAAATGAACACAGTCTAGTAAAAACCGTGCAACCAGAAATATTCATAAACAATCAGGGATCAAGCCATTAGATTAAGTTATTACATGTTAATTAGGAAAACACACTAGTCTGAAATAATTTTCTTTATTTTCTTAGAACAAAACAATTCTCCATCTGGTACCACTCAGAGACAAAAATGAACAGTCCGTCCGTAATTAAAACAAACAAACAAAAAAAAAAAGTTGTACTAAAAGTTCCAAAAGTCAACTTTTACAAAACCATGTTGTCCACTGCTACTTAGAACCACCTGAGCATTAAAACCAGTTTGTGTTAATACATCACGTCAGGTTACTGAATAACTATAATACTAAAAGTAAAAAGGACAACTTAATAGTGAAAACACACACACTAAAGAAATCTAAACCACATCTGGGCAACAAATATCAAATTTAAATACTTGTTTGTATGGTGTTTAATATATATATAAAAAAAAAGACAACATTTTTCACGTTCTAGATCAACTGGGTCCTCAACGGTTAAATTATTTTAAATCAAACGGCTGCAGGTTTGTTGCAAGCAGTCATAAGTACAAGAACACATCCTCCCTTGGCTACGAATGCTCTCAGTTAGCATGCTGAGCGGTGGAGAAGCACAGCTTTAGTGTGTAGGGATAAGGACCACCTGGAAAGACAAGAGACAAGATGTTAAAGTGGGCATTGACTCGTTATTTCAATACATTTGCTGTGGACTCTAGTATGAACGAATGAATGCCCTGAGTAGTTTTCTCTGGGGGGGGGGAGCTCTGGCCCTCCAGTTTCAAGAAGTAGGAGTTAGTCGTTGGAGTGGTGGCAGAACAAGACAGGATTTGGCATCTTACTCATGCTTATTAATGATATTCAAGCATCTCACCCCTGATTGACTAACCGTAATCAACTCTCCCACTGCCTCTGGTTGCTTTTCTTTCTTGGGTAAAAAATAAAAACATTGATGTTACATCTCCACAAACTAGCTAACGCTAATGGTTAGCTTGTACTAGCCGAGATGTGCCGCTTTCTCCTGGCAGCTAAACTGACATGGCCTTCCCCGCTGAGTCCATGAATGCAAAAATCATAGATTTTTGTGCCTTTTTCTGAATCAGTTTTCTTTCAGCAGCTAACGCAGGACATAGGGAGTAGAAGACCATTTACATGTTCATGGGTTGCATGGTGGCACAGTTGTTAGCACTGTTGCCTCGCAGCACAAAGTTTGCAGGATCGAAACTCGGCTGCAGCCTTTATGTGTGGAGTTGCGTGTAGGGATGCACCGATGGATCGGCATTTGATCGTAATCGGCCGATAGCGCCCCTATCGGTTTTGATCGGAATTTTCAAAATAGATCAAAGCAAACCGATCAGGTAGGGTTGTCACGGTAACCAGTGTAGCGGTAAACCCCGGTAAAAAAAAAAAGTTGACAATAATAATAAACGTCTTGTTTTTTAAAAAACTATATTATCTTGGTGGGTTTACCGTGGCTGCGGTGTAGGCGCGGTGACCCTTACCAGCCACCGTATCATCGGCTGAAGTTGCCGGCGGCACATGCACGCTTTGTTTACAACAAAACTTTCTTGAAGCTAAAGCTGAAATAATGGTCAAAGGAGGAGACGGCAGCGCTCAGGAGGGCATTTATTATCCCTCAAAGAAGACAAAGTCGGAAGTACGGGCATATTTTAGATATTTGAAGAATGCCGAGGGAGTTTATAGAAGACGGACGGACGGCTATCCTGTTTGCAGCACGAGCAGAAAAAGTGTCTGTGAAAGGCAGCAACGCTTCAAATCTCATGACACATCTGATGACCATCACCCACAACTCTGCAGTCAACGCAAGGCAAGCTAACGTTAGCGTTTTAGCTAAAATGCGTGATCCGAGGATTTGGGTTGAGGGAGAATGCAACGAGTCGCTATATAAAGCAGCCGCAGCGCCGCTACCTGCATATAAACCGTGTCGCGGACACCCCCATGTTGAAATGACGCTATGCATTACGGGGCTCCCAGGGGCAGATAAGAGTTGGTCTCTCTCCGAGAATAATTATGAATTTAACAATGATTACTGCCTGATGACATTTTCCCACATCTGCAAAGCTCACTGGAAGGACACAAACCGAGGACAATATTTTCCTGATATAGGGTTTATTACTCAAGTAAGGGTAAAAAAGTATCTGATTAGAAGGCTACTTGAGTACTGAGTATCATCTGATCTAATATTTTTAAATGATGACATCAAACAGACATAAAATAAGAAGTTATGGGCAAATATTGGTATTTTAAAGACTAAAGGGGAAAAATGTAAACAAATAAACAACATAATTACAAAATAACACATTTTAGGCAAAATTTAGACACAAACTGAGGACAATATTTTCCTGATATACAGGGTTTGTTTAATTGTGTGAAAATGTAGCACGTTTAAAAAAAAATACCGCGATAATACCGAAAACCGTGGTAATTTTGGTCACAATAACCGTGAGGTTAAATTTTCACACCGTGACAACCCTAATACGGACCATTTTAGATTAGGTTACATTTCCTTTATTCCCAGATTATGTAGTTTGTAGCACTCATTATAATGTTGTAGAAAATTTCTGGCCAATCCACGTGATCGGCATCGGTGATCAGCATTCTTTGATATCGGTATCGGCAGCAAAAAACCTGATCGGTGCATCCCTAGTTGCGTGTTCTCCCCATGCATGAGTGGGTTTCCTCCGGGTACCCCCACAGATCACAACATGCCCTAAAGGTTATGAATTGTAAGACGCTTTGGATAAAAGCGTCTGCTAAATGAACATAAACATTCAGCGTGTTTTCAAAACAAGTAGAACACGTTTCTCAGTCAACAATCCAAAACATGAGGTTACATCCGTGTTAAAACAAAAAATTAAACCCATTTCATTTTGACAAGCTAGATTATCCAATGCAAATGAAATATATAAACACTTCTCAGAAAAACGGTTTTGCCTTAAGGTTATTCTTCTTATTCTTAGCCTCTGTTGCACATTTAAACCAAGATTGTCAAAAAAAAATTTTTAATATTGAAACTATCACCATCGTGTTTTTTGCACACACCTGGGTTCTTCATCTGGTAGTGGTTGATCAAAGCCAGAGCTTCCATGGCGTCGTTGATGGACTCCCACTCCAACAGGCCAGAAGCACTGCGATCACTGGGAGCTGCGGCACCTGTTGGTTACAAATACATCAGGAGTTCAGATTCACAGCTCATTAGTCCAGTGCTTATTCAGCAGTTTACACAGAACAACTTTAGAGTCAGACCTAAGGACATTTAAAGGTGCATCATGTGTAAACTAAGTAAAAACGACACCCTGTGGTAAAATTTGTTTACTGCAACCACTTTAAACGACTGGAGCTTTTTGCCAGCTTGTTAAATTACAATCGTCGGCACAGGAGTAGCAGGAGACACAACCCCACACTCACTGATGGTACACAGTTACGTTCTTTTGTTTTGAAAGGAGAAAAACTGACAATCCCTGCAGCCAGCTGGATGTTTCAGTAGAACTTTCATTCCAAAATGAATGAAACACTCTTTTTGGAGATTTTCTGATTGTAAAAATATTGTATTCTTACATACGGCACCTTTAATTGTTAAACATGTTTACTGGCCTGAAAAAAACATGATAGGCTGCTTACTTTTCCCTGTGAACATCTTGACACTAACAGGGCTCTTCACACCGATCTCTTCACAAATCTGTAAGATATTTGTTTTAAACTGTGTGAATCATATTTATAAATAACAGTACATGATTTACATACACAAATTCATATGCAACTACATGTGATTAGTCAGTTATTTCAATTTGTTCTCAAACGGACCTGAGAGAAAATCTCTGGAGAAGCATCTGGCTGAGCGTTGAAGAAATGCAACACGTTGCTCGGGTGCTGGATGCGGTTCTTGGCTGCCTGTTCTGGAGAGGTGAACCGGTTGTTCCTGGAGTCGTGGAAATCTTTGAAGCTGCTGGTGCCATCCTCCAGCTCGTAGCACTGGCCAGGAACAATAGCTTGCTGCTTGGACACACTGCAGAGAAGGGATTTTAAAATTATTTTCATTTGCAATTCAAGAAGAAATTTATCTGAAGATGTTGTGAAGTATTTGGGTTTTTATTTATTTATTTTTTTAAGCACAAGCTTTTCATTTAAAGTTCTCAATAGTTCCACTTCTGCAAGGTGAACTCACCAAACGTTCAGTTTCTGCCCAAACAGAAAATTGTTGTTGAGGTGAGTAATGGCCCGATCCACCGCATAGCAGTCTCCCATTTCCACCATGGCAGCTCCGGGTTTACTTTTCATGAACTTAACCTGAAGTTAAACAGAGGACAGGTTGTTCCGGTCGTCTCCCAGGTTACTGAAGCGTGTACTGCGAGTAACGATGTTTGAGCTCACACACATCCTCAATTATAAAGACCCTCTTAAAATGCTGACTTCACTAATAACTTATAGTTAAAAGTACAGGTTTTCTCAGTCATTTCCTTAAATAAAACTCAAGATTTAACACAGTTTATGTTACCAAATTAGTAAAAATGGAATCTTACAAACATCTGCAACCTAAAACACAGAATTCAACTAAATACAGGTTTCTCTCCAGGATACTGACCCTTTCCACGTTCCCATAGAGACAGAAGATATTGAAGACACGATCAGCGTTCATCTTCACAGGGTCCAGGCCATAAACCATCACAACTGGAGAATCAGAGTGGGCGCCGTACTCGCCGGGGGGTGGAGGAGGAGGTCCGTACCCTGGTCCATAGCTTCTTCCTCCACGTCCTCTCATTGGTGGACCCATCCGACGTCCTTCATAGGGTGGGGATCCATAACTATCGTCGTAGCCATGGTAACCACCCCCTAAAGAATGAATCCACCAAAACAGATGAAAAAAAAAAAACCTCTTGGATTTTAGCCCTTAGCCCAGATGAATACAAATGATTGAACACATCTGCTACTGTGTGGAGGACTGTGTTTATAAACCAGCTTAGATAAAATGAAATGGCACTTTCTTGAATCTTGGTTTCCTACTGGATGCGTAAGCATGTGTAATGTACCAAGACACGTTTCCCTGTGAGCACCCTTCCCAACAGGACTGATTCAGACGTATAAAAGCAGCGAGTGTTCCACACAGCAGGTCCCACATCGCAAGACCAAAAATGTCTATGCATCTGGAACGCATCCAAATTGTGACACTTCAAACAGTCATCCATTCAAACGGCAGCCAAGTGCTGTGTACTATGCTTCGTGAAAATTACGCAATGTTTACGCATTCAGAGGAAATGCCTAGTCAATGCTGAAGAAAGGTTGATCTTTGTTCCTTTAAGCCTTACCGTACTCAGGAGGATGATCTCCCAGTAGGGCAGGCTGTCTCTGTCGTTTGTTTGGGTTCGTGCTCACATCTTCTATGAGGACAGGAAGAGAGGAGGCAGACAAAAGCATTACAGAAAAGATAGAAAAGTCTAGAAATAACACAGTAATAATATTTACAGGATAGTGAAAAGCCCAAGCACAAAAAAAAAAATAAATAAATAAAATGAAAAAAAAAAAAAAAAAAAAAACTCACATTTAAATAAAATACACCCTCCGCACATAGATCAATTGGGGTGTTTCAGAATAAACCCGCCCAGATTGGAAAACAGATCTATTCATGTGAATCGTAAAGATCAAACCAGCACACATTAATACTCCATCCCCCACATCACACTCCAGGCTGCTACAATCACTCCAAGTAGCTGAGCTGTCAGTGATTGCATTTAGTATTTCAGTAAGCTGAAGGGAAATGAAGAGGGAGGTGTTGGGAGAAAGAACATTGCACATGACTTAGAAATGACCTGTTTAATACATCCTCTCACCTCAACAAAAAAAAGAGGTGGATGTAAAGAAAGTAGTGCTGCTACAATTAGGTGATTTGTCGCAATGACGTCTACCAAAATAGTCGCCAAAATTTTTATAATCAATGTCATTTATTCTATGAAGCTCCCACCCCGCCCCTCCTTTAAATCTTGCCTGCTGCTTTCTGCTCGAGGAACATGTACAGTGGTGGCCATCAGGGTCAGCAGTCGCGTCACCGAAAAAGCAAGACATGGCGACCCGGCAACGTAGCTCAAACGTTTGAGTATTTTATAAAATAATCTGCAAATTAGAACTCTCCTTTGACGGGAGCACAACAGTGACAAATGAACACTTTAAAAGAAAGCCCATCATGGCTGAGAACAAAGAGGAACAGTTGCCTCTGTAACCCAATTACCTCTCACTAGCTGCTAACAACTGCTGTTGCTACGTGCAGCAACAGTAGTGATGGTGATTTCATTGCCTTTAGTTAAAGTTAAAGTTAAACTCCCACTAGTTGTCGCACTGGTGTGTGAAATTTGACCCATCCCCTGTTGGGAGCAGTGAACTGCAGACACAGCTGCACTCAGCAACCGTTTGGTGTTTTGACCCCCCAATCCAACCCCATAATGCCCAGTGCCAAATAAGGCTTTGGGTCGTGAACTTGAATCCACAATCTCCTAGACTCAGGACGGACACTCATACCACCAGACCCCTGAGCTGGTATGTCACGTATTTGCTATAATGTTACAATCGCTAAAGATTTATTGGATCCCTCTATGTTAAGTGTTAAAAAAGCACTCCTCTTCAATGGATGAGTTTGTTACCGAGGCAACATGCACACATCGACAAGCAAACATTCTTACCGAGGTCATTTTAAACTTGCTGACTGACATGAGACCCCTGTTATTCGATAAGCCATCACCTTGTCTTTATTTTTAGATGGCACATAATAGATCACACTTCAAACTAGAAGCTAATGATGGGTACATGAAACAACTGCATCCTGGTGCAATAAGCTATACTCTATGCATGACACGATAAGTAGGGTTGGGCATTGAGCATCGAGTGGCACCGGTTCCAACAGTTAGTTTTTCCTGGAATCGTTTAAAGATCAACGCTTTTCATGATCACACCAGCTGTGTGTGCAGCACCGCGCCCCCCCTCCCACCACCCGGCGCGCAGCGGCCAAATATAAACAAACGCGTCTGCCAAACTTTTACTCCGTAAACTAATTCCTGCACAGTAGAAGAAACTTATTAAAATACATCAACACTGTGGATTTAATAGAAGCTTAAAGAACAAACTCTGGACGGTGTGAGGTGAGTTTGTCTCACTGCAGAAATAAAAACACACACGGAGCGTCAGCAGTCAGACGCAGCCGTTCAACACTTGTGTGTGAACGTCAGAAGGCTGAACAATAACCTGTAGAATAAATTCATCATGCTAGAGCAGCTTTCTTTGTCGTGGACCACACCAGCTTCTGCTACAATAAATAATTAAAAATAACATTTTAATTTCCTTTCCGAACTATTTCTGTTGAGTTTTAATGTTTAAAATCTGTTAGACTGTAACTGACAGCAGCTACGTTTAAGTTTCACTTTCTGTTCTGACTGAAAGTTGCTGCAGCATGGAGGTGTAGTTCTCAGTCATCCTGGACATGATCATCCTGAGAGTTTTAGCTGAAAACAGCTGGACGTTTCTGGATATGTTGGAGACATTTAGCCTCTCATCCCAGAGGCTTCTTACAGACTTTGGTTGTGGTCAGAAACAAACACACTGGTTGTGCTGCAAGTCTTTTTCTTTTTTTCTCCAAAACATGTTTTTGTCTAAATGAAGGTGATGTTGTGGTTCATAGAATTAAAATTCATGTTGAAGTTAAGATTATTTCATCAAGTAGGACCTGTGGCTAGCTGGCTCATGTAACGCATGTATTGTCTTGAAAGAATCAGAATCAGGAATAGATAGGAACCGGAATCGAAACGAGGAATTGGAATCGTTCAAAATCAAATGATGCCCAACCCTAACAACAAGTCGACTAATCACACAGATTAACCTAGTGATTAATCGACTATTAAAATAATATTTCTATTAGCAGAAAGTGAGTTAAAAAGTGACAGTAGGTCACAAGTGTATAAATTGAAAAAATAAAGTCTGTATGCTCACACACACCTGAATTGCTCCCATTGCCATCTGCATCTCCATCTGTACAGATACACAATCAGAATGGAAGCAAAATTAAGTTCACATTATATATATATATATATAAAAAGGGGTGGGGTGTGCAGAAAAGATTGAAAATTACCCCAGTTAAGTCTTTCATCTCATATGGAATCATTTTAGAATTCAGACAAAACTTGATGAACAGGCACCTCAACAGGTGACCGACCAGACAATGTGAACCCCTGCAGCCAGCGTGGGGGTGTGGGGGTGGATGAACTTCCCTCCTGGCTTTTCAGGCGTGAAATATTTTATAAATTAACATGATGGGTCATGGCTCAACAACATCCGCAATTTAAGTTTACACCCTTGTTCCAAATAAAATTTTTTTTTGTTGTTGTTGCTTTCCAACGAAACTGTCACATGTTGAGGCAGCCACATCAATGAAACTGTCAAGAGGGGGTATCAGTTTTAAACAACATTCAAAGCAGGCTTCAAAACCACAAAAATGTGTGTGAGAAAATCATTTAATCTTTCTTGTTTGTTGATGTTGGCTGCTGGGATCATGTGGTGCTGTGCAGTTGCGTTCCAAGGAGGCTCTCAAATTACTTACTGCATATTTTTTAACAGTAGGAAGCTCAATACACATCCTCCTGCTAGAGGGAGGGGGACAACTCTCCACCCCAGGATGGATTCTTGGTTTTATCAAGTTGAAATGGGTTGTCGGGCGTCTCAGTCCTTTCTGTTCCATTTTAGAGGAATAGTCTGCTTAGCGTCCACTGGCAGGCCTGAGGTTGCCATAGAGCACATTTCAGTTGAGGGGGAGGGGGTAGGTGGCTCCTCTTAGCCGCAAAAAGCCAAACCTGCATTACATGGAAGGTGTTACACAGGTTCTAGAGTCAGGTATCGAAGAAACTACGCAATAGAAGGATAACTAAACAAGGAAAATGAGAAGAATGACAAGAAAACCAGAGAGAAAAAAGAATTCCATGTAGGGGAGTATTTATGGGATATAACAAGAAGTGGGTATGACTGCTTTGAGTGTGCTTGATGGTGTTATCAGCAGTGTCCTGTCTTCATCAGTTGTCTTGTGTTGACTCCAGTGTGAATGGCATCTGTTGGTGCAACATCAGCAAAATGTGTTGCTCAAATATTTCATTTGCATGTCGGAAAGCGTGATGAATGCAGCCCAAAAACGGTCCTGGAAGGCCAAGACTTTTAAAAATGTGATGGCTGTATCAGTATGCGTCATCAGCTGTAGTGAAGGATGTTTGTCACTAGCTTCTTTCTGGGTGGTTGTGCATCCTCTGGTGTAAGTCTTCGTTGGGTGTTGACAGTGGAGCGTTGTAGATGCAAGATGTGGATTCAAATGTGTCCTGCAACAGGAAACGGTAGGAGGAAGGGAGAGGGGGGAGGGACCAAGTGTAGCTCAGTGCCCAAAACGCCCCACACTCTCTTCAAGTGTCTTCATGAGGCTTGTGCAAGAACTGAGATGGCAAATGACTGGTGTATCAGTCCTACTTCTTCATGGTGAGTGGAGGGTGTCTTGTAGAAATTTCTCCTTGTATTTTGGCTCATTTAGCCTTCTGTATGACTGTTGTAGTGTCCTTATTGGGGAGAATGGACCGATGGAAGACTGCTGGTGCGATCATGCATTTGCATTTCCCTCTGCACAGATTACATGTATGTCATCTGCAGTCTCACGGTCATCTGGAGACTGCAGACTACAGACGTCATCCTGTAAACTGAAGCTGGTCTCCGTTCACTCTTCCAAATAAAGTGACACCGTTATTCACTTTCAAACCCAAGAAGCAGCTCAGAAACGTTTAGAGCCCACCAATGTTCAATGCAACTCTGTGGTAATTAGTTATCTGCATATTTAAATGTGCAATGAGGAACTCATGTGTTGTGTGAAGGAAGCAGGAGCAGCAAATGCAAACAAAAAGAAAACACCTCTAACAGTTTGCATTAGCCCATTTGTCAACAAGACTTCTGGAATCACTAGTCGCCACCCAGCTGTCAGCAGAGGGACAGTAAAACAAATCCATTTCTGTCATCACTCATAAAGCTCCTGGCTTACAGAAAAATAAACTAAAACAATGAGCAGGAAGCTACCAGTTTAATGCTGATCCTTATTCAGCCTTTGGTCCGTTACTGATCTAGTCACTGCATCAACTCAGAAGACCTAAATAAATGTGCTTTTTAATAGGGATGCACCGATGGATCGGCATTTGATCGTAATCGGCCGATAGCGCCCCTATCGGTTTTGATCGGAATTTTCAAAATAGATCAAAGCAAACCGATCAGGTAGGGTTGTCACGGTAACTAGTGTAGCGGTAAACCCCGGTAAAAAAAGTTGACAATAATAATAACCGTCTTGTTTTTTAAAAAACTATATTATCTTGGTGGGTTTACCGTGGCTGCGGTGTAGGCGCGGTGACCCTTACCAGCCACCGTATCATCGGCTGAAGTTGCCGGCGGCACATGCACGCTTTGTTTACAACAAAACTTTCTTGAAGCTAAAGCTGAAATAATGGTCAAAGGAGGAGACGGCAGCGCTCAGGAGGGCATTTATTATCCCTCAAAGAAGACAAAGTCGGAAGTACGGGCTTATTTTAGATATTTGAAGAATGCCGAGGGAGTTTATAGAAGACGGACGGACGGCTATCCTGTCTGCAGCACGAGCAGAAAAAGTGTCTGTGAAAAAGGCAGCAACGCTTCAAATCTCATGACACATCTGCGTGACCATCACCCACATCTCTGCAGTCAACGCAAGGCAAGTTAACGTTAGCGTTTTAGCTAAAATGCGTGATCCGAGGATTTGGGTTGAGGGAGAATGCAACGAGTCGCTATATAAAGCAGCAGCAGTGCCGCTACCTGCATATAAACCGTGTCGCGGACACCCCCATGTTGAAATGACGCTATGCATTACGGGGCTCCCAGGGGCAGATAAGAGTTGGTCTCTCTCCGAGAATAATTATGAATTTAACAATGATTACTGCCTGATGACATTTTCCCACATCTGCAAAGCTCACTGGAACACAAACCAAGGACAATATTTTCCTGATATACGGATTGCTCAAGTAAGGGTAAAAAAGTATCTGATTAGAAGGCTACTTGAGTACTGAGTATCATCTGATCTAATATTTTTAAATGATGACATCAAACAGACATAAAATAAGAAGTTATGGGCAAATATTGGTATTTTAAAGACTAAAGGGAAAAAATGTAAAAAAGTAAACAACATAATTACAAAATAACACATTTTAGGCAAAATTTAGACACAAATTGAGGACAATATTTTCCTGATATACAGGGTTTATTTAATTGTGTGAAAATGTAGCACGTTTAAAAAAAATACCGCGATAGTACCGAAAACCGTGGTAATTTTGGTCACAATAACCGTGAGGTTAAATTTTCACACCGTGACAACCCTAATACGGACCATTTTAGATTAGGTTACATTTCCTTTATTCCCAGATTATGTAGTTTGTAGCACTCATTATAATGTAGAAAATTTCTGGCCAATCCACGTGATCGGCATCGGTGATCGGTATCGGTGATCAGCATACTTTTATATCGGTATCGGTGATCGGCAGCAAAAAACCTGATCGGTGCATCCCTACTTTTTAACTATTTTTACCCATGTGAAAAAGAACCATCTGGTTTTGTCTGACTGGTTTCTAGAAGTAAGACAGACTTAGACTTAACCTTTCAGCACAGAGTATTACAACAATCTCTGAGGTAACCCGATCATCCTGACTAAATTTCAGGTGCTCAGGGAATAAATAAAGTGAAATCACGATGGATAAGTTCATTAGAATTTTTCACCATTTCTGCTACACATTTAGGAAACTTTTTTTAATCAAACATTAACATCACATGATAACAGAATCAATGTTGTTTGGAAGGAAAAAAGGGCACTTAAGCTCATGTGCAAACCTGCTGGAATCTATTCCAGCATAGGCAACACGAGTCATCAGTTCAGTTCACTGACTCATAATTCTTTTTCCTCAACAGCTACATACCACCAGCAATGAGAATACTAGCCTCAAGACACTTAAGTGGTAAAGACAGTTTTCCAGTCCAATGAGAATCTAAAGAAAATAAACATTAAAGCTCAACTTTGTTATCTTTCTGTCTGCAGATGTGTTCCTGCCATCCCAACACAGAAAAGTGTACTTTCTTATCCACCCAGACATTAAACAATCTTTGCATGTTTAGCATCCATTTTTCTGATTCCAACAAATTTTACTCTCAGCTGTGTGAACCCTGACTGCTCAAACGCCACACATATTCCCAGGAGATTTAAAGGAGACAATTTCAGCTGCATACGTTTGATAATTGACAAACTGTGCTGAACACTGCATTTACCAACAACAGTGACTGCTCCAGGGTGTGTTTGAGGTTTTACCTTGCACCCCCAGATTGGGGTTTGTGTAGTCCCACGTGTCTTGATCATTCTTGAAGACATTCAGACGAGTTGGCTGCAGGAATACAATGTTTATGAACACAAAAAATAAAACCCTCAAACCATCAGCCTTACGGACAGTAAGAAAAAAAACACATTGAAAATGTATGTAGAGCTACAAGACAGTTTTAGATTTAACAGAGGTAGTTCTGGTAGTTTAAGCAAGTGTGAATCTTGCACTTAAGTCTGGCAATGTAAGAAATGAAGATTTAGTTACAGATATCTAGTTTGTGGAACATTATGATCCTTTTCCAAGTCGCACATTGTCCATCTTACTGAACATCTCAGATCTGACGACTTTGTATGTGCACTGATAAACGTGTAAAAATGTCTTTAGATGCTTGCCTTCTCTTAGTCAGACATTAGTGCTGCAATGTCTCTCTTTCCAAACAAAAATATGTGAAGATTTCTACATACAATTTTACAAAAACATAAAAGGAGAGACTAAACGACTCAATAAGTTTTCGCTTTGGCACGGCCTCAAATTACTTTTGCAGTACATCCTTCAGGTCTCCAGCTTCAACAATACAAAAGGCAGACTGCTGTATAAATAAATGTGATTAGGTTAAAAAAAATAATCCATTGTTACTAAAAGGGTAATGAACCACATACCTTAGCATACTCAATCTTTAGAGTGCAGCAGCCAGAGTAGATGTCTGCTCCGTTAAGTGATGCCTTGGCTCGCTGTGCACTCTGCACAGAGTCAAATGTGATGACAGACTTAAGGAAGAGACACGTATTTAAAAGTTGGGTCTGCAACCAAAGCATTGCATTGTTCCCCATGCCGAAGTTTCAACATGAAAAAGAAACTGATTTGTTGATAAATCACTAAAACACTAGTGACAAGGATATTCAACCATGGATTGGACCCCGTTCTTCCTGAAGATGACGATTCGCTGCACAGGCCCACAATTGTTGCAAATCGTGTAGAGAACATCCTGAGCAGGGAAAAGCAGAACAGACATGTTGATACTTTCAACAAGATAAACATCGCTAAACTAATCAGACACGTTTTCATCTTTACCAGTAACCTCTGACATATCTTGTTAATCCAGAACAACAGAAAAAAACAAATACTGACTTTATAGAAAATATTGTTTGTGGGAAACAGAACACATTTTATATAAAAAGCAACAAAAAAGGCAAAAGGTGTTTGACAACTTTTATCCACACGAATCCCCTTGAGGCGGTTTTACTCATCCCGTTTACAAAACTTTAGCACAAGACTGTCAGACATGTATATCACAGCCAACACATCAAGTCAATTAAAGGTAGGGGAAAACAAACAACTTATTTTAAATCTCAGCTTTAACAAGCTCAGTAGGGCTGCAACGATTGGTCAACGTTGTTGACAAATATCGACAATGGAAATAGTCGACAATGAATTTCATTATTGACGTTGTCGCCAGACGTGTTTTTACCGACCGAGTGAGGCTTCATTAAATCTCTGCCGAGTCTCGCACATACGCAATAACTTCTCTGCTGAGCGTCAACTAACAGAAATTGCGGTGTCCAACACAGCAGCTACGTGTACCAAAACATCAAATGTCTGGAAGCATTCTAGTCTGGATTCTTTCGAATAAAAAGATTACCTGCATTATTTGCAAAGCAGTCCTTGTGTATCATGGCAGCACCTCGCTGATGCATGAACACTTAGAAAAAGCACGTCGGACAGTTGAATGAAACGGAGTCTGACTCACCTCGGTAAGATTTAAATAACATGAAAGCCAATACGTTTTGTTTTGGATGTACACTTTTTAAAATGTATTTTCGCTTTTAAAAAAGATTTAATGTTATGCCTGACTGTGCCTGACAAAAGTATTTTAATTTTATTTATGCATTTATGTCTATACTGACTGAGCACTGTGCCTAATTGGTGTTAGACAGGGCATTTTTATTTACTTTCAGTATGAATTGGCCAATCAGCAGCAAAGTTCAAGAAAATATGCATTTTTCTATTGAAGTACTCATCTTTCTTGTGTTTATTATCATTTTTCACATAATTAAAGCAATCTCATGCTAAATTTAAGAAAAAATGTAATAATTATCCGATTAGTCGACTAATCGTTTCAATAGTCAGTGACTATTAAAATAGTCGTTAGTTGCAGTCCTACAGCTCAGTGGCCTAGAGGTAGAGTGCCTGCCCTGAAACTGGGAGATCCGAAGTCACAGTTGGATCATACCAAAGACCAATGCCTCTCCGCTTGACACTCAGCGTTAAGTTGTGTGGGGTTAAACTACCAAATTGTTCCTGACTGCAGCTCACAGGCCTCCACGGGGATGGGTCAAATGCAGGACATTTTTCACCACACCAGTGAGTGAGACAACTATCGGTCTTTAATCTTAAATCATTTACAGAGTCATCAAGTTCACCAAAACCACTTGTGTGACTGTAGGATGCGTTCAACTTGAATGCCAGTGTACCCATGTGTGCAACTGATCCATTCCAGTTACGCAGTTGCCTTCACAAATCAAGATTAGATGTTATCAAATGGAAAAAGATAACCCCTCAAATTTCCTTAAATTAAATCACACAAATTTAATACAGTAACACACACAGGCTCCAGATTAGATAAGTTCCGATGGGTCGGTCACCAATCAAAATCGGCCGATTTCCGTGAACAGCGTGATCAGGAAATTTCAATCAACGCCTTTCAGAGCTGACCGTACCAGCTGATGACCTGTTGCTCATACTTCGAGGCCGGCATCACATCTCCCTCTCCCCCTCCCTCCACATGGCAGTGACAAAATTGTAAATCAGACTCTTAAAACGAGTCAACATGGCAGTGTTACAAACACAGATTTATAAGGACGTTGGTATAGGGCTGGGCGATATGACGATTTTAGACCGTTTTACGATCTACACATCTGACGGTCTGTCATTTTTGAGAGACCTTTTTATCACGATTCACAGCTCTGCTGTTGAATTTCTGCCTCTGAATGAAAAGGGAACTTACCCCAGGCAAATGACACGCCTTTGTTTGACCCATAACCATTCAGAGTTATAGTAATATATTGGTGCCCCGCTTGTTTTCACCTGTGTGAACAAACATAGCTTCGGCCGCGGCTGAGAGCGACAACGAAGTTTTCGTTCCGAAGAACGCCTCGTCCGTTAAATGGAACTGGTTTGGTTTTTCACCAGATGACAAAGAGCAGTGAAACGTCATTTGCAAAGTTTGCAAGCAGAGCGTCAAGGCAAGTGATGGCAACACCAAAAACTTGTTTAATCACTTGAAAAGAAGGCATCCCAAACAATACAATGAGAGCCAGCTGGCAGCTAAAAAGCCTGCAGCTGCAGCTTCTTCCAGGCAGCAAACGCTAACAGAAACACACAAAACTTACTCCTTATGACAGAGACAGCAGACGATGGAACAGCGTGACAGATGCAGTGACGCACCACTTGGTTAAAGATTTGTGTCCCGTGCGAACAGTAGGAGTGGGATTTAAGAAAATGATAAAAACATTGAGCGGCTTTCCTTAGAATAACATGTCTCAACACAACTGCTGGCCACAACTGGAAACTAGGGCTGCCATGATTAGTCGACTTGTCATGACGACGTTGACAAACAAAAAAGTTGATTAAATAGTTGACGCGTTGTTTATTTTATAAATCTCGCCTGCTGCGGCACGTTTGGCGGTTGCTTCCTGCCTCTCTACTTTCAAAAGAATAGTACGTAGAGTGCAAACTCGGCAAAGTGAAACACTTCTTTCACGGGAGCCCATTGGCGATGCACGAGCACCTTAAAAGGAAGCACGTCATGGCGAAGAACAAAGAGTCGCCTCGGTAAGTTTACCTCTTGTTAGCTGCAACGGAGAGCTACTTGTATTCATAGATGTAAAACTAATGCATAACATCACTCATTTATAATTTCCTGTTTAATTACAGCAAAAAATCAAATGCATCTTTGTTGTGAGATTCCATTTTGCACTATTTACTGTTCGATTTTTAATATTTTAAACCTCTTATTCATCCTTCATTGAAATGTTCATTTTGAGAGTTTTAATTGGAAACTGAACTTTCCTGGTTATCTTGGAGACATTTTGTCTCCCATCAAAGAGGCACCATCAGTTCTAAACCTTGGGTTGTGAGTAGGAGACTTAGAAGAAGAATGATCACAAACCCAAAATGTTAAAAATTACCGTGGTGATGGGGTAGATGGGGTTCATGATGGTGAAGAGCAGAACATTGTTAACACTTCTGGAGTCGTCCGAGTCTCCTGGCCTTGAAATCTTCTTGCTGGTGGAATAATTGATAAAAGCTGGGTGGCCAGCGATGTACACTTGGTTGTCTGCAGCATAAGTTACAGCTGTGGAGGATCCGTTCATGTCTTCATACTCCACCAGCGCCTGACGCTTGTTTGGCATTACAACCACATAACTAAAGAAAGAGACAAAACAATTTTGTTAAAAATGATCTCCGATCTTTCACTGTTTATGACTTCTGTTTCACACTGCAGAAATTTTTCACAAACAAAGGATGCTAATCTTTACCTGATTGCTCCAAATTCTTGCAAAGCCTCCACAATGTCAGCCTCTGTAACGCCATCCATCAAGCCACGAACGTGAACCACCACAGAAGGAAGGGTCTTATGGGGATCCTCGTATCCCTACAGGTTCATGTTAAAAAGTGTTACCCAATGTCGAATAGAATAACGGACTGGTGAGTGAGTCACAAAGTCATGCCTTGGTGTTGAGCTTGAAAGGATCTACTCAGCACATTTTCGACATTCTTTATATTTTTACATTTTTTGTTTTTGTGAAGCGCCTCGTGATTTTTATCTTGAGAGGCGCTATAGAAATGATATTTTCTTCATTTTTCAGGGGGCGAAAAGCAAGCGGGGGAAGGGAGGTCGGAGACACTATGCAGTTTTTCCCCTTATTTAACACTACCGTTTCCCCCTCGTTTAAATAGTTGTTTAGCATATAAAACAGAATACAATGACAGATAGTAAAATATAATTTTATTTATGTGACAGAATTAGATAAAAGGACCGGTCTGCTCCATCGTGCCGATTATAATCCAGCTAGCCTTAGGTTAGCATGACCGGTACTAGAACAAAGCGGGCTCAGTTGAGGCCCGGTTGGAGAAACCGCCCTCTCAATCCCATTCTCAATAACCTAAAGACGCACATGAACAATAGTTGGGGTTACAAATACACACAGCTAAACTGCAAAAATGCCTTTGAAAAAAGGAATTTTATGGAGACGCCATTCTCAACTCGCAAGCATTTTAATGACCCTGACCACGTTCCTTTCGCAATTCTTCCATATTGAATTCTGCCGAAGGCAAAGCGAAACCAAGCTGGTTGTTTTTGTTCTACAAGTGAAAATATCACTCACACACCAAATGAACTCACCGTGGCCATTCCGTCAGTTTTCTGCCGTTTAGTTGCCCTGCCGTCTTCGCTGTAGTAACGGCCCGCTGCGGTAGCCATGTTGTCACAGTTAAAAAGAATGGCGGTAGTGACGGTGAACTGAAATGGACGGAAAAGTCACGAAAAAAAGGGCGGGCAGTCACGCCTACTGTAATGACTTCACAAGCTATGATAGGCTCGGGTAGCTATCAATCAGTCTGTAACATGAATATTGGCCAATGACATGACGAACACTATTCGTTGTGTGAACGGGAATTAAAATCGATGGAAGGATTGTTAACACGTGTACGGACGCACAGCAAACGAACATAAAAAAAAGGATAATTGCTACATTACTATAATGGAAAACGACAAAAACGAAGGTATTAGGACTTTAAACAAAACTAAAACACCAAAAACATTTTCTTCATCTTTTTGGAATCCTAAAAATCCGAGTTATACATTATACCCCTGCAGTAGGAGTCTGCTTCACCGTTAAATATTATTTTCAGATGCTTACAAAATAGTTTTATTGACTGATTTGGGAGAATATAAGCACAAAAAAAGCCTTTCTTTAAAAGTTACTACACAACCAGGGCATTGTTGAAGGCGTTTATTAAAAATTTAGCTACCACACTTACCAGATGAGCCATATACCACAACAAAGTAAAACAAATTACAGTAACCCCTGCAGAAAGATATTAAGCACTTATTTGTATTTTAAAATATGAAAAACCAAATAACACAGGGGGAACTCATTCAACACAATGGAGAAAAACTCAAACTTGTAAAAAGCAGAAAAAAATGTGACATTTTATTTGAATGCATGCAAGAAGCAACTGTATCCTCCAACCTGGGTGAACAAAACAATTTTTATATCCAAATACAAACTTGCAAAGCCACACTTTGATCATTTTATCTAGAACTCAAATTCTTGTAATGTGAAATTGTATCTGTAGAACTTGGGGAATACAAAGCTTTTTGATAAATGTCCTCTTAAAATTTTACTGCAAATATTTGTTAAAACTCAAATTCAAATGTTGCCTCGAGCCACACCTCTCCCTGGGACAAAGTTACCAACTGAGCAGCAGAAACAATTAAAACAATCTTCATTCACATTTCTGTATGCTATATAAACTCAACGTTCCTGGCAATTCTAAAACTGCACAGAGATCTCAGTCCTGGGGCAAATAACCACCCCTAATTCTGGGACTAGGCAGACAATTACAGAAAATAAACAGCTGTAGGCTGTAAAAGCAGACAGGCTTAGGGGCATGTTTATTTTTATTTTTTGGGAAATAGTGGTGGGTGGGGTGGAAACTAAGTCTTCATCACTCAGTCTTCTGCAGGTGTGGGGCTTCGGGTTGGACTTGCTGAGCGGGAGCGGCTGAAACAGAAACGGATGAAAATTAGTTTGCCATAGGGGACACACAAACAAAGGCTAGCGAGAAAAAAAGAAATGACATAAAAATCTCATTAGAACTCATAACTGAAAGAATGCTGACAATTTCTAAACTCAAATCACTTTTGATTTCTGAACTTAGGTTAATATTTACAATGAGCCTTCTTTCAGAATTCAGGCAACTAATTTTGTTAAAAAATAGCTGCCAAGGTTTAAACTTGTATGAAAAGCCATGGGCAAATAGGCACTCATTAAAGAAATAAGCACACTGTCTCTAGCTTTTTTTGAAGTTTACAATTCAATTATTCAAACACTAAAAAAATAAAACATGAAAACTAAAAAGACATTCTCAAAATATCATCCTATCATTTTCAAGGTGCCTGCCTGCTTCACACATTCAATCAACAGTCACTTCCACATTCAGCCACACATTTGCACTGAGCATGCTTGTTTAAGGCTCGATTTTAACAAGCCTGTAAATGTTTTCACCATCAAAATGAGCTTTTCAAGGGGTTTGGTTTTTGTTACCTTTCAAGGCAGTGGTAGAAACAACAAGTACAGAGAAGCGAAGGATCAAAGGACTGAAGGGCGGATGACTACAACGCCGGAAGGCTCTTGTAGACTGATCTCTCGTCAGCTTTCTCTCTCACTTTCAGAAGCTAAGACAGATGCGAAGAACTCTGGTAGGTAGGTAGGGGGTCTGGTAGGTAGGTAATGGATTTTAAAAGGCCAAACTCTGATTTGTGTGGGTCAGCCCTCTGGTAGATCTGAAGGCTGGCAGGCTCTAGTAGAACTGTATGTGTATGCGGGCTGATCTCGTCTGAGCGTGTGCGTCGGTTGAACACAGTCACCCATTCACTCTGGGGAGGGTTCGGTCGGTAGGTCGACCTCTTTCTCGCTGTCTAAGGTCAGATGCAGGCGAAGGCTGATCTCAGGTCAGCTCTTAAGTCACCCTCCCGCAGGACGTACACACCGCCAGCTGGCAGACCTTGGGCCTGGGATCAGCTGTGGTGTTTGTGCAGTGCTCAGCTCCCACCACACGCTTTAAAGAAAATATGAAAAATAAACAAAACTGCTGCAAAGATGTTTACCGCAAAAAAACACCACTGGTGCTGTTTTATCTGATCTCAGTACTTTCTACAGAGTTCCTCTAATCTAACTAACCTTAGAGAATTTAAAATGAGGTAAAAACATTGAAATTCAATATAATGTTCAACTGTAAAAACCTTACTTTCAGCTTTTATTCAATTGTTTAAAATAAAGTAACATCTAAGGTAGATACACTAAAAAAACAGTACATGAAATAATGAGTTAAGACTACTTTCTGATCATTACTGCAAACAGAGACCATCTTCATGTGCTCCATTTCAGGATCAAGTAGAACTGATTAATAGTCAGATTACAAACAATACAGAGCTATAACACAGGTCCCTATGTTTACCCTACCCAGTCCACTACAGGTAACCAACAGAGGCTGAAGATCCCTCTGTTCTGGAGGTTGAAGAATCGTAGCATTCATCCTCATCGGCAGTTGGTCAGCAGGACCAGTCCCGGTAGGAAATATTCACTGGCCTAGAATTTACCATCTCACCTGGCTAAGGCGACACAACTGACCCTCCCCTAAAATCTGATGCTTATATCTATCTAGACCTTACTGGGGTCGTTCCATTCTACTGAGATATTATACAAACATGTAAAAAAACAACTGGCAGGACTAAATATTACACATTATTAAAACCCTGATTCAAAGAATAAACAAACAATTGAACTGAGGCTTTACCTGGTCCTCTTGTGGTTAGCTGATGGAGATCGAGAGCGAGATCTAGAGACAGAGCGCTTTCTGGGTGCAGAACCAGACCGAGACCGGGATCTAGAGCGACTGGGAGGAAAAAAAAGGCACATTCAAAATACACCTTAAAATGGGCTTCTTCACATGTGCATATCTTAAAGCAAAAATAAATAAATAAAAATAAGCAATCCAGGATACCCTTATTTAATCTGATATATGCCAGACAAAGGAACTAAATGCATAATGTAAGGGGAAGTTTATAGTTTAACCTTTTAAGTTTCCAACATGGAAGTCATATCAAAACAAAATTCACATCTTCCTTACAACTCTGCCTATTACACAATGCTAGACATACTTTGGTGGCTAAAAGAAAAACCTAGGTATGCCTCACTGAAAATATTTAACAGAAGTTGAAATGTTGAAATTGACCACGTTTGAATGGACAATGACTAATCTCATTGTTCCTGTAACAGCGTGCAAGAAAACAAACCCAGAGGTTACTGAAAGACCACATAAACTGATAAAAAGTAACAATGCATTACCATACCTGGAAAAACAGCCAGGCATAGAGATAAAAAAGAAATGTAGGCAAAACTAAACAGTGATTAATCATACCCAACTATACATAATTTTTAAGATGATGCATCCTGTTGGAAGGGGTGTGGGGCTATCCTCTGGTGAGTCATTCAGCATGTTATCAGATGGACGGTATTACTGTAAATCCTCTAATATTAGCCTGTATTTAATTAACAGCCGGGTATCATATTTTGGCCGGTGTCAGAGTCGTCGGCGGTGAATAATGGCCCGTTTTTTATTGTGGCCGGGTGGAATGTGGTAACAAGCAAGTACGGGGGGCGGTTGTGTCATCCGTCTCACTTTTGATTTGCCAGTGATTGACCGCGAGGGTAAAGCCTGGTGCATGCTTCTCCGTCAGCTCCGCAAGGGACAGACACGCACGGATTGACGGAAGCGTTTTGCTCTCATACTTCTCCGTCTCCTAGAGTGTGTTGCAAAGCAATTGCCCTGCAGGACAACAGAGGGCGTAGCACTGTTCTGTGGTATCCTGTCATGTATCCGGTCCAAAATAGTGTGTTTATATTATGTTTTTTTGTATATACAGTAATCCCTCGTTTATCGCGGTAGATGTGTTCCAGACCTGGCCGCTATAGGTGAAAATCCGCGAAGTAGGGACTCCCAGCATGCCCCTCGCGGGGATTCCCTCCACGTTGCACCTACGTCACAAACTGCGGCTATAAACGGAAGTCGCCTTTCCAGCTCACCACTCATCGTCATCGTTTCTTCAGATTCATGATCAGAGTTTCCAACCTACCGATCAATCCAACGAACTATCAGCTCATAGTAAGTTATCTTACTTACTTCTGGAAAGCCCGGCATTTCCGTGTCACTTTGTTGACGCTCGAAGTTTTCCTAGATCAGCCGGCGTTTCACCGACGCTATAACTTCCGCGTCTGTGAAACCACGCTCCCTATTGAATTATCGTATGATCACATTCTCTTTTTGTGGGTAAAACTCAAGAAAAATTTTTTTTACTTGTTTTTTTTTTAGTTTTATTACAAAAAGTGCATTTTATGATGAAATTGATGAAAAAAACAAGAATTTCTTGATATTTCGCATAGAAAAATACCGCGAATCAGTGAAAAATACTGCGAATCTGCGAATTCCCCCTGAAAAATGCTCCAAAGAAAAAATCCGCGAAGCAGCGAATCCGCGATGAACGAACCGCAAAGTAGCGAGGGATTACTGTAACGGACTTTTTAACAGACAAATTTGTCTCTCATTCTCCTCCACCTCTTCATGCACTCGCCACCTCCAAACCCACATTTCCTGTCATTTCCGTTCACAAATAAAACGCTTGCTACGCATATTTTCACTCCTCCAGTCATGTGGAATGAAACGTTCATGTTTTTAGAGTTTTTTTCGCGAGGTATTCTTCAAGCTTCTGTGTCTGCCGCTAGTTATCCTCGGCTCTCTTTATGTTTTTGAGGGCGCAATGGCGGCGCTGTAAACAACAGCGGCGTCCTGACCAATCACAAGCTTGCGTAATCAGTCTAGTTCGACGGATGTTTAAAAAAGTGGGCTCAACTCCGTACGTACTTGCGTGCCTGCCGGAGCCCTATACAAGGACGGATAATGGTGTTGCGTGTTGCCGCACCGACGCAGACGAAGAAGCATGAATCAGCCTCAACTTTAACCGTGCAGAGACGAAGAGGAGGCGAAAATTTGATAAAGTTCAAAGAGAACGTGCTGATTATGCTGCAGAACACTCTGGGGAGCAGAAGGGGTTGTACGAACTAGTCACTAGTCGACTTCACCGCTCTATAGTGACTTTTTATGCCTGTCATCGACTAGTCGCTGTCACGTGATAATGACCGGCAAGATGCAGTCCACGGAAAAGACAGCAGCCTGCTGTCAGCAGGAAGCAGAAACTACCCTTGTTAAAAGAAATGTGTTTAACTTTGAAAATGTGGGCGCAATTTTAATTGTCAAAACTCCAGCAAACCATTAGTTCATTTTGCTCAAATAGAAATTAAGGCCTGCCACTAATTCTGGTCCTCCTTCCAATAAAGGCCTGGAGCTTGATGAGCTTGAGTCAAATACAGGCCCAGGCCTGTATTAGAGGATTTACGGTATTCAAAAACTTATATATAGAAAAATAACGATAAAATGACCCACACTTGTATAGCGCCTTTCAGAGTCAGAGGACTCCAAAGCGCTTTACAGTACAGTGAATTATTCATCCACACACACACACACACACACACACACACACACACACACACACACACACACACACACACACACACACACACACACACACACACACACACACACACACACACACACACACACACACACACACACACACACACACTAGGGCTGCTCAATTAATCAAATTTTAATCACGATTACGATCTGAGTTTTGAACGATTATAAAAACAAAACAAGCAGATTATTTGCTCCTCCCACTTGCGCTGCCCCGAGTTGCAAATGAAGCGCTCCTCCCACAGTGTTGCCAACTTGGTGACTTTGATGCTATTTCCAACAGCTTTTCAGACCCCCTTCTTGACTTTTTAAATCTTAAAAGTACCTAGCGAACACCTCAGAAACATCTCTGGTAACCCTTAGCTACTTTCTGGATAACTGTCGTCGACATTTCCTGCAGGTTAGCTAAACACTCCGCCTGCGCTCCGGACCGTTCTTCAGGACATTAGGAAAGGGAATGATGTAGTGATGTGTCAGTCGCTAAAGAAACAGCTCTCAGAGCCAGCTCCCTGTTGGAGTAACCAGAGTGAGTGACACACACACCGCACCTGCGGACTCCTGAGCCACTAAAAACGGCTAAATGTGCACTTGCGGCGTCCTAAACACACGTGCAGCTTGCCCCGATTGCTGAGACCGGGTTGGGGGATGGGGGTGCAGCTGTGGTTGGGACAATTATTACATTAACTGATGGACTTGTAAATACATAGTTTATAAATAAGGTAGAAATAACTTCCTCACGCTGATAAATAACTAATCTCTCTTGAGGACACGGTGCTAGTGCACTCTCCTACAGCACCTCGACACGACTCAATAAATGTTATGCAACATTTTGTGAACATCAATTTATTTGCATTTATTTGTTATAAATGCCACTGTATAATTCTTGCTGTCAGTATTTGCAAGATATTGGTATTTGGGTGTACTGGTTAGACTTAAATGAGTTAAACCAAGGTCTATAGCCCTTGGGTCATAGACTATGAGCTATAAGTATATTGGTCTTTTATACTGGGAATCAGGAGTTATTTTAGTGATCATCTTGTTTCTTATTTCTTTTTGTCCTGATTGTGCCCTGAGCAATTTTATGACTGAATAAAAACAAATAAAATCAACATAAATTGAAAAATCGTCCTAAATAATCGAGATCTCAATTTCAGTCACCATAATCGTGATTATTATTTTTGCCAGAATCGAGCAGCCCTAGATATGTGTATTGTTTATTTGAAAACTATTTACAGAGCAGCCTCAGAATTGAGATTAAACATTTTTGATCACAATAGTAAAGAAACTATTACAGAACAAGTTTTTCAGTAAAATCCGAACATTAATATTTAAAGTGCATGAATTAATACATCTGAACTCATGCAGTAGGAACTAGGAAATATGAAAAACTAGAACCATTTTATTTTAATTTGATTAAACAGATTTTTTCCTAACATTGTTGGAATTTTTCCCACACACAGTTAAACAAAACAATGTTGATTGAGGTGTGTGTGAGAGAGAGAGGGAGTTAAAATAATAAAAAAATAAAAACCCGACCGGAGCGGAGGCAGTGACCGACGAATGCACGAGCCGTTTTCAGCTCTGTCTTGTCAAATGCACCACGTACGTTAAGAAAAAAGTAACTTTAAATATTCAACCGAAAAAGAGGCGAGCTGAAGAAAACCTAGGAAGCGCTGAAGAAACGTGAGCAACAGTGACGCAAGCACAGAGATCCGTTAATGTGTGTGTGTGGATGGGCCGGACGGACTGAGCTCCCGGCTGCAGAGTTTTGTGTGTAGGGAGGGGCGGGCGCGCTATGTGACTGGCCAATCACAGAGCATGAAGACAGTCAGTTACCCAATGAGGATTTTCCTTCAGCACGATTACAGATATTTACGAGTTTCATGCTCGTATTTGTCAAAAATGCTTTATCCGTACCGGATACTCGTCTGAAATGAGTATCCGGCTCATCCCTAGCTGTAACCACCCTGCCCTGTCTCCTCCTCCTTGCTGCCTGCCGGCTGTGATCACAAGCAACAACAGAGTGGTTCCCGCTGCTTCTTCGAGAAACGGCGAATAAATAAATAAATAAAATTCAATAAAACTTGGGATCTTGTAGGTGTGGTGCTGGGATTTCAGCCGTGGCGAGCCGCCACGGCTACGCCTATGTAAGGGAAACACTGCAAGCACCTCAGGGCTCACTGATGCTGAAGTGTATATCAGCTCACTGGATTCAGTGATGTGGCCGTAAGAATAGTTTCCAATGCTGCATTCACATCTTCAAAGATTTCTGATGGTACTTCACTCAGTGGTTGTAGTTGGTATTGGGACTGCCTGGGGTTCGGGGGGAGTTTACATAATATATAACAAAAAATAAATACAAGTTTTTCAAAGTTTACCTTCTTGCAGGAGTCCTTGATTTGGAACGAGCAGGGGAGCCAGACCTTGTGTAAAAAATAAATAAAAAGATTTTCAATATGTTGCAAATGTGATCACCTGGATAACAAGGAAATGAACATGATCTCAAAGTTAATGGTATGGTTCACCATTTTTTAATTATTATTTCTGACTATAATTGGTCACTGAGAATTTTATGCAGGCTGAAGGTGAAAATTGTGTCCTGCGCCCATTTTCTGCATTAGCATCTGATAGATAGATAAATGGTAGATAAATGGTAAAATGCTAGGATTTGTAAAGACTGACAGATAAATGTCCCACTGTCACTTCACACTCATGGACTCACTCAACTTGACTTGTAACAAGGAAGGCTGTTACGTCTTGACTGGTAGAATGTAACCGTTAGCATTAGCAAACAGTCAACACTGCAGAACTCCTTCAGGCTTAGGTCACTGGAGATAAAACATCAATGGTGCTGAGCAAACTGAGTCAGTGGTAGAATCGCGTTGCTGTCATCTAATCTAGATGTCTAAATATCATGAAATTAAGAGTAAGCTCTGGGGTGGCCGACTTCTAGTTCCCGAAGCAGACACACCAGAACACCACCCTCCCAGAGTACGACTTACAAGGCATTCATTCCCACTAATGTATTAATTAAAAAATGAACCACACCCTTAAGTACTTCTACAGTAGTTTTTGGTTCCCTATGCCACAGGCTTACCTGCTTCTACGCCTGGAATAGGAAGGAGATCTGCGATGGCTCCTAACAAAATCACAGCAGAGATAAAAAGTTTCAAAACTATAAAAAGCAAACAGCTATTTAAAAGCAATTGTGAATGTTTGGTATAATCACATTTCAATTTTATGTGTAAAGACGGACAAATCTAATGCTGAATGGTAATTACCTATAATAAAAAAAGCTAGAAAGCCTAGATTGAATTGTTGATAATTTATGATAATTTATGCCCATTTGGTGCAAACGTACCGGCTGTAGCTGCGACTACGACTGCGTGAGCGAGAGCGGTAGCGGTGTCCACGGGACCTGGATCTAGAGCGAGACCGCGACCGAGACCTGGAATAAAAAGATGATTCTCATAAAAAAACACAACTTCAAAGGATTCTGTGGCAAAAACAACTGACAAGAGCAAACACTTTAAGTTTATGAAAGTAACTATTCACCTGCTGTGACGGCCTCTCTTGCTATAGCGGTAGCAATCATAGGCGTAATGGCCCCGATCCCCACACTGGTAGCATCTATCATTGGGGTCAAATTGGCGACGGCTGGGGCGTCCACGACCCTTCTTAGAGAGTCCATTGGACATCTCCACGCGAACACGAGAGCCACAAATGATCCTGACAACAAAGATGAGAAAGAAAACCGTTATCCAGTTAGCGGTTAAATTAGAAGCATTGTTCTACATTTTAACGTAGTTTACATAAACGCACAGAATTACTATTATTATTAAATCACAAAAAAAATAAAGATAACTTACTTTCCATCCATGCCTTTGACAGCATCCTCTGCATCTCTGGGATCCTCAAACTCCACAAAGGCAAACCCAGGTGGGTTCCTGGCCACCCACACGGTTCTCAGTGGACCATAATAACTAAATGCTCGCTCCAACTCTCCCTTGGCGGCACCATTGCCCAGGTCACCAACATACACTTTACAATCGGTGACCCGAGATGAACTCCGGGATGACGAATAGTATGACATTTCACCTTACCTGTTGGGAGGAGAGAAAAGTGCACACTGTAAAATTTGGTTAGGGTAACATAAAGTGAAAAAAACATCATCTGGTGATTGAAATGAGCCAATATTGAGCATTACTGATTGATTATTTTTGCAGTGGCCTCTAAGAATGAATGCCTTGAAAGTCATACTCTGGGAAAAACAAACACTGATGTGCATTTCAGAAACTCACAAGGAGTCCGATCAGAGCAGAGCTTAAGATTATATCAGTCGGTCAATACATCAGGCAGAAAATTACTATTATTTTATATATTGGCATTGGACATACTACCTCCTTTAAGGATGCACAATTCCAAAATGTCTTAAATTGGTTACTGGTGCCCCATAATGGTTAATAATTGGTTAACTGAGAACCAACCAATCACCACCCCAACCCCCCACACACAGTTGCCCCGCTGTATAAATAGCACTTTTTCCACCTACTTTTAAAATATAAATCTGACGCACAACTCAAGTCCCACACTTGTTACGTTTAATGAACAAAAAGTAAATTGAGAGTAGGGTGACAACTGAAATGTTCATCAGACTCAGAACTTGTTGCGCAGCGGACTGTCTGGAATCAAATACGTAGCACTGCTTGCAATCATGTGCTTATAAGCGCATTCTGGAGGCCAAGGTAAAAAAAAATAAAAAACTTTAGTTTGTTTACTTAACTAACTACACTGACATTTCTTAATTTTACTAGACAAATTAGGAGTCAGACACAAGCAGGTTGCTAATGCTAATAGTTACCTTTTACTAGTCAAGATGTTCTTTGCCGTTTCAGCTACAGTGTGACATAGATCTGTCAGGCTTTCAAATCCTAGTGTTTCTACTTTTATTTTCCATCAGAAGCTTATGTAGGAAATAGACGTAGGACACAATTTTCACATCCAGTGTGTATGCTAAACTTCAAGTGACCCAGCATTTTCAACAATAAGTAAAAAAAAAAAAATAGGTTTCTCAATGGAAACAACAGAATCGAAATGTTTACTTCTAGAAAGATAATTCTCAAGTTAACCAGAAAGAGAAATTGAAGTGTTTGTTATAGCTATCTGACACAAATCAAAATCTGTAAAAAAAAAAAAAAAACGAAAAAAAAACAACAACAACTATATATATATATATATAATAAAAAGTATTTAATGGTCAATGTTGTACAAGAAACAATTAAGAGTAAGCCCTAACAGGGGTGGACCGTTAAAGCGCCCGAGCGCCAATGGCGCTAAATTTTCTCGTCCGGCGGTAAATACTTGACGACTTACCGCCCAGGTGGCGCCCAAGCCTTATTTGTCATTTACACACCGGCTTTCGCCTACATCATGGCCCCGCCCTGTAGGAAGCTGCCGTTTTCGTTTCGCGCGCGTGAACCTGCGCGCCTCTAGCCACCTACTGCACTTGTACGATTCGTGCACGTACTGCACGATTAGTTATAGTCACGTGAACTATAAGTTCACTATTAAAGACGAAGTGGAACCACGCTAGAAACACAAAAGCACGCAGGAAGATCGCGCCACCAGGGATTGGATTTCTTGATGAAATCTCCGGCAAAACGCTTTAAAACTGGTGAAGAGAAGCGAGACAGTTCGAAACGGTATGAAGCAGAGAAGCGTGTGCGTAGGTGGAATGATTCTTGGCGATTTAAAGAAGACGGGAGGCGCAGAGAATGGCCGTGTTCGAGTTGAGCAGCGCCTCGCCTGGAAAACATACGAGAGCAGACGGAAGAAGCAGGGGGAGTGGCTGAAAGACGGCGTTTTGCCGGGGACACACCGGCCGCGGAAGCGCCCGAAGCGAATCGCTCACGAAGTCCGGCCGCTGCTCGCCGCTCCTCAGTTCAAATCAGACGCGCCCCATTCGAGGCGCGCCTCGGCTCCGCTGTGGATTTTCTTTTAACTACCTGGTGTCCTCAATTTCCTCAGCTCTTTTCCTCTACCTGTGAGTGAGTGAGTGAGTGAGTGGAGAGAGAGGGAGAGGAGAGGAGAGAGAGGGAGAGAGGAGAGAGAGGGAGAGGAGAGGAGAGAGAGAGACTATGGTGTGAACCAGTTGTTTCTGCCAGTTGAATCTCTTGGATTTTCCTACATGTGTAGCTCGGGGGTGACGATGGATGAAGATATCGCGTTAGCATTCACACTTGTTCAATTTTCAATTTTAATTCTGGTGCCTGTTAGCAGCTGAAACACATCCTCACGTGCTTGTGGATATCATATATTGTATATGAAGACATGAGTGTAATAATAAGTAAAGGTTAGCAGCTGTAGGTTTAGTGTGCTCATAGGAAACGTGACAAAAGAAAACAAAACACATTTCTCTTTATGGCCTATATTGTTGTTATTATCAGCGTAACATGATTTACAGAATACATGTGACCAACTAACATTTCATGTTCTACCACCGGATGTTTGGATCAAAATATGAACCAATCAGATCTTAGATCAGGTGAGAGCCAGGCGTTTCCGTCATCCTCTAGGTTTTGCAGCCGAGGGAGAGCAACTGCAGCGCCTTGCTCCAAAATCTGTGGCCGCCTTGATCTCACGAGGTTATCGATGCCTACGTATGCATGACGTCAGAGCAAGTCGGCGTCAATTCGGACACAAATCTAACCGGCATGCACTGCTCGCCGATCACCGCTGGTCTAACCTGCGCAGAACTGGCTCATCTCGAACACAGTCAATGGCTCGAATACAGCAAAGCGGAGTTGGTGATGTACTGCGTTGTATGCCGGAAGTATGCGACGACAAAATCGTGTTTTGTTGAGGGAACAAACAAATTCAAACTTGAATACGTTATTATGTTTGTGAATGTGTACAAAATAAAGGTTTATTACATTTAAAACGGTTCCGTTTTTATTTTGACTTGTTTTGGCAGCTGACCAGTGGGGCCGGTAGATTCTTGGTGGGGCCGGTAAATATTCAGAGTTACCGGCCCGGCTGGCCGGTTGGTTTTGAAGTTAATGTCCACCCCTGCCTAATATTTAATGAGTCCTAAAAATACAAGCAAGCTGTACATTAGGTTCTTCAAAGCGCACACGCACACACACACGCACACACACAAACACACACACACAATTACATTAACCAAATTTTTATATAAGAGATGCACAGAAATCTCAATCAACCTTTCCTCGACTAAAACAGAAGGTTATTTATGATGTTTGCCAGTAAGCCTATCCGTGTGCCTAAATAAATAATTAGTGTTTTGAAAAACACAAGCCTCGATTGGTGCATCAGCATCATGTCTATGAGCCCCACTAAAATACGATCTCCCCTACAGTCTCTAAATTTAACTGTTCATGCCACTGACATTCATGTCGAATGTTCTTGACGGCTATTAGCAATTTCACCGTGTCAATGTTTGTCAGATGCGACAGGTTTACAATACCTGCGTAAGGAGGATACTTTCAGCTTCAGGTGCAATGCGGATTCCTGTTTGTGTGGAAGCCTTGCCTAGTCTAATTCACCAACATAAAATGAAACTCTAGAACAAATTAAATGGAGATTACAGTAAAATAAATTAAAAAAATCAATGACACAACGCACGTTGACGAAGTAAACGGTAAAATCCAGAAATTAGTCGAGGCCCTGGCTCATTAACAATGGCGGTAGCACGCGCTAGTAGGCCTCAACTTCCTCTGCTCATTTTTTTATATTAAAAATCCGTTTCAAAGATTACCTCCAGCTGTCTCAACCAACATTTCGCAGTCACGTTAAGCGGGAAAACAATGATTCGAAAGGACTTCTCGTTCACACAAATAACATGATTTTTTTTCTTAGCTCTTAAATTACTTCACTTACCAAGGCTACCGACGAGCAGCGACGCGTTTCCTTCTTCCTCTTGTATCAGACAAGCTTAATGGAATGACGCACTACCGCCCCCAGGCGGAATGCGGTGTAACAAAATATGGCCTGCTGCCAAGCGCTTCTCTGTTCGGTAGGAAAATTGTAAAATTTATTTATTTATTTATTTATTTATTTATTTATTTATTTATTTATTTATTTATTTATTTATTTTGAACATAATAACACGATACAACATAAATAAATTGAAACAAATAGATTGAAAACACAAGGAAATAATTTGCAACACTTGATGTTCAAAATGAGTTTACATTTTGGGGGCAAATTTATGTTTACTAAGAAACATGGATAAATGTCCACACTTTATTATTATTATTATTATTTACTTATTTACTTAATTCTTTATTTATTTTATTATTACAAACACTATAAAAACCAGCTAAGGCTTGCACTCTCTGGAAAGCATTACAAAATATCTAGTGATCTATAAATAATGTAGCCATCATCTGCATCTGCAACTGATTAAACTTAGGGGCCCACCAATTTAAGATGGTTTCCACAGCTAATTGACCCCAACAAACAGAAGGATGGTTATAATTCAGTCAGTTTACATATACTTTCACCTGGCAGTAGCTGAGAATAATTTCATGATAGCAATGGCAAATTACATTATTTTATACATAATAGGAAATTGGCTACTTACCTAATTTCCCCAAAAATATTTAGCTTCAAATCCATAATTAAAATGCAATTGGTGATATGCAATCCTTCAAGGATTGATAATAATTTTAATTAATAACCAATACATTTGGTAAAATGTCATGGCACTGTCTGATATTATGGCTAATTTATATAATGAAAATATTAATTCACTATAAGAATGGCTCATTAACATTTCCTTAACAAATATACTTTAAAATAATGTCTTATTTGACCCTCTGGAGGCAGGCGTTGCAGATTTGCAACGTTAAAACCTACCTGGTCACTCTACATACCTATTTCATGAGCATTTTTTTAATTCAGAAGTACCCGAAGGACTTAGTTATTCGTCCTTTTATCTAAACTTATTTTGAGCCTGAGAGGGTTAAAACATGCTAATTATTTGATCATTTAAGGTAGAAAATGAAGACAGACACATCATACTTTTAAAATAAATAAACTATATTTAACTAAGGTCAACTTTAGTTGATTAAAGACCTTCTTTTTCTGTCAGTAACACATTACATCTCATGCCATATGTTCCAAAACTACTTTTTTCTAAAGTTTTTTTTCTTTGCATTTCATACAAAACTTTAGTTAATTTATTAGAGCATTGAATAAATGTATATGTCTATCACATGATATTGTAATAACTCCTTCATTGTTTCCCTACAAAGGTTCAAGCAGAGAGAAAATGTCATCATCACAGGAAACAACTTCACAGAAAGACACTGAAGAGCAAGACCTGGGAGGGAGCAGGGAGGTGGGGATAAGAGGGTGAACATTTACAACACAGACACAGAAATATCGTTGGTTCAAAAAATGTTATTAAAAATGGATGCTGCTTAGCAGGAGATAGCAGCAGACAGATGTGTGGTTGTGTTTTTGAATGTTGTATCTCAGAGAGACATTTGTATTTCAAATGTAGGAATTCTATCAGAGTAGACCATGCTGCTAAGACACGAACACGGGAATTTGTCATGCATGTGCAGAGGAACACAGAAAGGAAGGAAAAAAACACAGACACACACTAGGAGGAGTCTGTGAGGCTGGATGGGAGGGGAATCACATCTAAGTACAGAACAGCAAAGGCCGAAGCCGACAGTTAGTACAGAACTTCATGGAAACACGGAACATTGTCGGGATGTTGCATCAGGACAGTTCTGTTTCTGGCTGCTTGAGCCAAATCCGGGTCACATCTGGCTGGAGTGCAGATTGGAGGTGATACATCTGTCCCAGCTGGTGCTGATCATCTCTAACAAGAGTTCAGTAGACCCGGATGTGTGATGTGATGCTCTACAGCCTGCAACTGGCAGTCTCTTTCTGACAATGTTCCACACTGTTTCATCATGTAAACATGCTACTTACGCTCAAAACCCTTGTTCACGAGGACAGAATGGAGAGATGCTCAGGGTTACAGCAAACATGGCAGCGGCACAACAAATTAACTTTTCTCAAAGCTGCTAATGTAAGAAAACAACTACTTTTTCTTGTATTGCACATAAAAACCACACCCCTTTAACATTATCCCCAAACCTTAAGGAGTTGTGGTACAGCTTATTTCATAAATAAAAATATATATTTAAAATAGAATAATTACACAGAAAAAAGCTAAAACTATGGAGGACTGAAAATGCCAAGTTGCAGAATTTAAAAAAAATTATTTAATAGATTATTTTTTATATCAATACACCAAGCCAATAAAGTAAAACATCATTTACTGTAACTTTATTAGTATAATTGTTTATTTACTGATTTGTTTCTAAAATTTTACATTTATTTTGGAATTGGCGGTTTCAGTCCTCCACACAGGTCAGCGATGTACTGCAGTGAGTTGGATGCGTCAGTATTTGGTGCTTTTATTCTGATGCTGTTGGAGCTATTACAGATGAGCTTCAGGGTTGTGGTAATTGAATCTCATTCGCTAATTTCTCCAACAATGTGAAACCTGTCCTGTCATGTTTGGAAATACAAAATAAGTCCACCTTGGCTTTATTTGTAAGGAAAGAGATACAAAATCTGTTTTAGAAAGTTTAAAAATGGTAATCGGTTTGGGTACATGAATCAAATCTTTTGAACATTAATATTAACAGTGTTTAGCACTTATCGTTAGTGGGATCTCTGTTATGTCATGATCTGAAAGATTTTTTTGTAGCATGATGTTTAAAAGGCAGTGGACCTTTTAGTATAATAACAACAGCAATAATAATTCAAGCTTCTGGTCATTATCAGTAAACTATGATGACTCACATTTTTGGCCAGATTCACAGTGACATTTTCAAGCTTTTGTGATTTAAGTGAAAACCCTAAATCACGAATTTCCAAAGCATTATTTTGTGTAGCCCCTGACTGTATTTCTAAAATGATGGAAATAGGTCTCTCCAGCAGGCTCTCAATATAGACAGTTTTTATAAGATTCTTACTGAAGCTGGGTGTAAACTGTGCGATTTTTGGCCAATTTAAGCCAATATTCCACTTGTGAGACAATCTTTTAGGAGTTTTGCATTTTGTAGTATACAAAGAAGGGATTAACACCTCATATCTAGCTTCTTACAAAAATCCAACATTTTTGTTTTTCTACTTGTCCTGCAAGAGAGGGACTCTGTTGAAGCAGCACTAGCCCTAACCCAGAGCCACGACCCAAATATACCAGAACTGCTGACAAAGCATGTGTCTCAACACATCTGCCCAGCCATTTTCTTGTCGACAGATGTAACTCTTTTTCTTTTAACACTTTTCTCCAAACATAGTGGCACATAATTGTCAAGAAAGTGTTTTCTGTATTTGCGCCAAATTAAAACGGATTCTAAACCTCAGGTCACTTCCTACACTCCATTCATTCTTCTACTTCCAAAAAAAATACATTTTTATCACGATTTTAGGTCAGACATTGCTAGCACATGTAGAGTGTGAGAAGTCTGGTTGCATTGGGTCATCCAGTGTGAGAACATGACTAATGAGTTTAATGCTGTGAAGAAGTCGTACAGTTTGAGATAGAGGTAAATACGACTGGAAAAGGTCGCACTGTGTACACCTGGATTTGTATGCTCGATCTAAGCCTATTTTTTGAAAATAATTTTTGCATTAAAAAATACACAATTGTGACCCAAGAAGACAACAAGACGACTTTGGCCCTTGTCTTGAAAAGTTTGGACATCCCTTCTCTAAATCATTGGATTCCACCACCAACCTTAGGATGTTTCTATCCTACTAAAGATTTTGTGCCTTCTGCCTGTTTGTGTAGTTTGGTCCACACACACACACACACACACACACACACACACACACACACACACACACACACGCACGCACGCACGCACATACACACGTCCACACGCGCGCACACACACACACACACACAGTGTCCAATGTGCAGAGGCGTTAAGGGTCTAGAAATTAGCCTGGGAGTTAAGCGTGAAATGCTGACTTCCTGTTACAGAACTGTCACGGTGATGGATGGCTGTCTACAAACTGATACACCATCTGTTGCTAACCGGAGGATGAGTCGACAGACATGAGTTGGTTCTCACAAACAGAATTCCAAAGAAAGAAAGTTTTCCAGCTGTTGGGAACCACGAGCATCCATTTCTACATAAAAGAAGTTGGTATATTACAGCAGAACCAGCTTCACATATTGCACAAAACTCTATGTATTAGTTCCATAATAACAAAGTGCAGCTGGGCGGTTATACAGCTCAAGGCTTGACTACTAGATTTGGATGTGAGTGTTTTCCTTAAGGCATTTATTTGTTTTTGCTGTCAAAGAGCATCAGAGTGCTGTGGACCAGAATTCTGCAGCCTTCGGAACGAGTTTCTAAATGACTTCATTGTATTCTTGTGGCTTTAGAAACATCGCTTCTGTAAACTAACACTGCTGTTTTGTTTGAGTATCTGTGCATGTTTGTCTGTGTTACTAAAGGTACAACAATAGTCTCTCAGGTTACATCATGCCACAGTAATGAGTCTGTCCCCACACGATGACGTAGACATGTGAGGGCAACACATCAGGTCTGTCTGGATGTGTCAAAGAGTCTCCACCTGTTTGTTGCACACGATGATGTGAGGTGAGGTGAGGTAAGGTGGGGGTGGGTTGGTGTTGATCCGGTCCAACTAAGGAGGAAAATGTTCAGTTTGCTTCGTGCAGGAAGATTTTACACCAGGGAGGTCATGGAGGTGGACGCTCTCACATGAAAGTGTTGTAAAGATGTTCTGAACATGCAGAAACGATTCCTCATCTTGACGTAGAAACAGAAGTCTGGGAGGCTGTGGTAAACAGACATCCACTGGATGCTGTAAAGTTTTTTATCCTGTTTTACTTTTAACATGCTGCCATATTTAAAACCGTTCTTATGTTTAGGATATCTTCTTCTTATTTTTCATCTTTTCTGGCATTTTTTAGTGTCTGACTTCTGAAAACGGCTCAGCGATCTGTACACCAGGTTTTATTATTTACAGCGCATGTGGAGGACTGCTTCCTGTGTATCAGACAAACATCACAAATAAACAAGGACCTCCTCTAGTAAACACGTTTTGTAAACATTTGACTATTTTTTCCACACAGTGCTCCACTTCCTCCGAGTAAAATCATGGAGCTGTAACAATGCTCTTTCATCATGACTCACATGGATGGAATTTTGTTGGGTCTGAACGTATTTCTCTAACATCTCCCTCCTTTTTAATCCAGTCTACACCCACCTGGCTGTGAAAAAAGTGCCCATCTAGCAGAATAAACATCGCTCAGGATGTTTGACCTTCGAACTTCATCACCCCTCATCTATTTTCTCTAACCTGCTGCCACAGCCGTATGTTTATGATGTTTTGTACCTGTAGTGTGCTGAATGTGTATCTGAAGTATTTGAGCATCCTTGCACCAGAGAATAGGATGCATCCAGGCTGCACTGAGCCTTGTCAAACATGTCGGTAAAGTTAAGGATGTGTGTGTTGCTGTGTGGTGTTCCTCTAGAACATTTGATGGTTCTGTTAGTTAAAAGCCACTGATGTGGCAGTAAGCCTCAAGGCTGGAGAAGAGGATGTAGAGGAACCAGAGGCCAAGGAACAACAGAGTGGTCAGGATGCGGGGCCCTCTCGGGCCACCGAGCTCGCCGCCAATAGATGGCCGGCGTCTGAAGAGGAGCACCGCCATGCAGATGAAAGCGAAGATGGTGAAGAGTGTGACGGAGAAGGCCAGAGACCCTGGATCCACCTCGAACTTCTTTCCTTTCAACTGCCAGTAGACGGCAGCCACTGACCACGCCACGCCGATCCCCAGAAACACATTGACAGCGTTGCTGCCCGTGACGTTCCCAACAGACGCGTCAGCATGCTGGTCCTGTATGGCAGCCACTTTGCTAGCAAAAGTGTCTGCAGGAATAAGAGGAAAGATGAGGAAATATTTCAACTGAACACTTTAGTGAGGGAAATAAACAGGTTTAGCTTTTATTTAAGAAAAAGGATTGAGCATAAATTTGATAAAAAAATAAAAAATCCCCCCCCAAAAAATCAATAAACTGAAAAATCGGATTATTTTTAGCTCTTGAATACTAGCCTGGCCAGCCAGACTCTCTCTGTTTAATTCTGCACAGAGATCAGTCTCTCTACTTGAATGCACAAGTAGAAATAAAAATATTTTTTTCAGTCAACTATAACTAAGAACTAAATCACACTAGCAATGACCCCACTTAAACGTTGTGGAACACTGAAAAAACATTTTAAAAAGATTATAATCAGTCACCCTGAGCTTGTTTTGCAGGCTGAACCTGAAAGTAGTCTCCTACACCTGTCTCCTGCATTAGCTTCTGATAGAAAATAGACGGTGAAATGCTAGGAAATGAAAAGCCTGACAGATCTACGTCACACTGTCACCTAACATTCATGGAGTCACCCATCTTGACTCACGGTGGGGAAAGTTGTTACTGGTTTAGCATCCAGGAAACAACAGAGAATGTCTCGGTTAGTGGAAGCTAAACGTTAGTATTAGCAACTCTACGACACAGCAGAACTTTTTCAGGCTTATTTGTGGAGATAAAACATCCATGTTGCAAGTCAGTGGTAGAGTGGCATTGCTGTTATCCAATCTGGGGCGAGATGTCCAAAATATCAGGAAATAGGACTTGAAATTCTGCTGTCTGAAGCTCAGCCGTCATGTGGCTCACTACTAGTTCCTGAAAATGGCACTCCCGCGTTTTTTTGTCCCCTGAGTACGACTTACAAGGCATTCATTCCTACTAGAGGCTACTGCAAATATATTGACTAAACGAACGTTCCACACGTTTAATGTAGAAGTTTTGACTTCCAGAATCATAATTTAAGCTCTTTGAGAAAAACTGGAATCGGTCCAAATTGGAGCAGGTAGATAAGAGCTCATGGACATAATTTTCACTTTAGAAGTGGGGGGACATGGAGGGGGGTATCTTTACAGTATGCTCTAATGGGAAACAGGCTTCAACACAAACGTTTGTTTTCCACTTGGTCCTAGAGCTCAACCAGTGTCAATTTAATATAGAGTAATATTGTTTTTGGATGGTAAAAAATGCAGGGGTCAAAACTTGACTTTGGAAAAAGTGTGTGTGTGTGTGGGGGGGGGGGCATGTCCCCCCTGTCCCTCCCCAAAATTACGTCCATGTAAGAGCTATACACAAATCAGTATAGCTCACAAAGTCAAAATCAAGCGGCCTTTCACAATCTCACTTCATCTGTTAGCACTGATTGTGAATGCATCAGCTATTACCACATGAAAATGTGGCTGCATATCTGACAAATCACCTGAGTTATAGATATTTTTGTGTTTGGTGATGTCAGCTGCATCTTTAATTTTTTGAAAATGCAGCTTGTCCTCGTTCGACTAGTTGCTTGTGAGATACTTTGGTAAGAGAACCTTGCTATTGTTAACATTTGTCTATAGGTGATAAAATACAGCAGTAACAAAAATGTACAGTACCTCCTACCTTTGTACAACAGATGGAAGATGTTCACTAACCTGGAATTGAAGTTCCCAGAGCGACAAACACCACAGCGGTCACCGTGTCACGCAGCCCCACGGTGCAGCCAAAGTGCGATGCCAAGTCCCCGATGATGGCAGTGAGGAACCCGATGACGCTGATAGACACACAGAAACAGGCCCAGCCGTTCCAGTACTCTGTAGGTGGGACGAAGGCGAACAGAACCTTCCAGAATACGGTGAGGAAATGCATCACATAATCGGAACAAGATGGAAGGCGCCCCTCCTCATCATCATCACTGTCACCTGGAAGGAAATGTGCAGGGTTAGTCAGTATATTCATTCTGGGATGGTACACACACACATGCACGTACGCACGCATGCACGCACGCACACACACACACACACACACACACACATACACACACACACACTTGTATTTGTATCATTGTGTAGACCTTTCATTGACTTCCATTAATTTTAGTGACTGCACTGTTCCTAACCCTAACCAATGCTTTTTTATCCTTAACCCTAACCTAAACTAAAAGTGAATGCACACCAGACCTCTAAAACCAAGTATTAATGTTTTTTTGCAACGTGTGGACCAGCCAAATGTCCCAACAACATAGAAATGTCCACATGTTCCAGGTTAAAAGGGTTAGTTATATGTCCACTTTTACATAAGAGATCACTGGTTCCACAGAGAATTTCTATTTGTGAAAAACTTTTACTTCCACTAGAGAGCAGTGTTCAACCAAAAACTCATCACTGAAAAATGTTAAACCACATTAGATTTTCCTGTTTCTGTCTGTTTGTCCTTGGTGTAAATATGTGGATCAAAGCAAAACAGCTTTCAGGTGATTAAAACCTTTTGCATTGTAAAGAGTAAATCAGACCTGACCCTTTACAATTGTCGCAAAGTAGATTTTAGTTCAAATATTTGTTTGGAAACAGCAAAGCCATCATAGCTTGAGAATTTCCCTTAAATGTAACAATAATTGTAGCTCACGCACCATCATCATGACCCAGGTGGAGATGTTTAGCCTGGAGGCTAGGAGGGGGATCTGGCCGTCTGGCTGGGCGGTGGGTCGCTTTGCTAGGCGTTGGGTGGGGGAGCCTGCTCATCAGCACCCCAGGAGAAAGGGTCAAACTCTGGGAACCGGTGATGGTTGTACCCTTTGTGCAGCAGTACCGGGACCAGAGTGAATAGGGTGTGTATGGGGAGTATGAGTGGTTGTCTGGCGTGCATTTTTGTGAGTCTTAGGTTGTATGTGTATGTGTGAGCATGAGGGAGGGAGTGTGTGACTGTGTTTGTGTATGACTGTGTGTGTCAGGTGGGGCCTTTGACTCCTCCCCTCTCCTGGGACTTCTTTTGCTGATATAGATCTTTGTCCCCCCTCCCCGTCACACCTGGTGTGGAGTGTGGTGCCTTGGTCTGCCTGAGTGTTTGTGGCTCCCGGGTCAGGGGGTTTAAGATTTTTAGCGTCTGCCTGATTAATCCCGGTGGCTGCCTGGTGGGATCTGGGTTGCTGGGCTATGTTGGGTCCCCGGTGGAGCTAGTCGCCCCTGGGTCCCGGGTCGCTGGGTTCTGGGCTCGGCCGGCTTGGGGGTGGGAGGCTGCGGGCGGGCCTGTGGGCTTACCGCTGCTATCTCCTGGGACTCTGCCGGCTGCTGGTTGTGGCCCCCCGGGGCAATCCTCTGCACCTCTCGAGGGGGGCAGGGGCTTTTCTGGTCGCAGTCTCCCTGGGGTCCCTGCGCTCTGGGGCAGCTCCTGGATCTCTGAGACTTGGAGCTCTTTCCATCTTTGGGGGGCAGATCTGTGGCCCCTCACACTCTCTAATGGACACTCCTATAGAGAAACCCTACAAATACAAGCACGAGTACACACACAGGTGCTCTCATAAGTACGGACTTGGGCACGTTCAACACGTCGGCTGTGGTTGGCACTTAATGCACTGTGATTTATTATCGTGATTGTTCAGTAAAACAATGTTTTTATATTTCCTCATCAGGTTGACACAGTGAGAGCTTGCTCCTGTTGTATTGCTGTGTGTCCCTTTTCTTTTTCTTTTTTTTCTCTCTCCTTCTGCAGGTCTAGAAGCAGACTCTTGCTCATCATTGATTGTTTGTTTTTGTGGACCCCCCCCCCCTGTCTCTTCCTTTCTCGTTCACCTCTGTCTCTGTGTCTGGTCGGAATTACAAGCATTCAAAAAAAATTTAAAAAAAGGAGATGTTTAGCCTGACTGACTGCTGAGTCTCGTAGCGACAGATGTTTGCTCACTCTCTGTTAAATGTTCTCACACAGCTCACCTGCACTGACAGTCACTGCCTCCACAAATTGTTCCCTCCAGGAGTGAGTGCCGATAACCAACGCCAGGTTGGTCTTCTTAATGAGCTTGTCAACAGTGCTCTGCCAATCAAAATCAAAACACACATCGTTAGCAGCCAGTTAGACTCAGAAACAGGTGATGGAGCTGCTCAGGTGAGACGATTGTTGTTACGCTGCATAAACTAATGTCTTAAGAAAAACAACAAAAATCTTATTAATTCCCAGTTACAAATCCCTTTGGGACAGAAAAAAAACTTGACTTTGCATGGGAACAATGTCAGGAAAATTTTTTCTCTGGATAATTTAAGCTTCCTGTGAAAACCACATTTTTGTGTATAATTGCATAAATCATTACAACAATTCTATCAGCAACTAAACAGATGCAGACAATGTGATACTGATGACAGTTTTCTCAATGACAGTTAATGTGTTAAAACAACTAAATACAGAAAACAGAAAAAAGCATATTTACCCTAAACTGTATTTAGGGATGCAATGACATTAAAAAAGTACACATGATTAAATGTGAGTATTTGTACTTATGTGAGTGCTGTTAAATATATTTTCTCTGTTTAAAAAATGTCCTCAAGGCTGACGTTTTAAACAGCCATGATGGATCTTGAAACACCACCAGATGGCACCTTTACTGTTCAGTTTTTCGACCATTTAAACCCTGAAATATAAAGTATAACAAAAAGTAGATAAAAAGTGAAACATTTATTATCTGATGTTAACCTAACAGCTATATGATGATCAATTTTATTTTACTATGCAATAATATAATTGCAAACTGATCATGAAGGTACTAATACTAATACTAATACTACATCTAGCTATATTAAGGCCAGAAGCAGTTTGATGAGGTTTTGCAACTATTCCTGTCGTTGTTGTCGTTGTCGTCTTCCTCCGCTTATCCGGGTCCAGGTCCGGGTCGCGGGGGCAGCATCCCAACTAGGGAGCTCCAGACCGTCCTCTCCCCGGCCTTCTCCACCAGTTCCTCCGGCAGGACCCCAAGGCGTTCCCGGATCAGATTGGAGATGTAACCTCTCCAACATGTCCTGGGTCGACCCGGGGGCCTCCTGCCGGCAGGACATGCCCGAAACACCTCCCCGGGGAGCCGTCCAGGAGGCATCCTGACCAGATGCCTAAACCACCTCAACTGGATCCTTTCGATCCGGAGGAGCACTGGTTCTACTCCGAGTCCCTCCCGAATGTCCGAGCTCCTCACCCTATCTCTAAGGCTGAGCTCGGCCACCCTACGGAGGAAACTCATTTCGGCCGCTTGTATCCGCAATCTCGTTCTTTCGGTTATTACTCAAAGCTCATGACCGTAGGTGAGGATTGGGACGTAGATCGACCGTTAAATCGAGAGCCTGGCTTTCTGGCTCAGCTCCCTCTTCACCACGACAGATCGGCTCAGCGTCCGCATCACTGCAAATGCCGAACCAATCCTCCTGTCGATCTCCCGATCCCTCCTACCCTCACTCGTGAACAAGACCCCGAGACACTTAAACTCCTCCACTTGAGGTAGGACCTCTCCCCCGACCCGGAGTTGGCAAGGCACCCTTTTCCGGTCGAGAACCATGGTCTCAGATTTGGAGGTGCTGATCCTCATCCCAGCCGCTTCACACTCGGCCGCGAACCTACCCAGCAAGAGCTGAAGGTCAGAGCTGGACGCAACTATTCCTCTCAGTGAAAATGGATGGGAAAATATAAGAAATAAACTGATTAACCACAAGGGTAAATTACAATTGTTTATGACAGCTTTTTATATATGTATATAATAATATCAAATATATAAATAATAATATAAAATGTGTAAATATAGAAATTAGCTATTAAAGGTGCAGTATGTGAGAATATAGCGAGAATTTTATTGTTTGTTGTTTATTGTTTGTAATGTTTTCAGTCATATGGAAGGAAGGTTATACGAGAGCACACAATTGTAATTTAACGACGGTCGGCAAAAAGCTCCAGGGTTGTTTAAGGTGGTTGCAATATTTTTATTACTATTATTTCATACGTCAGGCTATAAAAGGTTAGGGATTTGGAGAAAATTGCTGACATCACATTGTTGTGGTGAATATTTGTCTCAAACTTTAGGTATTTTTTTAATTTTTGTGCCGGCATGTTTTCCAACACCAAAGACTGTCCCAGACACACACACAATCACTGTGTAAAGTGCTACGATGTGCTTTACATACAGCATCAAATCTATTTTTTTCGTGGAATGTTTGTAAAATGCTTTCGAGACTTGTAAGTACAGCCACAGTATTAGACTGAATAGTGCCGGTATGGGTGTGTGCCTGCTGAAAATATTTATTTAAAAAATATTTAACCAAATGTGGAAAGAGGACACAACATAGAGTGGAAAAACCGCAGAAAATAAATAATTCAGTTGGTCTCTCCTGACACAGATACAATTAGTTTTGTGTTACATAATCCACTCTGCACTGACATTTTTCCTAGAAGAGCTACAGCTAGCTGCTGCTATTGCTAGTTGCATTTGTAAACAACGTGAAATTGACTTTAGTGTAAAGGTTTATAAGGTTCAAACTAACCTTAATCTTCTCAATATCTTTATGGGTGACCTCGCGAGGAAAGTTGACAATTGAGCAGGATTGATGGTTTATCCCTTGAGGTCCAATTGGCAGGGGTGAGGTGGTGCTCATTCCTCACCCCTGCCTGCCACCCCCACTGCCCTCTCTGGCCAAAATACCAAACTTTCAGAGTGTTGGTCGGGTCCCTGTTAGTCTTAATAAATGGGCTGTCTTTTTAAAGTGCCTTCTTAAGCTTGAGGCACACTGGAGGCGGACCCGCCATGTCGCACCTGAGATTTTGTGATCAGACTTTCCATTGTGTTTTGTGAGACTCGAATTCATTAAAAATGGGTAAGTATGCACCCATACCGGCACTCAAGTTCAGTCTAATATTTGAATATTTTAAGATCAATAGAAGTTATCTAACTGTGACTGGGTTTGTGCTGGCGGTTGAGTTTGTGCCGTAAAGCCATTCCAGGTCGTAACGTCTGTTGTAAAGTACTCCACAATGTTGTAAACAGCCACGGTGCTTGATACACAGCTAGCGCCTATCTTCAGCACCTTGACGCGGTGCTTCTGGGACGTGGTGCAGCGCTCCCCGTGTGCCCACTCTCTTTAACTATAAAGAGGCTTCTATTTAAAATGATGGTACGGATGCGGCGCTGGTGCGGCGCATCCGCCTCCAGTGTGCCACAGTCTTTAGGGTTCTACAACCCCCCAAGGCGCTTCACAACACTATCAGTCATTCACCCATTCACACTCTGGTGATGATGAGCTACGATGTAGCCACAGCTGCCCCGGGGCGAACTGACAGGCACCAAATACAGGCCTCGCCAGTCCCTCCAACCACCACCAGCAGGGAAGGTGGGCTAAGTGTCTTGCCCAAGGACACAAGAGCAGCATTTTCTGGTCAGAATTGTGACCGAACCTGTAACCTTCCGATTACTGGAGAACCTACTCTACCTCCTTAGCTACAACGGTCCCTGCCGGCTGTTAGTAAAATCTAGCTGGAATGCTTGGCAGTGCAGTCTGCTTCCTGTACATTTCCTGCATTTTTTAGATGATTAACAAAGCTGATTTGTTTGATTTAGTGATGAACCGCTCCTGTAGACAATAATGAAGACATTTCAGCGGCTAGATTAAGGGGTAAAAGACAAACACACAGCGAGGAGATGCATTTCACTTTAGATGTTACTAACTGGACACTAGGGGATGCTAAAAGCAAGCCAAAACTGCAAGTCAGTTTTATTTTATTTTTTTTAACAGTTTTTTGTCCGGAACTGCGCTGCTCTGGGTGGCTGCATGTTGGAGTAGCTCTGTTGACTATATGTAAGTTTTGCCTTTTCTTGGGCATTTTTTCTTCTAGTTTCTCAAGAAAAACGGTATTTTTTGTACACTTCTGTTTCTGGTGCTGTGAAGCTTGGATGATTTTTACTACTATTTTTTTTTAGCTTTTTTCACCTTTTGAGCATTTGTTATGATGTGTAACCATGGCAACAGTCTGGTTTACAATCGGGAGCAGCTGATTAGCATTGGAAAGGCTGAAATAATACCTCAACTGAAGCCACAAATCCCAAATGAGCTAAAACGCAAGAAGCGTGGATGCAGAGCGGGAGCAAAACGGAGACAGAGAAAGAGGAAATTCAAACCATCTCTTCCATCGATCATAATGGGCAATGTGAGATCACTGGCCAACAAGATGGAGGAACTCCAAGCCCTTTCAAGGACTCAGCCAGAGTTTCGGCAGTTTCGGAACCACTGGAGGAGATAGTGCAAAGAAGGATTCTCCAGAGAATCAAGAAAATTATGGACAACCCTGAGCATTCTCTTCACAAGACTGTCCGACAACGGAAGAGCGTCTTCAGTCAGAGGCTTCTTCAGTTTCGCTGCAACACTGACCGCTACTGGAGATCCTTCCTGCCAACAGCCAATGTAATATACAACAACTCTTTGATGAGTTGATTATTATTATTATTCTGAGCTACTACAGCAATCAATTTCCCTCTGGGATTAATAAAGTATTTTTTAATTGAATTGAATTGAATTGAATTTCAGTAAAGCTACTTAGCTCTCTGACACTGATCTCAAGATGCAAAAATTTCATGCGTCCCAGTTATATTTAAAAACAGATTTTACAAAAGGAACATGGAATGTTTTGTAATGGTCTTCTGAGAGTTGTTCCTACAACCAGTACCAGCATTTGAGATGTGTGTGTTCGTGGACTGTAAAGTAGTTTTATAGCTGCGGGTGGCAGGCAGGACATCGCTTGTACGGCGTCGCGGGTTTTGCCAGATGTAAAGAAAGCCTATAGATGAAAATTTGAATTCTGCACGCCTCCAGCGAGCTGCTACATTGAGGGCAACTAATGCATCTTCAATAATTCAGAGCCACAGTATAGCAACTCGCTGGGAGGGATGAGACCTGGGTCTAACAGTAGGGAAAAAAAGAGCAGAGAGGTGGATTATGTAACACGTCCAGGAGACCACAGCGTCTCCATTTTGTATAATTTACTTGACCACAAAATCAAAACATTTCCTGACAGTCTTTGATTAAATCATTTAACAAATTTATTATTTCATTAATTTAAAGGACTTATAATTTTCTCACAGGACACAAAGCAGGCTCTGGTTCCTCAAAGGGTGGGAAAACTAAACTAATTGTGCACCTTGAACTCGTACGACTCCTCGATGACCACCTCCAGGCGGCTGTGCTCTCCCAGGATGGGCTTCCCCATCTCAGCTATCCTCTGAGCCTCCTCCTCCTCAGCGCTTAGCTGCCCCTCTGCTCCCTCTGCGGGAAACAAAAGACCTCTCAGCGTGTACAAAAATTAAAATACAGGTCACGTTTTCCCAGGTTCTACTGCCATCAATAATAGATTCGAGTCAGCGTTTTGTGAGAGCTGCTCTGTATCACCCGTGTGCATCAACAAGAGTCTGAAATGTGCATCTGTGTGACTGAAAGCAACACAAGAACGCAAAGTATGGAAGCTGTTTTGTGTGTGTTTGTGTGTGAGTGACAGCCATGCAGAAAACTGCAGGTGTGTTCCACAGAAACAAGCAGTAATCTGAGCTCAAATTTACAATATTTATGAATAAACAAACCTAATCTGCTCATTCAGAGTCCATAAACTCTACTGACTTGTGCAAACTGGATCTAATAATACAACAAGACTTGAAAAGTGATCCTATCAGATGAAAAGATGGCTGATCTTTGTCACAGTGAGATTTTTACCATAAAGCAGTGATAAATCAAAGTTGGTGATATTTTAATTATGATTAATGGATTTCAACTGCAGATTTTTCGCAAAAAAATCAAAAGGATGTCAGTTTCCCTCATTTCAACCATTTTTTGAACACAATATATTAAACTCAAGCTCTGTATTACTCAGATATGTTTAACCTTCCCACTGTTCTATTGGGTGACCCCTCCAGGAAAGGTGACCGTTGAGCAGGGTTGATGGTTTATCCCTTGAGGTCCACGTGGCAGGGGTGAGGTGGTGCTCACTCCTCCTTTTGATTGTGTGAAATGTTTAAAAACTAGGTGGAAATTGCCTGAAATGTCAAACCGAAATGTAAGTTTTGGGGGAGACCTAGCAAAGTGTTCTTTCTCTGTATTTTGATTTCATTGATGTGGACATTCCTGCCACCTTGTGGTGCACAGTTGGTATTTCAAGTAGTAACCAGAAATCAGAAAAGGTTCATTTTAATCATCAATAATAGGGGTCTGCACCATTTACACTCTGGTATGTTTTGTGATGCAGCAAGTAGGAAAAGTCAAAGTTTTAAAATACAGAATTAAGCCAATTAAGCCATTGGAAGAATTTAGTTAAAGTTACTATTCAGAGTTTTCCCTTTTCAGGAATTATGTATGATTTTTCATAAATCCATAAATTCTTTTTTTTTTTTTTTTTTGCTAGGCCTGCCCCATGTCCCATAGAGCTTCATACATTATAAACTGAGCACTGGTCAACACTAACCAATAGCATTAGACTACTGCTGCTGGTGGACTTTTTACTTATTAAAGCAGAAATCCAGAGTTTTTTGTTAAATGTCACCAACTAGAGGCAGAAAAATGTATTACACCTTAAGCCCCCCTCCATACTTCTGCGATTACAGCTGAATGCAATGTATCCTTATTCTGGCCAACAGAGCTAAATCACGTTGTTTTACAATTGTCATTTTTGCGTCATTCTCACAATTTACACATTTCCTGAAAGGAAAATGCTGCTTCAGTGGCACAATAAACCACAATGGCTCTGATAGGATGCCAGAGGGTCCACTCGTTTCTGTTTTTGCAGGAACATGACTTTCCTAGAAGTGGCACAACCTGTGATGGAGGAGTTTATCTCTTGAACAGAGAGGTTTTGTTTAAAAATCAATCAAAGTGAAACTATTTACACACATAAACAACTGAGCATCAATGTTCTGACAGCAAGGATCACCACCTCTGCTCTGATGTGAGTGAGCCGAACCAGAATCACCCCAGGGCGACAACAAGGTGAGTCATCAGCACCATCCTCTGGCTCGAATGTTTCGCTGTTAGAGTTTCAAGCTTTTTGGCTGCATCCCAAGTAACAATTTCTATGTGGAAAAAATTTAATCGGTACTTTTGTTGTTGCCAAACTGTAATAGGGCCATGAATATAAATACAACAACCTGTCTGAGAAAAACCCACAAATAAAAAATATTGCATCAGCACAGAGAACAAGGAGCTCTGACTCATTTGTTGAGATTTTATCTCCGAGCTGCTTCGTGCTGAGCTGCATGCAGGTCAGCCATGCCGTGATGCAGATACAAACAGACAAAAACCATCACCTTCCCCAGAGGAGGCCACGAGAGATGTCAGAATCATGATTTGGGTCATTATAATGTGGTGCAGAGTAAACAAAAGCACTGGCGGAGCTGCAAACTTGAAAAACTTATGCGTAAAGAGAATGTTGCATCTTATTAAAACCTACTGTTTTGAAATAATCTGGGATTACCGTGGTAACCGAAGGAAAAGGAAGAACAAGTCATTCCGTATCAGTCAGGTATTAAAAAGATGGATAAACAGGTGCAAGGAGACCAGTTTAAACTCAGGGTGTCCATGGTGACAGACTCAGAAATTCACTCATCTTACATTCTGAAACAGAAAATGTACTTTCCTTATAATTTAAGTTGAACTCATTCAGAGTTTCCATATAACCTGCTTTTTGGAAAACTCTGAGGCGGTTCAGATGTTGTTGATCAGTTGTCAATATTACAGAATTTCCCTTTAATTCTGATGAGCCTTAATTTTTTATTAAATTTAACTGGATTATTTCAGCCAAAAGCAGCAGACTATGAAGTTGGATGCTTGTTTTTAACCAACATGTTGTTTTAAAGGAGTCTTCTGGCAACACGACAAATCAGTGTGATGGCAAACGTTAAAGAGATGAGTCAGACAGAATTCATCCTACATCCTCTTTTAACTGCTCCCTCCAAAAATCAGCTGCACTGCTTATCTAATAATTGTTTAATTGGGCAGTTTTGACAATTAAATGTGCCATGTCTTTGGGCTGTTGCTCAAAATAAATGTGGCAGAAAACATGAAGCAAATCAAATGAAAAGCTTAAGGAAACTTGGAGAAGAGGTTTTCTTTTTTTTCATTATGTTCTGACATTCAATACAAAATTAATCAAGTTACTTGAAAATAATTAGAAGATTAACTGCTTGTGTGCTGCAAGTAACAAACACAACCCGACAAATCAAATCAGTTCTGGACCTTTATTTTAAAGGGAAACTAATATTCAGATGGTCTTACCTTGGTTCAGTAGCAGAGCTGAGGACAAAAAGAACAAAAAGAGTTTTAAATTAAAGCTGTAAACTGGAAGAAAAATCGCTATAAAAACAACACACACACACACACACATGGACCCACCTGAGATTCCTCTCTTCAGCCAGCGAGGCTCCTCCAACACGATGAAGAAGTTTTCATGTTTTTCATACTCTTCATCATCAATGATCCTCACCTGGAGTGTTTGACTGCAAGCACAACGCACACATCACAAACAGCAAACGTAGAAACACATCTCATCAAAAGAGGCTGCAGTGCTGGTTCTCTGGCGGGCCTTCACCGCAGGTCACCTCTTGTTATTACACCCCCCCCCCCCCCACCACCCCTCCCTTGTCACTGAACAGCTGCTGTGATGATCAGAGCAGAAGACAGCCAGTGGCATTTATAGGAAATGCAATCAATACCTGCGGCATTGTGTCAAGGAAACAAATAAAGGAGACTCATTAGGATTAAACTTTTTCATGATGATTCTACACATATTTTTGCTACTACTTCTGCATGCTTGTGTTCACATTTAGACCAAAAGATGCAATAATCTAAATAAAAACTGTAATCAAATGGTGCTTTTCCCTCTGTCAGATGCTGAGATGGAGCAGACTGCAGAAGAACATGATCAGTGCTTTTAAAGCCACAGATTAAACTGAGTAAGTAATTCAGCCATTTAATCCCATTGATTTGAATATATAAACCGCTAGTTGAGATAAAGAAAACACACAAATTGCTCTAATCACTATTATATGCCGGGCTTTACTGTTGTTTGTGATATAAAGTCAGAATCAGGAACATTTTTCTTTTCCTGTCACAAAAGAAATTATTTTAATGATTTAATTAATTGTTTGGTGTTAATTTGTTTAGAACAGGTTTTATTTACAGAATTATTTAGTCTGAATCATGTTTATTCATTCATTTCTAATGTAGAATCCACATTTTAAAACATTTTCTCAAAGAAAAAATACCAACAATAATTTTTTTCAAAGACAACTTTCAGATAATCTTTTGGACCAAGCTTTGTATAATAAATCTCAATCATTTCTACTTTCTTTGCTTCATCAGAGAAAGATTCTTTGTTTTTTATTCAGAATAAACATAGTAAGCTAAATGTAAAGCGCAACAAAAACAATAAAATCAAAATGATAGAGCAAAATGTCACAGCTGCCCTACATTGAGATTAAAAGTCAAAATGCTGAAAAAAAAACCCTCATAATTTTGAGAAAAAAAGTCAGAATTCTCTTTCTTTTCTTTTCTTTTCTTTCTTGTCAGTGGCTCTAATCCTTTTCCGTACAGAGTAGAAATAAATAAATAAAATGTAGAGCACAAAAAGTCTCCATGTTAATAATCCCTCCCGCTCTAAACGGTCGACGAATTGTCTGCTCCTAACCCCATGACCCTGTCTCACTCTTTCACAAGTTCAAAAGTTGGCAGCCCTGATAATGTAACATGGCTCTTTCATCTCTTATGCTTCTCTGGTTATTCTCCCTCATGCTTGCAAAGCTGAACATATTTTAGTTTTTTGCTGACCTGCTAAAACGACATGAAGTATGACAGTGTTGTGAACTGTGTGAACTGGATGCTGTGTTAGTTTTGTTTCTTGTCTACCTGCCAAGAAATCTGAGCTGCTCTAGCTCCATAATCACAGTGAACATCTTTAAGTTCCTAGACCTGATGACTTCTGTTACCGGAATGGATGTCAAGGTGAAGCAACAACGATGATGAGATCTGATAGTCACTAAGGAGTGCCATCCTGAAATGTCATTGCAGAGATCAGCTCACTGAAGGAAGAGGAAAATCTGCTCTGACAACCAGTAGTACGGCGTACATTTTAGGACATCCTCAGGTGTCAGACTTCAGACCATGGGGGAAAAAGCGTCAGGTTTCAGGAAAATCTGCTTCAGGAAACATCCTCAGTTCTCAGTTGTCAGTTCTCAGTCGTCAGGTGTCAGTTCTCAGGTGTCAGTTTTCAGGTGTCAGGTCTCAGGTGTCAGTTTTCAGTTGTCAGTTCTCAGGTGTCAGTTTTCAGTGTCAGTTCTCAGGTGTCAGTTTTCAGTTGTCAGTTCTCAGGTGTCAGTTCTCAGGTGTCAGTTTTCAGTGTCAGTTCTCAGGTGTCAATTTTCAGGTGTCGGTTCTCAGGTGTCAGTTCTCAGGTGTCAGTTCTCAGGTCTCAGTTCTCAGGTCTCAGTTCTCAGGTGTCAGGTCTCAATTGTCAGACATTGTCTGAGTCGTGGTGCTTTCGGGCAACGGCAGGGGAGTCAGAAAAACCGCGGTGTGTGTCCTGCATCCCAGCCTCCCCGACACCCCCGCCGTTGTACGATAGCGCCGGAGCCACGCCGAGCCGACCAAACACTGTACACCCTTAGCTCACTGCCCCTTCACCCTGTGTGCCCCGCTGGTTCCGAAACAGCCTGCACCTATAAAGCGACCCCCAACTTAGACAGGGTGGCTGAAGTGACTGGGCTGCAGATGGCCGGCGGGACTGGGGTATGGAGACTTAAGAGGTGCGGGACGCAGAGAGGCCCGGCGTGCTTCTCCGACTCCCTAGGACATTGTCTGAAAGCGCCGGAGACACGCCGAGCCGACCCAACTCCGTGCGCCCATAGCTCGCTGCCCCTTAACCCTGTAACCCCCCCCCCCCCCCCCCCCCGGTCCAAACTGCCTGCTCCTATAAAGTGACCCCCACCAGTTGTCAGACATCACAAACCTTATGGTTTGACAAAATTTCTCCTGAAGCAGTTTTTCCTGAAACCGGAGGCTTTTTCCCATGGTCTGAAGTCTGACACCTGACAACTGACCTGAGACCTGACAACTGAGACCTGAGAAATTAAAACCTGAGACCTGACACCTGAGAACTGACAACTGAGACATGAGAACTGATAACTGACAACTGAGACTTGACACCCGAGAAATGAAACCTGATACCTGACATCTGAGAACTGACAACTGATACCTGACATCTGAGGATGTCCTAAAATGTACGCCGTACCGCAGGAATGGAAAAGGAAAAAAATAAAGGGAAGCAAGTTGAGTTTGAGGGGATGGAGACAAAAAACAAAGGATGTAAATTAACAAGAAATAAAATGTAAAAATAGTCAGTCTGTGTCAGAGATGATAGGAAATGAACTGTGAAAAAATGGGCAGATGAAAAAGCAGAAGATGGACAGACACAATCAGTGGTGAATCATACAGGATATCAGCATGGTGTGAAAATGATGCAAATGAGGAAAAGAAGAATGAAACTCTGCAGACCGTCGTAGTAAAACTTCACTTATATCCAGAGCTAATTTAATAACCTCTCCCAGTATCTGCAGACCACAGTCCAGTGGATGTTGGAGGTAAAATAATAAACTGCAGCTGCAGGCAGCAGTGATAGAGTCCATACTGCATTGCAATAGTCAAGGCGAGACGGTATGGATGCAGAACCATTTCCAAAAGAGATCTTGATTGCATTGACTTGATCGTAGGAATCGTCGGAGCTGGAAAAAACAGAGCTGCACAACCATTTAAATACGTGCTTCAAATTTAAGGTTTTCCCACTAGGTTAGGCAGCTTTATTTATGAAGCACATTTCAAACACAGATGCAATTCAATGTGCAGGTTAGTGCTAGATTAGTGACTACCGACATCAGCTGAGGGGCCAGTGAGGAGAGGTCAACCTCGGGAGCTGTAAGGAGGCCTACCAAGGGAAAACAAGTCGTAGACAGTTAAGCCATTTATTCAATGCACTTTAATCAAAAAGTCTAAATAATGTTATTGGACTCCATGTCTCTCCAAGTTGTGTCTTGAAGACCACTCAGAGAATATTTGTCACTCATCTAAATATGAATGTTTAAAAACCACATTATTCACTAACTGCTGGACTGTTGTGAGAAATTGACTTGAAGAACGCAAGATAGTGAAGAACCAGAGAAATGAGGAGCAGGTAAAGTCTGATGCGTAAAACAGGAACAATGGATTTTTGTATTTGCTTTGATTTTCAGATCCTGATGGATTTAATGTTAGGACAAAATTTTAAATGAATTCCAATTTATATTAAAAAGAAAATTGATATTTATTGACTCTGGTTCTCGTGAGGACCCTAAAATCAGATAAATTTGGTAATGTGGATGTAAAAATCATCTACTTTTTCAGTTCGGCTCAAACAATTGTTAAACATATTTTCACAGGCAAGCAAAATGCTGCGCTAAGGCCTGGAACAGCTCCAGAAGTAATACTCAGCGGCCAAAACTCGACACTGTGCAACAGAAACTGTGTAGATTCCCGCAAAATGTGCTGGGACTCCCCCTGGGTCAGCTTTAATGAATAATGAATGGGATGGCTGTCTGACAGCTACAAAGGTGAACACAGACAGCATGAAGACAGAACAAAAGGAGGTGAAAATGAGGTTTACAAGAAAGGATGCATAAAAAAAGAAAAACAAGGAGCAGGAAGTGAATGCAATTGATAATTGTTGTATTCGTCTCACTTTCATCCTGCCATGAGGAATAACAGCTTTCAAAGGGAATATCTCATTGTTGCAGTAAAAAATTACATGGACTGAAACATCTGACATGGAACTTTTCTGGTTCTCAGTCTTCCAGGGATTAGAGGTCCCAATAAGTTTAGAAAAAAGCCATTGGGGCTTGATGAGGGCAGTGATTTGTAAGCAAGCTCACTTCACTTCTTTGAATAAGAAGTAAAAGTCATCATGTCTTTAATTTAAATTTATTTCTGGGATTTCCTCATTAATTTCTATACATATTTAATTTTTTTATTGACATTACCTTACAAAGTTATTATTTCTGTGTGGAACTTGCATAATTACTAACTTCTCCATCTCTTCTTCTGCTAGATGTTGCATGTCTTTAGCTTCATGCTGGAAACTTTATTTTCTGTTTGAAGATGTATGTTACGGGTGCAGCCACCTACTCAGAATGCATGGTTGAAAAATTACTAATCACAACTAAATACGAGTTTTCCAATATATCTCTACAAGAATATAACAGCAGCCAAAATCTAAAAAAAAACTGTGAATATTTCCTTTTATAATCAGGAAAATGTCCCATTTATTTAAATAGAAGGGGTGGTGCTTAATATCCTTGAACCAGCAGGTGTTTACAAGCTAAAAATAGCAAATACCATAGCTATAACAACTTTAACACAAATCTGTTAACTGATTTGGACTCACGTGGTCTGGTCGTTGTTGAACTCCAGCTCCCCCGTCGCCTCCTCGTAGTCCTCCCCGGCTTTGGCGGTCCCACACTCAGTGTGGTACGGTAGGATGACTGTGCCGCGGGCGCCCGAGTTGCGCACCACTGTCACCTCCATCGTTCCCACGCTCTCACTCACGCGCAACAAGCGCTCGCTGAATGTGAAGATACCTGCGTGGTCGTCATCCAGGATGGTCACCGTAGCGACCAGGGGCTCGACCAGGCGGGCTTTGGGGGCGGCGCCCACCTCATCACTTTCAAACATCCCCTCAGCGTCGCCGACACGCAAGTTGAGCAGTCGGACAAAGAAATGTTCGTCTTCTTCAAATATGTCATCATCGATTATGCCGACCTGCAGACAGCCCAAGGAAAAGAGTTAAACTGAAATTTATTGGCAGCTATACAATACTGCAAAATAAATAAATTAATTAATTAATTAAACCAAATTTTATGTTTTAATGACTTGTTTTCAAATAGCAAGATTTTCTTGGAATCTCTTAAAAGCACTTGAGGAATTATGCCCACTCTTCTGTGCAGAACAGTTTTACTTCAACCACATGAAGGGTTTTGATTGAACATTCTGTTAAAGGACGAGTTTTAAGTCCAGGCTTTGGCTGGCTTACTCCAAAACTTCATTTTGATTTTTGAACCATTCAGAAGTGGACTTGCACAAGCACTTGAGTTTTATGATTCAGTATATTCTGGTAGAGACCAGAATCATGGTTCCACTAGATACAGCAAGTCCTCCAATTCCCGAAGCAGCAAACTGAACCTACACCATTACACCACAACCACCTTGTTTAACTGCTGATGTGATATTTTTCTGAAATGCTATGTCATGTTTACTCCAGACCTAAAGGGAGGCACTCTCTCCAAAATGTTCCACCTTTGTCCTGACAGTTGACAGAGTATTTTCCCCAATGTCTTGGGGAGATCATCTTCTGGCCTTTTTGGTTGCCAAGGTTTTGACCAAATATAACTGCCATGATGCCATCACCCACTTATTATTGCTGAATCTTGCTCTCTCACTTAAACCAAATCAGGTCTCTAGTACCTTACATGTTTTATTTTCTCTTGAACATCTGAAGAACTGAGCAAAGTGTGATGCATTTGGTATTTTAGCCTACTTCATGTAGTTTAACAGGTTCTTTTGAAATTTATAGGTCTGGAATGATCAGATCTGGTTAGCAAAAATCAGCTTTTTGCCATAAATGTTTATTTATTTAGCTATCAGTTTTGTCTAAAGTGACTTGTGGTTTTTAAGCAAACATGCACGTTTTTGGCCTGTGGAAGGAAACCAGAGTACACTGAGAAAATCCACAAATGTTTGAAGAGAACGTTCTAAATCCATGCAGATTTACACCTGCAACTTTGCTGCGAGGTAACAGTGTCTCATTGTCATTTCAGAAACTTGGACTTTTTAAAGACTTTTAAATTCCTACAACCAAACATAGACAGAAAACAGATGGGCGTTATTTTTTTTTCCATGTTTGGTGAGTTTGGTGTCATACCCACATGGAAGCACAAAGGTATGTAAAAAGTCAGTCTTTAAATGTTGCCCCTGATGTAAAAACCGTATCTACAGATGCAGCTTTTGGTGCCACTGAGCAGCTGCGCTCACAGCTGGTGGAGCTCAGCTTTCAGAGCAAACCTGCTGGAAAAAACGAATTAACTCCAAATCTGCTCATGTCAATGAGAAAGAAACAGGAGGAAACATGACTACTTGCCTCAACACCCTAAACACAAACTCTGAATCACTGAACCAGGTGTCTCAGGTGGTTCTTGCAGGAGAAGTGAACTGGTAGAGAAGAGACTTCAGAGAACACAATCTGAAGCTTTAGACACAATATATAAAAAGGAACTGTACCTTACTATTTTTAACCTCTTTGAGCAATATTCCCACACATGATAAAATAATACTATTGGCACTATGGAGACATCTGTTCTGAAATATAAATTATTTTCTTGAGACATTTTATCAACTTGGAAATAAGAGGCTTGAATTCCATGAAATCCTAACTCCACTTGTTTTAAAGTTACTCTTTATACAGGTGCTGGCCAGTAAATTAGAATATCATCAAAAGGTTGAAAATATTTCAGTAATTCCATTCAAAACGTGAAACTTGTACATTATATTCATGCAATGCACACAGACCAATGTATTTCCGATGTTTATTACGTTTAATTTTGATATTTATAGGTGACAACCAATGAAAACATCAAATCTGGTATCTCAGAAAATTAGAATATTCTAAAGGCCAATGAAAAAATGTTTGTTTCTCTAATGTTGGCCAACTGAAAAGAATGAACATGAAAAGAATGTGCATGTATAGCACTCAATACTTAGTCGGGGCTCCTTTTGCCTCAATAACTGCAGTAATGCGGCGTGGCATGGACTCGATCAGTCTGTGGCACTGCTCAGGTGTTATGAGAGCCCAGGTTGCTCTGATAGTCATCTTCAGCTCCTCTGCATTGTTGGGTCTAGCGTATTGCATCCTCCGCTTCACAATACCCCATAGATTTTCTATGGGGTTAAGGTCAGGCGAGTTTGCTGGCCAATCAAGGACAGGGATACCATGGTCCTTGAACCAGGTGCTGGTGGTTTTGGCACTGTGTGCAGGTGCCAAGTCCTGTTGAAAGGTGAAGTCTGCATCCCCATAAAGTTGGTCAGCAGCAGGAAGCATGAAGTGCTCTAAAACTTCCTGGTAGACGGCTGCATTGACCCTGGACCTCAGGAAACAGAGTGGGCCAACATCGGCAGATGACATGGCACCCCACACCATCACTGACGGTGGAAACTTTACACTGGACCTCATGCAACGTGGATTCTGTGCTTCTCCGCTCTTCCTCCAGACTCTGGGTCCTTGATTTCCAAAGGAAATGCAGAACTTGCTTTCATCAGAAAACATAACTTTGGACCACTCAGCATCAGTCCAGTCCTTTTTGTCCTTGGCCCAGGCGAGACGCTTCTTGCGCTGTTTCTTGTTCAAGAGTGGCTTGACACACGGAATGCGACACCTGAATCCCATGTCTTTCATGAGTCTCCTCGTGGTGGTTCTTGAAGCGCTGACTCCAGCTGCAGTCCACTCTTTGTGGATCTCCCCCACATTTTTGAATGGGTTTGTCGTCACAATTCTCTGCAGGGTGCGGTTATCCCTAGAGCTTGTACACTTTTTTCTACCACATTTTTTCCGTCCCTTCGCCTGTCTGTTAATGTGCTTGGACACAGAGCTCTGCGAACAGCCAGCTTCTTTAGCAATCACCTTTTGTGTCTTGCCCTCCTTGTGCAAGGTGTCAATGATTGTCTTTTGGACAGCTGTTAAGTCAGAAGTTTTCCCCATGATTGTGGTGCCTTCAAAACAAGACTGAGGGACCTTTTAAAGGCCTTTGCAGGTGTTTTGAGTAAATCAGCTGATTAGAGTGGCAGCAGGTGTCTTCTATATTCAGCCTTTTCAGAATATTCTAATTTTTTGAGATACCAAATTTGGAGTTTTCATTAGTTGTCACTTATGAATATCAAATTTAAATGTAATGAACATTGGAAATACATTGGTCTGTGTGCATTGCATGAATATAATGTACAAGTTTCACGTTTTGAATGGAATTACTGAAATATTTTCAACCTTTTGATGATATTCTAATTTACTGGCCAGCACCTGTATTATGTGACCCTAGATTCCCAACATCAGGGGCCACAATGACAAAGCAAGCTTCATCAACACACATGCCAGTGGGCAGCAAACTGATTGGACATTTTCCTGTGTCCCGGATGCCAAACTGGCCCACAGGGCAATTGCCAAGTGTTTAAACTCTAGGGGAGGAGAGTTCCAGATTACACACTACCTGGATGGGGAGGGTCATTGCATGATGATGACGCAAAACTTTTGCATCCAGGCGTTTGCAACCTGCAGAGCATCTGCAGTTGAGGGAGCAGAATTCATATGTGAATTAAACCAAAAAATGCTTTGGTGTTTTTTTTAATGAGGAAATAACAATATAATTAGGTCAAAAGCTCCAAAAATGTAGATTTGGCAATTTACAGTCCCTTTAAAATAAAAGTCAACTTTGAAACCAAAACAAATTTCTTCTTCATTTGTAAAATCAACAATTGAGATGCTGAGTATTTATCAAATATAAAACTGCTGGAAGAAATATTTGTAAAAACTGTTACATAATTTTAACACTTTCAAATGAAATTTTATTCAATCTAATAATTTTTTAAAGTTGTTCGTGTTTTATACCCCCAGTAGGTTGTGTTTTATGTATCTCTGATTCTTTGTTCTTTTTGCAGACAATGTTTCAGATAAAAATGCTTCGCATAAATTGACCATTCCACCTAACTCTGTTTTTCTTGTTTTCTTGTCTATAAAAATGAAAACATCAATTAAAAATTCACATTCATGATTTTTAAAGGTGCTACATATGTCAGAAGCAAATAAAAATATATTTCTCATTAGCTACTGAATTTATTTAATGTAATATTTTCTCCTCGTGCGCAGTTAAATATGTGAGTTCAGTTTTTGAGAAACAGTTAAAAGGTCTATTGCAGCTAACAGCTGCAGAGGGATTTTTCTGTTCTTCTACCCCACCTTCTGTTGTTCTTCAGCCCTTCTCTGAAGCTCCTGCTGGGACTCTCGTTATTTATCTCATCTTCCTCTCCCCCCTTCATTATTTTTGCTTTGATCTCCTTGAATTTGTTACCAGAGTTTGCAGCCAGCCTGCAGGTTAGTCACAAGTCTGCAATGTGTTAATGCACCCCCAGCAGTAAACCTTCTCCTAGCAAAACTAGAACCAGTTTCTTACTTGGCTGCAGCTGTTGGCAACAAATTATTTGTATGAAATTTTCTTAAATATCTCAAAATGTTTGCAAGGCTTCTTTATTTCCTTGAGTTGCAGGGCCTTGTTCACGTCTTTGGAACACTGAACAAGAACTTGTCTGGACCCCAACTTATTTCCGTTTTTGTGAATCAAAAATACTAAAGAATGTGAGACAGCTTTGGAAGCAGCTGAGATCTTGTGGATACAATTAACCAAATTGAGACAAATTCGAGACATTTTGTGATTGAATTGTGACAAGAAAATCAGCTAAATTTGTTTGCAATTACATCACATGCCTCAAGTGGCACAGTCAGATTTAAAACATGTCACAAAAGTGTTGAATGACCCAATTCAGTGCAATTCCCCCATACATTTATTTTATGTACATGACTCGTCAGTTTCACTCAATTTTGTCCATAGAGTTGCTGCCCAGACAGAAACAAGCATAACTGAAACAATAAACCAGATAACAAATAGTCTTTTAACAAAAAAATACTTCATTTTATGCCAAACTTATAACCAACCTTTGCTAAGGGCAACAAGTCCAAGATTTTAAATCCCTAATCTGTGTTTTAGATAAGCAGTTACCTTCACATGCTCAACAGAAAAATCAGAGAGACTGCTTCCAACTCTGGAAAAGATAGAAAGAGGAAGAGGCCATGCAGGACTTTCACATGAAATCTGTCCTCTTCCTTATTTGCCAGAAACCCAATCCTTTAGCAGTTCTTTAAAGGAGCAATATGTAAAAAATTTACAATGAAATAATAACAAAACCGTCTAATGTCTCTATCATCTTGGAAGGAATGTTACTTCAATACAGAATTTCTTTTTAGATGATTGGGGGGTAGTCAGTTTTTTCCCATTCAAAAAAACTAAAGAGGGACATCGCCAGCGAGTGTCAGGATCTGGGGTGAGTCAGCACCATTCTGTTCATTAGGCTTCAGTCTCTGCAGGTGGGCGGTTCCGGAGACCGGCCAGCTGCAGGCTATCTCAAATCAACCGGTCCACTGTTCATAAGGAGCTGAGAGATCACTTCAATTTGCCAGATGATTACTCACTTTGGGTAGCTCTTGCCATAATAGAGATAATTATAGCTTTAGTCTTTGTCTTGTGCTCACTATCAGTCGTTGTCATTTGATTGTACTCCGCCTTGTCCTCACCAGGAACTCTCACCACTGACCAATTCTGCAATAACCTGGATTTTTTTCTCACTCTTCTGTTTAAGTGTATTAAAAGCCTAAAATTCTGCATAATTAATGAGCATCAGACCCACGTGACCACAGAGCTAGCTCTGGGGAAAGGCCTCAATAGAGTCTCGGTCTGGCCTGGAAACTGCTCCGGGATTTTGAGTCTCTGTGTTTGTGTATTCTTTTTTGGATATTATTTGTGCAATTGTTGGACAAAATGACTTGCTGTGGCATTAATTGCACTAATAGAGTGTCCAAGGAGTCTCCACTTCATTTTTTTGGTAAGTAAAATTATATTTATGTATTTTAGGTCACTGCTGAGCTGAGCTTAGATTTTAACATGTACTGTTTAACCATGAAATTTAAATGTAATAGGGTAAAACCCAGTGCATTTAACATAATGCTGCACTTTAGAAAATGGGTTGAAATATAACATGTTGGTGGAGCTGGGTTCCGACTATCGGCTTGTGGAGCTCTCGGGAGACCGATGTTTTCCACCCGTTTCTCCCCTCCCCGCAGCTCGGTGCATCTCTGTCTGATCGCGGCTTCTGTCTGCTGCGCGGGCTGCTACGCGGGCTGCCAGATTGTGGTTCTCCCCTCCCCGCAGCTCAGCGCATCTCTGTCTGATCGCGGCTTCTGTCTGCTGTGCGGTCTGCCGGCTTTCAGCAGCTTTCGGGAGACCTCTGTGTTCCACCTGGTTTTACCCAGCGGTCAGCCCAGCGTATCTCTGACTCAGAAGCTCTGGTGTTGTGCACAGTTAACTCCGGTTGTAGCTAGGTTGCTACCTCCGTTAGCTTAGCTCCCACCTCCGCGTTAGCTTTGGGTTAGCTTCAGATTAGCTTGTAGCTAGTTCGACCGGGTGTCGTCAGTTGATCACACCCTCAGCTCCCACTCTCTTCCCTTTTGTGGAATTGTGGGCTTGACGGAACCTGTGACACGGTCAAAATGGTGGTGGTGGTCACCTCCCATTTTGGCACAAAAACGTGTAATTGGAGCCTATGGAAATGAATTGTCCAGTATATATGTCGATGTTTGTAACTCGACACCAGTCGGCTGAAAGCTCCAGAGTTGTTTAAAGAACAGAAGTTATTTCTTGTACTCCTAACCATGGAATCTTTTTGTTTTACTTTAATATCAAGACAGAAGGCTAGAGGCTAACGTTGAGCTAACAATGCTAACAGTGAAGTAGAAGCAAATAGTCAGCTCTAAAAATATCTTAAGCCACTTTTTCAGTTATCCACCAACTCAACATTGCAGTAAAATGCATTTGTGAAATGAATATTGAGTCCATTGTAGTATTTTACTTCGTTTAATGTTTTGTTCAGAACTATAACAGCAACCTAACCACAAGCCGGCAAACTGAACTCCCTCCAATGCCAGAGGCATACTACCATAATAGGAGCACTAAGGGATCCTTTCCATAAAACACCCAAGAGTGCTAACACCAGGTATTACAATGTATTTATTTACACATCAACTTACTGTGTATGACCTCTCTTTGCTTGTCATCTAGAATCTTCTGGTGCTGATCTGTAACTGGCAACAGCCATCAAACTCACAGAATGAAAGTGGGAAAGTGAGCTTTTGTTTAGAAAAAAGGGCTGCAGTAACCAGATATGACCACAAGACGTCATTCTTACTTCACTCGTACATATTGCACCTTCACTCACTGTGAAAAGTCCCCTCAACTAATTGAAACTCCTTGTCCTTATTTAGGCTTCAGGTCAGATTCTGCTGGTGGTTTGTGAAACACGAGCCCATATTTCTCTTTTACCTTCTAAAGGTTGATTCATGCTTCTCTGTCTGCGTCAGTGCGGAGACACGCAACGCCATTATCTGTCCTTAGGGCTCCGGCAGGCACGCAAGTACGTACGGAGTCGAGCCCACTTTTTTAAACATCCGTCGAACAAGACGGATTACGCAAGCTTGTGATTGGTCAGGACGCCGCTGTTGTTTACAGCGCTGCCATTGCGTCCTCAAAAACATAAAGAGAGCTGAGGATAACTAGTGGCAGACACGGAGAAGCTTGAAGAATACCTCGCAAAAAAACTAAAAAAATATGAACATTTAATTCCCCGTGACTGGAGGAGTAAAATGATGCGCAGCAAGCGTTTTATTTGTGGACGGAAATGACAGGAAACGTGGGTTTAGAGGTGGGGAGCGCATGAAGGGGTGGAGGAGATTGAGAGACAAATATGTCCGTGTTAAAAAGTCTCTTATATACACAAAAAACACAAGATAAACACACTATCTTGGACCGATACATGACAGGATACCACAGAACAGCGCTACGCCCTCTGTTGTCCTGCCGGGCAATTGCTTTGCAACACTCTCCAGGAGACGGAGAATGAGAGCAAAACGCTTCTGTCAATCCGTGCGTGTCTGTCCCTTGCGGAGCTGACTGAGAAGCATGAACCAGGCTTAAGTTTGAATTCACCTTGATCTCTTTTCGCGTCTCTCCAGGTTTGAACACCAGTGTTCCTTCACTGTAGTCGTAATCTGATCCGGCATTGGCTGTCCCGTCTTCAGTCCTGTAGTCCACATAGAAGGTGTTCTCCATCAGACCCCCTAAACAGCACAGATAAGCCACAAGTTTCAAATTCAACCTCAAGATCACGACAATGTCTCAAAATAATTTGGCTTTCTGCAGCAAAATAAAGCAGAAGCACCTTGTTAAAGCAAAACAAACTTTAAGTCTCAGACTCTTATCATCAGCTTGAGTTCATTCATCGATCTACCTTGACAGACTACAGTCAGTGTGAGTATGCCACAGTTCTCCATGCACTGACTGTGGGAGCTCTCAAATGAGATGTGGCTGCAGAAAGCCAGGTCGTCTTCTTCTACTGCCTCTTCATCTGTCACGACTATGCGGCGAGCGTGGTCAGCAGCATGTTTCTTTAGGACATTTCCGGCTCCGATCATCATACGTGTCGCCTTAATGGAAAGAGGAAAGAAATTCATGTTCAGAATGGAAATGCAGAGGAATATCTGACGTTTAGATCTGACGCAAAATGTTTTTGAAAATTCTTTAAAACTTGAGGCTTTTTGTAGGTCAGAGCAACACTTAGAACTTGTGTCAGGATAGTTTGCTGCGAGACAGGTATGTGTTACCTGGACACGGTAGAAGGCTCTGCTCTTCTGTTGGTGCAGGAGAGCGTAGTAGTTTGCCAGCTCCACCAGCTGGTCCAGCTCTTTGTCAGGATACTTCTGCTTCAGTTCCTTCAGGATGCGAATGACCTTGGGTAGGGGTGGGGGGTTGGGGGACACACAATTTTGCTTGAGAGTCTGCAGAAAATATGAACACATTTAGTAATTTTGTTCATTTTTCGTGCGGCAGGAGTAAGAAATTAGAATAAAGTTTCTGATTCACCTCCTGAAAAGTTTCAGATTTGACAGGAAGTTCCTGTGAACTTCTGGCTCTGTGACAAGCTCCAGATGACATCCTTTTAAGTCAGTAACTGATTTCTACAACCTCACAGAGTGCCTGCCCCGAAACAATTTCAGATAATTTTCTCAATAATTGTGGAGTGAATAAAAAGGTTCATAACATCTCTCTCAATATTATTTGACAGTTTTGGGTATGTCAAAAATGCAGATAAATTACAGATATTTAGAGTAAATGTCACATAAGTTTTGGGATTAATATGTAGTAACAAATGTGTTTGAAAGCACTCCATTTAGCATTTAGTCTATGTTCCAATGGGGCAGAGCCATAACTTTCTGAAGGGGTGACGTATCCTCTGTAATTTTGGATCCCCCAGAAGAAGCTAGAGAGTTTATCTAGGTAGTGGGATGTTTGGGTTTCCAACCTCATGATAAAAAAGGATAGTTGGGTATGTTCACTCTTTTGTTATGCTTTCTTGTCTTCAGATGGTCACAACTTAGTTTTAGAGGTCACTTCCCATAGCAGCCTTACATGTCTTGCACTTTCTTACCAGTGGCGCCCCCAGAAAGGTTTCATTGGGGGTGGCCAGATGGGGTGTGTGAAAATTTTAGAGTGGTCTTTACATATGAATTGCATTCTCCTTCATTCTTTTTCATTTAGATGCGATACGAACATGTTTACCTCAAATTTGAGAACATTTTGTCTTTTTTGTGTGTGTGTTTGTCTTTTTAGCATTTTGTAAAAGCACGCACACGCACACACACACACACACACACACACACACACACACACACACACACACACACACACACACACACACACACACACACACACACACACACACACACAATATTACTAAATTATGATTTATTCATTTACTCAGTACATATAAATATTAGGATTTTGGATTTTACATTTATGTTTTTTTAAAGAGATGAAATTATTCCTTGAGTGAACATGAAAGGGGAGGTCTTCTGTTGGGGAGGGGTGGCTAGCAATTTTCCGGGGTGGGGGGGGGGTGGGGGGGGGTTGGGTTGGTGAGGGTGGCTTGGCCACCCCCTGGCCACTCCTTGGGAACACCACTGTAGTTTTACTCATATAAAGGAGGTTAGGAAAGGTTTTCAGATGTCTTCCATGATTATTTTAAGCAGAACCTTTGCTGATAGAGAAGAAATATGTAATCCAGGAAAAAAGTTCCTAAACTGTCAATTAACCATCCACAATTATCTGCTAACAGCCACCGATCAAAGGCTTCATGCCTTTTTCAGCAATTTTTTGTAAAACAGTCTCTGCCTCTGAATTTGAACAAAATTCCTCTGACAATACATCTGTTTAAACAAATAAATAATTAAAATGTATAACATTATATTTTCCTTTATCCAGAATGGATCTCAGAGTCTCACCTCTTTGCGGCTCTCATCCAGCTCTTTTCCACTCTCCAAATTGACCATTGTGCTATTAGAGATGGGAAGGTTGGCTCCGGTTCCTGCTGTGGCACTGTCCTGAGTGCCGCCACCACAGTTCTCGGTGGGCACCACAGTGCCCCCATGAGGTGGGAGCTTGCCATCTACCATCATCTCCATACTACCCTTGGTGGGAGTTAAGTCCCCCTCAGTTTCCACAACAATGCCGTGGCGCTTGTCGGCACGGTACCGCTTTCCCATGTACTTGTAGAAAAGCAGACGGCGATCGGCGATCCATGCCAGGATGACACACACAGGGAAGAACAGAAGCGTAACCAGAGCTTCCCAGACCTGGAGGACGAGAAAAATAACTCACCCGTGAAGACTAATTATTTAAGAAGCATGGAGCAGAGGTCACAGCAAGGTGGGTGGTCAAAGAGCTCATAAAATGATTTAATGATGAAAAAAAGCCATTCGTGGTTGACTTGCTTGCTGTCTCACCTCCACAACACCTGGCGACATGACAGACAGGATGAGGTAGAGCCAGATGTAGGCAAAGATGCTCCAGAAGGCTGTGATGAAGAACACCCTGAGATGTTTGATTTTACGTGACTCGCCATTTGGGATCACCCACACGCAGATCCCGATGATCACAAACATGTTGAAGGCGGCGCTGCCAACAATGGTGCCCGGACCCAGCTGACCGGCCTCAAACTTGTGACCGCACACCTGCAGAGATCCAGATGTTTTGTTTGTTTACAGAGCGGATTTCAGTGATCAGTGAAACGCTGAGTGGTAGTGAAGTGTTTACCTCTATGACAGACAGCAGTATCTCTGGAGCGCTGGAGCCCAGAGCCATTAGAGTCAGATTAGAAACCGTCTCATTCCAGATTCGAACCGTCGCCACAGATGTCTCCCCATTAGGCATCGTGATGGTCACCTCTTTTTCCTGCAGCACACAACAATTATTAAATTAAATGGAAAGATAAAATCATAAGCTGAGGGAAAAGTTAAGCAGCAATCAGCAGAAACCTAAACAAGGTGAACTAAAATAACACAAATTAGTTCCATACTGCTGACTTACTGGGTCTGTATTGTTGCCATGGCTGCTGCAGTGATGGACTGTGGGAAATCTAAATGGACAGATAATCACCCTGACCTTGAGGAGGATGGGGGAAGAGTTGGTCTCCTTCAGCGTATTGTCTGTCCTACCTTCCCTCTCAGCTGCCAGGTCTGTTATCTCATTCGTTTTCTCTTCACCTCAATCTTATCTGACTAAATTTCCATAACGGGCAATCTACTGAGCCTAGGAACAGAGTTGAGGGGAATGAGTTGTTCTAGAAAGGCAAAAACAATTTGAGGTAAGATGTAATTTATGTTTTTAATTATTGGGAATTGATTTAGAAATATATCTAAAGTCTGGGTTTAACATGAAAAATAAAAGTAGATCTATAATGAGGCTGAATATATGTAAACTTGCTCATGATTTTCAAATTTAGAGGAGAATGGTGTGTGAATGTTTGTAAAAGAATGTAAGTACAGTTTTCCGAGGAAGAACCTCAGGGTTTAACATTAGGCCCCATTTTATTCTCATTAGAGAAAGGTTAAATAAATGCATTTTCTCTCCTCAAACTGTCTTAATGTTGTGTGAAAATGCCCATATTTTTTCTCAAAAATCAGTTTCTCAGTCAAAAGCCCACCTGGTTTATCCGGTCTTCTTACCTGTGAAGTGATGACCTCTATGGACGCCATGAAGCGATCCGCGATGATGGAAACCCCCAGAAACATGTACATGAGAGACATAAAGTAGATCACAGCTCGGGCCACCTGGTAACCGAGTCCGGGCTTATCTGGCTTCCAAACGGGCAGCAAGATGCCGGGGCTGCACGTTGTCACCTCCTCACATTTCCCATCTTTACTGGCAGCGAGCGTGTTGTTCTCATAAGACAACGATGGAGCAAAGGATGAAGGCAGCAGGGAGGGGACGACTGTTCTCAGGCTGGGGTCAATGCTGGGCTCACTGCGCTGGGACTCTGGCTGGCAGGAGGGCAGAAGGAGGAGGAAGAGGAGGAAGGGCGCAGGAGAGGTAAACTGAGACATGATGTTCAGTTCCCACGAGCGATGACAAGGAAGGAAGATGAAGAGGATGATGGGATCAGATGGGAAGAGGAGATGCTGGTAGAGCTGAGAGCGGTGGGACTATCTCTCCTGCAAATAAAAGACAAAACTATTTAGGACTATGGAAAAACAAGAGGTGCCATTGATAAATAAAAGCCATAACAGAGTTTCAGTTTATTCATATCAAAGTCAGACTTTTCAAATATTTGACGTCCACCCAGGTTTCATTGTAAACATCACGCCTGATGAGTTGTGAGCTTTTTCAGTTTAACTTTGTCAAACGTGTTTATCTTCCTTCATGTTGGCAATGGGAGCACAAACAGGCTGCAGCCAACAACAACAAAATGAGAGGATTTTGGAAAAACAAAACATTAAAGTAACTCCAAGCTCGAATAGTCTCATTTAGAATCCGAGTCATTGGCTTAACCTTTTAGTGGAACAGCTGAAAGCTGATGAGAACAATGAAAGCCAGATGACAAACTAATTTAGTGTTTCTGTAAATACCTATCTGAAATTATGTATTACTATAAACTATAAATTATGTTCTACTAGTTGCTGTATGTGCACAATAAATGCTGAATGTGTCCTTTGCTCAATGCTGTGTGCTTCAGAAGAAAAATACCCCTGAAATGGAAAACAATGGCTACAAAAGTAACCAGAGCGATAGCATCTTTAAATGAATGAAAACAAGAAGAAGAAAAAAAAAGATTAGAAGTGACTGCAATTAGAAAGATGGTAAAGATACAATTATTGTCAAATAAAAGCACTCAGACATGGGATAAACAGAGGGCATGAAAAGATAATGGGAAATAAAGTGAAGGAGGGTTTGGGAGGAGGGAGAGATGAAGAGGGGCAATAAATAAAAGGAAAGAAAGGGGGAGGGAGTGAAAGGAGGGTAGGCCCCAAGGAGAGCCTGTTTGAAGTCGTCAGAGTACAGCTGCAGCGTGTTGTCATGGTGACAGCACGTGTGCATGTGTAAGAGTGTGTGTGTGTGTGCGTGTGCGTGTGTGTGCACGATCATGAGGTTGAGCTTTAGGATGGAAAGTGATAGAGGGGGCAGACACTCAGTGGGCAAAATTCATCATCAAGATCAAGCTGAGATCCAAAGAGACTGACCACACACACACACACACACACACACACACACACACACACACACACACACACACACACACACACCATGACTTTCATTTTAAAGGTCATTCGCTTCCACAAACTGAAAAGTTCACATTTTGAATTCCTGCTAAACAAGATTTTAAAATCCCAGCACATCTCAAAATGTTAAATTTACTCACTTTAAAAGAACACCCAAAGGTGAAGAAAAACATATCGCATTGGCCTTAATTCTGTTGATGTCTTTCCTCCAACTTTTCTTTACTTTGTTTATTATAATGTGACCTTGAGTGTGAAAGGCCCCTATAAAAATAGTTATTATTATTATTATTACTAGAAATCAATATAATAAAATGATTCAATTTAATCTAACAAAGATACAAGATTAAAAATCTAAAATAAAAACGAGAAACATCTGGTTGCCAAACCTTGCCAGAACTTTTTGTTTTAAAACTTTATTTTTATTCTTCATTTCCTCTTAAACAGTTGAATTTGTCAATAGAGTTGATAAAAATGTTTGGAATGTTTCCGTTCTTTGACCTTTTCACAGTCATTCCATTTAAAGAACACACAGACAATTACACTAACATTTGCTAAAGCACAACAATTCCCCAAAACAATATTCACTTTTCCCATGCGTTCGGCATTCTTGCTTCAAAGAATTAATATGTTTGTTCTGCAAAAAATGAAGAATTCTCAAGTTTAATTTAATTGCTGGCAAGGACCTTTCTATTTCTGTGATGTAAGACCTTCACAACTTTATTTTTTACTCTTACTGTATTTGATCAAAAACCTTTGGCTCTACATTTCAGAAACAGTAATAATACTTAGAAACAGATATGATAAGCACCAGTTCTTTTAAGAAACTCTTGGAGATGAATCACATTTTTGAAGCATGGCTAGAGGAGATGAAAGTGAGGAGGAGAGTGATTATCAGAACAGACGCTGCTGCAGCAGCGGCTGAACAGGAAGTTCGAACTCTTGGCGAACACTCTGTGTCCTTCTTTGTAATTTAGCATGACCGCGCTGCATCAGCTGAATCCTCTCCCATCATCCAGTTGCAGAAGCTGCCTTTATGAGCTTCTGACTGTAATCTTTCACTTATCAAAATGACTGCTGTTGGACAGCCACCTGTTCACAGCATTTACTGGAACATCTCTATTTTATGTATCATACACTGGTGCACAAAGATGTGGATACTGCTGCGCATCAACCATCAGCAGCACTCACCACAAGCTGATTTATTGACATCAGAATCAGAATCAGATCAGGTTTATTGCCATTGTCAGTGAACAAACAATTCACAAACTAGGAACTTGCTTCGGTACTAACGTCTCACATATAACATGAATAATATAAATAAAAATAGAATAAAGTAGAATAAAATATAATAAACTAACATAAAACTTTGCTATAAAAAAAGCAGGTAATGGTAATTATGGCCGATAACGTGACGTTATGTCAAGTACAGAAGACGAGCATGGTTGTGTGTTTATAAGCTGTTCACAAGTCTAACGGCAGATGGAAAGAAGCTGTTCTTATGGCGAGAGTTTCTGGTCTGGATTGACCGTAACCTCCTGCCTGAGGGAAGCGGCTCAAAAAGTCTGTGACCCGGGTGAGAAGGGTCAGCTGCTATCCGACATGCTGATTGTACTACAGGAATGCCATCTTTCAGGCTGAACTGTCTTTTCTGACGACAAAGGGCAGCCTTGGCAGAGTCCTACTCTCACTGGGAATGAGTCTGACACTGCCGGCATTGCGGATCAAGCTCTGACGCCGGTCATTCAGCGACCTAAGTGCCCGTATCAAAGGCCCTGGTACTGCATACTCCAGGATTGACACCCCCCCCCCCATCACACACACACACACACACACACACACACACACACACACACACACACACACACACACACGCACGCACGCACGCACGCACGCACACACACACACACACACTCACACACACACACACACACACACACACACAGGGGTCTTGGTGATTTCTAACTGTTTAATCATCTTTTTTTACACAACTGGACAATTTTAATTATTCCCCTGAAACATTTCACTGTTTAAGAAAGTGGCATTCAACAAAACTACAAGACAAAAACAAATTATTTTGCCTGTTTGCACTAATGAGCAACTTTCCTTCACACCTATTTTGAAGCACCATTCACAAATTGACCTTCAACAATTAATCAGCCAACCAGAGCATGCAATTAGGCTTAAATAGTTGTTTCTGTGATTATTCACGAAACTCCGGGGAACACTGAAGTCTTCCAACATAAAACCACCTCTGTGGGAGCTGCTGTGACCTTTTCCATCAGGACATCCCAGGAAAACATCAGTGCACCACTGTTAATGGTGACAAGTGTGATAAACATCAAATGACAAAGTTTGTTTTGGGTAAAGTTTCAGAAACCAAAAATAATTCCCAACTCAGTGAAAATGTTTCTTTTGAGCTATTTAAAAATATATATTTTGGGACAATAATTTTTAAAATGGTAGCGTCCACCACCCGTGGAGCCACTACCTGCAGGAGGAGCATGAAGGGTTCTGTGCATTGCCTCGGCAGTTTGATCCCTGAAATCTACATTTGGCATTTGGGACATGGAATGTCCCTCTCTGGAAAGACAGGAAAGAGCTGGAACTTGTGACAAAGGTTGAGTGGTACCCACTACATTTAGTCGCCCACACAGTAACAATATTAAACACTTCGTGGGACACAACTCTGGATTGAAACCTCCACAAACAAAATAATCTGTAAATCAATGTTTAAGGAAAAAATGAACTTTATATAGAATTTATTCAGGAAATGTTCATTCTTTCTTTACAACCTGGTACCAAATGGTCTAAATAACAGTAGCAGACCTTACCTAGGAACAGAAGACTGCTGATGCTGGTTTAATCTCCCCACCATCTCAGGTCTTCCTGGACTTCTTGTCATAATTTCTCACAAAGGGGCTTTCCTAGCAAACTAAAGGCCTCCAAAAGGAGCAGGTGTGTGTTTGCAACCAACTTCAGGCTCACTGATTTCTTCTTCTAGGTCTTCCAACAGGATGCAAAAAAGGCTTACAAGGTTCGGGAACTAAACCTGTATCTGCTCGGGGTGAATGTTTTCCCACTTGAACAAGTTCAGTTTTCCTGGCGAAGGCTGAGCTGTACTCACAATCAACTGGAACGTAAGTCAGGACAAAATAAAGTCAGCAGCAGGAACTCACTGCTCTTAGAGCACAATGCAGCATCTTTAGAAAACCCTACATTGTTAATTTAGAGCAAACAAAAGCACGCCGAGCCTCTGCAGGCCTGCAGGGTTACGCCACAGGAGCACAGAGGATTAAGTATCTTTTCTGCTTTCTTTTCCCACCCTTCTGACCCTTGTTTTGTCTCACTGCTTCTGAAACTCAGCTTCACAAACTGGCTGCAACCTGCCCAAAATTGATCTCCACATGACTCACATCCAATTTATTGTCACCAAAAGAAGACAACCAAATCTTAAAAGTGCGAGACGAGGAGACAGCAGGAGATCTTACCAGAACAAGAATGGTGTCCTCCTCTGACCCTTTTCTCTGACTCCCTTTCCTCTTGGTTTGAGAACTTTTTGTGAAGGACTGTTTGTTCAGTCATTGTCAGGGGGTCTACATGAAAGGTGTTAGAACTTTTATGGATTCACTTTCAGATCAGTGGCAGGAGACAACAGCGTACAAAATCAGACGTGGGGGGGGGGGGGCATTCTTACCCTTCATCTGTCCGCTGACTGATTTTGATCGATAATTTAAAAATTCTAAATTCTAAATGAAAAATGAGTGAGAAATAAAAGCAGTTAAATGCTTAAAAGTGAATAATTTTTATTTTGCTAGCATTGGTATATGTTCTGACTAAACTAAAAATAAATAAAGGGTGGTAGGAGGTTATTGGTGTGGGTTAAGCTAAATAAACCCTTGTCTTCTATTCATTAGAATTCCTATCATGCTCTGGTT